GTCCTTTCGAGAGGACCCGCGTTGTCGTTCTTATTCTTGTTGTTGTTGGTGTAAAGAGTAGTAACTTTGTCCCGTGGCTTGACTGGGGTTCAGCATTGTTATGTATTATTGTCAAATTATACCCGTCGATGCCGGCGCATACCGCCCCCCTCAGGGGCAGCTGTGCGGGAGCGAAGGCACCGTCTCTGACTGGAACAAAGAAACAGGTCTGCCCTCTGCAAAAAAAGACACATCACGCTTCAAATGAAATTGCTCGACTTGGCAACAATGTTGGCTGTCTCGCTCGGGGCTGACCTGAGTCTGCCGCTGAAGCGTGCCAGAGACACAAACGATCTGTCGCGAACAGGGAAATTATTGCTGTGAACTACGCGTGGATTGACTTTGTTGGTATGTCGTTCACTTCCCGGATATTATTCCAATAGTAGTGGTCCCCGACAATCATGCCGTCATCGAACGGCTCAGGACGTACTTGAAAAAAAGAAGGCCGGCCATGGACGACTACGATCGTGTACTTGTATCGTGATCTGATTTTAGCTACTCCATACGCTCGTCAGTCATCCATGGTACTGTGCCCGGCGGGCGTGACGGGAGAGAACCATGGAACGAGAAGCCTGCTCCGCGTATGGCCCGAAGAACCCCAGTAGCATAACGCGACTTTGTTTCCTAGCATGCCATAATTATAATTACCGACATAAATCAGATAGGAATGATCGCAAAAGGGCTGCCGCCAGGGATGAGAAATTAGAATTTACCGAATGCATCGGGGAACCGGGAAGGGCGTCCCTCTCCTGGCCATCGGATTCTTCGACCACCGGCACTTGTGACCCAGCACCAAGGATAGATACCAGGCGATCTGTTCGCTTGGGCCTGGAGCGCGTGTCCCCAGCATGGAAAACCCTCGTCGCACAACAAGCGAAGCGAGAATCAACAAAAAAAAACATCAAAAAACATCAAAAAATACCGGTCAGATCTTGGACATCCAGACCAATCCTCTGACACGTGTTGCAGGGTTAAGTTAAAAGACTTATGCTTGCCACGTATTATTAGACGAGAGAACAACTGGTCGATGATGCTATAAACTCTTTACTCCACCAGTTGGGCCAATTTTTCTCCCTCTTCATTCCGTGCAGCGAGGCGGTCAAGCAGAGGAGTGTTTACTTCTGGCCTCACCGACTTGGCCAGTTCGCGTGAAGGTCGGGATATTATTTTGCAGACGTGTGTGCGATGGCTAAGGATACCGGGCCATCTCAAGCTCGTCGGGGCATGGGCCCGCCAAGACGGGTGCGTGGGCGTCAGGACTCGATGGTAGTTGGTGCAGGACGCATTCGGGGAAGATGTTCCTGACTCCTGCGACGGTAGCTCTCTAGTAGTGGAGCACCGACTGGTCCGGTTTAGACGGTATTTTTGAAGCGTGAGCGATGATGGCGCTCGTTGTTGACGTCGGACAGAAAGTATGGGAAGCGGGTATCTGCAGCAAGGGGAAGCTTAGAGTACAAGCCAACAAACTCGACAGATCAGAGAGCTCCCTGAACTCCTCGTTTGGGGAATGAAAGCTGTCCTCGTTGGGCAGGTGGTGGTGAAAAAAGAGAACGATTTTGGCATACCGCCTGTGGGCAGATCTGGCGGTGGCACCTGAACCAGAGCCGCGATGCGTTTGCACGGCAGCGTCGTCCATCGAACCAGCCTGATTTTGCGGACGTTGGGCTGGGTCGGACCGCTGCATGGGCCGGCAAGTGGAGCAGTGGATGGACAATCGAGTAGGACCATGGCGAGCTTGGAGATCGACTTTTTCGACTGCTGCTGCGTCTTCACCTCTTGTTCATCATCATTATTATTCTTCCGCGTGGATGATTGCGGGCGATGCCCAGAAGCGTAAAGCTGACCGATTCACCGCTTTCCATCTGCCGCAGGCTTGGAGAGCGGTGAGGCCGTGGGTCGTTTGCTGTTCTGCTTAGCTGAGCTTAGCTGCATGAGCCGATATAACAATAATAATACTCTAGATATTAGTTTACAATACTCTTACCGTCCTGTTAGGGCGGTCCAGTTGGGCAGCTTCGATTGAGTTGCGCACGGCCGTTGTCACATTCTATAGTGATTACGATCAGTTATTTGATTATAATTATCAGAACATGGTAAGAATAAGAATAATCATCATAATAATAGTAGTAACGATGGTGGTGATCCGTGGTGGCATCCGGAGCAAGCGAATACCAGCGCGGTGGTGTTTCCCAAGTAACCGGTGTCCCTGGCAGATGTTGCGGATGGAGAAAATCAAACTAACTGCTGACCAGGTGGGGCAGAGCAATCCCCCACTGCACATTCCGGGATTTCGCGGACCAGGATGAGGTCGGCCTTTCTAGACCGTCTGTGTTGTGTGGTGTACCGTGTACGGAGTATCTATCGATACAAGCAGTACATAGTTGTATAGGAATAGGAGAGCATAGCTTAGCTGCCTTAGCATAAGATAATTAATTAAATACTACCGTGTACAGCTGCGTATGCTAATTATATTATTGCTGCATGCTCATCCCTCCAGACCCTGCAGTTGTTGCCAGCACAATGGCACAGTCAGCATGGCCGAAATGGACCACTCATCGCTCAACATCATCGTCAGATGAATTTAATTATAGTGAATAATCTATTAATGATCAAAGAGAACAAGAAATAATAATGGACGACGAGCGAGGGCCATACGTGTCCGTATCACCGACCGGGGGCATCTGCCAGCCCTGGCAGGCCGAGTGGGCCATGCGCGGAACGAGAGCGCGTCTCCGGGTGAGGCTGCTGGCGCGCATCTGGAGCTGCAAGCCGCCATCCCATCCCCCGGGGCATTTCCACACATGGCAGCATCGTCCTGGGCATTAAACCACCAGAAACCAATAACTGTCCACCAGCCTGACAAGTGATCGTATTCGATTCTCGGGTCTTTCTCTGGCGGATTGATTCACTGACGCAGGCAGATCATGTGTGCGCGTCTGAACTGGCAATGCTGCAGCAGACCGGCGGCAGGTGACCTGGGAACCGACGAGCAAAAGAAAGAACATCCGAGGTTAGGTGAACTAGTTGGTTAGCAGCAAAGCGTCTATCTCGACGTCCCCTGGGCTGTGGCACAGCACCCGGAAGCCACAGGATTGTGCGACCGCGATTCGTTTCGCCAGGCTATCTAGACCCAACCTTTTGTGCGGAAACTGATGGACTGGCGCGGCAGCGGGCGATTAACCCTAGCAGGCTCCAACGGCGTTGCGCCCTGCGGAGCATAAGGGGATCAGGATGACCACTGGCCCCTAATTGTGCATCCGCCGAACCCATCGCCCCAGTGATCGGACGCGAGGTGACTTCAGCGTCTTTCTCACGATCGTAAAGTGACGGCTAGTGCGCTTTCAAACCGTACGGTAATCATAGAGTACAAACTACACATCCAGGACCCCGTGTGCCACTGCGTCGTCTCAAGAGGGGCTGGGGAGGGGAGATTCATCGAGGGGCGTTCAGAGGGGGACTGGAGGGGTAACGAACATCCAACAGAGAAACTGCAATACAAATCACGCTCTGTGGGAAAGCCAATGAAACTACAAAACAACCATCACGTACAATGTGGCCGGTGTCTCGGGGAGCTGAGGGCAAAAAATAAAAAAGAAAAAAAAAAAAAATAGACCAGCGATCGTAGTTCCATCAAGCCTCCGTGACGCTGTGTGTGCGACCGGGATGCGCGACAGGGCAGCCGGAGGTGACGGGCTGAGGGTGATGGTGAGGCCGAGAGAGGATGGAGAGAGGATGGAAAAGGGAACCAGTCGGACCAGTTAGGCAAGTTAGGAGGGGGTCGTAGTAGTAGATAGCAGCAGCAGCAGCAGAAAGGGATGAATGAGGGGGGGCGAGGGGCAATCACTTCTGGTGCGTGTGAACTGTGTCAAGTCGGGGGAGGCTGGGAGAACAGAGAAAAAGAGGGCTAAGAAAGGCTTGGGTGTTAATGTTCAGTTTTAACCCAGAGCAGAGGAACTCTTCTCGAGACTAGTAGTAGTTAGACTAGACTGCCATAGACTACAATATTATAGACATAGTTTAGCTGAAGGGTGCAATGAGTTTAGCTAAAGATAATAATGATGATGATAATAATAATAATAATCATTAAAGAAAGGATAGATAGATACATCTGGGTACTCCAACGACTTACTTGTCCTTGACTTGAGACCTGACTCCCTGGTACTGGTAACTGAGGTAATTAGTTAGCTCTGGGCTAGCACATACCACATGGGATATTATAGTATGGTATGGTATGGTATGGTATGGTATGGTCACGGCATCCGATACGATACGATACGATACGCAGCGAGTCCAACACCAACACCCACTGCAGGCTTACCGACTCGATGAGACCCCGGTCGAACCGGGATGACGGGTTGCAGCCAAGCAGCCAAGTGGGCTGTCGTGGACGGTCTGTTTGTGCCAGGATCGATAGTACCGCGTCCCGTATCGGACGCGTTAGACTTAGAACAAGCCTAACTTAGGTAGAGAGAGAGAGGGGCCGTTGCGGACGCCCGCGTGGAATTTCACCCCTCGGTGCGTGTGCATATCGGCGACCCCCCTTCCCCTCCCTGCTGGTCCGCCCGAAGCCCCTCCCTGGCCTGCTCCGTCGCCGCCCAGTTGGCCCCTCGTCGCTCTTCAGTCCACGGCCCGCCTGCGACTCGGACACTCGCGCTTCTTCCACCAACTTTCAGCGGCCACTTTCCCTTCTTTTCCTTATTCAACCACCTCCCCCCCCCTCTCTCTCTTCTACTCTTTCTCCATCTCTCCATTCTTCTCTTTCAACTCTTTCTCCATTGTGGTCGTTCAACACCATCCGTCCTCCATCCTCGGATCATCCCTCCCTCTTGACAGCGCTTCTTTTCAGGCCTTTTGCGCCCCCCTCTCTAGTTATCTGCTCGTCCGCCTGTGGCTGGACGCTTCCTCTTTTCTCTATTCACACCTTTCCCCCGCTCAAGGAATGATCAGACACCAAATTGACTCCACCCCGTCACTAAATCGCCTCCAGACACGGTGTGAGCGTGCTGAACGACAACGTCCCTCCGCCCCGTCGATACCGTACTGAGCAGAGCAGAGCTGTCGTGCCGTACTCGTTCCCGCACCATCTGTTGACATGGCTCCCACAGCCCCCGCCGCGGCGAGCAATTCGCCCGCCAAAAAGGCCACTTCTGCCCCAGAGAAGAAATACAAGTGCCAGTTCTGCAATCGCGCCTTCAGTCGAAGTGAGCACCGCAGCAGACATGAGCGATCCCGTAAGTGGTTTTTCTACGGTTTTGGTGGCCCCTGTGCGCCCCGTCCCGCGAAGGACCGGATATCATGACCTCCAATACCATTATATCCTTACTCCGCCCCCTTTGGTTTATGTCTCTCTAGGTCAAGAGCCTCAGGCACCGCGCGCATTGACACGCGTCAGCCTCATTGCTAACGTCACTACGCATTAGACACAAAAGAGAGACCCTTCAAATGCCTAAAATGTCGGAGTACATTTGTGCGCCGAGACCTCCTCCTCCGCCATGACCGCACTGTCCACGCCAAGGATGGAGGAATCCCTCTGGTGACTGAGGGACGCAGGCGTGGTGGTGGTGTGCAGAAGACTTCGCCTGCCTCAGGCTCGTCCAAGCCATCCATCACCATCGACCCAGCAACGTTGGAGCAGATTGAGGCAAGCAGTGATGGTATGGTCGATCTTGAAACTGCAGCTATGTTGATGACAGATTTCCAACATAAGGCCGCGGCAGCTGCTACTGGTCAAGTCAACGATCGTGCGGGATCGAATCGCTCATATTCGCCGGAACGCGGTCCTCTGCTGGAACCTTCCGTCGGATATCTGTCTGGCAACGCGACGCTCCCGCAGATGCCCTGGGACACCCTGATCTCTCCCTCGGAGACGAAGCACCACCCGATGACCAACTCGTTCGCGTCGCAAGAGTCCGCGGCCCATGGTCACCAGCTTCCCTCGATGATGGAGCGCGACGGCCCCGTCGGTGATGTGCTTGCGCCATCGCTGCACTCGTTTGTCCACTCTCTCCCCATGTCTGGCAACTCGACGCCCAATGCGCTGTCGCCGTATCCGTCCATGACGGGTCCCGTCAGCCCCGTGAACTATCGCCGGTCTCCGGGACCGAGCCAGGCTCTGACGCTTCCCAAGGCTCCCCAGATCGCCAATGATATGGAGCGCAATATCATTATCGAGCGGGTCAAGAGTGCAGATGCGCTGTCTACGCTACCAGATACCTTCCAGCTCCCCTCCACGGCTTCGCTAAATCGCTATCTGTCGACGTATTTCAACCTCTACCACCACCACTTGCCGTTCCTGCATCAGGAGTCCTTCAAGCCCACGACCGTATCTTCGCCCCTACTGTTGGCTGTTCTGTCCATTGGTGCTCTCTACACGTTTGAGCGCGAGCATGCATTCATGCTGCACGTGGGCTCAAAGGTGTTGGTGAACCAGTTCTTGCAGCACAAGGAGAACTTTGACTCGCGAAAATGCCCTCTGTGGGCCATGCAGAGCACCCTCTTGAACATGGTCTTTGAGAGCTGGAGCGGTGACCCTAAGGGCCTGGAGTGGACCTGCTCGATCAAGAGTCTGCTTGCGAACATGGTTGCCGGAAACCGATATCAACTGAAGCTGCGCACTGAGGCTCGCGGAGGTGTTGCCCCGTCGCGCGAGGAGTGGATCGAGGATGAGTCGTGTCGCCGGACGTACTACGCTGTGTACATCTTCTTTGGCATGTTGACGCTTACGTTCAACCACACGCCTGCGATGAGCTTTGACGAGTTCGACAGCTTGGAGCTCCCATCTTCGGAGTCTCTATGGAACCTCGAAGTGACGGACGAGGAGACCTGGCGCCGCAGCCTGGCCTCTTCGACTGTCGTTACTGTTCGGCAAGCTCATGACAGCCTGTTCCAGGGTGAACAGACCCGCTACAGTGCCTTCGCTACGCGAGTCATGATCAACGCTCTCTTCCTGCAGGTCTGGAGCCATAAGCGCAGCTTCGAAGCTCTGCAGGATGTCGTGACCGAGTACAAGCTTCGTCTGGCTCTGGAGACATGGGAGAGCTCTTTGGAGGTCTGCGAACCGGAGACGATAGTTGTGCCGTTGAGCACCCCTCAAAAGGGCCATCCCCTCATCTTCAACTCGATGGCGGTGTACCGAAACACTCGCGCCCGCCTGGAAGTTGATCTCAAGTCGATTCAGGAGGCGCTCCGATACCACTCTTCCTATGAAGTTGCTGCCGCTATGACCGTTGCTCGGGAGAAGGTTAAGCGCTCCCAAGAGATGAACAAGGTCATCCAGCAGTGCTTCGAGTGTATCGAAATCGCAGCCATCCAGGGCATCAACTGGGTTGCCAAAACCTCCGCGACAAACTGGAGTGTCGAGCACCCACTCTGCGGCCTTGACCTGATGGTCATTCTCAGCCTCTGGCTCTATCGCCTGGAACATGACGAGGAGCCAGCCACCGAGGCTGAGCTGGCTATCTACAACAAAGTGCGGAATCTCTTTGATGATGACTCCGTCGATGCATTCGGCAAACTTAGCTCCACCGTGGCCCGTGTATGGGGTAACATCCTAGACGGTGTGGTAGTTTGGGGGTAAGTTTGAGAATTTTATCATCTTTCCATTTTACTGCACCTAGCTGACTTGATGCGTACAGAATCACCAAGCTTATGGGTGAATCCTTCAAGCTGCACGCTCAAGCTCTGGTGGGCTATGAAGACTCCCTGGTCGCTGCCAAGGATCAGCCGTTGCAGCCGATGCCAACAAAGGGTCTCGCCAGTGTCGGAACTGCCTATTAGGCTGTCCGAACCTGCGACCTCTTTTCTTTTCGGAAACCTGGCTTCCGATTACATTTAATGACTCTACACTTCTCTCTCTCGTTTGCCAAGTCCCACGTGGAGAACTTTGTTCCCATTGTTGGTCAGGGCCCTACATTTTCCACATCAGGTTTCATCACTCTCATTTGCAACGGTTCGGCTTTTGTTATTGGGGTCATCGGCGGAAATCCGGAAGTACGGTATGGTTGGGAAGCGGATTAGCAAACGGGCTGGCGGTCAAAGGTGTCTTTCGGATTTGGGAATGGGTGTCATAGGCCTCATATTTTCCATCAGGCATCTGTCTGCTCATGGCCCCTCTTGCTGGTATTTTCCCGACTGGTCTTGGTATTTCTTCTCTTTGGTCATTTGAGCACTCGCCCGCATTATCAGGCTTTGTCGTTTTTGTTTTGGTTTTGCAAGAGCTCACAGGAGTCCGGTCTGGTCATGTTTCTGCTTTAATGGGTTGTTCGCAAACGCAACATCTCGACACCCGGCTGGTCCTGTGTGTTCCTTAATAGCGCTCTACGGAGTCTCGCTTTTTAATGCTTAGTGCTTCATTTCTGCATCTGCTTCTTAGCAGACGCTACTTTTCCACTTTTTTTTTTCCTTTGACCCCCTTTTTGCTTGATACCTTGTGCGCTATATAAGAGCCGTTCTCGCATCAATAACCTTCACGTCGCTCGCTCTTATACTCGTTTTTACCAGACCATGTTTATTTTGCTTGCTATTGGTTTATTCTGCATTGTCTAGAGTTAAACGTTAATGCCTTTCGATGCCGTCTTGCGTTATTGCTGTTATTCCCCGATCCCATCTGCAGCTCTGTTTTTAAAAATCTCGAGTTTTTATTGAAGTTCAGTCTCCTCTCCAGACCTCTTGGTCTAATCATTATTGCTTGCATATCGTGTCTTTGCTTTTTTTGCTTCTCAGCCCTGTGATTGTCTTCATGCAGCGTTTTGTGTGTTTTGTTCTGCTTTCTCCGCTTTGCCTTTAATCTTCCAGCAACACTTTGAATTGCCAGTTTTTGTTTTTGTTCTTCGTCTTTGAGCATAACCTCGTCAAACGCAACCTGTACCATAGTAGTTTGAGAGCGACAATATAAGGGATCTATTGGGGACAATTCTAGGCGCTTAATTCGTAGTCACCGTAGCTGATATGTTAAAGCTGTAGCTACAACTCAAGAAAGTCTTGACTTGTTTAAAGGCCGTCTCGAGTCAAGTTTCACCTTCCCATCCCCGGCCCTAACAACAAGTGTATACACTATTCTTCAAGATGTATGCAATTTATTTCCCATTCCGATACGTGCATTAACCTGCTAGTTTATATCACATATTCATCTCTCATCTTCTATATCTCGGATCTTGAACCCCGATCTCGATGCAGGGCACGATTCATTACACCCTAGACGTCGCAAATTCACGAGTTAGATTTAAGAAGAAGAAAAAGAAGGAAATCAATAGATCTAATTCACGTCTCTTGGTCCCTGATTGACGAGCCCAATCCATTCAGTTCAGTACGGATCTACGGGAAACTCTCTCTCACCTATTTCCCAACAGCCTTAAAGAGTCGATCACCAATATCTCCCAAACCCGGCACGATCATCCCACGCTCATCGCAGGCCTGATCAACCGCACCAACCCAGACCTGTACGCCTTCCGGCCACTCCTGCGCAGCGCGACGCACGCCGCCTTCGGAGCCCAGGACGCTGAGATACAGGATGCGCTTGACGCCCCATTCGCGCAGGAGCTGGATTGCAGCATCCGCCGTGCCGCCGGTGGCGATGATGGGGTCGACGAGAATGGCGGTGTGAGCGGCGAGTTCGTTGGGTGCTGAAGTGGTGTCGGTCTTGGAGAATGTGTCTGGACGGTGGAAGGGGAGGTTGTTGTAGTATTCGACGGGTTGGAGGGTGGAGCGTTCGCGGAAGAGACCGAGGTGGTGGACGGGGATGTCGTCTGGGAGGAGAGATTGGACGGCTGGAGGAGGGGGGGAGATGTTAGTTCTTGTTTTTTTTCTTTCTGCTGTAGAGGTTGATTGATGAAGATTGGGGAGGACGAGGTCGCGATATCCATATCCATATAACGTGCGATAGACTCGGTGCAGTATGGAACTGATAAGATGTATGGATGAATGGATGGATGTATTGTATCACTAACCATCCAACATCCCCAATCCCGATCTAAGAATCGGTACCAGAGCCAGACTCGACGGTGCCAGGCCCTCCGTTGTATATTCGACTCCAAGAGGTGTCTTATCCTAGATAATCGCGATAGTCAGCCACTTCTACTACCCCGCACGAAGGCCGAAGTTCAAGTAAACCACACCACACTTGCCTTTCCGGTTTCCGTGACGGTCAGCGTCTGGCCTAGAGCTTCACAGGCGAGAATCGTCGTGATCTCATGAACGAGGAGCTTTGTTTCTCGTGTAGATGCCGCATGGGAGCGCAGTTGCGACAGCTTCGCGCGGAGGCAGGGATGTGCGGAGACGTGGACGTTGGCGGGGAAGGACGAGCCCATGATGCAGAGAGACAGACTCGATCGGTGGAAGAGATTGTAGGACGATAAGAGGTAAATAAATCCAAAGATGCAGAATCCCAGATCTTAATCGAGAGGTGTGGAAGAGATGAGGAGGAGGAGCTACTAGTGAGTTGCTCTTGTCGGAGAAAAGAACAACGTAGGACAAGCAAGCGAATCGCTCGCGGAGGTATTACCCCAATGGATGTTATTCCCTGCCTGGTAAATAAATAGTTCTCATTGATCAGCTCCTTTATAATTTCCTAATATTCCTTTGTTGTCTAACTACTGTATCCTTCTCCAGTTCCTCTCCGGTTAACTAGTTACCATAGTTTAATTTACCCCAATACATACTCTAAGTCTAGATAGATAAGCGGCTCCACCGACGATCCAACATGTCTACTCCGAACTTTTCCTCTCTCGTTTGCCACCTTTTTCCTCAACCCCTAGGGTCTGAGGACCACCGGAAATATGCAGCAAGCCTTTTGAGAAGCGGCTGTGATCTTGCGCATCAACACGCCTTTCAGGCAATCGAGACAGCTTCCTATCCGCATTCGATCGCATTTGTTTTCCGATCGCGTGACTCGTCGCGATGGGCGATACGAGCAGCAACCAGAATGGCTCCATCCATAACAATCCCTGGCGGAGAGAGGACACAGAAGACAATGTGCTAGAAACATCGCAAAGCCACGGGCAAGGAGCGGCCGCAGAGGCGCGCGCAGCGGACGAGGCGCATCTCTCAGAGGTCGCCGCGCCGCCTCCCATTGACAGAGAAGAAGAAGAGGAGAAGGAGAAAAGGAGTATCCCGCCCAATCCGGCACGAGAACAGGGCATCCCGCTGTCTGAACTTGCTGCTCCGCCTCCAGTCTCTCGCGAGCCTTCGAGGCGACGTCCTTGGGACCACCAGGTCTCGCCGACAAGGGAGAGTCCGCCCCCTCCGGAACTGGAGCAGGCAGAGAAACGATCGTCGGCCGCTGCTCCCTCGGTCTCGAAACGTGCGACTCAGCTCTATGTTGTTTCTTATCTGGTCTTCTTCGCAATTCTGGGCACCCTGGCGCGTCTGGGCCTGCAAGCGTTGACCTTCTACCCAGGTGCGCCGGTCGTGACAAGCGTGCTGTGGGCGAACGTGGGTGGCTGCATCCTGATGGGCTTCTTTGGTGAAGACAGGAATCTGTTCCGGGAGGAATGGGGAGATAACTCGAACCCACGGACTGAGGAAGATGAAGCTGCCTTCGCAGAATGGGCCAAGAAGCATAAATCGGTCAAGAAGACAATTCCGCTGTATATCGGATTGACGACGGGCTTCTGTGGATCCCTCACTTCTTTCTCATCCTTCATGCGGGACGTCTTCCTCGCTCTGTCGAACAATCTCAGTGTCCCAGTCGGCGGCCACGTCTCCCGCAACGGCGGATATAGCTTCATGGCGCTTGTCGCGGTCATCGTCATTACCGTCGCACTGAGTCTCTCCTCTCTGATATTCGGCGCGCACTGCGCTCTCGCTCTCGACCCATTGTCTCTCACGATCCCGTTCAGATTCACCCGGAGAGTCCTCGACCCCCTCATCGTCTTCCTCGCCTGGGGCTGCTGGCTCGGCGCCGTATTCATGGCCATCTGGCCTCCAGACCGACACGACGGCCCTCCAACCCACGAACACTGGCGTGGACGCGCCGTCTTCGCCATCGTTTTCGCCCCGCTAGGCTGTCTGCTTCGATTCTACGCCTCTCTGCATCTAAACGCCCGCATCCCCGCCTTCCCCCTGGGTACCTTCGCCGTGAACATCTTCGGCACCATCATCGAAGGCATGTGCTACGACCTCCAACACGTCTCCGGCATCGGCGCGCTCTCCGCCACTGCCTCAATGACCAAATCCATCCTCACGAGCTGCCAGGTCCTCCAGGGCGTCATGGACGGATTCTGCGGCTGTACCACCACCATCAGCACGTGGGTCGCGGAGCTCAACGGTCTCGGACGCAGACGCCATGCCTATTTCTACGGCCTTATGAGCGTTGGTGTCGCGTTGGCCTTTTTGGTTATTATCATGGGCAGTCTGCGGTGGACTATCGGGTTCAAGAATCCGGTTTGTGCATGATCATCATCGTCATCATCGTCATCATCATAATATATGCATGCATACATTGCATACGTACATACACACATACATGAAAAGAAAAGTCTTTCGGGACTTGGAAGGGGTTATTGAGACGGTTCTAGATTTCAAGATCTGATGCTCATCTCTACTAAGAACCATTTCATTATCATCTTCTCATTATTTAACTTAGATACCCTTTACCCGTCTGGATTACTGGTAACTAACTATATAGTGCTAGTATATAATTGCATAATACAATAAATCCATCAATCAATCAAAGTTATTCTTGGGACTGTTCTTCTACTGTCCGTTTTCAAACCGTCAGGGGCAGGTTGAACATTTGGACTTTACGAACCAGTCAAATAAATCTGTATGGGTAAATGTTGGTTAGAAGCCACCATTGATCCGTCTCATTGAATGAACGGTACACCCTCAATGCGAATCCAGCACATGAAGATGCTCAATTACTATTTTCAGAAGTGTCTTGACAAATTTTAATATTATTATCGTTATCTACTAGTAGAAGTGAAGCGTGACGCGTTGCCTTCTCCAGTATGCTTCAAGACCCAGCAACCGCTATCGAATCTGCGTTCACTGACCTTTTTCTTTTTTTTTTTTTGATCCTTTGATAGAGTGATGGCAGAGACGACGCAATGCATTTTGCCGGGTCGAAGACAAATCCAATCCAATCCAATGGCTGGGGAACATGCAACACCAAAAAGCAAGGATTCATATGCACGTATGCCGTAGATGACAAGCAGGTTCAAATATATACACAGAAGCAACCGCAAGCCAATAGTCGATAAGGTATCACGAAGAACCGACCTTAAATGCAAATTTCCCGCAGTTGAAAAATGTTATGTCTGCTGGGAAGAAAACGCAACGCTGAGACGCTGATGAGAGAAACGAAGAACTCAATAGAATTGACGTGCTAGATGGCAGTCTAGATGGGGTGAAACCATCCAGTGCTGTGAGTCGACGCCATCTGTGAATGAGAAATATATCGTCAACTGACAGATGAGTCGTGATTAGATTCATGACGACCATGTGGCGGATATAGTGGAGGTAGCATTAAGAGATAAGCAATAGCACCGCCAGTCGATGAAGGTCGAAGAGAGTCGACGCAGACAATAGGCTCCTCTCAGTCCGGGATGGAACCATCGCAGCGGTGCCGATATCGTATGAATGGCGTAAGGGAGTATAGCAATGTTTTATCCAAGCATGATTGCCGCCAGTGCCGTACATGTCAAGCCGACGGCCATCCCAATCCACGGTGTCTGGCCCAACGTGCCTTCACTGACGGATCTGGCCTTCATGGTCTTCGTCGCTCCAATTGTCCCCGTCAATGTTCCCATCCCGATGCTGCCGCTCGACGGTGCAGGCCACTGATCAGGGACCTCGGCGAACGTCTGTGTATATGTGACCGGTAGATACGTCACCTTGCCGTTTGGTAGAACCGTCTGGGGCCAATATGTGGTCACCGAACCAGCCTGCGTGATGTCTGTCGGTTGAGCCGCAGCGGCGCCAGCGACAATCTCTCGGGCTTCCAGTGCACTGGCTCCCTCAGGGCCTTCTTCCACAACCGGTGCTGGCGTGATCATGGACGGGGGAGCGGGGTTGGCTTCCACCGCCGTAGGAGCTTCGGGGATCTCAGCTGCAAGCACTGCTGCCGCAGGAAGGAGGAACGAGAGAACGGTTGATGCCTTCATGGTGCAGGAATTCTTGACGAGACCGTAGAAGTCGGGAGGAGAGCTGCCGGATCACTACAGTCAATTCCACCTTGGGATCCGCGGCAATTTATTTATTTCAGAAGCCAGACAGAGGACCGACGTGGCCGGTGGGATGGATCTTCAGTGATCTTCGCGATAGATAACGGTGGTCGGTAGCCCGGGAGGTCGGGGAGGTTCGGTTCGGAGTCGATAAGGTCACTAACTTAACCGGCCCTCCAATGCAGATCTGCTGCACGAAACCGAAGACAGCGGATGGCCGTGGACCCGAATGTCTGTTCCAACTCGGGGATGTGTGACCTGATGTGCTCTCCAAGCCCTGGAGAGTCAATTGTTTCGCTTTTCCCTTGCGATCAGTGGCTGGGAGGGACCCGGAGTACGCCTCCTAACCGTAACTATCTAAATCACAAGGAAAGGAGAGACGGCGAAGAAACGAAGGTCGATAGTGCGAGCAGCGACAACGAACGGTCAGGGAACCGAAACAAAACCACGAGGACGGGGGGTGGATGGATTAGTTATTGGAAATGTAAGTTAATAATAAATAACAGATCAATAAGCAGATCGTCTGCTGGCTTTAGCCTGAACGAGAGACGAAATTGCAGGGAGAACAAAGCAAAACAGGAGAAACTGCCGGAAAGAGCGAAAACGAGGGTCCAGATCCTCACTGGCTCGCCCACGCCTGGAATGGGCGGCTCGAGCCCCGCTGCGGCGTCACCAGTGGTCTGTTGTTTCTACTAAGTCGGGCGGCCATTGGCTGGCGGACCATCCGGTTCGACCAGAAGTCGCCTAGTGTCCCGTTTCCGGGCATTAGTCCCGCATTAGCTCCGCATTAGTTCCCAGCCACACAAAGCTTGGCGGCGGAGCGAGCCCCGTGGGACGCCGTACGAGGAAGCTGCGACCCTGCAAGTCCCGCTGCCGATCCCGCCTGGGAAGGAGCCTTAATTGTGTGACAGCCAGTCACGAGGCCTGCAATGGCACGGGGGGAGCATACAACAGTTGACAAGAAGCAAGATAGCTCTCAGTAGTTTGAGACAAGCAGCATAAACATGCATCTGATCATACCTAATCTATATCTATGGTGATTCCCGAATTTGAACTATGCCACAATCTACCATATTATTATGGGTAGATACGCGGGTCCCCCAGTCCCTCAATCTCCCCGCCCATGGGTACAAGGTGGGGTTCAACCAACAAAAATCCCGCGCTGCAAAAGGCACTTCATGGATATAGTTACCAAGGATATGGTATATAAATATATACACACACACACACACACACACATGTACATGCACATGCAACTAACTTCCAGCATAAGAATAATACTCTTAACACTCTTTTCCTCACTCCTCAATATATCCCTCATTATCCTCCATGGGAGAGCAAAGGACACTAGGAGGGTAGAAGGAGTTTTCGCACGGCTCCCAGTCCCGGCGATGGAGAAGACACATGATCCAGATCGGATGCAGGAATTCATGATGGCGTAGACAGATAGTCAATACCTGGAAAAAAAACCATTGCTTCATGTCTCGCAGTGGTATTTGGGCTCTCTCGGCCCTCTCCCCCCCTTGCATTCCCCGAACGCCTCTTCCGCTCGCATGTCCAGAACACCGGGAGACCGACTATCCACCTTCCAGGGCCGGTATGTAACTAGCCAACGGGGAAACACAACTGGCTATGTCAGACGGTCTCCTGACGAAGAGTGAAAAAGAGCAAAATAAATATTAATAGACATGATGACGCGGCCATTTGTCTCTCTTTGTTCACAGGATGGCTTCCCAATTGGGGGTGACGACAAACTTCCCGCTCAACTGACCCATAGCCCATACCCGTTTCTCCTCTGCATCCTCGTCCTCGCCAGTCGCTGTAGAGGCGTTGGAGACGATCAGAGCTTCCTGCAGAAAGTCCACCTCTGTTGCACGGTCCAATTCGAAGCTGATTCCGCCCCAGTCAAGCGTCACCCGTCCTGAAGCATGTAGGTTCAGCTTGCCAACTCGTCCTGCGCGGAGATTCTGGTTGGCCGCGGTCACGACCTTGGCCGGTTCCCGGGAGACTGTCTTGGCTTCAATTTCCTCCACTTCCGCTCCGTTCCCCTCGATGCCAGTTCCATCTGGATGGTCGGTCTCCGCGGAGGGTTCACCACCGTCTGCGCCATCTGCCCCTTCAGCAATCAAGTTCGGGGTCATAGGAGGGAACTGAAGCAGGAATAGTTGACCAGCGTGCTTGTCCTTGGCAAGCTGCTCTTCGGTAGAGAGCTCCTTCTCTGCTGCCTCTGCTCCAGCTTCTCCGGCCTCTCCGGCTTCAACCGCAGGCTCTAGCACTGACGGCTTCTCCTCTACCGCCAGCAGGTCAATCATAGCTTTCAGGTCGTTCTCGTGGCGCTCAAACTCTTCGATCTCTTCTTTGGTTCGTAGCAGGCTGCGGGGATCCTTTGCTGCCGGGGCCGTTTCCTTTTCCTTCTCTTTGTCTTTGATGCTGACCTTCCTACGCACTTTCACTTTTTGTGTTGGGAGGAAGCCGTCGTCGGAGATGAAGGATGTCTCACCCGCTTCTTCAGCACGTGGAATGGCATCTGTCATGATCTCATCTCCATCCGTAGGTTCCTTCTTGATATGTGGTTCTGTATCTGTCGGCTGTGGCGTAACCTCTTCTTCCACAAAGAGTGCATTGTCATCACCTGCCTTCTCCTGAGCTTGACGTCGCAAGTCTGCTGATGTACTGGCGCTCCCGTCCATATTGACGCTCACAACGCGGTCTTCGTGCTCATGACGCTCAACTCGAATCGGCCGTAGTCCCCTATCCCTGCCTCGTCCAGCGCCCTTGACGGGCATTTTGCCCTTGCCCTTGGACTCATCCACTCCATCGAATTCTTCATCACTGTTCAGATTGATCTGATCGATACTGACTCGGATCCCGGAGTCACTCTCGTCGGACGATATATCACCAGCACCGCTGGCTCCGCCAATGACGGACTTACTCCGTCTGGACATAGACGAAGCTCTTGAATCTGTCCCAAAGCGACCCCCACGACCACGCTTACCTCCCAAAGCTGATCCCAGAGGCCCGCCCACATCTGAGCCCAAGAATCCACCTCGTCCTCTAGCCCCTCCCCTGCCTCGTGTAAGATTTCCTCTTCCCCTCTGAATGGCCGCCGCTTCCGCCAACCGCTCACGAAGTCTCTCTGCCTCGAGTTTCTCCATCGCCTCTCGCTCTTCTTTGCTCCTTCTACCCACCGCACGCGGCTGGTACTTCAATACTGGCTTCTGGGGACCATCGTTACCGAGACCGGAGGACTGCGCCCGCGCAATGCTTCCGCTCGGTGTGCCCTTCTTCAGGGATTGGAGACGCTGCACTGGAGGACGGCCAGAGGCGCTCGCTGGTCCTGGAGTCGGCGTCGCTCGCGCTTCAGACGTCGAGGCAGAGGCATTCTGGGGAGTGGGTTCGGCGGAAGATTCACCAGCGGTCCCCGGGCGCCGTCCTGGCGCTCTGCGAGGAGCAGCCTTAGGAGGCATGGTGGTGGTTAACGCTTCTTGAAAGAGAGAGAGGGACGAGGAACGTAGCGAGTCGTAAAAAGCTAGGCCATGAACAATTTCAGACCGATCAAACAGTATCCAACGACAATATCCCTCCTTAAAAAGGATCTCAAATCCAAGCGTTAAGACCAGTAGTTCAAATGCCCTGGTAATGACCGGAATTGATCAACTCAGAAACGAATAATAACGAAGGCGCGAAGGAGGGGGAGGGGTGACTGTCTTTGAACAGGCAAAAAAAAGAGGCGCGCGCTTGATAATCGCGAAGGCGGAGAGCGATGCGCTAGTCCCTTATCGGTCAGTTAATTACCTGACCATCTATGTCACGTGACTATGCGGGCGAAGAACATCCCACCTTGCCTGCTATGTTATTTTTGGTGGGCATGGGATAGGGCTGGAAACTGGACTATAATGAAGTGGAGTGCAGGCTTTGTGAATTGGATGATTATTGTCTTGGTAATAGTGCAAAAGGAGTGTGGAGGTAGTGTGTGAGGAAACTATGCTGCTTGAGGTGCTGTTGCAACTCCATATAAATAAAATATATCAGTTGGTTACATGACTTACAATTTACGTCCACGGTCTAAGATTGGTAGGGATCCCTCAATCAAAAAGAGAACTAGATTCAAATATCCCTATAGAACAAAGAGCCGCACAGATACAACTCCCACAAGTCACCAGTTTACCATATCTTTTTTCATATCTTTTCTTTCTTCGACCGGAGTTGCTTGCCTTCTCTCGTACGGTACATCGATGGCATGCCACAACGTCGGCCAAAGAATGAGATACAGGGCCGTTTTACTGACTGGGAATAACTTCGAATAGGAGACCATTGACAGTGCCCGGGACAGATGGAAATTTTAATACGAGAATGATGCGAAACTGCAATTAAAACGCCAAGCGGATATGACAAGAAAACAGCCCCTTGACTTCGCTAAAATGTTCATAACAAGCCGGAGAAAAGACAATATCAGACAGCACAGGTGCAAGGAGTGGCATTCGTAAAGGAGCGTCTGCCCAGAGGCTGAAGAAGAAACCTGTGGGAAGGATCAAAAGGCCAACCTGTATGGCTATACCCGCTATGGCGGGAAGCGGGATGACCTGAGGTCGGAGGACAACAGCATGAAGTGATTGATAAAACTCAAGAATGGGTTAGTACGAGGAATCGCTAGAGGAGTATAGATCGGATGATGGTGGTTGAAATGGAATATGGCAAGGTGGTAGAAGGCAATGATCTATTGTGGAAGAGGATTTGCATTTGATGTAATCCAGGCTCTCTATAGGTTTCGGTGTTAAGGCGGCGGGACAAAGCCACGGGATAGTAGAAGGAACTTCGTGTGCAGAATGTTACTTCCCAAGAAGGATATAGTAAACTGCAGTCTAGCGCTTTCGCTTCTTGTTCTTGTCTGAAGCCGCTACCAGAGGAGGCGCAGCGACAATAGCAGATCCAATTGGCGGCATGTCGTGGTTGGATTCAGTGGCCTCCATCGCTTTCTTCACTGGAACACCCATGTGACGTCCATAGCGGCCTTTGCGACCATTGCCTTCGTCTTCACTGATGCATCCTTCGATGCCAATGCCGGCATCCTTGCAACGCTGGCAAGGACGCTGGCGATCGCAACCTTTCTTGCTCTTACGGCAACGTTGGCAGCGCGGCTTCGTCGACAGATCTTCTTCATCCGCAGCGAGCTGAGCCTGAAAGTTAACCTCTGATTCAGGGGATCTGTGGGAAGGGATGGGGCTAACCATCTGGGGAGGTGCCATCTTTTGTGTGCTGACCGCGGGCACGACCTTGGGCTTACGGGAAACAACCGCAGGGCGACTCTTGTTACTCTTGATCGCCTTGCCTGTGATGGCCTTAGAGCCTGCGGATTTGTTGGTGACGCTGCTGGAAGCCCTGGTCTTGGTCTTCTTAGCCTTCGGGCCCGATTCGGTGTACAGAGCGTCGTCATCCGGCTCGCTCTTAACAAGACCTTCGTGCCCGTCCTCTTGCCGGTAGTCTTCATCACCCTCGTCTCCGCTAACATCAGTGCTGTCAAAACTGGGTAGGATGTCATCCAATTGCTTGTGAGTCCGTCTAATTGCGCCAGGAGGAAGCATTGGGCTTGACTCGAGTTTATGCTTCGAGTGTGGCGGAAGCTCAGCGTCATCAATGTCGCTTTCACCACCATCACTGGTCGCACCGGTGGACGATGCGTCAGCGGCTCCGCTGAATCCATCATCCAACGTAGACGCAGAGGTGCGACCGTGGGAGAAGTTAGAGGCATCTCCGAGTCGGATCAGCTGCATAGCGACATCCTCGTCAGAGATACAGCTTGCAATTGTAGGGTCCGGCGTCGGTAAGACGCCAGGTCCGCTTGGACGGCTCCCATATGCATAAGTACCCGACGATTGAGTTCCTGCGCGCTCGCGCAAACGATGGCCATGCTCTGGGACGATAGGTGTAGCATACATAGAATGCCGTGCCGAACCATTTCCATAAGCCTGCTCGTTATACCCGTAGCTCTGTGGGGATGGTAGGGGCTGTTGGTAATTGTAGGTGGGCTGCGCGGGACGAGCGAAAGGGGAAATGGCTCCTTCTTGGCCAGTAGATCGGCGCTGAGGGGATATAGATGAAGTAGACGTGGTGAGGGGGACTTGAGGTGGAACAAAGAGAGGCAATTCCTGTTCAGGGAATGGAGTTAGTTATCTGATGCGAGAGAAGAGGCATCAAGCTTCATGAAGCAGCAACTAACCGAGCTGTCAAACTTCGGGCGCTTTCTGCGGCCGTCGTGGAGAATATTCTCCATGCTGATATCAGAACTAGCGAATTGTTCACTCCTGGCCTTCTTCGAACCAGTGATAGACCCGTGACCGCCATCGCTGTCACTGTATCCGCCCATTCCATCGTCCTGGAAGCTGCCATGTGTGCTAGAGCCACGGCTTTTATTTCCCAGTCGGGATGTTTTATGCTGAGAGGCGCTGCGACGACTTCGCCCTGATGGAGATGTGCTGCGCTTTCTGGCGACTCTAGATGTCGGTCGAGAAGGCGGCTGACCATACTCTAGAACATGAGCTGGCTGTGGCGCCATCTGGAATGGCTCGCCCAGACTGGGACGCTTGCGACCGTCCAATTGAGCAGAACCATAGTGATGCTCTCCATAGGCTTCAGGATAAGCATGGACCGGAATCACTCGAACATACACAGTCATATTGTTTCTCAAATTCTCATATCTCGCAATGAGAGTGGTGCCATGCTCGTCCTCGAAGCTGACACCGCTCGCAGCGCCCTCATAGATACCATAGAAATTCTTGACGGTGGTCACGATGGAATCAGTGGTATCATGAGGAAATATCTGAACGCGCATGGGTATCCGAGCTCGAACTTTTGAGTTCTCATCGAGAAGAAGTTCAAATGCGACGTTCTTGGGGACAGGCCAATTAGGGGACTGGTGCTGGGCGCCAGACTGCCCATCGGTAGAAGCCGAGTAATTCTCGACAGCCACCGAGGCCTGTTGATGCCGCACACCTTGCATATTCTGGTCTTTTATTTTATTTGGGGATTGTGACTGGGGAAATGATTGTAGGACTTCTGTGCTCAAATGTGGGAGACGGCGATCCGACAATTGGCCTGAAAGCAGTTGGGCAAGTTCCATCTAACCCGCCACAACTCTCAGATCGGATCTGATCGATGAAGGAGATATCTGCGATTATTCGATGGGGTGAGCGATGGGGACTGACGTTGCGATGGATGTGTCAGGAACCCGAGTCGCAAGAGCCGAAAGCGGCTCAGGAGGAAAAGGAGAAATTGTCTGCATGGGAAAGTGACATCGTCAGTATATACAGTGATTGAATAGATCTATTGATTCGATTGCCTCGATATGTCAATGCGATGGGGCGATGAAGGATTGCTGGCTGCTGGGGAGATGGCTATGACTGTGGGCTTTCGGTGGAATAGCCGGCGGATGAGGATGGATAGCATCGCAGACTTACCAGGCGTCGATGGAGGATATTCGACTTATATCGCACTCGTACAATAAACCCGATCAAAGCGACTCATTCAAAACCAAGTGTGTGGTGGGATGGAATGGGTGGGGAGCTCGTCTACGAAGTTGTCTTCGGTCCATGTCCATGTCAGCGATGGCATCAGAGCGAGAGAGCAGCAGGCCCAGCGGAAAGGAAGAAGATGGATCGAGTTTCTGACGATGGTGCAGAGATTATGGGGATGAATACTTACCAGATCCTGGATAGGAGCAACTTCATGAAGGTCTCTGGAAGGAGAATGTTGGTTCTGGGAGGCGAGCGTTGGGAGGTGAGGAGACACAGGTGGGTGCGAGCCTACGAGGTTTCACCTGAAGCGAAAAATGGCCTGGGGCCGGTGACATGGGAGTCCGGCGACATCGAGCAGAACGGCCGGCTCGACAGGTCCCCGACATCATTATTCACACGATTTTCTACATGTTCTGGCATTAATTAACGTCTATCTATCTTTCTACAATTTTCTCTTCGTCAAGTTGCGCGAGCGTGGGACGGCGCATTACTCTTATCTGGCCGGCATCCTGAATCGCATCCAGCGGTAGGTATGCGCATGCGCTCAACACCACGAGGACCGACTCAGAACCCGATGGTCAGAAGCCCCTCCATCATCTGTTCTACAATTACGGTCCCAGGCGATCGTTGATCAATCATTTCCAGGCAAGGGACACGCAGTGTTGGATAAGAAGCGTTGTAAATCGCTTGATGATCGCTTGACTCTCGCAAGCCTACTTGCCTCTGGCGCACAGGACTATGGCTGTTCCGATCCGGTCAGCAATGGGGGAACAGCATCATGAGTGGCCGCTGTTGCTTTAGTCTTCTCAGCTTGGCCACGTCGAAGAGACGCCTTGTCTCGCCATGGCCAACTGCTTGGGTAGACCAAGTCCGTCTCCATAAACCTAAGAACGGCCCCAGAACGCTGCCTGGCTAGCAGTTTGGCAGCGATGCGCGGTCAGGCACATGAAGAACAGCAGCTTTCTGTTCAGGAGCTTGTCGAGCCAATCTATGGCCACATGTGTGCCATAAGGTGCCACCCTTCCTCCCAATTCAGAGACTACTTTTTCGCCTGTGGTCAGATATCCCAGCAGGACATAACTAAGTCCATCACGGGCCGAGCTTAGGTTAAGCATTAGGCGCTTTGGCAGCCGGGATCCTCCCTCCCCCAGGAAGCCTCCACGAGCTGGCGGATACCTTGACAACTGTGATCTTTTATCCAGATATCGCAGCAAGTCATCTAGTTTCTTGGTGCGACTCTGTTCCTTACCCGATATTCATCTATTCCCTGCCGTGGTCGGGACGTTCTCGTTTCACAATCTGCGCCAGCCGGATTCAACCCCTCCTGGTTGGCGGACACCGTATCAATCCTGGCTTGAGAACGTGGGCAAATCGTTGCATCCCAAAGTACTCCAACCACGTAGCCGTGATCGGGATTCTCACATTCCTCCTATTTTGGGGACACTGTAAAATGTCATGCAAGATCTAGGACACTTGCGCTCTGCCATGGATGAGCGAGTATCATCTCGCAAGGTCCCTGAACTGTCCGTCGGGAGGAAGTCTACGAGGGTATTTATGGTTGTAGATAGCGCTGCGTTCATGTTAACTGTGGCGCAGATGATAGTCTTGATGAGGTAGTAGAAGCTGCGAAGGGTTGATCTGGCCATGATACAATATTATAACAGATTGAAAACCCGGCGCAAGTGATGTCGTTACGTGGGAGTGGTTTATGCGACGACGTCGAACCGCCAGATCATTTCGGCTCAGTGCTCCAGCAAAGCTAATCGCATTTGTCGCGCGAGCTCGTTATTCCGCTCCAAGCGGTCGCGGAGGATTTGTCCCTTCATATCGAGCCATCAAATTGGAGACGAAAAGGCGGGAACAAGACAGCGAACAGGTTGCGAACGAGTAACCTGACTGGACACACCGAAGGTTTGCGCATATCCCGATGGCAGCTCCTCTCGGCGGCTATTCTATTTGTCCATGGGAATCGTCTCTCGAAAACAGCGTATGGAACGATTGACCCGCAGAGAGCGCCAGACCTTATTGTGCGCTCCTGTGACCCCCCGCGCCATCCTGGTGGTGCGAGGCGCCAACACTGGAGCTTTTGGGACAGTCTAGAAAAGACGAAGTGGACGAGCTTCAATGGCCGCCTCTCTTTGATAGGGACCGCTGGATCCGGCGGCCCGCAATCGAATCACTGTGGCTTTGCGACACCGGAAGTCGTCGAGGATCGGCGACAGACGGCTAGCTTAAGAGGGGTTCGGGCGCAGAACTCCTGTGCGACTTTCTTCCGGATCCTTCCAGTCATCGTAAAGGCATGAGCGTCTCGCGAAAGAGCTCTGGACGGGTGAGTAGGGACCATTATTGCCTATCGATGCTCCCCCGGACAACTGCCATGAACAGGCGCTGGGTGCTGTGGAAGTGGTCACGTGGACTCGTGTTTCTAGCGGTCAATCCCGCGTCTCCGGGCGCGTCTAATTAGGTCGACGCTTGCAGTGGGTTTCTCCCACGCAGAACATGTCGCGCATGAAAAGAGAGGCTCGGCTTATAATCGCATAGGGTGAAAGGCATTTGCGACATGTTTTATTTCAGATTTAATATGCTGATGTGGCTGGGAGTAGGAATAACATCAATTTATGGTGCGGTGGTGAGACGCGACGCATGATGTCATGTCCCTCGGCTCCCGAGAAAGAAACAAACAATGCAAATTGGAGCACCGCGAGATTAGATAAGCAGCAGCGCAACCATGCAAACGCACGGGGCACTATCCCCGTTGTGTCATGTGCCGCTAGGACCAACACGGACTAGCTTTGTTTATGTCAACAACCATGGAACGCTCGACGGTGGCAGGCGCTCTCGACAGGCAGGAAGCACGCAGGGCTGGCCATCCTGGGCGCTAAGCCCGAACGGGCCGTGGAGCTCTCCCTTGGTTGCTGTCCGGGAGAAAAGGTGCTCAGGTATCAACATAACAAATATCCCCCTCCTTCGTTCCTCTGCTCCCCAGCCTCTCTCGACATCTTCGTGAGAGAGAGACAGCATCTCTGAGTCCGTCGCTCGAAGGCTCAGCGATCCTGGTGGGACGCAATTGCACTTGCAACGACCTCGCTCGCAAGGCATCTGCGCGTGGTTGTTTTGTTTGGGCGCCTACAACCAGCAGTAAACATCTTAGCTTCTACTGCAACCCACACCGCACAATCCAATTACAAACTCGTACACGCAGTTTGTGACGTCTGGATCATCAATCAAAATGGATGCAAAGGTGAGTTACGCGTTTATTTTCATCCTCCTCCGTTTCAATCGACGTTGTCTCGTTGTCTCGTCCTTCCGATATCAAGCATACCAGAAGGAGCATCGGCGCGTCCATAGACAATCACTGGCCTACACTTGGGGATGCCAGAACATAATCTTTTTCCTACGATGCTAATAGCATGTGTGCATATAGCCGCAGCGGATCCGCGTCCGTACCGATGAAAACGCACCTCTTGCTCTGCCCGGAAAGACCATCCATCAGCGCAACAAGTCCACCCCTGCGTTGTCTGCATTGGCCCAGACTGCTGGCCTCAAGACTGGTATGAGGCGCGCTGCATTCGGTGATGTGAGCAACACCACCAATCCAGTGCGTTCTGCTAGGGACGATTCTGCCTTGGCCGGCAAGAACCTCCCAGTCGTCCCAGAGAAGGGTGGCGTGGTTATCCAGGAAAAGAAGCCCACTGTCCTGTCGCAGCCAGCTCATCGTCCCTTGTCGGTTGCAGGCATCAAGGGAATCTTGAACAACGTGGGCCACTCTAGGTCGTCTGACATTTCCGCAAGACAAAGCTCCCAGCCTACTGCGAATGCCCGGAAGCTCCTCACCAAGCGAAGCAACGCTGTCTTCAAAGATCCTGTCCCTAGCTTGCCCGCCACCAAAGAGACTGTTGAGGTGTCTACGGAGGAGGTCAAAGAGGACAACGCATCACAGAATATCGCTCCGAGTCAGAAGGAAGACACAAAGGATAGCGAGACATCAGAGACTCATGTCGAACTCTCTAGCGACGTTGAAGCCCCAGAGAAATATTCAGCTGTCCGATCTGATGGACTCATCATCGATGAGGAGGCTGAAGTCAAGATCTATGGCGATGCCTGCGGCGTGCAGGAATCGAAGGGAACCAAAAACGACGCGGCTCGCACGGCCAGCGTCGATGTGGGCGATCAAGACATTGCTATCCCTGTCAGCAAGATACCAAACGACTCGATCAATCTAGCACATGCGCGATATGAACACGGACCCGCCAACTCAGAACCGGAAGAATACTGGGACGACGAAGACGACGAGAACGAGGAGGACGATGGCTATGTTACAGCACGCTCCTACCGCTCACGTGGGGACAATACAACTGGAGGTGCAACCACTGTCTTGTTCCCCAAGTACAACCAGAAGGTCAAGCGTGAAATAGCCATGGCGAAACAAATTGTCGAAGCTACTCGAACCCAGGAGGACATCGACGACGAAGACTGGGACACCAGCATGGTTGCAGAATATGGCGATGAGATCTTTGAGTACATGAGGGAGATGGAGGTAGGTCGTTGCTGCGATTTCCTTTCTATCTTACACTAACAGCAGTGACAGATCAAGATGCTGCCGAACGCATACTACATGGACAACCAGGCGGAGATCCAGTGGTCAATGCGCTCCGTACTCATGGACTGGCTGGTGCAGGTTCACCACCGCTTCTCACTGCTTCCAGAAACCCTTTTCCTTTGTGTCAACTACATCGACCGTTTCCTTTCCTGCAAGATCGTCTCGCTTGGAAAGTTGCAGCTTGTGGGTGCGACAGCGATATTCATTGCTGCCAAGTATGAGGAAATCAACTGCCCATCTGTGCAGGAGATCGTCTACATGGTGGACGGCGGCTATACTATCGATGAGATCCTCAAGGCCGAACGCTTCATGCTCAGCATGCTCCAGTTTGAGCTTGGCTGGCCCGGCCCAATGAGCTTCCTTCGGAGAATCAGCAAGGCTGACGACTACGACCTCGAAACGAGAACCCTAGCCAAGTACTTCTTGGAGATCACTATCATGGATGAGCGTTTCGTCGGTAGCCCGCCAAGCTTTGCTGCTGCTGGCGCCCATTGCCTTGCGAGAATGATGCTCCAGAAGGGAACCTGGGTAGGTTTCTCTTCTATTACCATTATTATGCTCTCAACTAACATTATTCACTCTAGACTCCTGCTCACGTCTACTACTCCAACTACACGTACTCTCAGCTGTACCCGCTTGTGTCTCTTATTCTTGAGTGCTGCGAGAACCCTCAAAAGCATCATTCCGCCGTCTTCGAGAAGTACACGGACAAGCGCTTCAAGCGCGCCTCTCTCTTCGTCGAAGCTGAGATGAAGAAAGGTTTTCGCCTTCCTGAAACGCCCAAGGATAGCTCAGCTGTCAGTTCTGCCGCGCCGCGGACTATGGTTACTCCTGGAAGCGCAGGTAGACGGAGCAGAAGTCCTCATGCTTACATTTTTACTACGGAAGGTCACGACGCGTACGATTACATGACACTCACATGTGATATCACTTCCGGACACGGTCTCTGGGTCTTATCTATCCCCAAACTTCACTATGTCCCTTTGCAGCACCGTTCAGCATATCTTTTTCTTTTTTCCATATCAACATCAAGAGACTTGGTTCCTTTTTTTGCCAGTTTCTTGGTTGAGACCCTTTCGTGAATAGGGATGAGGCATGTGGGCAAAGTTGCGGTTACTCGATTCGCACCTCAACTGGCGACTAGTACTACCTACGCACGTCCCCGGAGGCTTTCTTGGTTTTTGTCGGCTTGTCGATCTTCGTCTCTTTTTTCTTTCAACATGTCATTCCAGCGGGTATTTACTTATAATGCCCTCGATGAACTCCGGTGGGATCTAAGTACTCGGAAGGATCGCGGATGGCTTCGGTGGAAATGGCACTTCGGGTTTAAAATGGGTGGAGTTCGATTGCTTTTGTCACGTCCTAAGGCTAGTGGGATGGGAATGATGGAATCATGATGGCTGGGAGGAGTTAATGGGCCAACGGTCTTTTTTTTTATCATGAGCTTTCCTTGTTTTTCATTCCCCTTTCTCGACCTCTTGCGTTTCCCCAATCCTGCATATCTTATCGACATCAGATAGTCATTTAGACATCCTGTTCCTCTTTACGTCGGGCAATAGCCAGCACATTATTTCTTTTTACCCTCTAATCTTTAGTTGTTCCCTACTTAGCTGCAGCTTATGTATTGATCAAGACAATGAATGATAGAATTATGGCGCTAGGTAGACATTTCGGGTAATCGAGTTGTGGCCTCGCCACGAACGTCTCCATCCAGCATCGATTGGAGTCGACTGTACGAGACGATCTGGTTACGATCTACTCCAAAGTTCAAGCTAACGCTCTGTAAATCAATACTATCTGAGTGGTGGGAACCGTGCCGCAAAACCCACCAGAATTCCAATAATCAACCCCCTACTGCGCCACTGGTTTCTTTCTCTTCAGTTAGAGTCTTAGACAGATAAACTATCTATCTCGTGCCATACCGCCGCCGTCAGCCGTCTGCCCCTGGATCCAATGCCCCAGGCAACAGACCCCTCGAAAAGGCGTTGGCGGCACGGCATCACATTATTCATCCCTCGTCAGAAGGAAAACCCGCCACCACGGGGGTCCACTTAGTGGAGTCTTGGGGTCTTTGACAACTCATCTAGCGTGAGCTTTGGGAGGGGATAGTTCCATTTCGCGGCTCTGTAGTCTGTATTCTGGATCAGGTGGCCTATTGTGGTTGAGATTTCAAGACAGGCTCGGCGAGGGGGGGCTAGTAGTTATGGCGAGGAGTACTACGTACTCTATCTGATAGTATTTTTATCGAGACGAGTTGGGAGCCTGTGTATAAATATTTGCTATCACTTGGCTACATGGTAACTGCTGGAAATTGGGTAATGAAAGACTTCGTGTCCTTAAGTGATGATTTAACGTGATTCACCCAGTGGACCAGACCCCCAACTACTGGATCAGTGCAGTATTGCGTACAGAATAGCAACATAAAATCTCCACCGCAAAGCGTTTAGAAGGACTAATCTTCAGGATTTATCATATACTAATATATTGTTTATGTTTATTCGATGGATTTTCTCTAGAAGCCTGTAATTTCTATAATTTTTTATTCGGTATTTCAAAACGAGAATTCGAAGTAATATCTTCTCTAAAAATGAAGATATATACTTCATAAGGTATATACTTTATATTTGCTCAATGTAACTCCTTCTAAATGCTTTATGGGTGAGATACTACGCTGCTAATTTGTATGCAATACAGCACTGATCCATTTGGTTTGAACGTCGCCTGTTATGTTCCGAACCTTGATTCTGTTAGGATCCGACCTTTATTCCATCAATGACGCGAACAAACCTCATGGTACTTCCTGTGGGAGAAATCTCTTTTCTTCTAGAAATTTAAGTCTTTGACCTCATTGACCATCTTCCTGTCTACGCTTTTCAATATATGCAATATGGTTCACGACACTATGTTTCGACTCCGTGGGATTAGGCAAATGATCTTTCCTCGGAAATATCCAGTAGCTAATGCCTTCGAGACGATCTCTTCAGAAGTGATTCAAATAATTCTCAGCTTCCTCTCAATTCCAGATCAAGTGTGCTTTTCAATGAGCTGTAAATTCGTTCTCGCATGTTTTCGCTCGTTTCTTAAGCGCGACCAAATGAAAACTACCAGGCTCGTACCCACGCTACGACGCTCGAGTTTCTTTCCCGACACTCCACTCTCGCCAAGGGTACAGTTACTTCGCCGGCTTCAAAATGATCGATGGATATATTGCAGTTACTGTTCGATCCTACATCCATATTCCATGTTGGGAGCTATCCGGTCCATTTGGAGACTACCTCCAATTCGACATTACTGGAAGCTGTGTGGAAAAGCTTGCGGTTTACCATATATTGGAAACGTGGATATTTGTCCATGTATAAGTATTACATTCTACGACAAACTATACCTGATCGAAGAACTGGACCGAACTGATTTCAGCACAAACCTTTACGTGAGAGGTCCATATGATAGTGGTTTTTGTTTACACCCTCCGACCAATAAGACCCCATACCCTGTCCTTTCACATCAATGTACGTTTGCAGATCATCCTTCCGTTAGGGTTCAGATCGAAACGTTATTCTGGATGAATGAAGCAAATAGTCTCCAGGTAAGTAATAAGTATAGGTCCTTAAGGTACCAGTGAAATAACTTCTACCGCATAGGTCAAAAATCGATATCAATTTGAAATAATACAGCCAACCAACTCCGAGGAATTACCTTTGAGGAATAAGGCCCCGTTGTTCTGTCCACGTATAAACCCCGGAAATTGGCTCCAAAGATTCTTTTTTGAAGCTGGCTCAAGCTTCTCTAGTAGAGCTAAAGGGTTCGAATCTTGCCATCGGTCTGGCTTCTGGGGTAGCTGGAGAACATGGACCACTGGGGCAGGGCCTAGCTCCTTCGAGTTATCTATGACTAGAGATTTAGGGGATGATAAATGGCCTAATAGAAGCTGGAGACGGAACCGTGTTTATTAGATCGATATTTCAATATCTATGTTGCTCCTAAGAGACCCGTGACCAATCTTCCTGGAGCTTAATGTTCGCTAAATGTCTCAACTCAGGATTCAGGAGACCCGGTCATGACTTTTGATGGAGGGAGAAAAGAGGAAAGGGTATGGAAGGAAGATCTAAACAGGTGATGGAGATTCTATCTAGACCTAGGACTGCGGAATCTGCCGTCACTGCGACGCGCAGTGAATACTGTCATCAACTTTTGACACTACCTCATACCGACATCATGTATCATAAATGTGATCTCGGCGCTTCATACCTCCAGAGTCTCTTTTTCATTCGATTGACATATTTCAACTATTTCCGTTGGCGTTCATCAGTAAAATCTGCCTCCTAAGCTGCTTCCCGATTGCTTCGCGATTTCTTTCCTCTCATCTCTAGCTTAGTCTCTTTAAATTCAGCCAGTTAGGTTCAATATATTTTCCTAGATTGGGCGTATCAGGTCCCGAGTTGGTGAACCTTATGGTGCAGGCTCTGAGGTTCACTACCGCCGCTGAAGTTTTCGACACTCATCTTGGGACCTTGATCACTATCTGTCCCTTTTCAACTGTCCACTTTACTGGGCGCACACTCTCATCAACTCCTATCTTCATTTCACTCCTACTCTCAACATGGGGTTTTGGGACGTTGTCATAGAAATAGCCCCTTTCTTTTTATTTATATCCATCGCCGGCTTGCAAATTGATGTGCATCAAAGTATCTCCAGGAGCTATTTGGTTGCCAGCTAATGCGTTCACAGAGTTGGACTATGAAAAGACGTATCAGCAAACTGGAGGAAGATATTCAATTTCGAAGCAAGACAGGCTGCTGTTGCGATCAGCGGAGCCAAACGGCATGAATGGTCAATGTAAGAAGATCAGAGTCTAGATCCAATCAATATCTGGTACTTAATTCTTATAGTAGGCTTCAACTCAGAATCTCAAGCGATCTGTTCACGAAAATGCTCGCTGATCTCCGCTCGCGCCGAGCTGAGCTAGCCAGCGAGGAAGCTTTAAGGTTAGAGGCAGCAAAGGAAGAGAGAGAATGACCTCATTGCTCATTCTTTTTGAGTCCAGGATATCTGCAAACATAGCTCTGAAGAAGGAGCATATGATGCGGGTGCTTTAAATACGCGTTGTATATCTTCTATATCTCGAATGTTATACTCCTGGAGATGATAGGTCCAATACCGACAAGCATATTGTAGTTCCATTGGTAGAAAATCATGTCTTGTCTGGTTGCCGATTTCGTCTCGTAAAGGACCGGCATTAGGTGGAAACGACTTCAATGTCACTGGCGGAAAACACATTTCAACTCGGCGCAGAAACATTGCATGAATGAAATAGCCCTTGAAAAGTTTCAAGTTCTTTCTGCTAAGCGACAGCACCACCATGTGGGTGCAGAATGAGTATAACCTAGCTCTATAGATTTTGAAGTCCTATTATACGGAATGAAAACGAGGAGGTAGATGAAATACCATTCTAGGAAAGACCATTTATATTCATATTGGGAGTGATTTGCCCCTGGACCAGATGGGAATAAGAGAGGAGGGGAATATGTTTCTGGCCTAACTGGGAACAAGGCGGAATTGTCGTAGGGATTGGTGAAGTTATCCATTTCGTTCCATTCAACTATGGCTATGGAGATACTTCGGTGGTGGTGCTATTCAGCGAATCCGGTGTATGATGGTATGTATTTTTGCCGACTACATCCCGCTCACGAGAATGCCGGTCCCTTTATGATTTTAGGATCTGGAAATGCGTGGAATAAGGTGATTCTTTCTCCTATTCCCGTGCTATAGGATCCTTCAGAATGTCCATTAGGTAAATCGCTGCGTATACGCACCATGCTTATTTGCCATTTGCTCTATATATCCAGTGCCGTGAGAGAGATATCTACATATGCAATGTTCTTTCCCTTTCTATCTGTTCTAACATCGCCGCATGGGTATTGTAGAAGGAGACAAACTAGATAACTGTGACGATTAAGAAGCATGATAGGTGATTCACGAACAGCTTCTGACTTCAGTTACTGATCGAGGCCGTTGAATTCGACGAGTTTCTTGACGATGTTTATGACAACCTCCCCATGGTCCTGAACCTCATCAACTGCTGGACCCAGCGCAGGGTTGTCAATCCTTGTTGCCAGGATATCATCCAACATCATGCGCAGCCTTGAGACGAGAACTCCTATTCGTGCCCACCCGCGGAGACGCAACCAGCCATCGACAATCAAACCGCGGCCCGTGGTATCTAGTGTTATAGGACCAGAAAAGAGAAGAAGGGAGTAGGCGTTGAAGGCTATGGAAGGGATAGTTAGCTCTTAACGATTCATAGAAATATGAAATATCAGAAGAAAGGGACAGAGATCGCTTACGGGTTAAGTCGCGAATGAAGACCTTGCTCGTTGCCATCTTCGCGAAATAACTGAGATACGCAGCGGCGCCTGAGTAGTTCTGAGCAGAGAAGAGGACTGAGCTGGGATGAATAAAGACACGCCCGTTCTCTTGATTGAAGTATTTTATTGTTCGTGCCTCTGGATCAAGTTCGACTGTACCGCTTACTGATGCAGCGAACTTTTTGTCCGGAAAACTGATCTGGGCGATTTGCGGATTGAAAGCTCCCGCAATGAGCGCCCGCAGAATTTTTGTGTTGCGGCCATTCCGATTCCAGCGAGAGACTGAAGGAGATGATGAATTCTCGGATTCTTTATAGTCTACAGGTAGAATGCCCACGTCTTTCAGCGAACTCAGGAACTGCGAGCGGTTGGATGAGATATCGCGAAGAGTCTGATGGGAAAGGAAGTTGGCAGCGCACCACGATTGGGTCTGCCAGTACCCTTCAGCCCTTACCCGTTCAGACCACTCTTCATACGCTGCAAGATCGGTGAGAAGGTCACCGTCTCCCCTCGAGAAGCTGGCTCTCGCAGCATTTGCCTCATCGCGATTTTCACGAGGGGAGACGAAAGGGCTCTTCACGGTTAGAATCGAGGCGATCGTGATGCAGGCATCCATACAGCCGAATACAGATCCATATACCATGAGTTTCGCGCATCGCAGATCAGCAGGAATCATGGACAAATAGCGACCCAAGGCAGTCAACCTCTGATTGTCAAGAGCTCCAATACGATGCAACAGATCCAGAGCCCCTTCCACGGCCACACTTTCCGGGGGTGTGATTGTATTGGCAAGGAATTTCGACACATCGTCAACACCTCTCATGGCCTTGACTGACAAAGCAAGCTGTTCTAGCGGCACTCGTCGAATCTCAGGATCGGGCCTGGGAGCCATTTGCGACTCCGCGTTCCTGGTATAGAGCTTGTAGCATTTTCCAGCTCTTACTCGACCAGCACGACCGCGCCTCTGTTTACAGGCAGCCTGCGATGCCCAGACTTCCTGCAACCTGACCATGTTGTCTTTCGGATCATAGCTCGTCTCTTTCACTCGCCCGCTGTCAATGACTGCAACGATATCTTCAATGGTAATAGAAGTTTCGGCTACATTTGTGGCGGCAATAACTTTCCTCTTGCCTTTAGGAGGAGCTAGGAATACGCGCTTCTGCTCATTCGGGAGTAGGGATGCATGCAACGGAAGTGCATGTATGTTTGGAATCCTCTTCACTGCAGCAAGACACCGGTCAATCTCCAATGTTCCAGGCAAGAAAATCAAGATTCCTCCAGGTTGATCGCCGAGTTCTGAGTCGATCTGACGGACAGTAGCAGCGATCAGGTCGTAATTGATACCCATCCCTAGTCCACGAAGAATCTTGCCCATCGACTCCTCAGGAGGGGCGTCATCAAAGTCGGCATCCTCTCTGGTCTTCTGAGAGTACTCTGGAGCGAAGCCTGTTTGACGGAGCACATCATCAAGATAGTAGTCTTCGACTGGGAATGTTCTTCCCGGAATAGTGACTTGACCCACACGATCATGGCCACCAAAGTAGCGAGCAAAGACCTCTGCATCCAAGGTAGCACTCATCAGGATGACCTTCAGGTCTTTACGATGCTTCAAAGCCTCCCTCAAAAGAGCGAGAAGGAAGTCAGTATCGAGACTGCGCTCGTGGACTTCGTCCACAACGACATGAGTGACATCGGCTAAAGAACTGGCAACATCTCCATCTGGGCCACCGCCTGTTTGCATGCGACGAAGCAGCACACCGGTTGTAACAAAGGTTATTTTTGTCGAGCCACGCTTGATTTTCGAATCTCCACGGATGATGTATCCGACCTCATCACCGACAGAAGAACATCGCTCGTCGCTGACACGATCCGCAAGGCCAAGTGCAGATATCCTTCTAGGCTGAGTACAGATGATATTGGCAATACCTCCGTATCCATTTTTGATCATGTCGTCCAACACAAACTGCACGGACTGAGTGCTCTTTCCACTTCCTGTCTCACCTGATATAATCGTCACCTGGTGGGTATTGACGGCTTTAACGATGGCCTCCTGCATATTCCATGCCGGCAGCGATTGTCTCTTGCGGGTCATCTCCTGATGAGCTGGATTTTGTTGTTTCTTCTGCCAAGAATCTCGAACGGAGAGGCTCTGCGGTGAGCTGGGACTCCAGTCAATGCCCTTCGACTGCTTGTTTGCTTGTCGTAGTGGAAACTGCGTGACGGCTTTCGTAGGTGAAGAAGAAGACGCAACAGCTGATATATCCCGTAGTTTCCCTGGGTTTTCTAAAATAGAAGGTAGGTTGACTTCCAACCAATCTATCATGTTAAACATCATAGGCTGTCCCAAAAGTTCATCCTCGGTGTGCTTCACGACTTGACGGATGGCGCTTAGACGAATGTATGCTGGGATGCCTTTGGCTGAGATCGACACGATTGGAGGCGAGAAAGGATAGCCCTTAGATGGCTTCTGGAACTTAAATGTTACTGTATCCGGTAAGCCCGGCACGTTTCTCTTGATCTCACAGGCTACATTCGACAACCGCTTATAGTCGTCACCGAAAATGGCCTCCAAGGTAGACTGTTCTTCTAACCAGGATTGATCATCCTCAGTCGAGTCACCATGTTGTTGTATCTCTTTCCCATGAACAAGCATGCTCTGCATGTACTCTGCTGCTACTTGTTCATTGCCACCTTTAAGGTCCAGGGCTTCGCTGCAAAGCTCGGTGGGATATCCGGTCGCAGCAAGCCTTTTGATCTTGGACTCACGGGCCAGATCACTGCTAGCGAGGCTGATACCAGCTGAATATTGCTCTGGAAGACTCCAGCGTGGAAGGTCGTCTTCGGGGACGTATATTAACAGCCACTCTAGAACCTCCTCTCGATCCTTGCACTCCGCTACTGCTTCTTCAACATGGCTGTGGCGGAAGCCTAGCCGGGTGAACTCCTCGATAATGGCTTTTCGTTGGACAGGAGGTATCTGCACTCCGTAAGGGTTCCAATGTGTATGCTGTCTGAGCAACTCCTCGATCCGTTGGCGTATCCTACTTCCCATTTCAACTTTAGGCGCTTGCGACCAAATCTTTCCTCCTTTTTGAGTGCTACCATTGCCACCAAGCCCCAGGTCGACTAGGTTATCGTTCGCGTTCACTTTCGCTTTTTCTCGCTCTTGCTTTTTCTTCTCGAACTCGGCAGCAGCCGCTTCTCGTTCCTGCTTCGCCAAGAATGGGTCTGCCTCATACATCCAACCCTTTCCTTCTTTGACATCTGCATTTTTTATATCCATAAAATCTTCTTTCCAAAGTTTTTTGTATGCCGGAGGCATCATCATATGTAAGTTGCGCATGTTGCACACTCGGAACAGGGCATATGCGGCGGCGAAATGGCGAGCTTCGAGTGCAGTTGTTTGAGGTGCCAGATGCTTGTGAGAGGGGGGTAGCTTCATGGGAGGTAGTGTGGTGAGCTCCTTCGTTTTAGGATCGACCTTTTTCAAGATTACAGCGGAGACAAACCCATCCTGGGTTTTGTTCTGTTGGAGACTCGTGGTCAGCATGCATCGCTACCCGCGCTCAACGACAAAACAGTAGATCTGACCATTGTGTATTCTGGCTTCTCCCATTTCTGCTTTTGACAGTGCTCAGACAGCATATTTACAGGGAGCTTCCCCGTCCAAGACGCCCCACCGATCATCTGCTTCACCGTCGGTTTCTTTGCTTCTTCGCCTGCATTCTGAGTCTTCGCACTCTCCGCTGCCTTTTCGGCGGCGGCTTTTGCCTGCTTCGTGCCCGGCTTCGGTTCTCCACGGGCGCCAGCCTTCTTTTTGGGACCCATTTTGGTGGCGGCAATAGTATGTGACACCCGTGGAGGAGCTATTAAATAGAGCTACCCAATCTCAATAATAATAACGACCTCATCGGCGAATATTTAAATAATAATGTCATGCCCCGGCTCTTTGGCCGCTGCCCGGCGCTAGACCATAACGGGACTGACATAGGGCTGCACGCGGAGCTACAGGTGATCCGTGCGTTCAGTATGGAGAAGCATGTTATTTATCCGCATCGATATCATGATCGATCCTATTCCCAGGACGGAGGAAACGGCTCTCATTCAACTAGCATGATAGCTGGTTACCACATTTTTTGAAGAAAGCTGTTATTGTCCTTATAAACCACAACAGCCTGTGTACTCTTTTCATAGCTGTTGCTTTCTATATTGACGACCATGACGGACGCATCCTCTGATGCATCAGACGCTGAAGTACCAGAGAAGGAAGAACCCATTGCAGCAGAGCAAACGGAGCAAAGGCCACAGAAAAGAAATGCTTGTAATTATTGCATTCTTTTACTTGTACATGCAGTTGTCCACTGACATATTTGACTAGTCTCGGAGCTCATGTCACCAAAAAACAAGCATCAGAAGCATGCCCAGGAAGATAAACCAAAACACGCAGCTAAGCATCCTTCAGAATTCAGAGTTCGTGATGCACTAGGTGCCTATATCTCGAAGCCTGAATCCTATCCCTCTTCCACTGTGGTCTACTACGACGACGACTTTGTCGCGCTTCATGATCGTTATCCCAAATCCTCTCTCCACCTCCTCTTGCTTCCACGCGATCCCTCGAAATTTCGCTTGCATCCATTTGAAGCCTTTGAAGATCGAGAATTCCTGGAAAAGGTTAAAGTGGAAGTGAAGAAACTTCGCACCCTTGCCGCCGGTGAGTTGCGGAGAAAATATGGGAAAGAATCGAGACTGGAAAAGGCAAGACAAGAGGCCATGGACGCCGACCCACCACCAGAAGAGCTGCCGCCAGGGAGGAACTGGGAAGCGGAGATCATGTCGGGAATCCATGCGCACCCGTCCATGAATCACTTACATATCCACGTTCTGTCAGTGGATCGGCATAGTGAGTGCCTGAAACACAAGAAGCACTATAACAGCTTTTCTACCCCCTTTTTCATTGATATAAATGACTTTCCGCTTGCGAAGGATGATGTAAGGAGGCACCCTGGAAGAGAAGGGTACCTAAAGCGTGATTATGTATGCTGGCGATGTAAGAAGAACTTTGGCAACAGGTTCACGGAGTTGAAAAGACACCTTGACCAAGAGTATGAGGAATGGAAACGGATATAATGCAGTTTCGTGCTCTGAGCACCATGTGGTAATAAGCATGTCATTGCAAGGTACTGGCCGCCAGCTCGCTTGTACCCTTATCATTAAGAAAGGCCTCTGTTCAAATACAAGAGGCACTTGTCATATATCTAGGATGAGACAGATAAAATACAACATTGTACATATACAGTTCCCACCCAAAAGGGAACAATGCTTTTGCCTGACCGCATTCAGCACTGGTCCACCCAGGCCAGCTATCACTGGAACCCTACTCTGAAAGATGCCCAAAGTCACCCAAAATCACCAACATTTACGGTCTCCAAGGAAAGGACTGGTCACTTGAAACCCGGCGTGAACTCCATGGCCGTTGAAACGACTAAGCACGGCTCTTGGAACGGCCTGTGCCCTTGACCTTCCTGGCCTCGGGCTTGTTGATATGGTGGGACGGAATCCACTCAGCATTGTATGTCGTCGCAGAAGTCACTGGGACATCGGATCCAGAAGCAGAACCCTGCTCGTCCACCCTCTTTGCCGCACCAGACTTCTTGGCTCCCTCGCCTCCCTTTCCTGCGCGACGCTTCTGGGGGAAGTACGGGGCGATCCAAGTGACGTAGAAAAAGTAAACGATACCACCGAAGGATGTAAGCAAGAAGAAGTAGAGGAAGATACTATTCGAAGAAATCAGCAACGACCCCGACAGGGAATATAGAGCGCAGGATAGTATCTTACATCTGCGGGTCAAAGATGCTGGTGTCCGGCTCCACAACGCTGACAGTACCATTGAAGGCTTGAACAGTATAATACCTGCCTTCACTGTCGCTCAAAATTGAGGCAATGTTAAGTCTCAGATCTTGGGGGTGCAAGTCGGTCACGAAGCTGTAGCTGAGACTCTCCTTCTCTCCCGCAGGGATCTCCACATTGTACCTCGTAGTGGTGACGTTGCGAACAATGCTGCTCTGCTCATCAAGAGTCCACAGACTACCGCCGACGAAGCTCACAGTAACAGGAGCGGGTTCGTCATTGCTGAATGTGAGCAGTGCTTGAGTTGGATGGCCATTGACCAACTTGATTCCGAAAATCTCAGAAGCAGGAAAAGCAGCCTGGACTGAGACAGACAGCTTAGGAGTCTCCGTGGGGTTTTCGACTTTCTCAGCTTCCTAGATGCCGCAGATGTCGCGTGAGTGACTGAACCAAAAGAAGCTACCAAAGGATCGCAACAAACATACCACCGCTGCGAAAGCACCTCCACAGAATGCCTGTAGGGAGAGCAAGGCAAGAGGGAAAAGACCAAAGCGACCCATTGTAGCTATAACCAGTTCAGAAAACCAATTGGGGCAAGGAAGGGAACAAGAGGGTCCAAGAAGCAGAGGAAGGGTGGATGGGAGGAAGATCTGGCCTATTTTCTCCACGTTGGCTTCTCCGTCCATTGCCTGGAGATCGCGCCCACGGCGCCAGCTGACTCAGCATCCATCCGTTGGCGCTGAAGCGCCTTCTTTATTGCATTTATGCGAAGAAGTGAATCCTTCTCTCTCCCGCTGTTTCAAAGCAACAGCAGTTTACGAGGACTGTGCTGGCCTTTTTGAACCTATCCAAAGGCTCCGCGCTTTATTTAAAGAGCTTCCGAGTGCTCTCTGCAACTGATCCCTTCGCAACCCTACCCAGAAAAATTTGCGAGAACGCTCAATATGATGTCCACAGCGAGTACCCAAGTGCTCTTTGAGCGCTATGAGCAAGTGAAAACTATAGAACACACCAAAAATCAATTAATAGAGGTATAATCCGTCACCTCCATCTCCCTCCTGCGAATCTAATCCATTCGTCTCCAATAGGATCTCCTCCAACGTGTAAGCGAGTTAGAGGAAGCCTACCAACAAGAGAAGCTGGACCATCAGCGGGAAACTCGTTTCAACCGTGATATACAGATCCATGAGATGGAATTGATGGACCAGATAACTAGAATCAAAACCATTATGGTATGTTCGTTTCCACTGGTAAGGCGTCTTGCAATTGCTGATTGAGCTTTCATACGTAGGACCGTGAAGCCTTTGTCATTGCGTTCCTTGATGGAGATGGCATGATTTTCCAAGATTATCTCCTTCAGCAAGGAGAACAAGGCGGGAGAGATGCTGCAAACCAGTTATGGGCTTGCCTCCGCGATTATGTTACCCGAAACCTTCCATCGATCTCGTCACCAAAGATAATCACGAGAATATTCGCCAATGTGCAGGGACTTGCTGAGACATGTGTCAAGGCAGGGATTATTGAAAAGGCTTCTGTGTTCCAGGATTTTGTGCGTGGATTCAACGGCAGCAGACTCCTTTTCGACTTTGTCGATGTTGGAACTGGCAAGGATAGGGCAGACGATAAGCTTGCAGGTAAGTTTTGCTGTTCCATTCTGAACCCTGGGCGCTTCCCTTGCCAATATTGTGCCCCGCCATCAAATGAGTTAGACGGGGGGGATTGTACTAATGCTTTTCGTAATAGAGAATTTTAAGCTTCATTTATACAATTGCCACTGCCACCAGATCTTCCTGGGTTGCTCGCACGATAACGGATATGCACGGCTACTAGAGGAAACGTTGGCAGACAGGGAGCTTACCGGACGTATATCGCTCATTGAAGGAGCTCCGTTCGAGAGGGAACTAGAATCCATCAAGTCTTCTTACAGAGTGACCAAATTCGCCGACTTATTCAGAACCTCTAAGATAGTCACACATGCGACGAATTTGAAAGGCACAACATTGTCCGCTCCACTGGCGGTCCGCTCGCCTAATCCACCAGCAACGACACTCACACGGACATCTACGAACACCACGTCTTCCAGCGCTACTGCTACAACTTCCTGGGCTTCCATCTCTGCTACACCTGGAGATGTCAAGATTTCCGCTTCCAAACCATCTACTCCAGTGCCGACAGTCGAAAGAAATAAATATGGCCAGCGAATCGACCGTCTAGATTTGAAAAACATTCCCAAAGAGGAATTGAACCGTGTCAAAAAGATGAAGCTGTGCAACGTCCATTTTCTCCTGGGCGAATGCCCGAATGATGAGAATTGTTACCACGATCATACTCACAAGTTGACCAAGAGTGAACGGGTCATCCTACAGGCTATTGCTCGTATGACCCCTTGTCATTATGGACCGGATTGTGATGACCCAAAATGCATCTACGGCCATCGTTGCCCGCAAAGCGAAGTAGGCAAGAAGGAGTGCTTTTGGGGCTCTAACTGTCGTTTTGACACTTCGGCACATGGAATTGACACCCAAGTTGTCCGTGTCACGAAGGTCTGAACTACGGCGCTTACTGGTACTTGGACCGAGAGCGCCAATAATTTCTGTGCACCACAACCTGTTTGGATTTTTGCCTTTCTCAAAATTATTACACGATATCGGCTGTCTCCTGAAAAAAATGTATAAACAATAATTGGGAGACGGAGCAGACCTGTCTGCAAGTTCATACTTCTCACTCCATACTGGCATGGGAGGCATGTTATGCACAACTCTGGAATGCAACATATGGCGTAGCTACCATCAAAGACCCATCCTACATATCGTTTACAATATCGTTTACATGAGTCTGTTTTTGCCCTCTGCTCTGAGCGAAGTACATAACATATTTGTATATTTGTGTCGTTTTTAGGTCTACACACCGGGTACTCAGCACAGAAGCATCTTGGTAGATTCTTATCTTTGAGAATGTTTGTTTAATATGCAGTAACCATAACATAGGATTATCAAATATAGATTTCTGAGATGCTATCCACATGGGTATATAAGTCCAGTCGCTGAAGAGGAAAAGAAACCAACCTGCCATCCTGAATCCATAGCCAATAATAACGCCCCCAGAATCCGAAGGAAATACTATCAGAGAGCGAGACTCTCGCCAAAAAAGTCTACATGAAATGGCTTCAAGCATTAATTGTCGTGCCAAACATGTGGAATCTCCTCTCCCAAGCGAGGGGATCCACACGACCAGCGCTGTCCTCGTCGTCACTCATTGCATCCGAATTATGTTCTTCTCTGCTTCTGATGCCATATTCTTTGATACAGCATATGAATGGCTTTCCAGAAGGATTTTCTAGACTCTGAGGGTCTAGGCTCCCATTGGGGAGGGCTCTTTTCTTCTCCTCTAGATCTGCCCAGAGGTGAAAGAGCTTCTCTCGAAGCTCATCCAGTCGGGTTTCATTCTTCCTCAGGCTAACGGAAAGACATTGAGTCAGTCCTGTCCAAGATATAGATTTGAGATGGCTGGCGTGAAGGTGAAACACTTACTCGGTAGCGTCTATTTTCAACAGATATTCTGCATCTTTCCCGGAGACATACAGTTTCATTCTCTCCTTGGGCTGCCCACGAGGAACGGGCTTGCCATCCTCTACGAGCAGGCAGAAACGCCACTCCCAGATGCGCCGACGGCGCGAATAACCGCTAGTCATGACTGCGTCTCCTTCGCTGTCTTCACTGCTAGTCCCTGATTCGGAGAGAATATCATCTTCAGGATTGTAAGAAACGGCAAAATCCTCTAATCTAGGCGGATAGAAGTCGACCACACGGACAACGGCTCTATAATTGATATTTTGAAAAGGAAGGCGATACTCATAGCCTCCAGGGGCGTTATTGAGATGGATTTTGCCGTCTAGTATCTCTTCTAGCGACCGGCAAGGGATAGCAGGATGTGCTGCTTGAACTGCAGTGGAGTCAGGAACAGAATATATCGGAGATGGCACTTTCTGTAACTCACTGTTCGGGTTCAGTTGGTTCCGCTTTACTTGAGAAGGTGCGGGTGCTGAAAATTCTGAGATCTCAACTTGGCCTTCTTCTCGTCTTACTTCCTTTTTCGGTTTTTCTTTTTGCTGCTTTGCAGTCTTCTTGGAACTTTTCGCCCCATCATTCTTCTTCTTATTGCCTGGGAAAAGCCGACTGATTCGGGCATTTCGCCAATATTCCTTCTTTCGTCTCACGAGTTCCGCGACACGCTCGTCATCATCCAGATCTACAATACTGACGTTGATTCTGTGGGGATGTAGTCGGTTTGTATGCATGCTGCCGTCCAGATTACCGTTCACACGGTGATTTTTAATATGGACATTGCTCATGAAAATGATGTCGCCTTCCTTAACATTATTCTGTGCGAAAGATGCGTGCGGTTGCCAAAGTGTGACCTGTAGAGTCATCTGTCCAAAGGGACCATTCCATTCTCTCTGTCGACGAGAGATGAAATCGCCTCCATCACCATCGTCGGCTGAGGGGTCAGGATAGTCGTATAGTTCTCCATGTGAAGTGTAGTCTGTGACATAGAGGATGAACTTGTCGTACTCGCGCCATGTCTTAACCACTTCGACAACCAGATCAGCGAAGGTATGAGCCTTGACATCCTTTATCAAGGAGAATTTGTCTCGCGGTGTAGATGGCGGTGGTTGGCTACGGGATGCGGATACTGTAACGGTGCTGGTATAGTTGAATGCCTGATCTGGTGCACTCGATATACTGGCTCCTGCCCCAGGAATGCTGTTGAGAAGAGCATGAGAGTATGCCTTCTCCTCAGGCGAGGGTTCCGGGGCCTTACATCCGCGAATCACGAGTGCATTTGTCTGGCCTGCCACCTTCCGACGGAATATTGTCCATGGGATCTTGTCATGCTGGGCTGCTACGCCAAGGAGGCTCCCCCTGAAAAGACGCATCTACGCAGATGGTCAGTACCAGCAGTATGCCAAGACTAGATATGAAAACCTACTCGTATATTCCGCAGAAGAATTACATCGTGAAGTTGAAGTTCAGGCAGTAAAGACTCGTCATCATTGAAGTACTTGATTTTCAGTCCAGACATAGGATTGCCATCGATGTCGCAGTCTTTAATAGTAAAGGTCGTCACGAAAGACGAGCCGCCCGAGCGCGTCTTGGGCAACAGGTCGACTACCACCCCAATGACATGAATGTATCCGTGGGTTGCTTTGGCCGTATCAACATCAATAAACTTTGGTGGCAGTGACGATGGCATGACCGCTTCTGATCGACGCGCATCCGCGTAGGAAATCCCAGAAAGGAGTCGGATATCAAGGGAGAACAAAACGACTAAGTCACCACGAAAGAACGGCTGACGTTAAGAAGCTCCTCAGTCTATAGCCAATGACAACGCACAGTGAATCAAAATAAAAAAAACGTAGTGGCCGTATCCAAGGGAACAGAGTCTAGTGAGAAAAGTAGAAAGAAGCTCAGGCCACAACTACGAGCCAGGCACAGCACGAGGAGCGGAAGAGGCTGCGCGAAGACGAGCCAAAAAGAGAGTCGCTCTTGCGACAGCTTTTATCTCATCGCCATCGAAAAAGGATTCATCTCCGAGGCAAATCTGTGAATTCACAGCTGTCGCGCGTGTAGAGCCGACCCGCGCTAACGTCGCTTAGGCGGAGAGTGGCGCTTACGAGCAGGCCGAAAACAGCCCCAAAGCAAATCACCCCCCGTCGAACCCAACCCACCTGAAAAGCATCAACACTTTTTCCCCTCCTTCGATCCTGTCTGCTTCTTCCACTCCCCGATTTTCTCCTCCATCTTTGGGCTTGCGTCCCCTGGGAACTTCCTTTTCCTACTAAGTCACAGATAACCTATCCCGTCTGCACGCAACAAGCAACCATGGCGGAGCGTTACATCCCAGAGCATCGCCGGACTCAGTTCAAGGCTAAAAACCAGTTCAAGCCAGATGAGCTCCGTCGTCGTCGTGAGGAGCAACAGGTTGAGATCAGAAAGCAGAAGAGAGAAGAGAACCTTGCGAAGAGGAGAGGTATTCAGACTAGTGATGGAGGCATCGGTGTTGGAGGTGGGATGGTTGCCGCCACCGACAGCGATGATGAGGCGGGCACCATAGAGAGCGAGGTATGCGGTGCTATCTTGGAACATTCCCTTTCCCTGCTTGATGCGATGCTTGTTATGCAGCTTGGTCGTGCATGGGATTATCCATCATGTGTCTTTAGCGAGGAGTCGATATCTGATCGACTTTTTCGTGCACACGACACCTTCCCCGCGTTGAGCTAAAAAACCGTCTTACGCATATGTCATGAGTATCTTTGCTAACGTTGACCGTGTCATAGCTTAATGTCGAGCTCCCAGAGATGGTTAAGGGAGTTTTCTCCGATCAGATTGAGCAGCAGATCCAGGCGACTACAAAGTTCAGGAAGCTGTTGTCAAAGGAGCGCAACCCCCCGATTGAGCGCGTCATCGAGACTGGTGTCGTGAGCCGCTTCGTAGAGTTCCTCAGATCTCCTCATACCCTGGTACAGTTCGAAGCTGCCTGGGCTTTGACGAACATTGCCTCCGGTTCCGCGCAGCAGACACAAGTTGTCATTGAGGCTGGCGCCGTTCCGATCTTTGTCGAGCTGCTGAAAAGCCCGGAACCTGACGTCCGGGAACAGGCCGTCTGGGCTCTTGGAAACATCGCCGGTGACAGCCCCCAGTGCCGTGACTTTGTTCTGGGCGCTGGTGCTCTCCGTCCTTTGCTGGACTTGATCAGCGATGGTCGCAAGCTTAGCATGCTGCGAAATGCTACCTGGACGCTCAGCAACTTCTGCCGTGGCAAGACCCCTCAGCCTGACTGGAATACTGTAATTATAACACCCATCCTTTTTCTCCACTCGGTTACGTTTCTAACTTGGATATAGATTGCCCCTGCCCTCCCCGTCCTTTCCAAGCTTGTGTACATGCTTGATGATGAGGTCCTCATCGATGCATGCTGGGCTATTTCCTATCTGTCCGATGGCTCCAACGACAAGATCCAAGCCGTCATTGAAGCCGGAATTCCCCGCCGTCTGGTTGAACTCCTCATGCATGCCTCTACCTCTGTCCAGACCCCAGCCCTTCGCTCCGTCGGTAACATCGTGACCGGTGATGATGTTCAGACGCAAGTGATTATCAACTGCGGAGCTCTGCCCGCTCTGCTGTCTCTCCTTAGCTCTACTAAGGACGGTATCCGGAAGGAGGCTTGCTGGACCATATCCAACATTACCGCTGGTAACTCCGTCCAGATCCAGGCAGTTATTGACGCTGGCATCATCCCTCCTCTGATCAACCTCCTGTCCAACGGAGACTTCAAGACCCGCAAGGAAGCTTGCTGGGCTATCTCGAATGCTACCTCTGGCGGTCTGCAGAAGCCCGACCAGATCCGGTATCTGGTCTCTCAGGGCTGCATCAAGCCACTGTGTGATCTCTTGGCTTGCCCCGACAACAAGATCATTCAGGTTGCCTTGGATGGATTGGAGAACATCCTCAAGGTTGGAGAGATGGATAAGGAGGCTGCTCAGCCTGGAGAGCCAGCTGTGAACCGCTATGCTCTCTTCATCGAAGAGGCTGGTGGCATGGAGAAGATCCACGATTGCCAGAACAACGCAAACGAAGAGATCTACATGAAGGCTTACAACATCATCGAGAAGTACTTCTCGGATGAGGACGAGGCTGCTGGTGACATTGATGAGCTTGCTCCTCAGCAGACTCAGACCGGTTTCGCTCTTGGTACCAACCAGCAACAACCTGGTGGCTTCAACTTCGGCAACGCCGGTGATTCCATGGATATGTAAAGCTTGGGATCCCTCTGAAATGACCTATATTTCTTCCAGTTAGGGCCTGTGCAGTTACTGCCGGCCAGCGTGTTTGGCCTGGAGATACTTTCAAAAATAGACGCCTCCGTTATGATGTACGAATACGTGGGTGTCTAGACGTCTGTTGCTGTCATCTTGGGTGATTTATAAAAAGATGATTGTACTCATCTCCCAGGCCTGGACGCTTTCTCATCCCGCCGGCCACTGCCATTCTTCCACATACACTTTTGCGGCGTTTGAGCATAGGCCCGTATTTTCTGGCTTCGGATTCATCCTTCCACTCGAACCCTTTACCCCTGCCGCGAAGCTCTTCGTTCACGATAAACAAGATTCACCGTCATGTAATCCCGATTTCTCACACATAGCACAGTTCTAAGCATCCCCCATACACAGGCGTATTTCCATTTCTAGCTGGTTCTTTTTTTCTTCCCCCTTTTCTATTTCCCAAATTATTTCCCCCTGACAGTAATGGGAGGGCCTGTGTCCCGTTGTGGTGGAAACGAGTACCCTGCGTTGTGCTTCTTTCCTCGGCTTCTCCCCTGGCTGAACATTCTTTCTCGTTTTCGGAGGTTCTATTTTCTATCCATGTGCCTCAGAACGTTCGCCTGACCTGTCGTTGGTAAGAGAACAACTGAATTAAATATCCCGAAGACTACCCTAAAAGTATACTTGATTTTCTGAAAGCAACATATAAGCTATTGATGACCCTGACCTCGACCCCAGACCTGGTGACGTGAAGTGTATGATTTATCTCTAGCGGTCTAAGGACTTAATGTGGTAGATTGTTCCCAATATGCGCTTGATTATCCGATAGGAAAGCGTACTATTACATATACACCTTATATGTGGCCTTGAGTCTAATGCCCCCCTTCTCAAAGGACCTCACATGCCCTACTCGATCATAAAATTCGTCTTCCATCCTTGTGACCGAGTCTGGACTACAGTATAAACCCCTAGAACCTCTTCCAACGACAAACAACATGCCCTATGTCATTAGTTGGAAACCTCCCGATCCCTTCCACACAGAGGAGCATGCTACGGATTGGGAAAGAGAACAATCCACTCTATGATATCTTCGCCAATATCCGTAATCCTCTTAACGCATCTGACGCTATGAGAAAGGCGGATAGTGCAGGTCGGTCATACATATCTGGGCACTTATTAATCGCCTAACCAGTGCACAACATTAGGTATGTAGTATCCTTACCTCCATCGTCAAATAGTCTTGGCTCAATGTCTCTCTGATGGACCTCAAAGAAGAGAGGAATAGCAGCAGCGTTCAGAAACTCCCTCGGTGCCTTCTTTTTTTCTTTTTTGCTGTCAGTTATTACGCACATAGCTCGACATCAGTTGGTTGTCAGCAGTTGCGCTATCTGAGAGAAAAGACACCCCGCTTAAGTTCGTATTAGACGCCAACTATGTTCAGCATTATTGTTACGTGACTAGTTATTGGGAATTTGGCTCTAGGCTGATCCGATGTAGTTGAACTTATATGGACTTTTCCACACTCTATCACATCCCGAATGTCATCGATCATTTGTAAATCCACAAATATGGCTCATATATAGCTCAGTATTTCCTTGTAAATGTCCTCACAGATGTCCATAGCCAGTTTCGGGAGCAGCCTCCAATTCATTCTCTGCCGGCCACACAGCTTTTCCGTTTCTCCTCAAAACAGAGTCTGACTTGACACCGGCATGGGTAGATTTCACCAGCTCCCATACGTCTTTTTCCAGGGGTATATCCGTGGCACGCGGTATGGGTCCCGTTCGCGAGCCGCGTCGAATCTTTATAACAGAAAGTCAGGTGCCAACCGTCCGGATCTTCCTGGTGTCTACCATTAATGCTGGCAGTGTTGTGAGATCCGGACCTGAACCAGGTGTACTGTTAGCTGGTGCTTCGACTATAGAATATAATGGTCAGGTGCTCCGCTACTTATGCCAAGGACTTAGAAAAGCATAACACGCGTCGTGACTGCTTTCCATTATTAAAGAAGTCGGCGAATTTCAAGGATAAATCAGGATACATTCAATCGTGGAACGTTATGAATTTCTGCTTATACCATCCCAGGCTCTTCTTGGCAAATTCCTCGCGTCTTATAAAGTTAGCCTTCTATCCTAACTGCACCATACACGCTACCTCTCGAACTACACTAGGTTCGAAATCGTATACATCTTTCACCGCCAGGATGGAATCAAAAGTTGCCATGGAAAATTATGATACTCAGCACAAAATCGAGTACATGCCGTATGAGGATGTGGAGAAGCTCGAACGGTATCGTCCCGGAGGATACCATCCGGTAACTATCGGAGAGCAGCTGGATGGTAGATATTCGATCGTCCATAAGCTTGGTTTCGGTGCGTACTCAACGATTTGGTTAGCACGGAACCAGAAATCCGGAAGATATGTCGCTATAAAGATACCGGTCGCAGCACATGATCCTATTGGGACGCGAGAGACTGATATCCTACGCCGGTTGAATAACACAGGATTGGAAGGGAAGGCTCATCCCGGGGCAGCATATATTCCGTCAATTTTAGATGTCTTTTCTCTCTCTGGGCCTAACGGCGTACACCATTGTTATGTAACCGAACCTGGAATGATGAGTCTAGCAGAAGCTAAAGATGCCTCCTCTATTCGCCTCTTTCAGCTGCCTGTAGCTAGGCGTATGGCTGCCCAACTTGTCCAGGCAGTGGCATTCCTGCATTCCCAGGGTATTGTTCACGGTGGTAAGTTATCCTCTCGTGGTGTTCCGATCTCTCTCTTCTCCTTTTATGTACCGGATGTCTAATATGATGGATCACTGGCAGACTTGCACGATGGTAACGTCTTAGTTCGTCTACCTGGAAGCATGGATTCTCTCTCGCCGGAACAGCTTTACGAAAAGTATGGATCTCCTCAATATGAGCCGGTCGCGCGTCTAGACAAGTGTCAACTTCCCCAGGGGGTCCCTAAAAATGTTATTGTGCCTATTCGGCTAGGGAAGGAAAGCGAGCTTGTTACCTTATCAGAAGCTCAAATTATCCTTACTGACTTTGGCGAGTCTTTCATGCCAGCTGCTATAGAGCAGCCTTACTCCAATGCACCAGAAGTTTTGACCCCACCAGAGGTCTACTTCGAAGAACGAAAGTCTTTTCCTGCTGATATCTGGACACTTGCGTGCACGATTTGGGCCATTATAGCTCAATGCCCGCTTTTCGAGGGATACAATCCGTCAGCCGACTGGGTAATAAAAGAACAAGTTGATTGCCTTGGAAAGCTACCAGCGCCGTGGTGGTCGAAGTGGGATGCTCGTGCAAAATGGTTCAACGAGGATGGGACAAGGAAAATCGAGGCACATTCGCGGCCATTGGAGCGCCGATTTAATGATTCGGTGCGGCTGCCAAGGCAAGAGTTTAGGATGCAGGAGGTGGATGAGATTGAGAAGGCTGCTTTGCTCAGCATGTTAAGGGCTATGCTTGCGTTTAAACCTGAGGAGAGGCCAACTGCGGACGAAGTTTTGAACTGCGAATGGATGCAGAAGTGGGCTCTTCGTGAGTTTGCCTAAGTCAAGGGCGACTAGGAGGCCCTGTACTCCTTATACATAATATCATATTTATCTCCTCCTGTCTTAATGGAACCGCCGTCATGAGAGATATGACAGTAATGCCCCCCAAGCAAGCACTATTCCCAAACTACATTCCCTGGAACCGAGCCGTTGGAGTGACTACAGTTGGAGTAACTATAGTTGGTACCCCGCAAATCTTCCTAGACCTGGAGATAGAAACAAATACACATCATCATCTCTTCTGTCACATTATTTTTACCACGAGATGGCAGGTGCTCAGTGGATCTTGAATGAACTTTGTAAGCATTAAGATTGGCCTTTATACTCTGAGATACCTGTATTCGAATCGATTCGGAAGTCTGATGAAGTAATCTCCGAACCTCTTCACTGTTTGTGACTATGATTAGGGGACCCAGGTAACAACATATAATGGTTTTGGATCTACATGTCCTCGCACCCCAGCCCCCAGGTATGCTTTAGATAGCTTTGATACTTATTATTAGCGCAGGACCTCTCATTCCTAACATCTTTTACTAGATCTAACACATTATCTAACAATGATTATAGTTATAATGATGCGCCTGGTGTATTGCAGAAGACAAGCATATTATCTTCAAATAGTAATTGCTGGAAAGCAAACTGTAATACACTAGTCTTATGGATACACGTGCACAGGACGCACTTCTTAGGAGACTCTGCACTAAATCAACGCATTATCATTTCTGAAGAGTTGTTCTTTCCGATGCTGTGTTATTATAAGGCGCAGTAGACCTGCAGATTAAGAATGGAGTTCTGTTTGGTCGATAAGAAAAGCTTGGTTCCAGATTGTGTCAAACTGCATTTTGGTGGAAACTTAATCGTTAAGACCCAGTCTACTAGTATAGCATTTATACCATTGGATTTGTTTCTCCCTGACGTAGTAATTTCTCTGTTATCCAGATAACTGAACTGTAACTATAGGCACAGAGCACTAACATAACTGGGACTTTGAAATGAGAATGATAGAGAGATCTGAGAGAGAAACAAGCTAAATGGGGAAGACGATATCGGGCGGTGATTACAATAACAGCGTACCTGGAGACTACTTATGCCGGAAATGGGAAAACTAATGGCAAACAGGAAAGAAACTTTATGCACACAACTTTCGAAACTACATTTTCTCTCGGAGTGAGACGTCCAAAAAATACATCCATTTTACTTACTTTTGATAGTGTCGAGTTGCGGATCTTGATTGTTAACTACAATGAGGTATATTCCGAGAGGAAACTATGAGGATTAGAATAATTCGATATCCGATATCCAATCCGGCTACCTATATAACCTCTGGAAATATGGGAGGAAGCAGATAGTATATAGATGAGTTTCTAATAGAAAAGCCGGTTGGTTGTTTAATTCTAGATCTCGGGGGGAACGGGGGCACAGTATTGATATTCTAATTAGCGATAAATTCAGATTTTGGATTTAAGTACCAGGCCAAATGGATGACTGACACGGTTCACCACCTTGCGAGGGCTACCTGACTGCACCTTACTTACGGGGGGGCTACTACGTACTTACTCTAGACTTTAAGTACCGCCCTCAATACAGAAAAGCGAGTCTGATGTTCTTGATTGTCTAGACATACTAGCCATAGCCAGCACTTTAGATATAAATTTTCTACAAGCTAGTCTCTGTGGAGTGTCCAAACCGATTCAGAGGGTCCAAATATGTTCATGGTTCAGAACATTACAAAGTTAGAAGTATGGCAGTAGCAACTCGGTCCATCCATCCAGCAAATACATAAGATTCACCCGCCGCTGTTTCAAATAGGAATCACATATCAACATAAGAAGGACCAGTAAAGATTAAAAAGGTTACAGAAATGAGAAAAGGAGTTGAGACTAATCGCCCATGACATCATCCTCGTCAGGCGGCGGACTCAATTCTTCGTTATCATCCTCACCAGGTTCTGGTTCCTCATCTTCGACAAGTTCCCTGTTCCGTAGATCGCCTTCGTCGTCTTCTTCCACCTCCTCTTCTGGTTCCTCTTCTTCGTCATCTTCCTCAGCTACTCTTTCGGTAGACTTTACTTTGTCGGAGTCCTTGTTAACTCCAGTGTCAGCCTCCTTCTCCGTGGATAGTCCTCGGCGAGCCTGCTTGCCCCCGTCCAGGAACGCAAGAACCTCTTTATAATTATGACCTAGACGGGTCCTATTTTTGAGTAGCCTCTGTTTGTATTGTCTCGAATCGATGACGTGTCCCACCATTGCCAGGACAATCTTCCCTGTTAGCTCGCATAGTTTCTGCTCAGCAAGGACACTGGCAAGGAGTCGATCATCAACTTGTTGTTCCTCTGCTGGGTCAACCGGTGGACGATCGATTTCATCGTCAGAGTCCAAGGGATCATCATCCTCAGCTGGCTCAAGCGCTTGACGCGTTAAATTGGCCAAACTGCGCTCCGCGGAACTATGGATGCGGAATATAAGTTTTTGAGTTTCTGGCGCAATTTCGTGGACCAGACTTTGTTTTTGTGCAATAACCTCCTCATCGATGTTCGAGGCTTCTTCACCACCCTTACCTGCCCGGCGGAGGGTCGCGAAGAGGATATGCACGTCGAGAAGAGTTACAGTCGCCATGAAGCGCAAGTCATCCAGACCACCCCGTTTCCGCATGATAGATGTGAGGGTTGCGACAAAGACCTCGCGACTTTTAGCGAGAGCCTCAAAGAAAGCCGTATCAAAGGCAGCGCTTCCCGAGTTTAGAGCTGCAGTCAAACCCTGTACCTTCCACATGAAGTAGAAAAGAAGCGTTCTGATGCTGTCGGAAACCAACTCCTTCTCCAGCCTAGCTAGTTCCTCTTGGTCTTCGTCATCCTCATCTGCATCATAAGCGCTCAGTCCTCGTTTTGCGAGATGGATCAACGTATTGAAAGGTGCCTCGGAGCGGCCTTTCTGCTTCTTCGACCTCGAAGAGGGAGGAGTCTCTAGAATGCTCGTGCAATCAGTTATACTGGCAAGATTTGCTATCCTCGCCACGGTGTTCGCGAGCCCGGTGAGCGTCGAGCGGGAAAGAGCAGCTCCTCTCTCAACATCCTTCTCTCGTGACAGCGCAGCAAGCGTATCGACCATGTCATCCCACAGTTCCTGAACTTTACTCTCCATGATTTCTTTCATTTCATCAGATGTTTTTGCGTGTAAAAAGGCGACTGTTGCCTCAGCGAGAACCTCATGATCAGAATGCGTCAAGAACTGCTTATTGATATCATTCAGCAATGAGGAATAAGCGGTCGCGTCTTTCTGGAAGTCTTGTATCTTGTTCAGATCGACCAAGTGTTCTAGGCGCAAGACGGCTGAAGCAGCTTCTGGGACGGCACCGAACTTGTTCAGGAGTCGTGGGATAATCTGAGCTAAGTCATGTGCGATTTCTTCCTGCATTTCTGGTATCTTTTCCTGCTGAAGCTTGGACTTGCGCCCTCGTCTATCGCTCTCAGCCTGGGCAATTTCCAGTATTCGAAGCTTGACTGCACAACCCAATACCCCAAGCAGTATCACCTCCTGCCCTTCTTCGAGTTTGTACAATTTTTTGATCGAACCAGCCGTATCATCAGCATTCGGTTCATCGGCGATCTGCGAGTGGTCATAAAGTAGATATCCGGCCAAGGACTGCCATTGTGCGAGTTCCTTGAGGTGTGGATATATAGCTTCTGTGGCAAGCACGAATCGTGAGTCTGTGGGAACACCGGTCAGGAAACCTCGTGAGGGAATAGTGGCTTTCTCTGGATTGCCCTGTGCTTCCTGCTCATCGTAGGCCTGCAGGATATCGACGAGGCACCTGTACTTGATCCACGAGCGTCTAGGAGACTCAAAGTCATCATCGTCCTCATTATCATCGTCAGCAAATGTTTCGTTTAGTTCTTCAGCGACCTCTTCAGTTTCTGCGTCAAAGACGTCCTCGACATTAGCGACGAAGAAGCGGCCTGCCGCTTTCCGAACTCTGGGTTCCATGTCAAACACAAGCCGGCCAACAGTGTCGATATTGTCGGGCTGAAGTAAGCCGGCGTCCCGGATGAGATCTAAAGCCTCAACTGTGTGTGCACGTATGCCGACGTCTGCATCTCGCGTAGCCATTTCCACCAACCTGGATCGGAATCGATCTATGAATGCCCGCAGAGCTGGGATATTATCCCTGCTTGCGAAGAGTTTGCGCACTTCTGCAACCACCACAGCTCTCGTATGCGCCACGGTATCTGATAGTGTCCATCCAAGATACCGGAGGTACTGGCCCTCAAAGAACATCTCTCTGTAGCTGCGCATCCAGCGAGTCAAGGCAAGCGCGCAGTCTGCACGGATTTTCGGCTCGACATCCCGGTATCGATTCACGTAGACGTTTGTGAATGCATCTTTCAGCAGTTCATCAATTTTCTCTAGTTTCTCTTGGCCTTCCTGAATGGCTTGCTGAATCGCCGTCATTCTACCTTTATTGGCCGTCTTTTTCCTTTTCTCGGCTTCGAATTGTTTGCGAGAGGTTGCTATAGTGGACGTCACTTCATGGGCGATATCACACAAGGCTGAGGACATCGACAAAGAAACCAAGGTTGCAGTATGCCGGTATGGCCTCAGATTTGAATCTGATATTGTACCCACCCATGTAAAGATATTATCGGTGAGCGCTTTGTCCTCGTAAAGGATAGATGAATGGTGCAGAGTCTGTATAATGTTCTCCGAGAACTCTTCCAGCGTTGACCGGAAATTACGAAATTCCTTTGCCCTCGAGATAAGCGGGTATTCGCTAATGTCCTGAGCCCTGTATTCTTCCTCCAGGTCAACGACTTTCCTCTGGATGTTATCAACATCTTCAATGTCCGCATTGGTCACTTTGAGATCTGTTCCAGTGCATCTGAGAATGAAATTGACCATGTCACGCAGCGCACTGACATTGTCCTGCTGACATTGAGTAAGCCAGTCAGCTGCAACTGCATCGAGCGGATGATCTTTGACAAAGACCTCGCCTATGAAAGAAATGTCAGTAGATGAAATGACCAGTGTTCCGCCAAACTCATTGCATACCAAATAAGCCCTCTTCGGGGCCGCTGAGATTAGGCTTCACCAGCGGCCTGCTGGGCCGTGATGCCTGTTTTCCGTTTGTAGCACTTCTGATGGCAAGGCGTCTTCCAGTACCGTTGGTAGCTATCTTGGGCTTCTTCGTCGCGCGTGTCTGTGATTTCCCTTTCCCCCTTGTTGTCGACTTCCTCTTCGCTGCCGCCTTGCGCGCTGCTTTTCTCCTGGCCCTTATCTCCTCCTCATCTGCATCGTCATCGTCATCCTCATCTTCATCGCTCTCCTCCTCCTCCTCTGTGTTCTCCCCCTCCTCTCCGTCTCCGTCGTCTCCATCGTTGTCATCGTCGCTGTCGCGTCGTGTGCCGCGCTTGCGTTTGCTCGTACTGTAGCTTGCTTGCGAGAACAGCTCCGGCTTCCGAATGGCGCGACTGGATTTCCTTCGGTTTGCTGGCGGAGATGACGCGCCGTTCTGCTCCGGCTCAGAGGCCGGGCTGGAGGAGCGCAACCCGTTCGGGGACTCGACTTCCATTCTTTCAGATCAGACAAATCACTCTATGTGATCACGAACTCATCGATGATATAATCGCGACAGATGGTCCACCAAGTATGCCACGTCGACCAATGTATATATCGCGCACGAAAAAAAAAGCCGCTGGTGGTCGTTACGCGACGAGCTCGGTTTATCGGATCGGGAAATTCGAGCGTCGCGTCTATTACCAGGTAGACGCGCTGGATGACTTTTGCAAGATGGGACAGAATCGAAGATAGATCGACTTGTAATTCTGACGTTGTCCTGTCTCAGAGACCGTGCATAAACTGGGTGAGTTAAGACGTCTTGTCGACTTGGGAGACTCGTGAACTGTCGACGCCTGGAGGAGCTACGAGAGTAACTTAACTAGTTAGGTACGCGACTTTCCCCAAGATCGCCCGCAATTGTTGTTTCCCGCCAAGCTTACTAGCGTGTATTTTATGTATTCTATGTATTATTGATAAATCATCTGACCAGCACAGCCCTAAGCCCTATCTCAAGCTCCTATCTGGGTCTTACGGAGTTCCCCGCGTTGGAGCTTGGAACTGTGTTCTCTACCTAGCTATTATTATTGCTTTCACTAGACCAAGCTAGAAATCGATGGCTTCCATTATGTATATGCGATCGCATTGATCCCCAGACTTCATCTACAGAATTAGATCACGAATTGATCCAGAGACCGCGTCTTCGTACCAAACTGCAATAGAAGAGCCATCCGCGATAAGCATTTCCCAGTCTAGACATGATGATAAAGCGCATTATTCTACCCTCAATTGAATCGACACCCTGCCTTTCTTGAATCCCACAAGTAACCTCCCATAAGCTACGAGGGCAGCTCTACACACACACACACCAGAAACAGAATGACCTGGAACTCCCCCTTCGCATCAACCGTCGCCAGTCCCGGCAAAGGCGAAGTCGTCCTATCTCTACTTCCTCCCTCCATCCCGACCCTCGAGACCTTAACGTACAAATACCCCCTGAAGCTCCTATCTCGTGCTGTCGGATTCACACCGGAGTCCTCCGTATTACCACCATGCGCCGCCACGAGGCCTATCCATCTCTACCTCCTCACTTATGGCGGAGGTTTACTTCCAGGGGATCAGATCGATGTTTCGATAACGCTGCATCCGCGCACGAGACTGGTCGTGACGACACCGCAGGGTAGCACGAAGATATTCAAGACTGCGTCCGACGATGGGAGGAGGGCACAACGATCGAAAGAGAAGGACGATATGAGCAGACAGGTGTTGGATGTTCGAATTGGAAGCCAGGCTGCTCTCTGCTACTTGCCTGATCCCACTGCTCCGTTTAAGGATAGTCGGTATGAGCAGATTCAGCGGTTCACGGTCGATGGGGATGTAATGGGCAATGAACGGAGTAGTCTCTGCGTGCTGGACTGGGTGACACAAGGGCGGACATCGCGGGGGGAGGACTGGGACTTTCATTTCTGGAAGGGGAAAAATGAGGTCTGGTCTGTGGATGGGAATGGCGAGAAGAGGAGACTCCTGTTGCGGGATTCAGTCATTCTCGATGACGAGATGAGGCCTGGTGTGGATGTTGAGGAGGGTGAGGAGACTAATAATAATACCCTCATCCGTGAACGGACTCGACCCCATGGTATTGTGGGAACGTTGATTCTCTACGGACCTGTATTTGATCACCTCGCATCCTTTATCATGGAGGCGTTCACGTCGCAGCCTCGTATCGGTGGTCGAAACTGGTCATCGTCCGCGACTGATGACCGTCCACCAGAGACGAAGGTCCAGCAATACGACGTGACCTGGACGGCCGCGCGGGTGCGGGCTGGATTCGTGCTGGTGAAGTTTGGAGCTAAAGATTTTGAGACAGCCAGGGACTGGTTGGGAAGTATCATTCGGGAGGAAGGCAGTATCATCAGGGAGTTTGGAGAAGAGGCCTTGTTCTGTTTGTAGACTTTCTGATCTACTCATCTGGACGTTGAGAGGAGGATGCTGTTGTTTGATGCGATTCCAGTAATCGATAGATACCCTATATATATTATATTATGCCGCAATATTGACCACAGGCAGCCTGAGTACGGACGTAAATCATATAATCGATTGTCATATCTATGCAGTCTAGCGGACGATAATGTAAGTATGATATGGGCATGAATCGAGAATGGCTGAGCTATCAAACGACGCAGAATCAGCAGTGGTATATAGCAGTCTAGAACTTAGTCTATGTAACACCGCACAAGCACCTCCGAAGGAAGATAAATCGAAAGTCAGGAAGAAAGATTCGAATATCCATGGAAAGTCCTCTCTTTCATAAAACGCCACACCCAAGAAGCATGTATAATGAAATCGCTTATCGAGTGAATCATATCGCATATATACGGGTCAAACCGTCCTGGTGAATCGAAGGGAAGCAGAAAAGGGTATATAACCATAAGCATCAATAGAAGATCATCAAGCAAACCACCATCTCCAAGATCGTCGAGTCCAATCTCGCCTCGTAGCGCTCTTTAGGTCGTCTACGTTCAAGATATCGACGCCCTCTCGCATGAGGACGCTCCAGACATGGTTTCGGAGGCTCCGGGGCCAGCTAGGCAATCCCCAGTATCGTACCTTCAAGCCGCGGCGATGGGCGCCACGGACCTGAGCTCTGATCCGCTCCAACTGCCGGGGTGTAATGTGAAAGTGCCAGGGGAGCCCAATCGACTTCTTGAAAGAAACGGAAGCGTAATAGCTGTTGGTGGGATCAAAAATGTCCGGGTTGACGTCGCTCGGTAGACCGGAATGTCCCTGGCCAAAGCCGTGTGGTAGACGCTTGGGACCCGGTGATCTGGGTAGTGGACGACCCTCAGGATCCATCTCTGGGGGACCTTCATCTTCGAGTTTAGCCAGCGGCGCATCGAAGAATATGTCACGGTAGGTGGAGTTAGCCGTCAGCAGGTTGAATGGGGTATCACCCGTTCCCACGACAGTGACTGGACCTTGCACCACGTCCGTGCCGTTGAAGTAAGTGAGATAGCCACGCTCACGCAGAGGCGATAACTGCGACACCACATGAGGCCATGTGGCGGGTCCGTCGGTCTTGAAATCGATCAGGAGAATCAATGTCTGGGATGGATCAGTGTCAAAAACACCGTTCAGAGGCTGATCCTTGGCCGGATGAAAGCTTGTCACCGGATTCTGCTTCTCCAAGAGCTCAACGAGCGGGTTGACATAGAGACTCTTCAATGTACGGTTGGCCGTCAGGGCTGACGTGGTATGACCGACATAGAGCTCATCTCCCGCCAGCCACACGTCTGCTTCGACGCCTATGCAACCTGCCTGCAGTGCCGAAAACAGAGGGACCTTTCTCCAGTAGTCATTATGCGAATGGCATCCCACTGGCACGATCTCCCTGGTCGCATCCGTCGGCCAGTGACTCCAACCTTCTGTCGGGGTTCCTGGCTGACCCCAATCACCAATTGTCTGCTCTAACTCGTCGGGGAAGAAGGACACGACGATGGCACAGGCCAGAACGAAGAATTGAACGAGACCCCTGGCAGTACGTAGTTAGTTAGCAACCATGAGCCCCGCCATGGTCCTCCGCGGTACTTACAGCATGGCGAGGAAGGCAATAATGGAATATAGCAGCCACCGCAGCTTCTTGGATCTCACCGATCGCTTCTGCGCACGGCCCAGACGCGACTCGTCGGCCGACAGGAATCGATGAGTATTTGCTGAGTTATGCCAGCGCGATCGCAGCCGAGTCAGCGCTGTGCGGAGGGTGCTCCATCGAGGCCGAAGCAGTCCCGAGTGATGCTCTCGTTCTAGGTCGATTTCGGAGATGGAGTCGTTTGTGAATCGCAAGTCCGACTTGAGCAACTCGACAGCCTCTTCATCCTGCTCATGACCTGGCCTGAAGGAGGAGAAGTCGAGCGGGGAAGTGTCCTGGTCATCGTAATGCTGATGAGGTTGATGATGATGATGATGATGATGATGATAAGCCGGGGAGCGGAAGCTCCGGCAGGACGACGACATCGTCGATTCGCTGCCCTGACGCCCGTTCCTGAGCAGCTAAAAGCTTGGCCAAAAGGAAGTATTGGTACTTCCACTGGTCTGTCTTTCTGATATCTTTTAATTCCCCAGCGCCAGTCTTTCTGCGCCTTTTCACGTATACTTAAACTCGCCAACACGCTTGCGACATCGGGCCAGGTAGGTCGAGATCCTCAAGGGCAAAGTGGCGAGCACCAGACAGAACGCCGCCGGAGTCAAATTTCCCGTTGCTATCTCGAGAGAGTCAAGGGAGGGGAACAGGGGCGCCTTTTGACTTGACAGCTCCGCCATCTCGTCTCGTCTCTTCTTCTGTTGCCAGCGATCCGTGTTTTCCCTTGGACCGTGGCTACTGGAGCCCACGGGCTTCTGTACCCTCCTTCGGGTATAATCGTTCGAAGCGAATAAGCTGGGCGTCTGGCGTGGAGCCAGAATAACTTACAAGTTCCCACGGACCCAGCTAGAGCCACGCGCATCCGACGTCCTGGTCGATTGGTCCACCAGCACGACTTGAGATAGCCAACGCTTGACACACGCGCCAGAGTTCGCTATCCCCAGTGCAGCATGAAAAGGCATACAGGCTGTTGAGAATCTCGTTCAGTCACGCGGAACTATATTATTATCATGGTTCTATATTTCTATCGTTATCACAGAGATCCAGCTCAAGACCACACCAATTTGGGGACTAAAGCGGCATCGGTTATAGTTATACATATCTACCTACATAACGACTAACTACTGTACGATAATCAATAATAATAATAATTTATGCCTAACTACTACGACCCCGATAATGATTATTATTATTATTATTTAAGTTACTACTATGTACTGTACTTTCTCATGCTCGCGTTCCAACAAAAACCTCACCACAGAGTCCAGACCCAGTACTTAGCGAGCGCCACCGCTTCCGCAATTTATTCGGTGGTGACATTCATCCATCTCTTGATTCACATAGGCATTCATACCGAAGAAAGCCCGGCAATCCATACTTTACTCGTTCGAAAGCTGGCTATAATATATGGCGAACTGGAGCTCAAGGTTCTTCCCTGTCATAGTTGCCGTTATGTCTGACAGGACCCCAAACTGGGTACATCTATCTAGTTACTAAAAGGGAAGAGGGCCGTTCACTCTTCCCCTTCTTTGTCGCTTCTCAAATCTCACATGTACCATATATCGGAGGTCGTCTGGATCGTCTCCCCCTCGGTGGACTCATGGAGCAATAATAATCCTCTGCTCACTGGGTCCATGCCTTACCCCAGCGTCCACGCAGTTTTCTGCTGATCACTATCTCGAACCTAAAAAAAGAAACTATCTAGAACGAGGCATTTTGGACAGACAAGAACTTCCATCATGGCCTCAACACGGAAAGGATATGCCAACTCTGCGTCTCAGCCGTCACAGCGTCATACCCGGATCAAATTTGAGATATGATGAGCGCTCCATCAACTCCATAATGAACTGTTAGCCTTCATCTTGTATCCCCTTCCCCGCGTGCCCATATTCAACTACGCGGGGAATACCTTGCGACATCCGAAGCACTGACGTAAAAAAAGAGAGATCAGCAATGTAAGCATTTTCACTCACGTCAGTCGAAGAACGTAGACATACCAGTAGACAATTGCTAGACTAACCAGGGTCGGTCTGGTAACAAGCGCAGATCATAGTACATAGTTACAGCAGTGGCCGCGATAATTTTAAAATGCCTTCTTGAGAAGACGAACAGGATTTCTTCTATCTATCCTATATTAAAGATTCGCAGCATACTCTCATGCTCATTGGTTCAGATCGAGCAGAGTACAGACGCGACCGTCTTTCATCCCACGTACCTATACAATATTAATATACCATTTCTATGTCATATCACTTTTCGAGCACCTCTCCATGCTGGATGCAAGTCCCGAGCTTAAATTTTCATCTTGCATCGAGAATGCCTTCTTATCCGAATACCCCTCCGGGACACTATCCCCCTCCTCCCTACTTAATCTATCGAGTTCTTTTCCACATACACGTATGACTCGGATTCTCCGGGTTTTTGACATTCAACCCCCAATAACATGGCATACACTACCAAAGCCGAATGATATCCGGACACCGGAATCCAAAAGACAGAGAGAAAAAATGTTCATTTCGGCCCGATAGCAAAGACAATCAGTGATTCTATCTATCTATCTATCCGCGCGGAACGGTCGGGAAATGGGATGCGCGTCTGGTTATATGTAATTAACTGACCCGGGACATGTATACTAATCTGGAGTTTCTTTCCGGCTCGTAAATATAGAGATTGTCTTTTGAAACTTCGCAATGCTATGCACTATTACTTATATTGTTTGCCAGTTAACCTGGATGTATGATGATTTCTGGCATCTAATAGTCTATATTTGATCAATTAGGTGAAACTAGTTACATGAGTTCTTTTTTTTTCGATTAGTTACAGTACATACCTAGCGAATACTTATAGTTCGAACCAAGCTTCCATGCCACATCACAGGCTCATTCTTGAAAATTCGGCAACATTCAACTAACGCTAGCTTTCTTCAAGGTGATCAGTCTTGCAAGTAGCTTCTTTTCATCACTGTTCAACTTGTGTAAAGGCCATATAATTAGGTATCCAAAGGGCAATGGTTCTATCCATTGATATGAACGATAGAAAGGCAGAACCTCTTAGAAAAAAATAAAATAAAAATAAAACAACTGACAATTCACCTAGCAAAATGACCCAGAACCTATTCGAATAGACTCAACTTCTTCTCAGTGGCACCGGTGAGTCGTGACTGTTCTCTTTGTCTGGGGCCGATAAGCCCCGGGATCTTATCAGATCGCCCCGGAGAAGTTTCAAGCAAAGCAAAGAAAAAAAAAAGGGCAAAGTTCAATCTCCGTCCGCTTGAAAACGCCAACCACCACCAGCGCAGCAACCACTATTTGCGGTGGTTTTTTTTTTCGCCCAAAATGCCTCACAAGCATAAGAGACGGAAGAATGATGAGTCGTAAGTTCTTTCTTTACTATCGATGTTATTTACATGAGGGATGGGATGGGCTTTTTTCTAACCGTTTAAAAAAAATTCGACAGAGCCTATGACCTCCCGCCCTCCACGATCGCAAAGCCTCTTCCTGTGCGCGAAGCGGAACTGAAGAATAAGAATAAGAATAAGAATGACAACAAAGATAAGAAGAATACCGATGTCGCGAATGGGGCTGCTACAAATAAGAAGAAAAAGTCACGAGCTGGTGGTGGCCTCGTGGACGACACACCCAAGGCATTTGCGCGGTTAATGCAGCTACAGAAGACGGGCCGGATGCCATCCGGGTTGGACGATGGGTCAAAAACCAAGAAGCGCAAACGGGATGGTGCAGGCGATGATAATAACGAGAAGGCTGCGAAAAAGGCCCAAGTGTCGGCGTCTTCGAAAGACAATCCTGCAATCCCGAAGATTTTGCCGGGTGAGAAATTGTCGGATTACTCTGCGCGGGTTAATATGGCGCTGCCACTGTCTGGGATCAGTAAATCGAGAAATCCGGCCTCTGGAGAGTTGCCGAAGTTGAGGGAGACACGGCAGACGAAGCATGAGAAGCATCTACGACGACTACAGAAGGGATGGAGAGAGGAAGAGGCAAAGATCCGAGAACGAGAGCAAGAAGAACGTGAGGAGCGAGAGGCAGAGATGGAGGAGCAGTTGGATCTGTGGAAAGAGTGGGAGGCTGAGGCAGGCAAGAATAAGGCGAAGAAGAAGGGAAATAAATCCAAGAAAAAGAAGAAGGGCAAGAATGGACTAGACTCTGACATTGATGATGACGACGACGATGACCCATGGGAGAAGCTGAAGGAACGAGATCGTGCCTCAAGACCTGCCAACCCCTTGGAGGTGGTACAGGCGCCGCCGCAGTTGATAAAGCCACGAGAGGTGTTCAAGGTGCGAGGAGGTGCGCGAGTCGATGTCGCCAACGTGCCTAATGCGGCCGGAAGTCTTCGAAGAAGAGAAGAGCTGGCCGGTGAGCGTAAAAGTATTGTGGAGGAGTACCGAAGACTCATGGCGGAGAAGAGGCAGCAGGGCTCATGATACCAGGGGGGAAAGAGTTCTCCCTTCTCTCCACGAATTTCAGCGATCTAAAACTTCTCTGTTTTCTGTCGTATAGCATTCTGGTATAATGGAAATACGGTTCTCATTTCACGGGGCCAAGGGCGTTAGGGGAAACTTCTATGATCCATCTGATTTATAGATTTCCTGGATCTGCGGTATGGTGTACATATAACCATGGAATTTCGAAAATAGCTGTCGCGCGTGAATAGTACTACTCATAATGCAAGTATCGCCTCGGTCCCTGGGATACTTCCTTTTCTAGAGATACGTCTAATGTACAGAAACTACGCCATTGCACCGAAGAACAAGTGAAAGAAAATTCTGTCAAGATAGTAGATGGATGGTATCTCATTTAAATCAGACAAATGTCTATATAACACTGTTATGAAAAAGACAATATATTCAATCCCAGCTCCACAACACCCATGTGCATCTAGACCCAGAAACTTTTGTATCTTCCGTGACACGGCAAATTCACAACTGTACAAGGATTTATTCCTGCTGCAGAGACTTGACGTACTCCGCAGCTCTGGCCTTGACCTCCTCAACCATCTTTTCATTGCCGCGTTCCTCGGCCAGCTTCTCCTCAAAGGCGAGCCATTTCTTGAAGAAGAACCGGGCCTGCTTGGGTTTGAGTTTCTTGCTTCCTTCGGCTGGAGCAGCAGCAGCTCCTTTCTTGGTGCTGCGTGTTCCGAGTACTCGTTCAAACAATCTTCGCACCTGCTCTTGATCGCCAGCCTTGATTTCCAAATCCAGAAGGACGTTCCAAATGTCAGCACGCTTCGGGAATGAGGACAGGAGACCTTCGAACACGGTACGACCACGCTCCACGTCTCCGTTGGGTGAGCGGAATTCGAGCTGGCCAAACTTGGATGTGATATCGACGTGAGTGTGGGAGGGAAGAGCCTGGAGGGCACGAGGAAGCAGGGCGCGACCACGCTCTGGCGCAGCCATGGTGTCGAAGAGGAAGTTGGCATAGTTATGGTAGTTAACAGCGGACTGGAAGACCTTCTTCTTGAAGGCAGTCTGGAAGAGTTCATCGGCTTTCTATAATGTGGATATTTGGTCAGTTACTGCTTGACGGAGCAAAGTGTCAAAGACAAAGTGAACTTACATCATTCTTTCCGGACTGGATATAGATACTGATCATGCGCTCGTAGATATCCTGGCTGTCATTGTACTGGCACGCCCGCTTGAAGACCTCTTCGAGAGTGTCATCGTTGCCGTACGTGTTCTCCAAGTTCAGCAGCGCTACCCAGACGTTTAGTTTCTCAGTGTCCTGGCCAATGCTGATGGATCGTAGGGCACGCTCTGCGATCTCTCGCGCCTTCTCGACTTCGCCCAATTCGATCTGGTATGCCATATATTGGAGCCACAACAGCGACGAATCAGGATCTCCGAGCAACAGACGCTCATAGTCAGCCACAGTCTGCGGGCCACGAGCATCCAGCTCTCCGGTGCGGTCGACCTGGATTTCGGGCCTACGGTTCTTCTTCTTTTTCTTCGTGGCCTGGTCGTCGCCGGAGTCTGATGGGGCTGTCTTCTCATCCTCCCCATCGAGGTTGCCACTCCAATCGAAGCCACTGTCGCCCAAACCACCGGAACCACCAAGTCCAGAGCCGTCCTTTTCAATAGCAGGTGATTGTTCGTCTGCACTCTCATCACTCTCGCTGGCGTCCTCCAGCTCGATACCACCCATAGAGACGTCGTGATCCTCGTCGCTCTCGTCTTCATCCATCTCGATATCTACTCCTCCCGAGCCATCGATGCTGATGCCGTCCTCACTGTCTTCTTCGTCGTCACTAGCTTCATCGTCCTCCTGTTCTCCGAAGTAAGATGCTTTCAGTCCGAACGAGATCCTTTCCTTCTTTTGATCAACCTTGAGGACCTTGGCTTTTACAACGTCCCCCTCTTCGAAAAGTTTTCTGGCATCCTCGACCTTCCGATCGGCCATCTCGCTGCGGTGACAGAGACCACTCACGTTTGCGGAGCCGTCTACAACGATGAAAGCACCAAATTCTTCAACCTTCCGCACCTTTCCGGTCACAATCTGACCTGGCTTCAGATCGCGGATGGTGATAGGAGTCTTATAGTTAGGATCAAGAACAGACTCCTTCAAACTCAGATGCACTCTGTTGTTTTCCGGGTCCACGAGAATGACTCTTCCCTTTACGAGCTGGTCTGTCTGGAACTCATCCTTCCACTCTTTGAGATAGGAATCTGACAGGTCAGATACGCGAACGTAGGCTGTGATACCATGTCCAAGAGTCACAAACAGCCCATTGTCAGCAACTTTTCGTACGAAACCGCGAACAATGTCATTCAACTTGAGCTGCTTCAATGACGTTATCTCCGGATCCTGAACAGGAAGAGACGAGCTGAGAACTTTCGAAGGCCGCAGGGAGAGCGCCACCTTTTTGTTGGCATCTACTCCAATAACATAGGCACGAAGGACGTCGTTCTTGTTGTACATTGCGGTGTTGACCTTGGAATAATCGTCTGCCATATCGATCAAGGAAACGACACCAACAACAGTGTCACTGAGTTGCATGATGACTTGCTTCTCAGAGACCTTCGTGACGCGTCCAGGGAGGACGTTACCAGACAACTTAGCCAAGTCTAGCTGACCCGAATTCTGCTTAGCGGAAAGGTCGAGGCGACCCTTTTCAAGGTCGACGGCAGTGACGTTGACTTTCAGCGCAGAGCCAACGGGGAAGTGTTTCTCAATATCGGCCAAGAGAGACAGATCGTCAGTGAGATCGATGGCACGCAGCCTGCCACGGACATTAGGCGACAGATTCACCCAGAGGCAATCTTCAACAATATTGTTGATGAAACCCAACCAAGAAGACCCAACCTTGACCTGGTCGAGGCTCAGCGGAGTCGCATCTTCGGCCTTCAGGAAGCTCTCTTTCGCAGAGAGCTCAAAGACTGGGAACTTGCCAGTACGATGACTGATAGGCAAGAACTTGTGACTGCGAGCATCATGAATGCCCAGGACCTTTACAGGCAACTCTTGCTTCACACGGAAGAAGCGGAGAGGGCGTTTACGGTCCTTGATATCCTCCCACTTATCGAAAACCTCAGAGACATCGATCCGTCCTTGGATGTTATCTGCTAGTTGGACGTTGATCTGTGTTTCCTTGATAGAAACGATCTTGCACTTCGTGATCCGTCCATCAGTGAAGTCCGATACAGTCTTGATATCACCATCAACAGGGTTTGTAACATCCTCAGAACGAGTAGGTCCCTTTTCTTTCCGCTCTTTTGGAACCGCACGGGTAGCTTCGCTAGGTTTCATACTCAATATGAACCTCCGCAAGTCAGGATCAATCGAATGAACAGTAGCAGAGATTGGCTCTGATTTGATCATTCCGAAATCCACTGTGTTGACACGCTCATCGTTCACAAGGCGTTTTGGAATGAGTCCGGTGAGACCGCCGAGGAATTCGACAAAAACGCCATCTGGAGTGATATTTCTGACGAAACCGGTGACTTGTGCACCTTCTTGAATGTCTTCGAATTTCCCGGGTAGGGATCCCTCCTTCAGAGCTTTCTTCAGGCTAGGCTTGCTTGTCACCTTGATCAGACGGTGTGCTCTCTGTATATCCAAGACAAGCAAGTCGTTCAGTTTCTGGCCAACCCTAACTTTGGAAAGAGCAGAACTCTGTTTTGAGATGGAGCCGTCAACCAGATGCTGTGCCTCCAAGCGGGCAATAAGACCAGAGTCCTCCAGCTTCAGAAGCATGTCATCGTTAGATTTTTCGAACACGGTACCCGTTACAAGGTGCCCAGGATGGAGATCTTCAAAAGCTTTCCTGTAGCTGTCAGAGGACGTCGTCGGGTCCTTGCAAGAGACAGCCAATTTCCCAAGAGCTGCATCCACACTGAGAGCGTGAACGTTGACTACCTGGCCTTGTCTGAAGTGTTGCGAAGGATCCTTGATATAAGCTTCGCTCATCTCCGAGACAGGAAGGAAACCACGGACGGAGCCGTAGAACTGCACGACGGCACCATGGGACTGGATACTGACGATGGTTCCTGGAGACTGGGCGCCTGGAACAATATCACCGTAGTCTTTCCAGATCGCTGACTCGCTGTTCAAGAGACTCTTTTTCAGAGTCAACCTGATCTGACGTCTCTCCAGGTTAACGGAGAGAATCCTCACGGAAACCGTCATGCCTTCTCGGAACTTCTTTTCGGGATGCTGCAGCTGTGCGTCGGCAAAGTGCATGGACGGTACGAGACCGCTGATACCGTCCGCTAGGGACACAATTAAGCCGTCGATACCGGTGGGACCGATAAGCAGCTTCTCGATCTTTCCCTTCACAACGGCACCGACAGTCACATCTTCAAGACGGAGGAACGGCTGGTCGATGACAGTTCTTTCGAAAGAAAGGAGATAGAGATTATCCAATGAATTGTAACCAACAACTCTCGCTTCGTGCGTAGAACCGACTCTGAAAGGGCCCTGCTCGGCAGATATACTCTCCACCTTGCCATCTGAGAGCTTGGAGATGTGTACGAAACCAAGATTCTTGGATGACCCAAGTTCAACGTATACTCCGAGACCGGGTTCCACCTTGACAACTTTCGTTTCGGGGATGACCGCAGAGATCGCGGGCCCATCCTTCGTTGGACTGGAGCCACGACCCGTAGTAGCGAACTTGAGGACATGGTCCAGGATGGAGAAGCCCAGTTTGAACGGCTCCGCAGCTGGGAAGGTTGAGAGAAGACGACCCTTGATCTTGGCACCTGTGTGGAATTTCTTTGTCAAGTCTTCCTTCCCCGAGTTCGCACCGGAATGTACCAGGTCGACTGTAGCGTCTAGCACTCCCATGATCTTTCCAATCATTCCGTTCTCAGACACATCCGTAAGAAGGATCTCCGCAGCAGTCCCTGGCAGGAAGGAGTTTATTGTGGGCGCCGAGCTCAGGTAGTGGGCCTTTTTTATTGAGCCTGCAGTTTGAAGATTGCCAGACAGCTTCACAACATTTCCACTGGCGTTGTGTCCTGTCACAACGCACAAAAAGACAGCGCCCTCTTTGATGCTCGAGTATTCGACTTCAGGGTCAACCTCCTTGGACGACATGAAACCCTTGATGTCGGCACCCTCGATACCCAGGTCCATTACGAGACCATGATCTTCCACGCTCACGACTGAAGCTTGGACCACCGTATTCACAACCAGGTCGGACTTTGAAAGACCGGAATTGGCCTGTCTTGGATCAACAGACAACTCGATCTTCTTTTTGTTCTTGGTAGAAGTATCAGCCCCGCTTGCAGCAGAAGTGACATATGCCCGGAGGTATTGCCCCAAACGGAAGTATGCTCTCAAGTCCACCGTATCTTCATCGTCTTCTTCCTCCTCCTCTTCACTTGCATCTTCCTTGAGCAAGTTCTCAATCTTTCGGTCTAGCGTTCGGGAAATGGCAGTCAGAGGGGCATAACCAGTCAGGTTGTTCGGCAGAGCGAGACCGATATCGTTTGCATTTACGCTCGAGACCTGACCTAGAATCATGGATCCAGGTACAATACGCTAGACGAATTAGTCCATAAACAAGGACGATTGGAGAAAGATAATCAGATCTCACCTTGAAGCTGAGTGACTCGATCTTGACGGCCTGCTTATCGTCGGTTTGTGTTTCCGACTTCTTGCTTTTTGTCTTGCTCTTCCGAGATTTCTTCTTGGTTGCAGTTGCAGCTTCACCAGAATCCTCCATTGCAACATCTTCATCATCCTCATCGAAGGTCGAGGGCTTGCCTCCTTTCTGCTCGAAGAGCACATCCCTTGTGGCTTGGATCTGAATCTGCTTCCGTTCTAAGGGCGTAAGAACGCTGGCACCACCACGGGGAAATGTTGGCTCATCGTCGCGCAGAATGGACAATTCGGAAGCCTTTGGCTTGGGCGGCTGTTCCTCCGTCCGCTTCTCTGAAGCTTTGACATTCTGCTTCTTTTGATCTTTCTTCTGCTCATCATCGCCAACTCTCGCCCGTTTCTGGGGCTGACGGGCAGCCGTTTCCGGGCCAGAATTGCCCTTGCGCTTGATAGGCGCCATGATGAGAGCTGGAAAAAATTGACCGCAATACAGGCGCAGCTCTTGATATCGCGGGAAAAAAAGTGTCGACGCTGGAAAAAATCAAAAAAGCGCCAGCGGGGAGGGCGACCGCCTTCCTGTTTGGGAGTGAAAGCAGAGCTGGCCACGGCATGCTCACCGCCTTCCCAGAACAGTAAATCGCGTCACGAAAGAAACGCCGACACGCCCAACGCTCGCTCGTTCTCCGCGACGTGAACATTCCCTCCGGATCCCCACTATGGACCAATTCTCTTCCTCGTGGCCCTGAGACTCTCTCTCTACTCCATTCACTCTTCATGCAGGCCTTCTCTTGACGTTCATTGCCAGCACAATGGTCAGCACGCCTGGTCCCTCCGCGATACCACGGTCTGATCCTGTCCATGTCCCTTCTTTACAGGAAATCCCATCGTCCCCACCTTCGATAGTGTCGGAGGCTGGTACTCGACGCAAGCCCAAGCGACCTCCTCCGGTCACCCCCCGATCGTTTAGGAGGTTCTTTACGCCTCGTTCGTTACTCAATGCGGCGGGCAATACAGGAAATGTCAAGACTAGCCGGCAAGCTCTGAAGGAGCTCAGTTCTCCTGTGGTCAACCGCCTAGGTCCTGCGTTTACTAGGATCCCGAAAGGCATCGACAATCGCCCTGCGAACCACGCCTCCACTGAGCTTACGCGCATACCCAGCACGAAGAGAAAGTTCTCGATTTCATCCCTAGGCTCGCCACAGCAATCATCACCACTGAGAAAAGTCCGTATTGCGCCGCGCATCCACGAAGATGTGATCCTGGAGCGGCCTGTTGACGAGATCCATATACCGGAGCCCGATCGAGAGGCCCAGTCGAAGCCGGAATATGGCCTTGCGAATGCCCTTGAAGAAATCAAGGCTCCTGCCAAGCCCATTCGCCGCTCAGTTGCATTGCAAACCAGTGGCCAATTGTATATGCGCAGCATTGGTACACCACGAGCCAACAGGACCGTAATTCGGTCTACTTATGGCACAGGTTGGTATTCCACAACCTCTATCCAACATACGTTGCAACTAACACCACCGGTGAACAGGATGGCAGGATCAGACCTCAAATTTCTACACTCGGGCGGACGACCTCTATTCCTGCGTAAGCCATACAGAAGATCGTCTTTCCCTTCCGTTTTGCATTGCTTCCTGCAATAGTCAGTGGCCCCGTTTGGTTATGATACTGTCATGCGCTGACCCGTCAAATAGCAAATACGCTCGTTGCTGTCGGCGATGAGGAGGGAGGTATCAGACTCTTAGAATCCGCAAAAAATGACAAGACCGGCTTTTCAAAAGCCTATCTCACATTTCGTCCTCATGGAAACGCGATAATGGATTTGGAATTTTCCGCCGATGACAAACTATTGGCTACCGCCTCCGGAGATCAAACGACGCTCGTCATTGATATGGCAACTCAGAAACCCGTCTACTGTCTTTCGAATCACGTTTCTTCCGTTAAACGAGTTCAATTCCAGCCAGCCTCTAACGGAAATGTCATTGCAACCTGCAGTCGCGACGGTGACGTGAATATTTGGGATCTGAGGTGCAAAGGTTTCGAGAGACCATCGTTACAGGCGCGGTGCTCACTTGATTCCGATATTGAAGATGCGCATGCCGCACTATCGCCCAAAATGAAGTACCCTCAGGTCCTGAATAGCATCCATGGAGCTCATGCATGGATGCCACCTCGACCTTCAGGAACTGAACGAGCAGAGTCTCAAATTGGTCGTCAGGACATTTCGGTCACCTCTCTTGCTTTTCTCCCCCCGGGTCGGGAAAACCTTTTTGTCACGGCGTCCGAAGCCAATGCTTGTGTGAGACTATGGGATCTTCGCACGGCTTACAATATCCGTCGCGGCCGGCCTGTCCCGCTGTCAACCACCCGAGAGCCAGATAGCCATGTCAAGTATAGGCGCTTCGGCCTTACTTCGATGACATTTGGCGGTGACGGATCCAGGTTGTATACATTGTGCAAGGATGGTACGGTGTATGCTTACTCGACAGCACATTTGATCCTAGGCCATGCTCCAGAACTAGCCTTGAACAACACGCGCCCTCGACGTTCCGGGGGGCCTGACAAGGAGGGCCTTGGTCCTCTGTATGGATTCCGTCATCCACGACTTCAGGTGGCTTCCTTCTATGTCAAGACGGCCATTCGCAAGGCCGCAGATGATAAGGGAGAGCTACTCGCTGTTGGCAGTAGTGACCATTGCGCTGTTCTCTTTCCTACCGACGAGCGCTTTCACCAGATGGCCCAGAAACCAGTTACCGATATAAGTGATATACCTCTGCCAGCAACACGCTCTTGTCTGGCTCGTGCTGGTCTGCGCCGCACTAATTCTGGAGCTGGCCTATTTGGAAGATTAGAAGATACCATCCCTATCTATCAGAACGGCACTGCCCTCATTGAAGGCCACAAAAAGGAGGTTTCCGCCGTATCCTGGACGACCGACGGCGAGTTGATAACAGTCAGCGATGACTACTCCGCCAGGTGCTGGCGCGAAGGTCCTGATGCAAGAGACCTCCGCACAGGCGGCGAAACCGAAGGTAGACGCTGGAACTGTGGATGGGCCGACTCGAAAGACTCGTATGACGACGAGGAGGAATAATTTTCATACTCTGTTCCTTTTCTTTATTCTCGCTCTGCTTCCTAGACACATCATCTTTTAATGTTTTGAGGGCGAATTATGCATTGCAAGGCGTCGGGATTTGTCTGTTATTGAGCGTGGCGTCTGGAAGAAAATTCCCTGTCTAATGGGAAATGTTACATGTCATTTTACTCGTCTTTTTCGATATCTTCCATAGCATAGCGAGCAATATTGGATCGTTAAGACGACTTTCCATTTCTTACGATCATTTTCTGGTCTAGAGAAAGTGCTAATTATTTTGGCGGTACCTCAATAATACAAGCCTACAATGCCTACTAGCTACGTCGAAAGAGATCGAATCCGAGTCTTCCATAGCATAATACGATGCGGTTTAGATGGTCATCAGATGTTGTTTATTACTTTTTGTTTATTCAGCTCGCCTTTCCTTTTGCTTATTTTCCCCCAGGACATTTCGCCATTGGGCAGGAAAGAAAGAAAAACTTCGTATCGTTAAAGAACAGTATATGAAGTCAGGGGGTTGTTTTGAATTATGCCTCGTCTAGTGTCCATGTCCATCATCCTCTGCCGGCTGTTCGGGGTCCAGCTTGATCATGGTATCGATACGCATGATAGCAATACAGGCTTCGACGGCACTCTTCAGCTGCTTGATCTTGCTCATGCTAGGCTCGAGCACACCAGCCTTGATACTATCGTGCACACGGCCCTTCGCGAGGTCGAGACCGTAGTTCTTGTACGTCTTCTTCTTAGCAATAGCCTTCTCGTCCTCGTTGGCATTTCCTTCCTGGAGGCTCTGGGAAAGCGCGTGGCGTACACGCAGCTGGGCGACAAGTTCGGATGAGTCCTTGGCAGCGTTGACAGTGAGAGTCTTGGGGATGATAAGGAGAGATTGAGCGAATTCACCAATCGCGAGTTGCTCACGGGAGCTCTGCATGGATCGTATTAGTTCGGTTTGCAATAGACGAGTCAGATAGAAGCGAATATACTTACCACTGTGACAGCGAATTCCTCCAGGTAGACATGAAGAGCAGTCTCGACAGCACCACCACCGGGGACAATGCTACCACTCTCGAGTGTCCTCTTCACAGCGCAGAGAGAGTCGTGCACGGAGCGCTCCATCTCGTCCAGCTGGAAGTCGTTGGGTCCTCGAAGAATGATCGAAGCAGAGGTGTGAACCTTGGTTCCCTTGACAAGGATGCACTCATCGTCCGATATCCGCTCCTGGACAACTTCTTCCGCATGTCCCAAGTATGACGTCTCGAACTTCTCATCGCCGTTCAGATCTGAGAGAGTGCTGACAAGGGTAGCCCCGGTGGCCTTTGCTATCCGTCTTAGGTCCTCCTTCTTGCATCTTCGTACGGCCATCGCGCCTCTTTCAACAAAGAGCTTCAGAACCATGTCGTCGATACCCTTCGTGGTGAGGATGACATTCGCTCCAGACTTGAGAATCATCTCTACTCTCTCCAGGACGATACCAGACTCTCGTTCACGGATCTTCTCGAGTTGCTGAGGGTCATCGACAGTGATCTGGACGCCCAACTTCATCCTCTCCTTCTGTAGGTTCATGTCCAGACAGGCGATCTTGGCATCAGTTATCCGGGTCTTCATAGCCTGCGAGGCGACCGTGCAGTTCAAGGCATAACCATTAACGAGAATGGACTCCGTGGAACTCTTTCCGTGCGCCTTGAGAAGATTCACAGCCTTCACGGGGTACTTAACCTCGTTTTTCTGGTTGGTTGACTTGACCAGCAACATCGCATCCACAACCATGTTGGCGAAGAAGTCTGCATCAGCGCCGATGATCTTACTAGACATTGATGTCTTAGCGATGCTGATAAGACTCTCCTTGCCCAAGCTCTCGACCTTCGTGCTGATGTTCTCGTTCATGTACTTGACAGCTTCTCGGAGAGCTAGTCTGTAACCAGTGATGATGGTAGTGGGATGAATACGGTTCTTCATAAGCTCGTTTGCTCGTTTTAGGAGCTCGGAGGCAATCAGGACGACAGAAGTGGTACCATCTCCAACCTAGCTAGCATCAGTATGAACTGCATCGAAATAATGAGGGATTATATGATCCAGACCTCCTTGTCCTGCTGCTGTGCCAGATCCACCAAGATCTTTCCAGCAGGGTGTTCGATATCCAGAAGACTCAGAATAGTAGCTCCATCGTTCGTGACCGTGACATCCTGAAGATTTGTCAGTGTAAAAGTCAGGAGTGAGGGGCACGGATGCTTCGTACACCGATATCATCCACCATCATCTTATCCAGACCGGAAGGGCCGAAGGAGCTCTTGACGACATTGGCGATGGCTTGCGTCGCAAGAACTAAACATGGGTCAGCACGTATGAACAAGCAATTTCCGCACTAGATTCGACATACCATTCTGATCCCGGACATCTGCTCCGCTGATTTTCTGCCCACCCAAGACTGTGCGAGCTGTCAGTGCTGGTCTCAAGACACGAATAAGGGAGAGGCGGCCATACAGAGAGTGCCCGCATTTCGCGGCTGCTCAAAAATACCAGACATGCTTGCAAAACAGACAGAAATGATGCTGTGATCTGTCTTCAAAGCTCCGACTGCCTGCTGCCGAGCGATGCTTTTCGAGGCCCAAAGAAAGCGTGTCGCGCTAAAAGTTCTGCCGCTCCAAGGCGGTGAACATTCCAGATGGTCGACATCCCACTTGAACTGAGGGGATGGCACATCTGGAAACATCAATACGTTAAAATGCTCCTATACAGCTATGATATCTTAATGGGGGTATTATTTATGGCGCACTTGTAGTGGTAGGATATAGGTGTTGAGTTTCGTTGACTATGCGCCTTTACAGCCACTTCCAGTCTCATGCGACAACCCCACCTTCCAATAGATATTTGACATTAAGGAGCAAAGACACAATACCCTAGAATTCTGTTGGGTTTATATCTCAATTATGGACCCAAGCAAGAAGATATGCTAATCATCTCATCTAATCACACTTCACAGCCTACATCAGACGGGCTACAGGCCCTCATAGCAGCTGGTCCCCCATACAGAACAAAGCCTTGAGCTGGAGTATCTTTTGCATTCAGGCCCCGTGCCTGCGAGCTGCTATCATGGACAGTGGTCCTGCGCATATCTCTCCGATATTCGCCTGCAAACTCTCCCGCTCGGTCCATCACAGCAGTACTATCCCACAATCTCGTGTCACCAGGATCCTTTCACGGAATACTAATAGTATATTTATCCTGGGTTACATGTTCCATTAACAATGCACATGTTCTTTGGTATATATGCCATTATAAAGTGTCAATAATTGAACTCGTTACTTGTTGAGTCGACTGCAGCTCATGTGGGAAGCTAGCGGATTCAACCCTTATTCCCTACCAGGGAGGTCCAAATCATAGTGAAAGAATATATGATGGCATACTAGCAGGACCATTTGTTCGGTGCCCTACAGATCTGCCTATCACTTACTACTGCACATCGGGCAATGTTCACATTGAGAATGCCAACCAACGAGAATGGAGTTCCTGATAATACGCATAATGTGGCTAGACTTGTGCGGCTAGGCGTGGCAAAATACGTTCCTTTGCCAACCCTCTTTCTGATTTATATTGCGGAAGCTACCTAAAGCCTATATGGATACTTTGCGTCGAATGCGCCATGGCAATTCTTCGTTAGATATGTCTCTATATTCTTGTATGGACTGTCAGTGTTATGTGCGGTCGTGGATATTCAATATCCACAATTGAGATGACTCAATCATCGAGCAGTATAGGCTCCATCGATGTACATGTTTGCTCCAGATACCCATGCTGCATCATCGCTAGCGAGAACGACGGCAAACTTGGCCACGTCTTCTGGCTTGCCCGGTCCACCGAATGGATGCCTTCGTTTGAGATCGTCAAGGGGTGTCAGATTCGTTGTGGTCTCAGCCATAATCGCAGTTTGTATGTCTGCAATGAGGTTAGCAATTACAATTCTAGGTTCTGAACAAGAATGTGGTGACAGGTGAGCTCTTACACCCAGGACAGATAGCATTGCAATGGATTCTATCCTTGCCATAGTCAAGAGCAACCTGTCTAGTAAGACTGCTCACAGCACCTTTAGATGCACAATATGACGCTAGAAGTATTTATATTAGCATCTTCTCACAGCAAGTCGACTTTGTTGTCGACATACGGTTATTTGGGCCAGCAATAAGACCCATGATGGAGGACGTATTGATAATCCAGCCTCTATCACCCGAAGGATGTGGATCTTGTTTGAGCATCTGTGAAATTGCGTATTTGCAACCAAGGAACACCGATTTCGCATTAACTTGCATGGTCAAATCCCACACCTCTTCGGTCGTAGTATGAATTGGTTGCGGATCGCGAGCTTCGACCGAAATGCCGGCATTGTTGACGATACTGCGGAGCATAGTCTGATTAGTTCTTATTGATCCTTCAAAGATCGCGTAAAGACACAAAACCAAGTGAATCGTCCAACAGATATTAGGTAGTCCTTACACATCTAGTCTTCCATACTCATCCACTGCAGTTTTGACAAGAGCTTCCACGGACGCGGCATTGCCCACATCCGTCTGGATGAAGATTGCTTTACCACCGTTCTGTCTGATGAGTTCATCAGTGTTTATATGCAACTCATCTGCAATAACCGAGCGAGTGGTAGCTTGGAGATCGCCGCAGACCAAATGAGCGCCTTCGTGAGCATATGCAAGTGCGATAGCTCGACCTAGACCGGAGGAAGCACCCGTCACAATTGCGACTTTGTTCAACAACCGTTGAGAAAACGCCATGATAAAGAATGAGAAATCTACAGAGAGGGTCCTTGATCAGAAGCCTTAAACCTTCAACTTCAGGTTCTTTTTTTCTTCTTCGGGAAGCTGATCTGTGTAGAATTGAGCGTCCTCAGAGACGAAGGGCACACCCCGCATTTATATTCCAGGGAATTATGCAGAGACATTTTCCGATTCCTGATTAAATTAGAAACCCCCTTATCCTGGAAAGTCTTCCGGTCCCACAACTCTTCAACCGACTGGCATTGTTAGTTTCGAAGAGAGGAAGATGACTCTTCTCTCTTCGTTAGATGCAGCAGGAAAGCTGGGGTAACCGGACCGAGACAAAGCGGACCAAGGAAGGTGAAGCGAGACCTCCTATTACGTTCATCACGTGACAGTGTAGATGAACGGTCGCCTTCATTATGATTGAATTGCAATATCGGATCAAGGACGGCACCTGGCGTGAAGATATCAGCAGTAAAGCGTTATATATATCAGTGGCTCGAATGATTTCAATTAGCGAGGCGCTTTTCGAGCAGCTAAGCATCCCTTACAACATCTTGACATCTTACTTTGCCCGTACAAACGGTCGAAAACTTAAGCCTCGTGTATAATTCTGTTTGCATTGGAGCCGGAATAATAAACGAACAGTAGATATACCGGAAGTGTTATGGGAGAGGTAAGAGAAACTATGTAGTATGAATATCCCTTTTATCCCTTCTATGACCAAAACCGTATAACCGTAATCCAATGCAATGACTTGGCCCTCCGCGCAAGTTAGAACCCAATTTTCCATCCGAACAAAAAGAAAAGACCAGGCTAAGGTGTGGTATAAGTGCAGAACACAAAAGAAAAAAAAAGAAATGCAGCATGGGTGCGCCCCGAAGAATCTAGAAACTGTAACCAACCAATGGCGCCATATATAACCGTCAGCTGGCTTGAAAAAAAGATGAAACCATGTCCCAAGTACGTAGTGTAAAATATGAAAAATGGAATAAAATAAAACGAAGGAGGATTGTTGCTACTCAGGAGTATGCAACATTTTAATAGCGACAAATGTAATTCATTTGGCCGGATGCGCGTTCACCGCACTGCTCGTTGCGAGTCTGGACTGCCGTTGTTCAGACTACTTCTCCGAAGAGGAATGTGCTTCCTGCTGTGAGAGAAAGCCGAAGAGATATACTGCTTTTGAAAAGCCCTCTGAGGAGTTGAACATCGTTTGCTTGTCGGTTCATCAAGATCTATTGGTTGTACTGCGTTGAAAAAGTACGCCACGTCATTGTCATCAACGCTCTTGATCTGTATGGGACGGACGTCAACATGCGGAAGCTCGATGATATCGTCTGGATCATCGTCGACGTAAAATGTTTTGTCATTATCGTCTTCTGGAGGTGACGCCTGTGCGCACATACGACGAATGGCAGATGGTCTTGATTGAAGCATGTCCGCTCTGTTGCGAGAGCCAGATGTTGCTGAAGAACTTGGGCGGAAGGCATTTTTAACCTCTGAGTCTAAGTTCACCTTCGGGATCGATCTCAGAGGGACCTGCGAGTCGGACGCACCACGGTGAAGGTTTCCGTACGGGACAGATCCTCTCTGGGCTTCCCCATGAAAGTGCTGGTCGGGATACATAGTAGCAGCAAGACCAGCGGAAGGTCTCTCAGCAAACGTGTGCCTCCGTCCCCGGCCACTCGTTTCAGGGCGCTTAACGAGCTTATCGTATGCCTTTGATGGTATAAGCGATGATATGCTTTTGCTTCTCCTCTTCCGTCCTTGGGATGTTTTACGGATAAGCTTCGTGAACTGGTTTTCCCTCTCGAGAGGGTATCTCTGTGACGCCACTGGGGTTTGGAGCTCGCTATCAGTGAGGAATTCATCCTCAGTCAGAGGTGGCGTGAACGGGGGGGCCATGATATCAGGGACTGGCACACGGCGGAAAGCCTCATGCGAGTTGATCTCCCGAACGATGGCATCTTGGAGGGTCTCAAAGGTAGGAACAGGTGATTTGACATGCGTCGACACATAGGCTTGCTTGAACATATCCATGATTTCCTCTGCATTATACGTGGACGGCAGCGGTGACGAGATAGACGAAGGCGTGGCGGCTGGAAGCGGACTATTCACAATTTGCGCGATGCTGGGACTTGGGACACCCAAGTCCTGGTGTGGTGTTGGTGGTTGTATAGCCCGATGTTCGATCTTCATAGGATTCCTGGTTGAAGCTAACTGTGTGTTGATCCGAAGATCCCGTACATTCTTTTTAGATGTTGCTCGAGAATCCTCGACTCGCTCCGTGTTTTCTGAGTTATGTTTTTCGTTTGAATAAACTGGATCAATTGACACGCATGAAGTTGCTGGCCTTTGGCAGCAGAGATCTGGTAAGGTCGGACTATCCGGGAGGGGGACACTCGACATCTTCCTGCCATATTTGAAAGCTTCGGGCACTTCCAGAAGGGTTGACTTTCCGGGTCCAGCATCATTGCGTGGGGAATTCTGCGCTTTTGCTAACAGATTCGGCGCGGATTTCTGTGATCGTAGACTTTCTGTAGAAGTTTGTATAGGTCCTTTTTCCTGATTGCCGGGATTCTCACTGAAAGAACCAGAGTTCTGCAGTAGATCCACTTGCGGAGAAGTAACCAACACACTGCTATTCTCTCTTCGAAGAACTGTCGGTATGTGGGAGACTCGGCCTCTGCCAAGGAACCCTGCTCTTGTTGTTGGCCGTGTCTCCGAGGAGTTGCCGCTTTTGCGCGATCCCGAGTTCGAGACACTGCTTCCCCTGCTCGCTATGTTCCGATCTGCCACGTCTTCATGGTATAGAGCGGATATAAACCGGGCATACCGAGATCGTTTCTGTTTCTTTTTCCCTGGCTGTAAAATGTTTCGGTCGGCGACATTTTCGTTGTATGGATCCGTCAGCGACGTGCCGTTCATCTGGTGACTATGAGAGGACACTGCTTCTACAAGATCGACATGACGTGTGGTCCTGACTGTGAAGGCGCTGCGAGTATCGGATGGACAATGAGAGATTGCAGACATAGGCCGCGCCTGAAATTGCTCATGCAGCTCTTCAAACTGTTTCTCAATACCAGCAAAGTGATGGCTCATGTCCAACCGAGGTGATCTAAGCTCAGGAGGAAAGCCGGGACTCATTGGTGAAAGAACAGCTGACTGCGCATAGCTTTCGACACGGTTCAAGTGGCCCAGGTCTGCTGTCGAGTCTTCGTGGTGTCTCGTACGAGGACGTCGTAGAGACACACCTTTTTCCGGGTTGAAAAACTTCCTTAAGCCCACCATCTTGAAAGACCTTGTCCCACAATGATAGCAACGACTCAAAGTTCCACGGTCAATGATTTTTCAGATAACAATATCCCATGGAAGATGTCAGTTTCTCCAGGGGCCCTCAAAGAATCAACAGGGACGTTAAGGCCGTGAATTCCGGATATATGACGTGGTGAATAATTCTAGTGGTGTAAGGACCGTGTCTATGCTAGAGAAGCAGTGGCTAAGTCAAAACTCAGAAAACGATGGACTTGAATAAGACGAGGGTAGATAAGGGAGCAGAGCTCTGCTTCATAGTATGCTTGGAATCGTTGAAGGGAATAAGGAGTGACAGTGATATACAGCAGAATGATGGTGTTTCACAAGCGGAAGGAAGCAAAAGCTGCGTCTTCATCTCAGATCAAGTCCCGTGCACTCGACCAGGGGAAGACGGGGCCGATCACATCGATACCCAAAGCTATGGGTGTGATGGGGCTGGCCCGTGGAACTGATGCCAATAGAGAACGATCATTTGACGGGATGAACGAATCTTGCGGTTCAACTGCCAGCAACGGTCTGGAGACCGGGACGTTGATAGCGGGGCCTGTCCCGTCTGTAGAAGCTATAATTTCCCTGGGTCAATTAGCTTCATATCGATTTTTGGTCGGCATCTTGGGTTCGAATAATCAATAACAATAATAATAATTCCTCGGACGTTCCACAACTGACAGTGCCTCCGCTAGATACAGGGTAAGTAGAAGGCCATGAGCACAAATAAGGAAAGTCGTCACATCGTCTGGCCTCTACTACTCCGTAATACTTACTACTCAGTCGACGGGATACGCCGGGTGCACGATGGTCCCCGACGCACGAGGCATCGGTTCGTGAGCTGAAGGACATCCCGGAGGATCATCATTGGCTTCGGCCACGCGTCGATCGTCAAGCAAGAAATTGATCAAATTTAGGAACGGTTAGTGCGCTCAGCCCGGAGTCCTGAGCGTTGAGTCTGTACCTGGCTAAGCCTCGTTAGGTTGCACTGCCAGCGTTAGTCACTGTTAGCCTTGAGAAACAAGTCGATGCCAGGGCTCAGGGGCCTAAGCCAACTACCTGGATGGTTGCCGGACCTCGGCCGCGGGCAACACGGACGTTGCACAAGAGTCCTGCGCTAGAAAAACGCGGTTCAGTTCTTCGGTTATTCTCAGAAGTTGAGGAGTCGTTGGGGGCCATCTCATGAAGGCCTGGAATGGAAGGTGTTAACGCCCGGTCTATCACGTGACATGTCCATCGGATCTGATTACGGAGTAAGTAGGTAAGTCGTAACTAAATAATACTCTTTGATTGTCGACTTCATCATCGTGAAGCTCGTTGGCCCTCTCTCCATCGCGCAGACCTCGGAGGTTCGATCATTTCTTCTCAGAGGTCCAGTTCCAGGTCTCCAAGGCCAACCCTAAGCCGGGGATTACTGCGCAGGTACCCCTCGATTTGACTGAGAAAACCTTCGAAGATGGAGACTCATGCAAACCGGGCCATTAGACCTAATTTTACGCGCCAAATATATTATCCTCATCCATTATTATTAGTTCAACGAGTTTTTCATCGATAAATGGTGCTAGTTAATTTATGGTTAGTGCTCCGAAATCGTAATTGATCTTCAATCGGCGATCAATCTAGGCACTTCAAGTCCATTGAGATGCATGAAAATAATACCTGCTAAGTTGTCAATATACGACAGACTACGAAATACGATAGCCAACATCCCGCATGTGATTGTGTCATAGATCTAGACACCGAGAACTCAGACAGCTTAATCAAGTAGCACTGCTAACTCGCATGGGAACCAATTCACTACAGCCTTGATCTCACCAGTATCTGCAACTAACGAGGGGGTTCACAGACGTCAAAGCGCGATGTTGAAGACTCTAGATCAGATCCTAGCGGCCATGAAGCGCCCAGTGGCTATAGTATATACTCTTATCGTTTGTGGCTGTCGGGGACCTTCACAGTGGACGCTAGCTAATTAATATGTACTATGATTACCCATGTGTCGGGACTTGGGCTACAACTAACAAGGCCGGTGAAACTACAGATGATGTTTCAGGGGTTCTAGAACCGAAACTATTATTCTGTAGGAAATATGTCAAGCCACAGTGCCACACACTTCTCCCTGATCTACAGGTCTGACTGATCCCCTTCGCCCATGGGCCGAAGATGAGGAGCTATCGATGCCTATCTGATTTATAGATATAGCTTGATCAAAGTGAGGAGATCTTCACCGCAGCGCAACATCAACTCAGGAGCAAGCTCGGTGATGTCGGGGGATTTCATAGTGCATTGTATAATTGTACGGAATCCCAGGCTAGCTAAAGGAATACGGCGGCTGACTTGACAGGTTGTGCATCTAGGTAGTTCTCACACTGGAAATCGTTGAACAGAAACCCCGGACTGATTTTCATCCTATACCGGCCATATTCAAGTCGCAACCAGATCTGATCCACAACTGCCAATGAGAATATTAACGAAAGACGTCATGTCATGTCAGATGTTAAGGAAAACCACTCGTTACCGTCAACAGAGTTTGCAAGGCGGCGAACGAAATCACAGTTCCGTGTCAGAGATCATAATATAGGACCAAATATGATCTCTAACTACAGACTCTTGATCCACGACTCCGAAGACATAACCTCTCCCTGTTTCGGGAACACCTTTTCGACAAGTACCCGATGGACTTCCTCATCCCCATCCAAACATAGGTCATCCAGAACGGTTATCGAGAAGTCCTGATCAGCGGCATGTCTCACAGTTGAGAGAACAGCACCGCTGGTCGCGATCCCTGTAATGATAAGGGTATCGGCACCAAGACCGCGGAGGACGACATCTAGATCGCTTCCAGAGAATGCTGAAACACGGCGCTTTGACACGAGGATATCTTTCTCTGTGGGCGCAATTTCAGATGGAATCTGCACAGCAGGCTTTCCTTCCACGAATGCATCTCCGGCAGACGCAAGAACTCCTGCGAACATTTTATTGCTCGAAGAGACCTCCGGGTAGCCGGGGCGGAAATTGACTGTTACGTAGATGACTGGAATCGACTTTTCGCGTGCTGCGTCGATGGTCTTTGCCGTCTGGGCGAGAAATCCAGATGAACTCGGGAAGCGGGAAATGATGCCTTGCTGGAGGTCAAGCACCAGCAAGACCTTTCCCTTATGCGCAGATGCCATTGTGTTTACGGCTTGGTGGTTTGAGTTCGACGGGAGAGAACTGTGCAGTAAGTCAGAACCCAGAGCAACGCAGCAGAATGAGTCAAGAGGTGCAAAACGTGGGATAGCAGCCTTACTTAAGTGAAATTTCTAGGATAGAACAGTATCTGTGTGTGAGAAGTTGTCTTTCCAATCATCGAGTTGGATTCGTGGACACGTTACTATATACCACTCCCACGAATCCCGGTTCCGGCTCCGACACACAAATGCGAAGCGGAACCGGGATAGACTAGGTACTGTAGTATCCCACCACCGACTACTCACCAGTCGTCCACCTGCGGTAATTAGTCTGCTATAATTCAAGCACGTCTTCAAATTCCACAAGATGCACAATATAATCTATCCTCTTTTACAGGATAAACTAAACTGCTGTCAAATTTGTCCTACGTCGTCATAGCCTATCGCTAATTCACAGCCTTATATGTCAGAAGGTTATCGGTGAAGCCGGTGTATATCTGACGCTAGTTCAACCCGGTGACCTTTCCATCGTGTGCTATACATTACTATGGAGGGGCATCATATCAATTAACCAACGGAGTTAACGGAGTCACTGGAGTTACTCTCGAATCGTCTATGACTCTATCATTTACTACACATACTGATGTTCACATCAGACACCCGGTTATTAATGAAATGAAAGACACAGGGTAAGCACAATAGACAGATCCAGAAGTTGCTAGATATTACTCCAGATCACCTTCAAGGTCGATGACGGTTTGCGGCATCTGAGGTCGGGTTTTCTGACTTGGTTCCTGAGATTCGGTAGAAGCTCTAGTTGCCAATTGGTCTGTCTCAGACGTGTTGCATCCAGCAGCAGTCTGATCTGCAGTTGTCTCTTCGCGACCGATTTCCGCAGGCTCTGATTGAGCCTGAACTTCCTGCATAGTCTCTGCATGGTCTGCCATGCCTCTCTGTGATATGGGACGCTGTCCTCTATGACCGATACCTGGCGTTGCACGGCGGCTTCTAAAAAACGGCGGTCTTATTATTGGATCGATGCGGTCATTCTCAATAGCTTCTGGGCCAAAACTATAGGTGGTGGCCGGGCCCCGGGGTTCGTTGTTTGTTCGCTGGAGGCGGAAACTACTCGGGAACGGACGAGAAAAAGGATGGGCAGTGTATCCATCACTGTGTTGTCGATGGTGAGGTACGCCTGCCTGTGTAATATAAGGTGTCCTTGACATTGTTGCAGACGTGCTCCTAACCATCTCGTTTCGCCGCCCGATTTCAAGCGACCCGTTCGCACCTTCATTCGACGTATGTTGTTGCCCTTTCGAGATGGCCTGCATAGAGCCATCGGAGATAGAATGAGTACCAGGAGTTTTCAGGGCATGCTTTTTGTGCCTCGGTGCTTGGTCTTCATCATCACTCAAGAGTTCTATCTTCACTCCGCCCTGGCCCCCCCTGAGGTTGAGAGATGTACGAGCACGTTCCTGACAGTCCTCATCGCGGGCCACATGTTGGGTCACGGGCCGTTCCTTTATTTTCTGTTTTTCAAGCTTTCGTGTCGTCTTCGTCCTCTTAGCGAGCGGGATATCCTCATCCGTCTCAATATCGGCGCATTCAGCTTCGTACAGACTGCCATCGCTTTCGTATTTGGCATCTTTATCTGCCTCAGGAGGAATCCCGTAATCAAAGGAATCTTTCAAGTTGAGTTTGTCATTTCCTGGTCTCGTACTCACTTTCGTCACCGGAAATTCTGCTCCGCTGTCAAGAGTAGGGTTATCGTCGGCTTCTCCTTTCTCCTCGGGTTTCTTCGCACGAGAGGCAGCGTTCTTCTGTGACGCAGCCTTGAAATCTTCGTTCATACTTCCTTGTTCGATCTGCTTCTTCAGTCGTGAAAATCGCATCCGAGCCGCTGGTGCGTTGAGGCCGGCCTGTTCGCCGACTGCACGGAAGTCGATCTGAAGAATAAGCCCTCCGTCAGTAGGATATACTAGCAGAAGCGAATGCCAGCAGCTAAGTGAGTACTTTGGCTTTGTGTTTCTGCTGTTATCTCAGCGGAAGTTGTTACTTACGGATCTGTAGTCCGAGTTTTGTAGGCAGAGATAGAGAAAGCGGAGGTTGATGTCCAGCTGGATTTTGGATGGCATGCCAGGTAAGGCTACCCTTCAGAGCTTCTTGTGATCTTGTGGTGCTAGCGAGAATAGGATAAGAAGATTTGAGAAGTTCCGGAGTGTTTGTCTCAAATAGTATCTGTCAGAGGATAGATCAACCGTATGAGGGTCATGAACAACAATTCAGAAGAGTGCTAGATACGCAGAAGTACTCTTAAACCGAAGGAATAGGTGCAAGAGTGTGTTTCAGGCCCGCATAAGTTTCAGCGTGCAGTCTCTTTCAGGGCTCTCTGCAGGAAAGCGTTATATGCGGGCCTAGCTCTCTGTCGGATGATATCTTCTGGACAGCGGAGCATGTGTACATGCATTATCGAATAGTCCATTATTGGCACAATGAGAGAAATGTTCCTTCTTGGGGACATGAATCGTATCTTTATTCTAATACTGCATAACGCCAAACCATGAAAGAGATCCACCTGTAGCTTTGTACTTTTAGAGAAAGGTTGTGAAGGAGAACACATGGCTTTACACCTTCATTTCAACATCTCCATTATTACCCGTCGCTCCTGTAGATCCGGCCATCATCTGAGCATAATGCTCTGCGGATTCTCTGACAGCCTCTGCGAGAACCGTTTGGGCTGCACGAGCCGCATCGACGGCCCCATCAATTAAGGCCTCGTGTCCGGAGCGCTTGTCATCAGCACTTAAGGATATCCTAGAGGTATCGCCCTTGAGCCACAGCTCAGTGATCTCATCACGAGAGGGCAAGTAGCCGACAACACAAGCGGATATGATGGATTGATGCTCAGCAGGGTCGGTATCGAGCAGTAGTTTCGGTGCGTCCGGTGCATCAGGCTCCGCAACGAGGGCAGCGACTCCTCCAGAAACCAAGTCTAGACAGTCGATCCTAGCATCTGCGATGGCTGCAGAGGCAGCTGTGATACAACCAGCAAGAACGTTCATCATTCCCCACGAGGCGTCGTGCGAGCCCGGAGTATCGCCCCACCATCGGTCATCTTCTGCCTCCAACACTGTGATCGTAACGTCCAGCCCACTCTTCGGCCAGCGCTCAGCTATGATCGCACCGCGAATTGCAGTTTCGAGGTGCACCCCGAGATCGCGTTCGCTGGCATCGCGGATATGACCCTTTCGTCTGCGAGCAGCGAAAGGTGCGTATTTCACGTGCGTCGTAAGCACAAGATTCGGGGAGAAAGCCGCTGACCGTGGTAGAGGCTTAGGTCCATGAACAGTACATGTGAGTTTGAGAGCAGAGGAGGGCGGAACAAGAGACTTGGAAGTCGAGTTGGTGGTGGAGTTGGAAGGTTGGATTTCAAGATATGCGGAGCCTGTCGCAGAGGGAATGAGGCCCGTCTTTAGGACTACACACGAGAGGGGAGATGTCAGTCTCAGTTGTCAAATCAAACCCTATACTTAGGGATCATACAAATCTTTCTGAGTTCAGTAGGCTGTCTCGTCCGCGTCGGCCTCTCTGTCGCAGCGCCTGTCGCGGACTTCAAAAGCGACGCAAAGACTGGCGGCCTCGTGCCGCCGGGCGGCCCATTGATCCTTCTTCTGTCAGTCATTACACATGACTTGCTATCATATCACAGCGCTGAAGTAGTAAGAAAGTGATCGGACAGCAGATGAAGCTTCGTCGTAGCTGTCAATGCCGTCCACCTGGACGTCCCAGAAACGGAAATCTACAATTTTGGAGGGATGTTTGCACTGTTTGGTTGCTTTGGAGCTAACGGAATCGCTGCCTTTTTTCCAGCTGCCGCTCGAGAACTTCTCTTCTTTCTCCCACACTGAGGATATTGCTCTGCTGTCCAATATTATTACCACCAGCGCTCTCCTGGAAATGTGACGGGATTCGAAGCTGGTTTATCCATGCTTACTGACATTCCCTATGTAAGTCCTCAGCATCCCCTCTATCATTCACCACTTGCATGAGGAAATCAAACCAAAAATTTCTGTTCCGGCGACAACTTCATGAGCCATTGAACAAACATGCACTACCATCTGACAGTCATTCTTATTCTCGCTATGATCATTTCCAATCAACTTCATGGTGATAGGCTTGCTAATGCTCGCATTCAGGTAGCAGAATAGTCTTTTCGCGGCAAAATTTCCGTGTTTGAAAATTCAGTTTCCTGAACTAACAAGGTAAGACACACACACATATTATTGAATTATTATCTTCCCGAGCCATCCATTATGATGAGAAACATTTTTTCAGTTCTGCTTCTGCAAACATATTGAAGATAACAAAATACCTTACCAAAAATCTCCTGATACTATCACTATTATCCACGCGATTCTATCTTGCTCTCCCAAGGTGTCACAGTCATGGCTAACATCAGTTAAGAGAAACAGAATCACTCTTCTTGTAAAAACTCTTACCTCTCATAAGGGGCTGCACCACAAATCTGTTCTCAAGTAGAGGTAAGGAGACCCCATCAAGTTAGCCGGCCTACACGTTCTCTCGATTATCCCCCATTTTTCATGATGACACCCAGTCAATCCATTCAACGACTCTTTCGAGATACCGCCCCTCGAGTACGCGCTGCACCATACATGTACTCAGTGACGTCGCCCCCGCTTCCTGATACCGGACTTTCCTGGGTATTCTCTCCTTCGGGAGGGAGTGTCCCGGGAGAGGATGATAGGTTGTGAAGTTGGTTTGGAGTCACCTCTCGCTGTGTATATTGTTGGTGTCAAGTGTTATGCTTGACTTGTGCCCTTGCCTCCCTTTGGGTCCGTGTGCTCGTTTTGGGTGCCGGGTCCGAAGGGAGGAATCGGCAGGGGATGGGATGAGTTAACTGGCTTTACTGAATAAAAATGCTTCATATCGTTCATTGCGTCGGCTTTCAATATGTTCACCCATTCTGTCAGCGTTGACGGAATAACCAAGAGGGGGACTTTTTGCTGACAGTGTCGATTTGTTGTAGGTATCTAACCTATACACCGTCGAGTACTTGAATAGTGCGTAGTCGTATAGTTATTGAAAATGAATTTATCTAATGAGAAATCCTGCTCTATGCATATCCCTAGTCTATTGCTTTCATGATGATACTCCTTATGTATGTCTTATGGAAGCTATGTACAAGGTACAGAACAAATAATGATCCGTACTATGGCTATAGGGTATTCACATGTGGCCAGATTTAAAACAAAATAAAAAATAGCAAACTAAAATCGATCCTCCACACAACGAGAACGGGTCATCAACTCATCCCACTTTTTTTCTTCTGAGACACAATCCACTTCATTTTTTTAATTCATTTCTTTCATGCATGGCAAGAAGCTAGGGAATGGGGCTAAAAAAAAATTCCAGTCGTATGCAAATATAATGATACCCCTCTATTGATAGACTGCCGCCCGAGCCCGGCCCATGCATATTCTTTTCTTTTTTGATGCGGTTTTGCTATTGGAGAGGGCCGGAGAAAGTTCCTACTGAACTAGCTCACATCTGTGAAATAAATAATGCTTACTGTAAACGGATTCTGGGGGGTCTGCTGATATTTCACTCCAGCAGGGGTTCCTTTTTCTCTTCAGTTGGCGTGGTCGTTCCGTTGGACCGCGTCATGCTGTAGGGAGCCTGTAGGTATAGATAGATTTGATTAGCCTGGGTCATGGTTTTAAAGGAGACATAGTAGCGCTGAGATCGGGCCTATGGAAATAGTGTATGGGGTGGGCTTTGCGTACCAGGACTTTCTTCGCGTTGCATATCCTCCATGCTAGATTGCGGACATTGCCATCGGCGCGGACGACTTCCGGTGCGAACTCGACACCGAACCTGTCACTGGGTTAATATCATTATTGGATGGCAACTACTTAGGGCTGCTTACATCTGGCGAACTGCGAAGACCACTCTCTTTGCATATTTGCCGTCGCGCTCAACTAGACTACCGTACTGCTCATCAACAGTCTCCGGCGCAATATCGGGGTTGCGGTCGAAACAATTGCGGACGACAGGCAGTAAGGCATTCTCCACTGCTGTTTGAACCATGCCATGCTGATCTGCTTCAATTTCGTCTTCGGTAAAGCGACTAATACTGATCTCAAAAGGTCTCGAGATGGCCATAACGTTGTGCTTGCCGTTGTGGTGGTACCTGAATTCGAAAACACCCTGTGTCCACCAGAGCTTGTCGCCCGAGAAGACCATCTCACCAGACGCGAGATCATGATTCTCACCGTCATGAATTTCCGATGCTGGAATCACAACATCGCTGCTGATGATCCCTTCTTCGCAGGTGACGGAGTCAAAGGTGCCCCAGTTCGTTGCAATCCAGCGGCCTTGAGATGACACTCTGGTGACTTCGCGAGACGTGTTGTCGGTGACCATATACAATCCGACCCAGTCGTTCTTGCTGTGGTTTAAGGGGGCAGTCCACTTGACCCTGATCGGAGCTCCGTATTGGAAGACTAGATTCTTCTGTTCACCTCGTCTATCAAGAGGCATGCGGGCGTTAACACCCTCTCTACCGCTGCGATGCTCATGCTCGGCTCCTGAAGACACTTCGGTGCCTTCAACGGTCAAGGTATAGTCTCGCTGGTCATAGCCAGCCAGATCAGCGTCGAGACGAGAGATGGTGATGCGGGCAGGGTATTTCTGAAAGAGGGCGGTTGTATCTTTGACAAACGTACTAACGCCCGCGGCTAGCTTGGGCCGAGCCGCCTCGAGTAGATCTTCGACGATTTCGAAAGATTCATCAAAGATCTTATCCACACTTCCATGCAACTGCTGGAGGGACGGGGGCAGACTACGCTTCAGGCTCTTGACCAGACCGGCATCACGTCGCAAACTGCGCCCGTATAGCTTCTGCATGTGGGGACGCTCGACCAGCTGAATGAAGGCCAAACTTAGAATGTGGCTGATTATGGCAAGGACAAGAATCACTCTACTTCCTGTGATGAGCACAGCTCCCCAGACACCGGCCAGGCCTAGGACACGCTCCGGATTGTTTAGGAAGCGGTAGATGCCACTATAAGTCAGCTTTCGGGGCGCTTCGAAAAAGAAATCCCCGAAGAACCAGCCGAATTCACCGAGTGAATCGTAAATGCTGACTGACGTCCAAATCTGGAGAGCAATCATACCGGCCCCGAGAACGTGTTTCAAGAGCGCTAGGCCATAGCCCCAGTCCGGCGGGAGAGAGTACATCTTCCAGCAGGCAGCGATGAAGCTAGCATAGCACATGGTCATACTCAGATGATACGTGCCTTTCCATTGGCGCCATGCTTCCTCGGGAGTTTCGCCATACTTCACGAAGTGACGGGTCCACGCCTTACTGTTCGATTGTTGGTTCAGGACATACCCGATCCCACCCGAGTACCAGATTCTCCAAAGGGCAGCATTAAGCACAAAAAAGAACTGGTAAACCGGGGTTGAGGGCGTCACAGCAGTCAGAGTTAACAACAGAAGTTGGATGAGGATGATGGACGAATCCGTGGTCCGATACAGGTCCAGGTTGCGTAGGCCCAAGAGATTGTGGGTCAATGGGGGTTGCTTAGGAGTGAAAGTAGGTACTATGGGTGCAGGGTCGGCAGTGGCTGATGGCGCGTTAGGGATAGCCGACTCGTGCGATACTGTAGAAATAGTTCCGTGGTCCGTACTTCGCTTTCGGGGAGCTGGGGGGTTGTACGTTTTCTCGATATGAGGGTTCTCCACGAGTACCAGGAAGGCGAATTGTGCTGCATGGGCGATAATGGAGATGAAGAGCACTTTGTAGCTCGCGGCCATCAAAGAAATACCATAATAGCCAGCATATCCGACGGAATACATCGGATGGGGGGCCATTTCGAAGACCCCGTCGAATGTCAGTTCTTGGTCGATGAGGTAGAAGAAATCACCCCAATACCATGCGTAATCCTTGACGACCCGGTGAGCATCCAATTTGACCCAAAGGTTGAACAGTACGATAATGATGCCAGAGGCCCACCGGACAGTACCCATGAGCAGACTCTCATTAGCAGGGCGGCCGCTGCAAGCTAAAGCGAAGAGGCAGTACGAGACAAAGTCACACATCAGGATCAGATCCACGAGACGTCTAAATACAAGCCAGGTGTTATACTCCAGTGGCGCGTCATCGAAGGAGTAATCTTTGGGGATCTTGATCTCCAATTCACGCTTGATGAGCTTGTAGAGTTCTGGATGTGGGTTCTTCCCGGTGGCCGGGTTTACGAATATCTTCGTTTTCGCCGCCCAACGGACCAATGTCTTGTGCTGCGATTGATTGTGAAGCAACCAACCGATCCCAGCATTGTAGCAGGCGCGCCAGAAAAGGTACACGGCCGCGAATACTGGGACTCTGGCGGATGACGGAAGAAGCCAGAGGCCGGCGAAATGAAGACCGAGAATCAAAAGAACAACCAGATCCGACAGGTTCTTCGGTTCCGAAGGTGATAATAACTGAGTGACCATGTCATGCGTCTGAGGGACAGTAAAGACTAGCGGGTGTCACAGTGTTAGTACCAATCTCCCCGGGTTGTTTGACACTCGTTCTCGTTCTAGGCCCAGTTCCTGGCAGATGCAGACATGCCGTAGGCAGCCATCGCAACACCAAATGCACGACATAGGGCATCGACTGCTCTCCAAATGGGCAAGAAGCAGTTCAACAGACAGCTACTCACCTGTTCCATCCGGTGTTCGTCCAAAGGTCTTCTTGTCTTTTCCTTCTTCGTCCTTTACCTCTCCCTCGGCCATGTTTGCGAGAACTGCTCGGCCAGCGTTGAGAGCAGCCTGCTGAGAGGCAACATTTCTCTCACGCAGACCATCGTCTGCACGATATGTGCTTGTCGAGTGCCTGTCGTCCATTATGGCTTGTAATTCAGCCAACAATGGATTGAACAAATCGCTCAGTACATGGAATGCGGGAAGGAATTATTGCAGCCGGGGTTGGGGTTGTTCTGAATTGGCTTGTGATTGTGTCCGAGCGGGCGCTAGATATAGTGAGACGGTCCCTGCAGTGGCATAAGCTAGATAGGACCAAGCCCAACAAAAACCATTATTATTCAACTATCCGTGACGATGTTGTTGAATATTCATCCGTTATTATTATTAGTCGGTTTAGCCTCCGCCTGGCCGATGACGAGACCGTATTCGGATCCCCGTGGAGTCCGGACCGACCGAGTTCCTTTCGTTCGCCAGCGAAATCGGCCGAAGTGGACAGAATGTTAATAATCCACAGTGCATTCTTGGCGAGATTGGTAACTAGAATTTGGGGTTATTATTTAATAAATAATAATTATTAACTGGAGGAAGAATCCATTATTGCATCTGCTCTAGAGTATCATAGAATCTACGGTGTGTCCTTTCGGGACGGAGAATTGCCGCTGACTTGGAGAAGATGCGGGGAAGCAGATCTTGGATGGTGTTGAAACTTGAAAAAGAGAACGCTGTTTTCATCGCCAAGCGTGGATGATCAACGCTTCTAATCCTTGCCTGGAGCCTTGAGACGAGCTTGTCCAGGCCCTTGCGGCACATACTCGAGAGTATATGTGAAGGACCAGCAAATGAGATCAGATTATTGCAACTAGCCTCACACTGGAAACTGACACCTCGTGGAGATGGTATAGCCACCGCTTACTGGATAACTTCTAATCCAGGCATTTCCAAGCACAACGATTATCCCGGAAATCACTTCGTCTCTGTCCTTGATGTGGCAGTAATACCATCTCAGAGCTATCTCAGAGCGACAGTTCTCATGTCAGCTCGAGTAACTAATCTATCTACTCTCATTCCATTCTCTTCGTGGGTAACAGCACATGGTTTTGAGTTCGAGTTCGAGGCGTTCGTCTGTGGGCAGATATATGCCCGGAATTTCCCCGTGGGCATCCTTGACAACAAGTGTTTTTTTTTTTTTTTCCTTCTTCATCTTCTTCTTCATAAGTCGAAAGGCAAACATGGCTTTTTAGGGATTTTATTCTCACTCATGGAGTGGGTGTTTATAATAGTAGCGCGGCCAACAAGGATCCCTCTCTTATCATTGCGCAATTGGGATACGCAGTTACCCTATGCTGTTCGTAAACAAAGAAAAAAAATAGAGAAAAGAAAGAAAAGAGCCCTGATCAGAAAGAACCCTTACAGTAGAAAAGCCAATAATAATGAGCGCTTCCTCAGCATACTCTGTGTAAATGAGTACCGTAGCTAATCTGACGCCAGAAAAGTCCACCGTCCCCGCCAGTCGCCACCCCGGGGTTTGTCATCCCACTTCCATTATCAATCAGCTCCAGCGCCTATCAGTGATTCCTCTCTCACTTTTTCAGTTTTGATCCTTATGGTACATCGTTGTTACTCTGTCATTCTGACCTCTACATCTTCCATAACTTAAGGCGCATTTATCTTGGTCTACTTGGTTAGGTCGTCACAAGTAGAGTAGAATATCTGCGGACATGGCGCCATCTCTGGAGGAGCCGACTGCGGCGTATGTCGCAACACAATCCAAGCTCGACTCCAACCTCGTTGCTCCAGAACCAGGTAAATATTGGCTCCATGGTCGTTTGCATCGCACATTTTGTTGACTTTCGATTAGAGCACTGCCCAGGCCCCGAGTCTGAGCAAGCAGGGAAAGGCGACGCTTGCGCCGGATGTCCAAACCAAGCGATCTGTGCTTCAGCGCCAAAGGGACCCGATCCAGACATTCCTGTCGTAACGGCCCGTCTCGCTTCAATTCGACACAAGATCCTAGTTCTTTCCGGGAAAGGAGGTGTGGGGAAGTCGACGTTCTCTACGCTGCTCGCTCACGCTTTTGCCTCCAACCCGGAGTCCACGGTTTGTGTCTGCGATACAGATATCTGCGGGCCGTCAATACCCAAGATGATGGGTGTGGAGGAGGAAACAATTCATGTTAGCAATGCAGGATGGAGCCCTGTGTGGGTGACAGATAATCTTGGCGCCATGTCGATTCAGTTCATGCTTCCGTCTCGGGATCAGGCGGTCATCTGGAGGGGCCCCAAAAAGAACGGACTTATCAAACAATTCCTCAAAGATGTCGAATGGGGCGATCTGGACTATCTCATCATTGACACTCCGCCGGGAACATCGGATGAACATCTTTCGGTTAACAGTCTCCTGAAAGAATCTGGCGTCGATGGTGCTGTCGTTGTGACGACGCCCCAGGAAGTCTCCCTGCTCGATGTGCGAAAAGAGATCGACTTCTGTCGCAAAGCCGGAATCCGTATTCTAGGGCTCGTGGAGAATATGAGTGGATTCGCCTGTCCCAATTGTAAAACTGAAAGTCAGATTTTCCGAAAGACGACAGGGGGTGGAAAGAGACTTGCGAAAAAGATGGGGATCCCATTCCTGGGGTCAGTTCCCCTTGACCCCAGAGTAGGAATGGCTTGCGACTACGGCGAGAGTTTTGTGGATAACTTCCCGGACAGTCCGGCTTCGAAGGCTATCAAGCAGGTCGTACGATCAGTGAGTGAGCAGATCGGGGAGGACCCTAATACAGTGCTCCCTGAAGAAAAGGAGGAGTAATGTCATCGCCTTTGTGATGGTTCACCTCCGTCTGTTCATGGCATTTTACAGTTACTATTCTTTGCGGTTTGCATCTGGGCGGCGTTAGAAAAGAACTACTTTTTGATTGATACCAATTCGTTATGTCCTGGATACCTGCGCTTTTTTTCTTGTGAGTGCTGCATTTTATCGGTGATAAATTGATGATATTTGATAGCTTACTATATGATGGCGAGAGGTCACAGGAGACAGACCGGCTGATACTGCGAAACGATCCCTCGGTAGACTACTCCGTACACTTCAATCATTTCTCATTATATATATTCACCAGTCAGAGATCCAAGCTACGTCGTATATACTATCATTGATACTTCATACCAATGTATCCGTGAGCAGTTCCAATGTCTTTATATCTTTCAGACACAGTTTTCTGACCGAGATTTGAGTATCATCTCAAACCTATGTATCAGCCCCTGAGCTGGTGAGTCTTCCACATAGTAACTAGTAAGGCACGTGTACTAGGTATATCATTAGTCGCGATCGGAGGACGTCATGGAAGAAGCGGGCGTTACAGAGGGTAACATTGTGGTCGAGGACCTCGAACCTCTAAACGGATCGAGTAAGTCGTTCGTAAGCGATCGAGAAACACAGGACCTTATGAAGCAAGAGAAACAATAAGGCGTGTTTTGAGTCAAACCTATTCGCGTAGATGAGACGGGTACGTGGGCACATCGATCCTATCTAGTTGAGTTGCTCGGGATGAAGTTCAGATTGCCCCTTTTGGCAGTTCGTTGTTAGCGATCCTCGGATGATTCCGTCCTCTTCTGTGACAAATCTACCTGACAGCCGTTTAACCTTGCCATCTTTATGAGCATACTCGACAGGCCTCACCCCGCGGCGAACAGCTCCTGGGCCATCGGTTTCAGTACGCAAGGTGCGGGCGGCGTTGATTAGCAGGCGAGAATTGGTGAGGTCGTTTTTGGTGTGCGCGGCTCCGCGTTTCAGATGGAGGCCATCGCCGCCGAGCATACGCAGCGCCTCCCCCTGGTTGAAACATCAGCTATTCGCTTTGAGAGGCCCGGAGCGCTGGTTACTGCTACTATGGTCTTGGCCTGATACCATCACTGTCATGCTGCGAACCCACCTATAGCCCTGCTGGGAACTTGCCCTCTCCACCTGGACGAGGCGCCCGGGGTTTGATATCGCCATAGATTTCCTGTAACGGCTTTTTCTGCTGACTGAACGACGGGTGCCTGGGTCCACTGTCCATGACTCTACTTGTCAGGATGCGAGTGAATGAACGAACCCTCCAGTAGATATCCCCCATCGGGGTCCCTCCTGACCAGGACCCCTGCGATATCTCTGACCTTTCTGAGAACGGAGATGGCAGCGTGGATCAAGTGGAGTTTCGATCTCTGGAGTATTTCATAATTCTCCGTCCATATGTATACCCCTTCTATTGTTCTTTTTTAGAGCTGCTTTGACTCTGTTTTGTTCTTTTCCTTTTCCTTTGTGTGGTTGTTGACATCTACCGGAGACCTTCACACCCCGAGGTCCCTTTGTTATTCTTCCTTACCTTCTCTTCACAGCGTCGAGTCAGGACTCGGCCCTGTTTACTTTCTTTATCCAGGGTCCTTTTAATAAAAAGGGCATTTTCCCCCGTCATTTTTAGAACTTACTACTGGCCTCTGTGTGGTCTTCCAGGTCTATTCTATTCTATTCGTGACGTCGCTCAGGAGGCATTCGTCAAACATGCAGCTCTTACAGTCATTCATCTGTGTTCTTCTTCTCGTGACGAGTGGTGTCCTCTCTGTGCCCACTCGCTCTCAGCGAAAAGGCAGGTCCTTTAAGGTCGAACGGATACGTCGCACAGACTATGTTCCCCATGGTCCAACGGCTCTGAAGAAAGCCTATGGAAAATTTGGTATCATTCCAACGGACTTCGGTCTTGACGTTCTAGACTTCGAGCCTCTTGAACGGAAGCCCAAGCAAAACGCTGGCCAGACTGATGTCGCGGAGCCGGAGCAGACTGGAGCAGTGAGCGCTAAGTCGGTTCAGAATGATGCCGAATTCGTTTCTCCGGTCAAGATTGGCGGACAGACAGTGATGATGGATTTTGACACTGGATCCTCTGACATGTATGTTGTCGTTCTTCTCTCTCTCTCTCTCTCTCTCTCTCTCTCTCCTTTAGCCGAATATATGCTGACGAACACTTCTCAGGTGGGTATTCAACACAAATCTGAATGCACAGGCCCTACAGGGCCACACGGTCTATGATCCAGCCAAGTCAAAGACCGCAAAGACGTTGCAAGGCTCTGAGTTCGACATCAGTTACGGTGATGGGTCGTTTGCTAACGGTCCCGTTGGAACGGACACTGTGGATATTGGTGGTGCTGTTGCCCAGAACCAGGCTATCGGGCTTCCAACCAACGTATCCGACTCCTTCATTGAAGATACATTTTCCAATGGATTGGTAGGTTTGGCTTTCTCGAAGCTGAACACCGTGCAGCCCAAGCAGCAGAATACATTCTTTGCGAATGTTGCGCCCACCTTGGACGAGCCCGTCATGACAGCACTGCTAAAGTCTGGCGGTGCGGGTCAGTATGAGTTTGGAACAATTGACAAGAGCTTGTTCCAAGGACAGATGGCTAATATCAGCATCGACAACTCCAATGGGTTCTGGCAATTCAACTCTGCACAGTTTGCTGTTGGCAACGGAACGATGCAGCAGGTCAAGACGGCACCTATCGCGATCGCTGACACTGGTACGACTCTCATGCTTGTGGCCCCCGAGACTGCTACTGCATACTATGAACAAGTGCCCGGTGCCGTCAATGCAGCAAGTGTCGGTGGCTTCATTTTCCCATGCAATGCCGAGCTCCCTGATTTGTCCGTGGCCACTGGCGACAACAACCTTGCAACTGTCCCTGCTTCAGTCCTCAACTTCTCCGAGGTCGGCACCAACACCACTACCGGCGAAAAGGGTATGTTTGGCCATTCTGTTGTTCAGTTCGAACCCCTTCATATGGAATTTGCAGCTAACATTCTTCCCAGTCTGCTACGGTGGCGTCCAATCCAACCAGGGAAGTGAGCTCCAAATCTTCGGCGACGTCTTCCTCAAGAGTATGTTCGTCGCATTTGACATGCGTGGCCCTTCCCTCGGTCTCGCCACTCCGGCAGCATAAATCATAGGGGCGAAGGACATGAAGTCTCAGGTACGACGTTTTGCATCTGGTAGACGTACAGCTTGACCCTACAGCATTTTGCATTTGATGTATCTATTTATTCTCCAGCATGACGCGCATTTTCCTTTCTCTTGTGCCTCCTGAAAGCGCTGTAGTATCATATCACGAATAGAAACAAGGCACACACCAACAATCACGTTTTAAGGGTGTTTTTAACTTCTTGGCTGGTCCATAAACACGTACTATATAATCCGAGTTTTACTTTCAAGCACTCCATATTCTGAGTCAAGAGGTAGTGCATAAACAACACAACAGCACTCGCTGGAGACTCGTATGGAACAGAGGGATGGTTGTATATATGATAAACTGATGTTAGATATCTCATCCCGGACACTTTATTGAGTATTAAATATTGTTGTTGTGCATGTTGCAGTCATGAAACCGCGATACGAAGTCTTGATATAGCAGTTAACGGGAAACTCAATCAAGCTAAGTCGCGTGGTCTAGTGGTTATGATTCGTCGTTCACATCTTACCGATGGTGTACCGTCGAGGTCGCCGGTTCGACCCCGGCCGCGACTAGCTTTTTTGTTCTTAGATCTATATATGCTTTTTTGCTTCATAACTACAGGTCCTTATACCAAGAGCCTTCGACTTCTTTTTTTCCTCTTTAGGTAACAAGGTAGGAATTAAGCTAATAACTGTATAGCGGATTCTGGCAGAGCCGTGCGATACCATAGTTAACCCCCTGTTTTCTAAGTCAGTCACATAGTTTGAGAACAGGCCAGCCCAGCAGATCAGGAAAAGTCTCCACTGCGCTTTTTCTTCATGGTCGAAATAGACACGCAGCTGCAATATCAGCCACTTTTCTCAACCTTGTATACTAGAACAAGGCCTACGCCTTTGCAACTAGTTAATATCATACATACTGTCAAGGCGATTTGCCTTCGCTTAGGCTGAGTCATGCGGTGGGCCCGCAACCCTAAGGTAGCAAAAAGTTACCGGATCCAGGTCAACTCCATCCTGCAATTGAGTCTGGACGGCAGAGCGCTGGTATCTTTTTCTTCTCGAGGACATTCGCAATTGAGTACTTTATCCAATTCCCCGAGGGTCTCTCCCGCCACCAACCTGAAGTTCTTCGTCCCCGTTGCGACCTGGCTGCGGGTCGCCAATAATAATACCCCGCCACTCTTTAGGCCATTGACCTCACTACTGGCGTCTCGTGCCACAACTGCCCCTCCTCTTTCTCGTCTGCTAATCTCTCGATCCCTGATCTTCAACCAACGCCTATCTTTTTCCAAGATGGCCGCCGCTTCCACCCCCGAGACCTCCCTTCTCTCTCTCCTCTACCGCTCCTATCCCGCAGCCGTCTCACCGGACGCCACGGAGCCCGATCTGCTTCACGCCAGCCCGAAGATCTTCCCGCAAAGCACCTTCGGCGAGACCGAACAGGCGGACATCAAGCAATGGCTGGATACGATTTCAGGCCTGAAGACTGCCCTTACACAAGATGACAAAACTGCTGTCGGCACGACACTGGGTCAGCTGAACACCCATCTCTCGACAAGGACAACCCTGCTGGGTGCGAAGCCATCCGTTGCGGATATCGCGCTCTACGCGCTTCTTGCGCCCGTCATTGAGAAGTGGACGCCCGAGGAGCGCACTGGCGAGAAGGGATATCATCACATCGTGAGACACATCGACTTCGTGCAGAACGGAGAGCTGTTCGGTCTGCGGATCCCGGACGAGGAAAAGGTCGCTATCAACCCTGACGAAGTGATATTCGTGCCCAAGCCCATCGACCCGAAGGAGGAGAAGGAGCGAAAGAAGAAGGAGAAGGAGGCTGCGGCTGGAAAGCCCCTAGTTGTCGGCCAGACCCTGGCTGAGAAGGCTAAGGCTACTATCGCGGAGACTGTTGAGTCTGCTAGGGACGCCGTTGGCGGAGCGGCCGCCGCTGTTGCTGGCGGGGCGGCTCTTGGCCAGAAGAAGGTGAAGAAGGAGAAGAAAGAAAAGAAGGAGAAGCAGCCCAAGGCTGCACCAGCTCCTGCTGCAGCTCCTACCCCATCCGTGATCGATCTCCGTGTCGGTCATATTCTCCGCGCTATCAACCACCCCAACGCCGACTCTCTCTACGTCTCCACCATTGACTGTGGTGATGCCCCAGGTACCGAGAACACCTCAACAGATGAAGAAACCGGCAAGACCGTCCGTACGGTCTGCTCGGGTCTGAACGGCCTTGTCCCGCTCGAGGAGATGCAGGGCCGCAAGGTCGTCACTGTCTGCAACCTTAAGCCCGTTACCATGCGTGGTATTAAGTCTTGCGCGATGGTCCTGGCTGCGTCGCCGCGCGTCGCTGAAGGCGAAGACTCTCACGCCGGTCCCGTCGAACTGGTCAACCCGCCCGCTGACGCCCCTGCCGGTGAGCGTGTCTTCTTCGAGGGCTGGAGCGAGGGTGAACCCGAGAAGGTTCTGAACCCGAAGAAGAAGCTGTGGGAGACCTTCCAGCCCGGTTTCACGACCACTGACAACCTCGAGGTTGCCTTTGACAGCACCGCTGTTCCTGTACTGCAAGCTGGCGAGCCCAGCCCAGCAGCTGGAAAGCCTACTGTTGGCAAACTTGTTACGAAGTCTGGCGGCGTCTGCACAGTGAAGAGCCTGAAGGGCGCCACTGTCCGGTAATGCATGGGATTTCTACAAGCAGGAAGGGGAAGAATGAGATGAAAAATCTATACAGCTAAATCGAGCACTATGGGACGTGGATAAATCAGGAAATCGCGGTGTGGTCACTCGTCAGTTTGTGTCAAGTCCTTTATGACTTCTATTTAGCCCAACGTTATGATACCTTAAAAAAATAAAAATAGACGAAGGCCACCGAACCAAACAGGTACCGAGTAAAGTAAGCTAAATCCCTTCCCCTGTTACTTACACAGTTATAGATAGCGGACTCTCGATCTATGTCGACAGTAGCATACATATATGTAGCAAATACTCCACCCCTACTGCTTGATGCCTATGGTAGTTATTAATTGCTTAAGAAATTTAGCGTACAGGGTATTATTGCTGATACAGTTGGGATTGATTCGTTTGCTGAAATGAATTTGGCGTTTTATGTGCCAGAGACATAAATAAATATCGAGTGCTCAGCTGTTTCTCACAGTCCCGTCCATCGTCAAGAGACACGACCCCTCACATGCTGCAGATATGGGCGATGATAGATCAAAGTCGCAGAAATGTAGCATCAGCCAGGCCCCATGGGTAACGTCCATAAACATCTCCGCTATGTTCTGGCCTGTCGCGAGCGGGATTCTAGTCCGGATCCGGGGAGGAACATCAATGATGCGGACGCCGCTTGCATGTCCGATTAAGCTGCAGCAGTTGAGGACAACCTCACCTTCCGCCACAGCTTAACATCATTTCCTTTCCTTCTTTTCCCCTGTCTCTTGACTAGAGCATTTGGTCAGAATTACGACCGGCCACTCTCTATCCAATCGCTCTCCCTTTGCCTCTTCCGCAGCGTTGCAACCTCCCTAGCGTGCCTCGCGCTGTCAGGGGGCTCGTGGCCTCTACTGTCCACGCCCGGGGACGGGAGATTGCGCAACTCCCACAGATTCCTCGACTGCACATGTTCTTGATGCTGGGGAAATGAACAGGCATCCCGCCTATAAAGCTGGCTATACCGCCTATCCTCGTGGTGGGGAGGGCGGTACCTTTTCTATATCTCCCCATAGGTGAGTGGATAGCCCGCGCTGACGTAGGAAGATGTCGCGAGGGAGAAATTATACTCTGTTAAGAAGAAATCGCCTCTAACCTGATATTTTCTGAGAAGCAGATTCCAGCCTCGGTCGCAGCCGGCTCTTCGACGTCGAAAACAACTAATTCAACGACTTTGCATCATTGGCGGAATTTCGTTAGTCTGTTTGATTCTAATATTCCCGTCATGGAGAGCAGCTTTTCTCCCTGCTGTGTCTCTTGGTCTTCTCTCATCTGCGGAAGACGTTCAGTTGGAGACAGTGCGATACTATGATCTCTCCAACGTCCAGGGAACAGCAAGGGGATGGGAGCGCGAAGAGCGCGTTCTGTTGTGCACTCCCCTGAGAGATGCGGCAGCCCATCTACCGATGTTCTTCTCTCACATGCGCAACTTTACATACCCTCACAACTTGATTGACCTGGCATTCTTGGTTTCTGACTCCAAGGACAACACATTGGAGCTGTTGTCCTCGATGCTACAGGAACTGCAAGATGACCCGGATCCTAAGATGCAATTCGGAGAGATCTCGGTGATCGAGAAGGATTTTGGCCAGAAAGTGAACCAGGATGTGGAGAGCAGACATGGTTTCGCTGCGCAGGCTGGCCGAAGGAAGTTGATGGCTCAAGCGCGAAATTGGCTATTGAGCGCCACGCTGCGCCCGACTCATAGTTGGGTCTACTGGAGAGATGCAGATGTCGAGACAGCACCCTTCACCATTTTGGAAGACTTGATGAGGCATAATAAAGATGTCATCGTGCCGAGTGAGTGAACCCGATTGTCCATTCTTTTCGGCTGCGCTAACCATTCCTTGCCCTTTTCAGATGTTTGGCGACCTCTCCCAGATTGGCTGGGCGGCGAGCAACCGTACGATTTGAATTCATGGCAGGAATCGGAGACGGCCCTGGCACTCGCAGACACGTTGGATGAAGATGCGGTGATTGTTGAGGGATATGCGGAATACGCAACATGGCGGCCGCATTTGGCATATCTTCGGGATCCTTATGGTGACCCTGATATGGAAATGGAGATTGATGGCGTCGGAGGCGTCAGTATCTTGGCGAAGGCAAAAGTCTTCCGTTCTGGTGCCCACTTCCCTGCATTCAGTTTTGAGAAACATGCTGAAACCGAGGCATTTGGGAAGGTAAGCAGCCTGACAGTTTTGTGGTGTATGTCAAATTACTAACACGGCCTCAGATGTGCAAGCGTATGGGATTCTCTGTCGTCGGCCTTCCGCACTATACAATCTGGCATTTGTATGAGCCCAGCGTTGATGATATCCGACACATGGAGGAGATGGAACAAGAGCGGAAGGCGCGTGAAGCTGAGGAGAAAGAGAGGGAAGAAAGGCAAAAGAAGATCAAGGAGCTGTTCAAAGACACCACCGCTGAGTGGGAGAAAGATGGCGCAGTGGTCCACGAAATGGCACAGAAAGAGCAACAAGAACAGGCAACAAAGGAAGAGACAAAGAAGGGCTCTGAAGAGGGATCCGCTGAAAAGCCAGAAAAGGAGAAACCGGCAGATGATGAAAAGCAATGAGAAATGTCCTTTTAGCCTTTCTGTAAGTCATTCTTCTTTCATTTTCACCCCAAGTCTGTGCTAGCTAGGGCATTTCAACCTGTCCAGTTCTCAGCCGGAGTCTCTTCCTATAGACACTATCGTTTAGATGCTAACTAAGATCAGACAACTCCCTCCTTGTGCTGGAATCATCAGCCATAGTTTGACGTTTTCTCGACTGGCTGCTCCTTGAAATCTACCAGCAGCATTACAACTACGACTTTCCTATTTACTGTATGGTTATGAGGCCCCACTTATTCACTTCTTCGTATTGTATAAGCAGTTCTTTTTCTTTTGATCGGCGCACTGTTGTACCATGACCTGGCTTTCTTTCTATGCATGGCCAGCTTTCCCATTCTGGCCAAGTCATTGGATTATATGACTGGGGCATTGTGATATTTAACGGATAGATCTGATTTTACATGCTCAGGAATATGACACTGTCATCGTATTAATGGTTTGCTCTGTAGCAATTGGCTATTCGTTTGGAATATGTTTCGCCTGCGATCCGAACGTCGGTTATGCTGCGAATCATAGTATGCCAGACAGCTGCTATATTAGACAATGCATCGGTTAGTTTAAGACTATAGAGAGTATTTGAGTCGATACAAATTATATCATTGATCATTCAATAATTGGTAACCATGGTACTTCAAGAAATTTCGTGACGCCTATTTTCCCAATGTCAATCGAGAGACCATGTCACAGCGGCGGGAGATCGTTGCGCACACGCGGTTGGAGCGGAGCGGATCTAAATAGGCAATCTAATTGCGTCTTAGTCGCGGTGTCGCGCGCGGCATCGACGCGATCTCAATAATTCCTTTTCCACTTGAAGTAGACGCTATACCTCCAATAAAGACATTTTCGACATTTTTTTCCAATTAAACGACACTTCTTTATCCGGAGGAAATACAGATATTGTCTTGAACACTGTCTAAACATGTCCACACAAGCTGCGCGAAGCATACGCTTCACGCATACCTTTCCGCAGCAGGGCTTCAGATTACTAGAGCTCCCGCCTGAGATGCTGGAGCTTCTATCAAAGGAAGATGCGCCTGTGTACGTTGGCCCTTACACTCCTTTCCCTGCCTGTTTCTGGCTAATGCATCCTTCCCTCAGGTTCCATCTCAAATCACCCTCCTCCGACCTCTCCCAAGTGACCGCAGAGCCCGGTGCTCGCGAATACGTCAACCTTTGCAGCGCCACGCAGACTTTCCGGATCAGACAAGTTCAGTCTTCGAATTCGATACATATCCTTAGACCAACAGATGGAAATACACAATCGAACGATAATGGTGTCGAAAATGGAGAGCTGGATCTTAGTGAGACGGTAACGACGGTTGCGAAATGTGGATCGACATTGGAATTGCACGTGCCGCCAGGAGGATTTTCAGCAGTACCGTTTCTAGAAAAGGCTCTGAGATTATATGATCGATTGAATTGGGATGGGGATGTTTCAATGAGAAGTGCCGGGACAGAGATGACGCCTGCAGAGAGGAGGAGGTTGAAGGAGAAGTTGTTCGCCGATATACCTGTTTCTACTGCTCAGTGCCAAAGTGGATGGGATGAGTTATGTGCATTCGTGCATGGAGACGATACCGGAAATGATCAGGCCGTGTGCTGGCGGCCGTCTGCGAGGGTCAAGATGGCGGTGTGGAAGAGGATGCTCGAGGGTTCTGTGCTTCAGGGGATCGACATGGAAAAGCAGTTCCTAGCTGCGGATCTTTGGAAGGCAGTCCTTGATGAGGGTGATGAGGAGCCATTTCCTCGTGCGCTTTTTGATGCTGTTCTTAGAAGGCTGCTGGAGTCGCCAGGAGCTGACGGTTCAGAAGTGAAATGTGAGTAATTTTCTACCCGCATACATCTAAGAGGGGCCGTGCTTGCTGATGCTGTGTTTTCTGCTATACTAGGGGCAAATTTTGACAAGGATGTCTGCACACGGTGGGTGGGAGAAACATACCTGGAAGCGTTGGCACCAACAGCAAGTGCAGCTGCTGTGCGAACGGACTTCTTGAATGCCTGGAAAGATCATTTACCGGAGTCTTGGAGGTCCGAAGCCTCTCTGTCAGCATTGACAGTAAGTCTCCTTCCACTTCTTCCGCTACGTATGACATTGCTAATAGATATTATAGGATGGTTCTTACAAAACTACTGACCCTACAACGATATACTTTGTCAGTTATGCTGAGCGGGTAAAGATGAAGAGCAATGCACTAAATGGTGCTGGGGCTGCAACGGCCAAAAACTCAAGAAACTGGCATGAAAGGTTCCGAAGCCAAAGACGGCAATGATGTTCAATTCATGTGGACACTCAATTGTTGAGTTTTCTAATGATGCATTTGTTGGTTACTGGCATGGAATCAAGTAAAGTAGGAACAACCTCCACGACCCCTGTTGATAGGGTACGGTCTGAAGAGATGAATCCAGAAGACTGAACTAACGGGATTCTATAAAGATCTAGGGCTCTAGCACCAGCTGTACTTCTCATTCCAAAACCACTCTACCTGGTCACCCAGCCCCTGTTCGGCACCGTTCCACTTCAGACTGGCAATGCTGCTCTTCTCTCGGTGCACGACTTCAGCACTAGGGTCCAATATAGTAGCTGCTTTCTGCATCAGAGGTGTTGGATTCCAGAAGTCCACTCGAGCCATGTTCCATTCGCTGGCTTCGAGCTGGGCCCGGCGCATAACTGCAGCCATAGCTTCCGCGGTTGCCTGCTCTGCTTCTGCAGTGGCTGGTTCGTCATACGTCCATCGCAATATGTAGAGAACATTCTCAGCAGGCGTGTCCCCAAAATTCCTTGTCCAGGCGCAGTATACGCCTCGGTCATCCACACCTGTGCCTTTCACTGTGGGTGGATCCTTCTTATACAATTGTTCCACATAGAACTCCTCACGAGCCCAGTGCCAGACGAGATGATCGTAATCTGGGGTTATTGCCACCTTTGCGCCTGGCGACTTTTCTGAGGCTCTGCGCAGGTGCTCGCGTTCCTTCCGCATGACCTCGTCGCTACACATGCAGCGATTGATATCTTCAGACACGAGGTCTCGGACTGGAGGCAGGCTAGTACCTGGGACTCCTTGGTTATATTGATCCTTCGTTATCGGCGCAAGAGAGATATGCGAGGATTGGAAAGGCTTCCAGCCATACTGAGCATAGAAGCTTTTGCCGATGTCCGAGAACAAGACAGAGAAAACGCTCTTCTTTCTGGTCTCGTTTTCTAGTTGCCAGGTTTCAAGCCTCTTACCCAACTCCTGAATCATCCTACTTGCGTACCCCTTTCCTCTGAATTCCGGACGACAGTAGACGCTACCAATTCCGTGCGTCAGAATGTCCTCAACCTTCCCATCGTATGCAAGCAGTGCCTTCTTTTTGAACGTTTCACAAGAGCTGAGGATCGTCCTCTGTCCCTCTGGCTGCCTGCTGTCGACCAACACCCAGCAGGTTAGTGCGCCCTCTCTGGTGAGCTTTTGACTCATCAAATGGTTCTCGCGTTCGATGTACTTCTGCAGGTCTAGAGGTCCTTTCCAGGCAGTACTGTTTAACCGTATAGCCTCGATGCGTTCTTCCGGCGTTGCAGGCACGAGAACGAGATCCGGAGAATCAGCTGGTGGCAGAGCATCAACGGAACTCATAGCGGCTACGGCAGGATGATCTAATTGAAGAAATAGACGATAATTGAAGCTGAAAAGTGCCGTTTTCAGTGAGATGTAATGATAATGTGGTCAATTCTGCTGTCTCAAGGGTAGTAGTTTAGCAACGAAACTGAGCATGAATGGGTTTAATAACTCTTCTTAAGGACAGAAGGACAGATGTATCCCAGATGACTTGGCGGTATGACGCCTCTTGCCGTCGATACACATTTACCATATCTATGTTTCTCTTTGTCAAAGGTCCGAGGCCAAGCGACGACAAGCGCGGGAAGGAGCCGTATACTTTCGAACGCACATGCCCCCCTCACTCACCGCAGGAACATCCCCAGCCCGGATTGGCAGCGGACTCCGGCTCCCCCTGTCGATGATGCCTCGTGACCGTCAGGCGGGGTTGCTGACTTAGGGCTTGGGGCAGGGCCGTCTGCCGTCATGTGAATCGGGCCAAACCTCTTCTATCTACGGAGTATGTAGTACGGAGTACTTATCGTATCTCCGCTGATACACTCACGTGATTCTAGCCCCTGAGCCTCAACCAGCGTCTTTACTTCAACGTCAACGGTATGCAACAAGATGCGATAATGACGAATCTCAACTGATGGAGCAGCTGTGCTGTTGCCTCAATAATTCATTTCAGTTTCTTTCTTGATCTAGAACCACTAGACGATGCAGTTTTGGTTGTCTCATTGATTTCGTATGGCTTCACTTGCATTTCTACAGTAGTAGGCCGCCCCCCAGGCATCAATCAACAAACCGCCATCATCTAAGCTGAACTTGACAGAAAGGGCATATTTATTTTGGATACCAGGCCCCTAGCAGGCTGGGCGCCCACGAGGCTCCTGGGAATGTTGGATGAAATAAAAAAACACCCAGCCTTATACAAAGTACCTATCGCAAGGCTGAGCAAAACAAGATAAGAGAGCAACTGAAGCTATTCAGCCTCATCTAGGTACGTTAGGGTCTCGTGTGCCATCTCTTAAAAGTTTATATAAATGTGAATTTCCTGGACAAGTCGACTGGATAGATCTGAGAAACCTTTTCCTTAGTTCTATGCTTCTCTACTTCCAGGACGAGATTGTGGAATTGAGGTTTCTTCATTTGATCCCTCATTTTCCTATTTCATTTCAGGATATTATAAGTCTCCTGTTGCCTCTCAAGCGTATATGAGGATTCGATATCAATATCCTATATTTCTTATCGTATTGCCTTTTGTACTCTGCGTTTCCCCCTACATAAACACGAATAGATGTACAGGTTGGTGGATCTCCAATGGATAGGAGCTACTGCATCAGTAGGATTTCATTCTTCATTATCTCTATTTTGAGCTTTTATATCATATCATTAGGCCTTTCTGTGATCTAGATGCTGACTATTCTGACTGAAGATCCAGTCTACTATTGCAGCGACCTAGCATATCTATTTAAAATGATGCATGAAGTGGTTGAGATTTTTAGTGATGGGGAGTCCGGACCCTTGGAGACCGCTGGTCTTCTCTGCAATAACACCGCCACCACAACTGGTGCAAAAAACAACACGCGTGGATCCTCCTTCACGCAGATCGTAGATCCGGACAGTCGCGGACCCGCCCACAAGAAGAGAGTGATTCGCACTAACAATCACCGCCAGACTGCAGATATGCTCTTCACTACCTCAAAATCATCTTCAACGCGTCAGAAACCGTCAGTTTCGTCTGGAACATCCTTATGGCCCTTCAGTCGAGATGAATCTGCCTTGGAAGCTGACAAGGAGACTGCGTGTCTGAAGCTTGTCCTGGAGTTGTTCCCTGATATTAGTCGCACCTATATCAGAGAACTTTACAGGAAGTATAAGGAGTATGGCTATGCTGATGGTCCTACTACTGGTTCCAAGGGGAAAAGAAAAGCCACTGAGATAGACCCCCGGGTCATAGCTCAGAGGATCACAGAAGATGTGCTCTCTTGTCGTTCCTATCCTAAACACAAGAGCAAAACGGGAGACTCTGCAGATAATGCAGAGACTATATGGAAGGAGGAATTCTTGACTCACGAAGGTGACAAGATGTACTTTAACTCAATGTCAGTGACCCCCTTTTCTTTTTCTCTGTCTTCGTGGCTTTCTTCACTTGATTTTCGTCCCTGCTAAAAAGACTCATAGTGTGCACGTCCTCCTCGAGGCATTTCCGTGGGTCCCTCTAAGCTACATCGACCTCTTGGTTTGCCAGAAGAAAAGTCTGTACTCTGCATACCTATCTCTGTACGCGTCTGAGAACTACGACGACCAGAAGAAAAATCCCCCGTACAAGCGTCTCCCAGCGCCGAGAGGACCCTCAAGAGAGGAGGTACTTATGGAAATCCACGCAAAAAAGCCAAAATGGGGCTTTAAAAGCCAAGTGAACTCCGCAAAAAGCAGACTCATCAAAGAAAATGGTATGTTTTGTATCTCTCGTCGGTTTTGATACATAAACTAATAACTCATGCACGTTGAAGACGAGCTCCAGCGTAAAAGAGCAGCCGAGCGTGCCGAAAAGCTCAACGAAGAAGAGCACAGAAAGGCAGGATCTCTTATAGAGTGCCAGTGCTGCTTCTCAGATGTGCCATCCAACCGAGCGATCCCCTGCGAAGGAGAAGCAGTTCACTTTTTCTGCTATGGCTGCGTTAAGAGCGGAGCAGAAACACAGATCGGCCAGATGAAGTACGAGATAAAATGTTTCGATATGAGCGGTTGCAAAGCCGGGTTTTCTCGCTCTGGGCTCAGCGAGGCTGTTGGACCGGCAATCATAGCCAAGCTGGAAGCGCTCGAACAACAAGCTGAGATCGCAAAGGCAAACATCGAAGGACTTGAAGAATGTCCCTTTTGCAACTTCAAAGCAATACTACCGCCCATTAAGGAGGACCGCGAGTTCCGTTGCCAAAACCCAGACTGCAAGAAAGTGAGCTGCCGCCTCTGCAAATCCGAATCTCATGTTCCGAAGAGCTGCGAAGAGGCCAAGAAAGAAAAGGGGCTAGAAGGACGCCATTTCGTGGAGGAAGCCATGAGCGACGCCCTGATTCGGACCTGCTCTTCCTGCGGAGTCAAACTCATCAAGGAATTTGGCTGCAACAAGATGACCTGCCCATGCGGAAGGATTATGTGCTATCTTTGCAAAAAGGATATCACCACTGAGAAGTACAACCACTTTGTCGATGTGATGCCCAACGGCGTATTCATGCCCAATGCTAGAGTCAGGCCCCGTGGCTGTACCATGAACGACGAGACTCCAGCAGAACGTGATAAAGAAGAAGTTGCACGTGCTGAAAGAGCAGCCATTTCCAAGATTCGTGCAGAGAATCCTCACCTGAAAGAGGAAGACCTGCGGGTTGATAAGGACAAAGATAAGACAAATGCTAGAACCAGACGCGCGACAGTCCCCAACAACAACATGAGACCAGTAGGAGCTCCCAGGATGATGCCTTGGCCGGGACCGCGTCCACAGCCGATGATGCCTATGAACGTCGGCCCTCTTCCTCAAGCCGCCCCCTTCCCAATCGGATTTCATTGGAACCCTTACGGTGGTATGCCTGTAGGACCCGGACTAGGACCAGGACCAGCACCACAAATGGCCCAAAGACCCTTTTTCGGACCCATGCAGCCCATCATCCCACCAATGCCTCCAGCAGCAGCGGAAGAAGCAGCAGCACTGCAAATGGAGCTCGATGCTCATCTTCAAGCCCAGGGGTTCTATGGACCTGGATTTTATGGGCCGCCGCCCGTTCGACGAAATCTGAACATTGAACCATTGGGAGGGCGTCTGGCTCGAGAAGCGAGACCCGATACTCCTCGCCTCCCTGAATTCGATGACCGCGATGATATCTTTGCCCCGAATCGCGCAGGATGGCGTCGTGGTCGTTGATGAGTGGTGATTGTACAAGCGTCTTTTGGGAACATTTGACTTAAGTTGATTTTATGTGCTCTACCCAATCGATACCAGGCTGATACAGCTTCTGTTTCCTTCTACTACTGTCTATTATCCAGAATGAACTTTGATAGTAATAATAATAACAATGGAAAGTACACTTGCATTCAACGGAGGAACCTTCTCTCTTTCTCTCTCACTCTCTCTCTTTTTTTAAAAAGGAAAATCAGAACGGTTGGTAGACTTGCTTCCTCCATCCGTCTCATAGATGAGAATTGATCTTTGGCCTAGCTCAGAAGATTGTATTAGACACATAGCTATCTATCTATGTATGCAAATACGAATACCCCCAAAAGACGTTATAATAATGAGAACGTCTATCATAATGATTACAGATTAGTTCTCTTGTTACCTGCTGGGCGGGTAGGCAATGTCTTTTTTGACTTCCGCTACATAAAAGGAAAGAACTGCTGGCAAGGGCGGATTTTACCAAAAGCATTCTACCTTTTATAAGCCAGTCTGCCTTACATTCTACTCGAATATCTTGCTCGAAGATTACGCAGCCACTTACGTTCTACTTTTGAAAAGGACTTCGTTTCTCCCCTCCTGGGCCCCGTCTGTGTCTTACGTTTATTGTTTACTTGATAACACCCACTCACCTTCTTCATCGTACCTGGGAAACGCACGAATGGACGTACCTTAAATAGAGAAGGTTCGTTTTTCTCTCTCGTTCTAATATCGTGCGTCGTTAGATATGTGGCGTCTGCTGGTGTCTGCACTCCATTTCTGCCTCCTCGTAACGAAGCTTAGGATCCAGACTCGATCTTATGTTCCGGTATCTTCACTTACCGTTAGTCATTGCTCATGTTTCGTCGTCATCTTCAATCCACACTGATGTCATGCAACGCATGGGGGATGATGACAATTGAGAGAAGAGAATGCCGCAGTAGATATTTCCCCTGTCCATGCCCCCACCCACTTCCTATATTCCCTCTCTTTCTCCGTAGGCGAAAAGGCTGGAAGACGCCCAAAAGGACAAGAGTCGACTGCTTCTTCTTCCACACTGAGCCGTTTCGCTGAGGCATTCCTCTCAATTCCCCTGAACCAAGGAACGGGAATATGAAACAGTAGGAACGCAAAATATAGACGAGAACAAATAACTATTAACCACCTACTTGTAGGTACATACAACTCCCCATCTCTACGATACACGGGCTCAAGATAAAGAAGAAGAGTGAAAATAAACCAAATCAGAGCGAAGCCAAAAGGAAGTAATCGAGATAATAAAAACTTTATCTCATTCTTATTCTGAAACATCTCACGTCATTCCATTTGATTCCGTTCTTCCCGGGGCTCCGGGAATTATGCAAGTGGGGGGCGCAAAATAACAAGGACACAAGACATGAGCAAAAAAGCAAAGATGATGAGGAACCATGTGACCCGGCAGGAAGGCAAGATGTTCGTTAAGAGCGGCAGGAAAAAAAAGAAGACGAGCGACGGATATCACTGATAGAACTTTTTTTTTTCTTTGATTTTCTTCGCGTTTTCATAAGCCTGACTGGAGAGCGGGGAATCATTTCGAGGAAGGAGGAGAAGCGAAGGAGAGTTAAGGAGAGATCGGAGCAGACGAAGGCTGAATCGAAAAAAGAAAGGAAATGAGGCCCGTGATAGGAGAGATCGAAAAAATAAAATAAGGACAGCAGGAGTACTGTTGTCGACCACAGTCGCCTTTTCAGATGCGCACCCCTCACGTGTTCGCTATTCGTTTTGACGGAGGTTAGGGAAAACGTTTTGGCGAGGGAGGGGTCGAAACATGGGGGTCGAGAGAATCGCTTGATCGTTGGATTCAACAGACTTCTGAACCAAAAGTACCGCGTAGCTTTTTTTTCGGTTCCGGCTTGAATTTTCCGAGAATTGGATATTTGCAATGAAAGCAAGGGAAGAAAACAATAAACACAAGCATATCACATTTGATCAAAACGGAAAAGAAAATGAATATTTATTGCTGGGCCTCAACGTTTCAACGATGATGATTTGGCGATGACACGACGATATGTATGATGATGCACGAATTGTTAATACCGACGGTGATGCGAACAGTCTTGGTAGTTGACAACTTGATGGCTTGGAATCATGTAGGTGATGAGAGATCAAAAGAAACGTAGAAGAGTGTTTAAGAAAAAGAAAAGAAGAAGACTAGAGAGTTGACGAGAATGGTATGAGAAAGAAAAAGATGGGGAAAAGATAATGATGTGAAAGGCAAAAGCAACAGGGAAGGAAAAAATGAAGAATAGAGAATAGATAAAAACTTCCTTCCGGTCTATATGATCCCGTTTGTTTCCCAGATCGTCCGTTTCCACTTTATCCCGCGCCACTCAGACGAGAGAACCCCTCCTGCCTCATTTGTCATATACTGTCGAGAAAGATTTGCTCATGTGTGAATATGGAAGTTAAGAAAGAAAGGCAAAACAATCATGGCGGGTGTTCGGAATCCACGGGCTCTTCGAATTTCTGCCGTGCTTCTTCCACCCACAGCTCCAGACGGAGTTCTCCGGCCTCGATCCGTCTCACAGGCACAGTTTTGGCCCTCCCATTCGAAATCTTGGGCGCTGGTTGCTGCGGTTCGTTATTCCCCAGCTTGGAGACCGAGTACGGGGCAGTACAGGATCGTAGATGAATCTTCCCCGGTTCCGCGACGACCCATGTCTGCTCTTCCTTGGTGGTACCCGCCGGCGGCAACGCATCCTCTCGTACTTCAATACAAACAGTAAACGTGAACTCGTCGTCCCGCGGCAGGGGAGTTAATCGCGCACACGCAGACGCGAGTCGAGCCAGACAGGCGCGGAATTGAGCTTCTAGGTCCACCGACTGCGAGGGAGGCCTCGCGGCGGCCTTGGCTGCATCCTCTTTCCTCTCTTCGAAGGAGGTGTTGGTCTCTCCGGACGGTACTCGGGGAAAGCCCGAGAGATCGAAGGCGTATCGTTCCAGGGGTTGATTTGTGCGCAGGGACGAGATGATGACGGTGACGGCGGTGATGGTGCCTTTCAGAATCTCGGTATCGACTGCAATAGCGGCATCGTTGATATAGTCACAGACCTTGGGATGACGGGACTGGCGGACAGGATAATTGTAGGCTCGCACAGGTAGGAAGGTGGCTCGGGGATAGACTGAACGTAGGAACAGGATCTGATGGATCGAGACGCTCAGGAAGTTGGTGAAGGAGGCGGCCAGGGCTGCCTGATTGCTGGGCAGAGACTTGGGAACCGTGACGGGCGTGGAAGACGTCGTCATGGTGCTGGCGGTGGTGTCGACAGTGGTGCTCTCACTCGCCATTGCCATTGCGGTGAAAGATCCTGGGGTCGCCGTTCTCACAGTCGTGACGGTCGTCAAGGAGTCTTCGAGAATCTGCCTGCTGTTCCACCCTGAAGCTAATCATCGCTCTCTGCCTCTTCTCGACGACGCTGGAGGTTCGCCAAGCAGGGGACTTTGGGGGTGTAGATTGAAGATCTCGAGACCGGGGGGGTTGTAGTTTGGGATGGTGCGGGTTTGGAATGCGGGCGGGATTCGTGCGTGGATCGACCACGACCGGGGGGGGGAAAGATGGACGGTGGAGGAGCAAAACGGGGGGAGCCAGAGACTCTCAACAGCGAGAGAGACGGCGAGAAGATAGCAAAGCCAGGGCCGACAGGTCGATGAAAGGCCTTGGGGGATAAATTTGGAGGGGGAGGGGGAACGTGGGGATCGGAGCAGAGCAACGGCCTTGGAGGGGAAAGTTATCCAGTCGAGCAGAGCAAGTAGTAAAAGGTGAAGTCGCGTAGAGAGAGCAGTCACGTGCCTGCGTCATGGGTTGGATTGCGCTGCAGGAATCCTGGAAGGATGGATTTGATTGATGGTTGATTGATTATGGATTGTTTTTTTTTTTTTTTTTTTATTTATTGATGATAATGATAATAATAATAATTCTTGCTTATTGATTGATTGATTAGTGAGGAACTGCTTCAAAAAAAAACAACAGAGCAGCTGCTCCACCGGGCGTTTGCGGACTGACACGTAGAGTAGGCCGGCTGGGACAGGAGGCTGTCCGGATTGCTTTTATATTCTGTTGTGTTGTGTTGTGTTGTGTTGTATTGTTGTATTGTTGTGTTTGGTATTATTGTATTTTATATTATGTTCTGTCTGAGTATCATTATTCCCCCCGCTTCCCCCCTCTGGATTGCTGCTGTAACCATTCATTTATTTATTAGTTATTGCTCTGTGTTTTGGTGCTGTTTTGGTTGGTTTAACCCGTACAAATCATTACATACAACCAATAACGGTTATATAGACTCCCTCCCGCTGGTGGTAGTAGTCAATAATAATAGCTATCAGATGGAGAATACCATACGTATATATTAAGCATCTCATACCATATTGTATCACATTGTATTATATCTATCCCATCCCACGGGCTCTCCCTTCCAGTTTCCCCTAACTAACCAAGTAACTGACAACAACCGACAAAACAATCATTTGTTTTCTTTTGCTCGACTTTTACTTATTCTCTCTTTTTTTCTTTTCTTTTGACGGTAACTTATTTCTCGCCCGAGTCAAATGAACTAACTATCTGACTCTGAAAAAAAAGGCCCGTCTTGGCTTGTATGGCCCCCGTCACAAAGAAATTCAATAATTCCCCCCTGTGACCTCCACTCCCTCCACTTCCTAAAAAAAGTGAACTTCCCCATCTGGGAATCTCCCGACGCCATCTGCCTAAAAATATTATATTATTACTCTCCGAGGATAAACACGCGCCGATAACGCGTTTCTTTCCCCCCCCCTCCAACGGGTGTCCATCATCCCTGATCACATCTCCCCCCCCCGTTTCTCTTTTCAAGACGAGGGAGACGTCATCCAATAATTGTTGGGTAGCGTCGTCGTTGTTGATCTGAATCTCTTTCTCTCTCCACCTCCGATATTGACCCTCTCGTCATGGAGCAAGAGCTCCTCCCGCTGCTCGCGGACACCCAGTCCCCCGCTGCGGACGCCAGAAAGGCCGCGGAGCTGCGACTGCTGCGTCTCTACACGAACGAAACCTTTCCTCTGTCTCTCGCGGCCATCGCCTCGCACAATTCCGTTCCGGCCAACCTGCGACAGTCTGCCCTGTCCGTGTTGCGCACCTTCATCCAGGCCGCTTGGTCGCCGCATCTCGACGAATTCAAGGGCCAGGTGCTGGTCAGCGATGCCAACAAGGTGCACATTCGACAGGTCCTCCTGGAGCTGGCCACTACGGCGGATGTACCGGAGCGCAGGGTCAAATCCGCTGCCAGTTATGCTGTCAGTAAGGTCGCCAGTGCCGATTTCCCTGAACAGTGGCCCGAGCTGCTACCCACGGTGCTGCACATTATCAATAATCCCAGCAGCACGGATGGCGCGCTGCACGGTGCGCTGAAGGTCTTGCTCGACCTGGTGGATACTGGATTCAGCGAGGAGCAGTTCTTCAACGTGGCCCGCGACTTGGTGTCATCGTTGTTTGCCGTCGCGACCAATGAGTCCAGAAAGCCCATCTTGCGGGCACTGGCCGTGTCCGTGTTCCGCTCGTGCTTCGATACGTTGGAGATGGTGCTGGAGCAGCACAAGACAGTGGTCAAACAGTTCATGGACGAAGCGTTGGGAGGATGGTCGCCCTTCTTCCTGACCGTCATGAAGGCCCCGCTGCCGCAGCCACCGTCGGAAGACGAGGAGTCGAAGGAGACGGAGATCGCATCTCAGTGGAGAGGATCGATTGCCCTGAAACTGCAGGTGGTGAAGGTATAGTAGATCTGCCTGTGATCTGTGCTCACGGTTCCGACTGACCGGGATATCTATTATTATAGACTCTCATGAAGATCCGCATGATCTTTCCCGGCCTCCTAGCTCCTCAAACTCCCGCCTACTTCTCGACGATCTGGACCGAGCTCTCCAACATTCAGGGCCCCTACCATGACTTCTACATCACGGATGAGCGACAGGGTCGTCTGGAGGATACAGATGCCCTCCCCTACACACTGGACTTCCTCGTTATAGAAGAGCTGGATCTGATGCAGGCGTTATTGAAGGCTCCTCCAGTCAAGGCGGAGCTGCAGACGCAGCTACAGAATGCTGGACAGGCGGCCACGACTTCGAGCTGGCTCCCTGAAGTGATGAAGTTGGTTGTGGCTTATGCTCAGATCACCACGGAGGAGGAAGGCTTATGGGACATCGACGTCAACCTGTTTCTGTCCGAGGAGACCTCCGTTACGGCTAATATCACCCCTCGCACGTGCGGCGGTGATCTAGTGATCAAGCTGGGTGAATGGTTAAAGACGATGACCGTGGAGGGTCTTCTTGCCTACACCAGCGCGCTGTTCGCGGATGCATCTTCTACGTATGCACTTCCCCTCGCCTGTTCCGCAAATGACAGAATACTGACTGTGTTGCAGATGGAAGGCTCGTGAGGCCGCGCTGTTTATTGTCAATCAATTGCTGCGTGACTTTAGCGAGGTGGACCAGCAGATTCCACTGGAGTTGGCTAATAGATTCACGGATTTCATCAACTTCGCTATTCAGCAGGAGCAGGAGCTTCTGCGCGCTCGGGGATACCTGGTGGCAGGAATTCTCTCCAAGACTGCGCCTGACGGGTTCCAGCAGCAGGCGGCGGCTTCTTATCTTGAGGCCTCCCTGAAGGCCATCACAGAAGACCCCTCTGAGGTCGTCCAGGTCTCTTGCATTCGTGTTCTCCAGGATCTCCTGACTTCTCTTCCTCCCGCGACCACCCAGGCCCTGCAGGTGCCCGTCATTACGGCCATCTCTCAGTTTATCTCTCAGCACGATCTTCGAGAGTCAACCGATAACGATGACCTCAAGGTCACTTTGGCTGAAACGTTACGCGATACCATCATGGTCGATCCCAGCGTGGTGATCAATTCGACGGCTCTCGATGTGCTCTTCAACGTTGCCAGCAATGGCGCAAGCAACTTCCATCTGGTGATGATTGTTACCGAGGCCTTTGAGGATATTGTTGAGAGGATCGCCGAACAGGGCACCGAATCATACATCCGCCTCTGTGAGAAGGTCCTTCCATCCATGACAGGAGCGATCGATGTCGGGAGTTTGACGCAAGAGAACGCCCTGACCAACCTGGCGGTGGACCTCCTGCGCGCCTTGACGGAGAATGGCTTGTCTCCCCTTCCTGCTGGCCTGGTGGCTAGCATCATGCCCAAGTTGACCAGGCTGCTCCTTGAGTCGACAGACGGTGAACTCATCCGGCCTGCTACGCTTACCGTCAGACACATCCTTGCCCATGATTTCGACCAATTCATCGCCTGGAGGGACCCATTGACCGGCAAGGGGGCACTCGAGGTCGTCCTTGTGATCATTGATCGCCTGCTCGGACCGGCTGTCGATGATAACGCTGCCACAGAAGTTGGTCAGCTTGCGGCAGAGCTCGTCGAGCGCGCTGGTTCGGAGAAGCTGGGACCTTTCCTCCCGCAGCTTCTTCGTGCCGTTGCCCAGCGCTTGGCTACCGCAGAGCAGGCTCAATTCATTCAGAGTTTGATTCTTGTTTTCGCTCGTCTGACCCTGATAAGCCCGCGCGAGGTAGTTGATTTCCTCGCTCAGCTCGACCTCAACGGCCAGAACGGCTTGGCAATCGTTATTAGCAAGTGGCTGGAAAACTCGGTGAACTTTGCGGGATACGACGAGATCAAGCAGAACATTTTTGCCCTTTCCAAACTCTACAACCTGCAAGACCCTCGTTTGGCTCAGGTGCAAGTCAAAGGTGACCTGATCATCCAGGACACTGGCCGTATCAAGACCCGCTCGCAGGCCCGCGCCAACCCAGACCACTACACCACCGTCCCTGCACCACTGAAGATCATTAAGGTCCTCGTGGAGGAGCTTGTCTCTGCCTCTGGAAACCGCGAGCTCGACGCAGCCACCGCAGCGACTTTGGAGGAAGAGGGAAGCGATGATGGTGATGACTGGGAAGACGTCCCCGGTAATGTTTTGGATCTTGGTCTGGGCGTCACGAAGCAGGAGTTGATGGCATTTGGCGAAGGAGGCATGGAAGGTGTCTTTGGAGTTCGGAAGCGCGACGACGAGACGCAGGCATTCCTATTGGAGTTCTTCCGTGAAGCGTCAACCAAGCCTGGATTCCAGGAACTGTATGCTGCCTTGACCCCCAACGAGCAGCAGAAGCTCGGAAGCTTGGGTTAATGGCGCAGTCTCCCATTGGCAAACCCTTATCCACACACAAGGGGTCGTCTTTGCGATGATCCCATGTCTCAAACTAAAAGAGGGAAAAAATGAAAAATGAAAAAACTGAAAAAGGAAGAAGACTCATGATATCCAACACTTTATTGATTACGATGGAATGATACAGATGCAGATACACCTACAGCCATGAGATGTATTGGCCCTAGCGTGCAGAATAGCATCGCAGGGTTTGAAAACAATTGAAGAATATGATCCAAATTATCCTTTGCAAATGTAGTCAAGACTCACTAGATAGTATCCGGTACCAAAAGATATAGTGTAACCATCATTGCCCGCAGAACGAACGTCAAATCATCATAACACGCGGCCACGGCTATCTACGCACAGGTCTCTGTCCACCAAGACTGTGCAACAAGATAGATGGCAAGATGGTATCAAACGCAGCTAAGGGTATTGACAGATTGGCTCTTGAAGCAGGCAAAGTCTGAACGGGCAAAGAAATCGAAACGTGCTATATATGTATGTACGTATGCATCTATTGGATGCTCTGGTATATCGACATAAAGGCATCTTCTGGCGTAGGACTTGTTCGAATAATATGGATCAACGGCGAGATTCGACTGTCGTCGCAGGCGCTGATCGTATCCAGAATCTCTTGTAGTATTACCGTCTTTCCTTTCCAGCGTTCTGGGTCTGAGAGGATGCCAGCAGTGCTATTAGCAGGTGCAATGGGTTGGTCTATTCAAGAGATGGTAATCAGTCAATGCTCATGATCTTGCATTATATGAGTGCTTTTGAATGCGGAGGGGAAACCAACCATACGCGAATCCAATCGGGACATTTCCAGTGCTGCCTGGATTCTGGAAAGTATCTGCAGATTCTGCTCTCGACTGAGGGACAAGTCCCGGAGAGTCAGAAGCCGCTGCCGCATGTGAGGCTTGAACTTCGGATGCTCCAAACGGTCTATAAACTTCCACTTGGAGATCTCCGCTACTGCCCGACTCTCCAGGTGGCTGCGTCTCCCTCAGAAGCTTTCTCAGTTCTCTGACCTGTCTCCGGAGATTTTCGATCGTTTCCGCCTGGCCTATCTGGAAACGCTCCTCACTGTTCGTGGTATATTGGCATTCAGATTCCAAGCCGCGGGCGCAGCATGCACCGCACGGCTTTGCTCGGTCACACTGGAAAGAGAAGAGGGGAGGTCAGTGGGCCCTGGCCTGGGCGATTTGTATTGTACTCTCCATGTTCACAATGGCACACTCACTTTAACTTTTCTTTCCCTACATCTAAGACAGGATTGCTGAGGGCGATATTTGGCTTTGCCTGATTCCGAGTTGCCGGGTCTTGGGGTCTTTCGCTGGTCCATATCCCACGGGTTGGTGACTAGTTTAGAATTAAGGTATTTGGCAGCTCAACACAGTGGCTAGTTAACTATGTCTGAATGAAGGCGAATAATCGATAGACTTCAACACCTTTTTAGTCTTTCCCTCCTCTTGCTTGGGGTTGTGCCCCCCCAGCTGCATATATAGAGCGCCAATCCTCCTCATACCTAGTCCGGACTCATTGCCACATGCTACTTTGGCGATACGAAAAAAGAGGGCAACAATCGACGAGACAAGAACACACAATTACAGTATCATTATCTTTTCCCCAGAAAGGCTACGGCCGTTAACTCTAGACCATTGGCAGCATTTGTATGGACCGTCCAATAAAAGCCCATTGGCTCTCCAAGACCACCACGAGGAATCCATACGAAATGTTCCGTGGGCGGCCGGCAATCAACAAGCCACCACTATCCTGCAGGGGCGTCGCGTGGATGGACCGTTGAAACGATTAGCGTCCATAGTTGCTGATGATGCATCACAAAAGTCGATCGGATTTGCAGGTTTTTTTTTCGACCCGGATCTAGCACCCGGGTCGAATAAGGGCAAATAGCAGGACCTAGTTACCACTAGACTACCATATGTTAGAACTTAGCTGCGAATACGGTGTAGAATCTGTAGATAGTTGAATCTACTACCCATATAGATGCATAACGGGTTCGTTCCCGTGCGGACGGACCGTTGGGCCGCCCTCCGCAATGAGGAGAAATAATAGATATGGTGGATGATCCCAGTCTCCTCAGGAGGGCTTGAGCCATGCTAGCGGCGTGTCACCTAAACCTGTCGTCCCATATGTTTAATTAACCGCTTGCAATCTCGTCGTCATGTCTGTTCTCGATCCTTATTGTGTGTACGGAGTAAAGTTGTAGCCCAATGTTCGGGATAGTTAGTTATGGGTGCATTGATCTGCACCACTAGAGGTGACAAAGCTTAAAGTCAGACCCGTTCCTTGGAACGGACTCAATGGAGTGAGTCCGCTACTTACTAGAGTTATCTACGGAGTAGGTACTAGTTAATTATCTGCCCAGGTGGTTGGCAACATCCAAACTGAGGAAGGGCAATTTTATTCTTCCGTAACTAAGTAGTAAGTATAAGCGCGACATGCGAAACACATCCCGCTTACAAATTTCAGAAAGGGCTCGATAGCTTAACTAAGTCTCTGCATTGATTCTCAGGGGTAACCTACGCGCATCGCTCCTTCTCCAGCTATAGATCTGCGAACCGTTATTTAATATTGATTCCAATAATAACTTATGTTGATCCACGTAGCGGTGAGAGATTGACCAATTACTATAGTCATCATTTCTAACCAGTTAACTTAAATACACCAAGTGTCACTACCGTAAATAATGACGACAAAGGCTCCAGGAACCGTTTATTTTCCGCACGGTTTCCCTAGGGGGCAATTGATCTCGAAGGCCTTATCTTCGGATTCTGACCAGTCAAAGCCATATCCACGGAGTAATTACTCATATCGCCAGTGGCACTTACACTCCTACGAGGACTGGCTACATATGAGCCTCCACTATCTTCTGCGGCTCAACTATCTGTTGATCGGTTTCCTGTATGGAATGATACAGTACATAGTCATACTCCAACCAGAGACTGGAGTCACTGGACTAAGCCAGTCGGATAATTAAGGGTACGTTTTTAGCTCAGGGTCTACACACTATAGACTGGCCACTGAGATGACGCGTATTGGAATAATAGCCAGTTTAAGTACAAAAGCATCAGTATGGAAACGCTAGTTACTACTCTGAGTCTCTACGGCACAATTCAGCCACCATGCGGGTCATTATTTACTTATTAACCGGTGTAGATATTTTCATTCTAGATATTGTCGCTGTCTTACTGACATGCGGCCAACACTGCAGCTTACAGTACCTGACACCTGACAAGTAATTACATCGAGATCTGACCAAAGCATTCTAATTTCCTCCTAGGTTTCTGCCGCTATACTACTATTCGACAAATAACAGGCGAGGCTCTCCCTGGAATGGACCAGAAGGCTCCAATAGGAAGTCTCCCAAGAATGAGGCTAAGACCGGGAGATCTTATTCTGCTCTACAATCACGCCCCGCGGAGATATCATAGGTGGTGGCAAGCACGCGATGTTCAGAACTGGATGCTGCTTAGCATGATCACTCTCTGTCGTCACAGATCTTACACATAGACTGGCGAGTCCGTCAGAATCCACCTAAGCATCAGCTGCACCTCTCAAGGCCAACCATCGCCAAGTGGCTGGAAAAAGATGCCTTCGCAGCCAGTCACAACTGTCCGACTTTCAGGCATACTTCTATCTGGGCTGCCGATCAATCAGTATTGAAATCTAACGGAAATCAATGACTGCAACTACGACTGCCAATGATGCCCACACAGTGTTCTCGCCCTACAACAAGACCCCTCGCTTCACGCCTCCAGCTTATAACTGGTGAGAGCGCTGTTCTGTACGACGTGTCGATCCGAAAGAGCTAGATCGAAAGCGAAATGATTGGAATTATTAGTTAGATCGAGATGCCAACTACCACGAGGCCTGAGCGTAAGGCTCGATTCATCAACGGTCTTCAAGAACTGCCAAGTTACACATACAAACTACCTGCCTGATTTGGACTTATCACGGGTTCGTGAGGGGTATGGACTGGTCGTATACTGACGACTAACGATAGCAACTACAACATAGATAGAAATCACGAGTATAATGCCTTACTGGCCAGATATGAGCGGCCTGGGTACTTCAATGATCCCGATTTCTCGATTTACAGACCATCCGGATCTCACTATGGATGGAAAACGGTCGCGTTTTGCTCTCTGTGCGTCCTTCTCGGCGACGTTGATTATTAGTGCTTATATACCTGGTTTGGAGGATAGGGATATTGCTTTCTTGACGAATGGGGGTGGATGAAGAGTGGTCAGGATACTGCGGTGCAGCAAGCGACGCTGAGTAGAGATGCGACGTTTGATGTCGACGACGAGTTTGGCGAATGAAAATCGTTCGCCCATCGAGATAATGATTACTAGTATGCCATCGCAGGCAACGACCATCTATAGGGTCTCCTTACTGTGGAGGTTTTCATTCGTTCTTCCGACTGGTATGCTTTCAACACAGCGTCGAAGAATTGTTTGACTGCTACAAGTGACAATACAATCAAGTTTTTTCGAGGCTTGCGACGGGCATAATTCACAAGGATGGCAGGCCAGTGGAGCTGTAGTTAAGAAGTAGATATAACCAAGAACTGAGATGAGTTCTGCATTCATCCTTTCCTTAGAGTTGTACATATATCTGGTGTGATAGCATACAATGGTATATTGAGAGACTGTGTCTATGCATAGACATAGACACTATTCTCAACCTTGCAGAGAATACCCAACATCATCACCCTTGCCCATCGCCATAAGGTTCTTCCTCATGTCTTCAGCTCTCTTCCCCAGCCCGAACCCAGCATCATCTCTATCCACCCAGGCGCCCACTCCATGTTGCAGGACTGCTGTCGCCCTGACTTTCTTCGTGCCTCCATCCTCATCAGTACCCCTCAGCCCGACACTGCCGTGCAACGTCAACCTCGTCTCCTCTCCACCTTCAGGTTTAGCCTTATACACTCCACGGTGGAGGATATTGCTATCATAGAAAGCCGCATCACCCGGCTGCAATTCCACGACCAGCTGGTCCGGCAAGCTCGGTTCATAAGGCGCAGCATTACGCTCGATCTCAGTACGAGCACGACGATGAGACCCCGGGATCACAATGAGAGATGTATCCGGACATAAAGCGAGGTTATACTGCGCGTGCGACTGCTTGCCATGAGGACTCTTAGCGTGGAGTTGCTCCAGCTCCTCTTCTGGGGTGACTTCCGCAGAAATATCGTCACGGTGCCAACGAAGTTCAAAGTCCTTCGTCTCGGGAGCCACGAGCAGGTTGAATAGTTCCATGACAAGAGGCTCTTCTGGGTTATCCTCTGCGGTTGTCGTTGATACGCCCACCAATTCCCCAACCACCCGCAGCACTTTATCTGAAAAATAGAATTTCGCAAATTCCTCTCGCCCCGGCATATCGGGGTGTAGCAGATGCTGCACACCCCAGATACCGCCCTCGGAAGCTGGAGGCGGCGTCTTGGGCCATGGGGGAAACTGTTTGGGGACAGTGCGGAAATGGGGCCAGCCACCTGAACGTGTTAATGTCGTGGCTGTTGTGGCGGCTTCTTTGAGGGATGATATTTCCGATGGGGAGAGTAGAGATCGAACGACGACGAATCCGTCGCGTTGTAGAGCGTCGAGGTATGGAGTTGGTTGGGTAGAGGTACTTGCGGTCATGGTTGTTGTCGTCATTTTTCCAAGACTAGCCTGAAGTTCTGCAGTTTGATAACGAGAGGAAGTATGCTCCTAGTGCAGATAAACTGCAGGAGTCGATGGAATAATAGTAGTATCTAAATTGAGCAGAGTTTCGTCGAGCCAGTAGTTCCGGCTGGATGTAAGCTTGAAAGAGGCCCCGATCGCCCTGACGCTCTTGACGTATCTAAGTATACGGTGGAAATCGGCCAAGAAACTGTCCAATAGACCATCAGACTGTACTGTCGGAAACCTACAAGTTACCAGTAATCTGCGGATAGAGATCTCCTAATTGACAATCCACGATCGAGTTGTTGGTTTTTCGTTATCGGGATACCCCGCCAGCTCGATTTAGTTACCTAGGTACTGTACTTAGGTATCTGTACTTAAAGCGGGGTTTCTTTCTGATTAAGTATATGAAGCTCCACTTCCCGCTAACCTTTTCATGGCAGGTAATTATCATTAAATGATACGAGTTCTAAATATATTGGTCACTGAGAACTCAGGTAGCGTTACTATGTTGTACAGTATTTATGGTTACATGCTTTCGTGGTATCGGGCCGGTTCTGCGGGAAAAGATATCCACAGAATCGTACAGATAGCCAAGCTAGCAGTAAGGGGCCGTAATGCCATGGCTTTAATCTTATCCTGGATGATCTGAGAGATATATGAGGGGTGGTCTCTTTCTTGAAATCGATCTAGAAATGAGGCTTATCTCGTTTGATATGGATAAATCTTGCTCTCATGGTGGTATGTACATTGAGTCGTGTCTGAACGTACTTGGTTGAACAGTATCTGAAAGGCACCTGCATAGTTAATACAGCAATGGTACAGTACTATGTTTGTTATCACATAAAAAAATGAGTAAGAGCACGTATATCCCCTTTATAGAGTGAGCTTCCCATATGAGATATTGATTACATTTCAAACGTTGGGTAATCCCATGGCTATACTGTTCCAGAGAAGGGACTGCAGAAGCTATGTTAATTGTCAGAGGTCGAGCCGGACTTTGTTAGTTGCATTTCCAAGGTTCTGTTTCAAGATTCAGCCCAAGATGTCTGGTCTCATGTCTTCAAGGCTGTATATACTACAGATATCTAGGGAGTAACTGCCTGACAAACTTTTCGTGGCTATCCGCTTCTCGCAAATGCTAATCTAGCAGAATGCACAGTAGAACATGGCACAGCCACAAGCTACAGGGTTTTGCTCCGTGAAAGGTGTGTACCTAAAAGGCCGATATTCAGCAGTGCTAATATGTAGCGCCACACATCCTTACTCTCGGCGAGATACAGAATCCATGGGGGCGAATTTCGCAATGGTGTTGGCCGTCAGCCTGCTCTTTGTTCTGCGCTCAGCTGAAGAGTTCAGTAGTCATTTGCTATTTCTTTCATATGGCAATTCCGGCTCACGCGACAAAATATCCATCTCGTCGTCTTTTCCGTTGGAACCAGACACTCATATCACATTCACTTCTTTCCTTTGCATCAGTGAAATCCCCTCCCAGCGTCGCCGCCCATTCTAGCGTGCCTACCGAAGATCTTGGCGCGATCAGGTGGGGTCGGTTCCCGGTATCAGGACATAGCTGTCCTTGAGCGACTTGGCGTCACGATCTCAGTTAATATTTTGCACGTCAGATAGCTGAGGACAGGAATTCGTCAGAAATCAGCTGAAATGGCTCTGGGAACGGGTTACGGCGTCAAGCCTATGTTGCTTATCCTAGTAGTCCTGCTTGTTTTGCTCCCCTCACAGGTCCATGCCTTCGGTGCCGGCAGTATGTATTATCGTGCCTCATCAGGCCATGTTCACCATACGGAATGGAAGTGCTGATGCTCTATAGATATCGCATCTATTTCTGCTGTTGAAGGAAAAAACTGGCGCCATGGCGATATCGAGGATATGCTCAAAACAATCGCCTTCATCAAAGGCCACAAGTGGACTTCGATGATGGTCAAGCGGGTATACTTTGGAAACTGGCTAAGAGACTAGTCAGTATTATATCCTTTCCCTGCTGGGAATATGTACGGGAAACAGAGTCTATTATACTGACCTCTAATATCTGTGTAGCTCCCAAGCAATGGACGTTGGAACTCTTAAGAATCTCCCTGCGGATACGATTCGCATTCTCGTCTGGATCCTCGCTTTCCTCAGCTTTGGCTATGCTACGGAGGAGTTTGAAGTCACATCGGAAAGGTTGGGGGTATATCGTCCGGAGGAGCATATTGAGTATGTCTAAACTCCCTAGGCAGACCACCAGTTAGGCATATTGCTTACATGCTTTGGAATTACAGCAACCCGAAAGACTACGCAGACAACATAGATGCCCGTCAATATGACTCTCGCCTTCGTCCTCCAGTCCGCCAGGTTGAGCTCGATATCGATCCGCAGACCGGAATGAAGAACTATATTGCCAATGAGCATGGAGACTGGGCTACAAGCTCTGCCTACGTCAAGTACAGCATGAGCCGTAGTATCCACTATGGAAGAATGTATACCAACGGAGGCCACCACAAGGGCAAGGAAGAGGATCTCTGTGAGGCCTTGAGATGCCTAGGCCAGGGTCTTCACACGTTAGAAGACTTCGGGGCTCACACAAACTACTGCGAGCTGGCCCTGCGAGAAATGGGATTCCACAACGTATTCCCCCACACGGGTACAGCAACGCAGATAAACCTCCATGGACACCATGTATTCCCATTGGTGACGGGTACTTTCGGTATGGTCGATTTCTTCCACTCCGTGCTCGGAGAGGCTACGGATCACTTCACTCAATCAGAGGTTAATGAAATGGACATTGCTCTTGGAAATGCCGAGGCGAATGCTTCTTCAGGTCCACTGAACAATTTGACGGGGCTTCTAGGAAAGATTCCTGGTACAAAGGACCTAGTTACGGAAGCACAACACCTTAAGCAAGTATCAGATGCCCAGGAGCATGCCAACAGCAGTCGTGGTATCCACATGGGCTACCCTGATACCGGAAGTTCGCGGGGCTTTGAAGCTCAGGGTCATGGCTATGATCAAGGAAGCGGCTGGGCAGTGGACGATCCCTACAGCCAGAGCCGTGCTCCAGGGCCAGGAGGAGTCCCATCCCAGACGGGAGGCAAGCCTCCCTCGGGTTTGCCAGGATTACCAGATTTCGATCCGCAGAAGACCATTAAGCAGATATATCCTATCCTGCAGTTTAGGGACAAGGTTGTTCGGACTGTTTCATCGATAATCGAGAAGATCCCAGGTCTGGAGGCCTTAGTCGAAAAGATCAGCGAGACCGTGACGGTCTTCGTTATGTCTCTCCTGGCGCCCTTTATCCGCCCTATCATCAACGCAGCATCTAAGTCTCTGCAGACCGGATCCGCTGGTGTCATTGATGCATCGGGACAGCACCAATATGAACCTTGGACTGACCCTCATTGCACCGACCCTACACACTCGCTGCTGTCTAAGGACCACTTTTCCAATATCCTTAATGAGCCTGCTGGCAATGTTGCCGCTGAGATCCTCAAATATGCCGCTTCCCGGGTTCTGTATGCCTGGCAGCACATCGATATCCCTGTGGAAAAGGTAATGGACGACATTATGCATATCTTTCATCATCCAGCTCTAAGAGACATGAACAACGAGGTGCACCGGAACATGTTTGAGGCAGTTCAGAACTGGGTTCATTCTCGACCCGACCGCGGAGCCAGCTTTAACGACATCCTCAGTGCAGAGGGCGTCAGAGCGGGAAAGAATCAGACGGGTGGTGATGCCCATGGCCATGGCCACAGTCATGGAGCCGGTCATTCTCATGGTGGCAGCAGCTTTCCCGCTCTTGGAGGAGCTGGAGCTGGCTATAGCCACGGCAGCTATCCTCAAGCTCAATCATCCGGCGGATCCTCCCTGCCCTGGGAGAAGCTTAACAAACTGCCTATTCCAGGTCTGTCTGAGTTGAGCAAGATAGAGGGCAAACTTTCAAGCTTCCTCGGCGGTGGCTCCAGCCGCGAGGCCGAATCGAGACCTTACCCAGGTGAACATCAACCAGCTCCGCCGCCGGGTGGTCAGTATGGAGGTTACCAACAACCCCCTCCCCCTCAGCAATACGGAGCCGGTCCAGGGCCAAGCTATCCTCCTCAAGGCGGATATGAGTCCTACCACCACAGTCCAGGTCCTTATGCTCCCGGGCCTTATCCTCCACCAGAGCACAACCCGCAACAATACGGCTACCATCAAAGATCTGGCTATGAACACAACCCCAGCCACAGTCACGGTCATCACCCTCATAGTCATCATGGCCATAATCAAGGCTACGGCCACCAAGGTCCAGACTACGGACATGCTGGTGGCCAAGGCGGCTATGGATACTGATTGGTATCATTGATACGACTCACGACTTTATGTCAATGTCCAAATAACTCAATTATCTGTATTTATTACCCATTAAAAACCTTCGTGTATCTACTATTCCTTTTTCTCTCATTATCTCTCCCATTCGATGCCAGCACTCAAAATAGAATGCGTAAGCATTATTGACACCACTTTCAACAAAGCTTTGATAAAGTGCGTACAATACGTAGTATTATCTCTGTTCGTAGAAGCAGACTGTAGTCCAACACCTGCTGGAGAATCATTTCAACATCATAACTGACTACATGGAAATTCGAGATAAGCAACAACAGAACCAAGGCCAGTCAGAGGTGGGTGTATATACGCCCGGCTGATAGAATATCCCAGATAAGAGCCAAGACGAGACAAGCTTAAACATCCCGTACAAAACCTCCTCTGGCAGAAAGGGATAGATGGCTACAACATACCGGGATGGTTAAAGTCCCTGGATTACATGCTCGCGGTCGGGCTGTTTATGCTGTAGACAGCGGAAAGTAAGATGTGACCGTACCGTGCGTGTAATATTGGCATCCAGACGGTAGGAATGTCTTGTTCATTATTTTTTGGATGCAGGAGACGAGTCCTCTCAGGTTTGCACACATCTATGTTTATGTTCTCGGTATATTCGAGCGGCAGTGTCTAGTTTTCAACAGCTGAACTCAGAGGACCAAAAGTAGATGCAGGTATGTATTATTAGGAAAAGACTGTATTATCTTGGTCCAAGTTCCTCGTCCAAACAAGATGGAGGGGACCAAAAACAACTATAGGGATATCATGTTGCAATGAACGCCTGTAATATCACTCCACCAAGGCTGCCACCCAAAATAGACCAGTCCCCGAAACGCCGTCACCATTCTATCGTAATATGGGGCCGCATTTTCATGCGTGGAAATGACCCGTCTTGCGGTTGGTACAGAAAGGGCTACAATTTTGTGCCTTCCCTTCCTCCATCGCTCAATCGCCGCGACCTCGAAGAGGGGGAGGGTCCAGCAGCACTGCTTGAGCCAGAGCTCGATGAACCTAATCCAACAGCTCTTGCCTGACTGCTAGTTCCAGGGGACACGCTAGAGGACCTTTGTCCTTGGTGTAGACGAGGATTCATCAACCAATGAACTTGCATGCGAACACTGTTGAGCGCAGCATTGGTGTGGGCCATGTCCTCCATGATCCGAAGGCTCTCATTCATAATGGCCATGCTCGCACGAGCGTCCAGGTCTGTAATGGCGTGAGATAGCTGCGCGACTTCATCGCGCAGAGATTCATGCAAAGATAGAAGATATGTTGTTGCCGTCGAAGAAGAGAGATTCGACGATCGATCGACGGTGCTGTTTGATGATGTCTCCTGCGGAGAAGAGGGTGAATCACTTCTCGTTCTTCCTGATGATCTGGTACGCGACTCTGGGGGAGCACGTGTTGACTCCATCAATGTCGATTGGATGTTGGCGATGCCATCCTCCAGGATCTCGTTCCTCTGTTTGAGATGTTTGATGGTCACTTCCATTGAGTCCATCCGTGAGTTCTGCGCTTCGAAGTAAGGTCCCATTGTGATGAGCGGACAACTCTGCTCGTGGATACCAAGCTCAGCCCTTTTGAGTTTCACCGGGCACCCGTATTTCGCTGCTGGACAAGGATGAATAGCTTCCGGACAAGAATCAATATGCTCCTTCAAGGCATTTCGGAAAATAGATGCATGGCAATCTGGGCAGTTTGTTCTCAGACTCGGGCATAGTTCATTGACATGTTCCTTGTGGGAGGTTAGCAGCCTAGTCTGAATAGATGGGCAAAGGAGATCAGCATACCTCCAGATCCTGTTCCATTACCGCCTCCTCACACTGATCGCATCGATGAATAGTATGCATACATCGGTGGTCAGGGCTCATATTCTTTTTCCTCGTCTTCTTGTCACACGTCAAGCTTGGGCATGGCATAAGTTTATACTCGCAGTATTTGTCGACATGAGACTGAACGTGACCCCGCGGTATAGTTTCCTTGCACCCTCCATCCGAATAGGGGCACTTCACTAGTATATCGTCGCACATGTTGATCAGGAGACGAGGCACATTCATGAAGATATCCTTCGTCGGAGCACGGCAAGTCGGGCATGTGAAGTCCTCCGGGCTGACGTCGATAGCATTCATTGCTGAATTCAAACAGGTCTGGCAGAACACATGGTCGCACTGTAGACGGACCGGACGGATGAAGGGACAATGGCAAATCGGGCACATTAGATGTGCATCGTAGCTGGAGACGTACTCCAACGCACGAAGGTCCACCAGTTCATCCATACTCCTATCCGACCCCATTTTGGCCAGTAAATCCAACAGACTCGTGGTCATGATGTCGAGAGGGCAGAGGAATAGCAAGCGCTCAGGGGTATAAGTAGTATTCCATCCGTCAGACCACCCAGCAGAAGATCCGCCAAGTCCGTCAAGTCGATATCGGGCAAGCCTCGCAAGCAGGTACCCGAAGTTCTGGACGGTATCTAGCTGGTTCAGGCAAAGGATCGCTGTTTGTTTGGTGCTTGAGTCTAAGGCTGAAACAGTGGCTTGATGGTTTTATCCATCTGGATGTGCATTCCCCTATTTCGTTGCGACTGTCGACGCCAGGGATGTGGCTATGAAAGAAGAGAGGGATGGAATCGGATTGAGGCTGATGAAGTGTGGGGGGGAAGAACGAGCGGGCGGCGGGACGGGCAGATCGGGCGATCTAGTAGTAGTAGTAGTAGTAGTAGTAGTAGTAGTAGTAGTAGTAGTAATCATATCGCGGCCGTCTCAGGCAGCCCCGGAAGCTGGACGTCGTCGCATCCAACTTCCATCGCTCGTCTTTCATCCTCTTCACCAGCCACAGCAGACTCCATCCGTCATGTCGCAGTGATTCGTCTTTGCGCCCGTGCTTCCTGTTTGTCCTTGTTATCGAACTGTCTAGTCCTTTCAGCCACCGTCCTCCCGGAGAGATCAGCTGGCCTCTCTCCCCGGTACTTTGCGCCTCGATTGACTCGCTCACCACATTCCTCAGCCCGCCGTTCGAGATCCGATCTCCACTGCAGCACACGGAGTTACATCCGTCGCATACTGAACAAAAGAGATCGTGCCATCCGACAATTCCAAGATGGCGAATCCGTCTCAGCTTTTCCTGCTCGCAGATCACATCAAGCTGTCCTTGTTGGAACGGCAACGGGCTATCTCACTGAACCTGGAACCTAACTCTCAAGATGGTGAAATTTCGCGGTCTCTGGAGTCCTTACGCGAGGGAATCGAGAGGGTGGAATCTGAGCAAGCATCCCTGGAAGCCTCAAACGACAGCGGGTCGGCAGAGTTGAAGGACCAGATCGGACATCTACGCTCTCAGTTCGACGATCTCGCGTCCCAATTCTACGGCCATCAGGCCTCTAACGACACCACCAAAGCGCCGAACGATCCCTCCCTGGCTCCAGATTTCGCCAACGCGAGTCGGGCCTCTTCAACCTTGAAACACCCCGTACCGCAGCATCCGCAGTCCAAGTCCGTCCGGTTTACAGATGCAGCTCCAGGCATGAACGACGATGAGGATCCGAATCGTGCAGCGCTTCTGCAACCGTATCGCGATTCTCCATCACCGCCGGCGTTTGACGCGACCAATCTAAGCAACCAACAGATCCATGAGCACCACTCTCAGATCATACGAGAGCAAGATGAACAGTTGGACCGATTGGGAGAGTCTATCGGACGGCAGCATCAGCTGAGCATCCAGATCGGCGATGAACTGGAGGGCCATGTCGCCCTTCTGGATGATGTGGACGGAGCAGTTGACCGGCATCAGAGCCGGCTAAATAATGCCAAACGGCGATTAAACAAGATCCGGAAGAACGCCAGCGACAACTGGAGTATGATGACGATTGTTGGACTGATTATTGTGCTTGTTATCCTGATTGTGATCTTGAAATAAACTGGTGTGGGTTCGCTCGACTTGTTGAGGGGCTTTCTTTTCCCGCCAGATATGACTTTTGTGGGTTTTATATGGCGCTTCTGCTATTTTTCTTGTCTTGGTCAATGATGCACACCTACCCCTTGAGCTTGTGCCCTGGCGTTATGAGGATGAGGTCTGGGACTCTGTTTGTATACCGCACGATACATCTGCTGTTGGCCATGCCCAATGTACTGTCTTTACCAGTGTCATCTAGATCCAACTGATCTGTAATGCTCGAGTTGATGCTATATACGCGAGCGGACAGAGATAATAACGCGTTTCAATCACAGGATAGTCAGTCGATGGGTTAGTTAACCCTTTGGTTGACAAAGACCAACCCGATATTCTAGTATGTTTTTTTCTCCAGTAGCCCTGTGTCGACGTTGGCAGTTAGCCAGAAGCGTCTCATATTCGCCCTCCTTGAGCACCACTGTGTCCCTAGATTCGTCGCATAAACTGTCGATAAGACCTGATCCTATCCGAAAGATACTCTCGAACTAAGATTCATGTTGTCATAGTGGACACAGCATTTGTGATGCTGTAGAGTACTACGTAGTCAGGTAATTCGAGATGGCCGACATCTCGGGTGCACCCGGACGATCAGGTGACTCAGTCGATACTAGGAGTAGTCTACTGTAGTCCATCTCCCTGCAGAAAAGTCCAGTTCATACTTATTCTTATTGATCCCGGCGATCAGCATCACCATTGTCTCATGTGAAGCCAGCCATGGCAGACTCCCGAAGGAAGGTTCACGTTCACACAAAAATAGCTAGCTAGTTAGCTAGTTTAGCAAATCACCTCATGGCCTTATTAATTCCTTCACGGACCAACGGCGATTGTGGTCATCATTATCCTAGGTTCAATCGATCGAGAGAACAAGCAGGTCTTCTTGTCCTATGGTATCCCACCATGACATCATCCACTCAACGTGCGCGAACAGTCATGGCAGTAACTAGTAAATAATAATGCAACAACAGCTCCAATCCGGTCGAAAGGGAGACTCGGAACAGTTAGGTAGGTAGCTAAGGTATTCTAGAGTACTGGTAGGAGTTCTTGTCAGGGAGAGAGAACCGCAGTTTCTTCGAGGATTTGAAAACACTTGAATCTCCATCTTGTCTGAGCCCATTCTACTCTAATCCAGTTGCTTAATCTATTCTTTTTTTTTTTTCTTTTCTCCTCTCCTCTAGAGTAATTCAAATAAGTATAAAAATACACAGTGAACTGGGACAAGAATTGCCGAGAGCGAGAGCGAGAGAGCATCACAAGAAACTGCCGTATCCCTGACGTCACTGACCACCGCTCCACCAAGCAACTTCAAAGCAGGAGGAAATTCGAATACAATTCATGGAGCACCAGCTTGGAAAAAGTGGCTCTCCGTCTTGGGCAATCCTCGGTGTTCTGGCCTTCTTAAAGTAGCTCCCTTGTCCTCTTTTTCTCTCTTTTTTCTCTTCGCAGAAGAACTACACCTATCACTCCATCCAATACCTACCTACCCAACCACCATCATTGCCCTACCTTGAACCCATTACCACTTGGTAAGTAAGATTATTCTACTACTGTATGCTTCGACTATCAACTTGTGCTGGTTTCCTTCCAATTGAGCTTCGGGACCTAGACGGCCTATCATCACCCTGGCGGTTATCATCATTATCGCCGTGGATATTGTTCGACAGGCTAGCTAGAAAGCTTCGAGGAAGACGATTCATATACCATTGTGCTGTTCTTAGCACAACCAATTGAGCCTTCAGCTAACATTCTGCTTTTCCCACCAGCTCCCTCTCTGAACCGCAAAGAAAAGCATTGGGATCTATACTTACAACCAACACCTCCTATCTCGACCACCTACTTATTCCACCATGTCTTTCCTCACCACCACCACCACCCGCGCCACTCTTGGCTCCCGTCTGGTCGCCCTCCGACCAGCTTACGCCGCTGCATCGCCTTTCCACAGCTCCGCCGCCCGATCAGCCCTGAAAGAGAGTGACCAGAGTAAGTGTGATCGAATATTTCCCGTTCACGAACCAACCATTCCTTCCTAGTCAGAAAAGCTTGCAATTAGGAAATAGGAAGCTAACCGCACCTCTTCCATACAGACCGCGATGAACTGGACAAGGAATACGAGGCCCAGAAGCAGGAGCAGCTAAGAAGCACCAAGGAGGGCAAGGCCAAGTGGAAGCAGGAACTTGCAAGCAACTCTGAGGCTTCGGTATGTTCATCGCAAAAGAACAATACAACTCTCAGCAGACTCTTTTTATTTTTCAAAACTAACCACATCATCTTAAAAACAGGTCAAGGCCGACCGCGGTGAAATCGACTCGAATCAGGAAACCATCGACAAGTTGCAGGAGGGCACGAAGAATCTACCTAACCGAGAAGGACCCGTCAACAAGGCGCATTGAAACAGAGATGAGACATCGCTCTGACGGAAACCAACCTTACTAGACGGAAACTCCACCAAACCCCAGACCCCATCTCTCCACTTATATCGCGCTTCAACAAGCTCCTCCGTCCGTCATACTATCTCCAACCCATCATCAGACTGTTTCTTCCTCCTTGATTCTGGCTCTACCTTAACAACAAGACTTGAAAAGAGAAAATTCAAAGTGACTTTTCTCTCTCTTCATTGACTCAAGTGAGGGATATCCGGAGTTTGTGTACCAGTATCCACTTTTTCTTTGGGCGTTTTTTCCTCATTTCATTTGCTATGAGATAAGATATCTAGTTGCTGTGTGTATGTATTGTACATACAGATATACGGCTGGGATCCTCTTTTTTCGAAAGATGGGAACCCAAGAATGATATTTTCCTTGCGATATGATTGAAAGTTCAACCCCTAAATACTCCGTAGTGTGGTGTGTTTGCGATGTGGTAAATATAAATACAGCGATGCATACCTATCCAACAGCATACGTCTATATCTATATATATAAACATATATACCATCACAACCAACAACAACAAACCGAAATTCCAAAAGTACTCTCTATTCTAGTTATATCAAATGGCCCTTCTGAGCCCAGCTCAAACTGTGAATCATACTGCATGCATACATACTAGCCTCATCAAGTGACATCCCATTTCACTGTTACAGACCGCTACAGCCAAGTCTGCACTACTGTAATAGAGGGGCTTTTGGAAGAGCGAAAAAGACATCTCTCAGTTACTAACTAGAGATAGATGCTAAGAAGTGGGCGTGGAATCGTAAAACCTGTACACGACAAAGGAGAGTTGATGCGAATGAAAGGCAACTTTATAGGTTCAAAATCAAAAGCTCCCTGGGAGTACCCCCAGGGACTCTCCAAGGACAACCGAAAAGAAGGAAAAGCAAATGTTCGACAATTGCACAGATATGAAGATAAACAAGGTATATGGACCAATTAAGAAACCAAGCTGAACAGAAGATTTTAGTATATTCGGTATATGGCTTGCGATTAGCAAGAGACCCCAAAACAAAAGGCGAATAACTCCACACCCAGTCCATAGATTTTCTCACAACCGACCCAACCAACCAGCCATTTGAACCTGTGGTAAGTAAATGAGTATCATAGCCCTCCCCATCCTATTTCACCTAAAAAAGACACAAGAATGAAAATATCAGTGCAACAAGGGCCCAGGGGTTGCGGCCCGATGATCAAAAAAAAAAAAAAAAAAAAAAAAAAAGGACGAATCCAACCGATGCAAAACATATATCGTTTCCGCCGTCTAAACCTCAGAAAATCAAAAAGTCATTCCGCCCCGGACACAACTCAATGATTCAAGAATATATGGCAGTAAAGGACATCGCAAAGAGGACGTCCGCAACCAGCACAGCAGAAAGCAACCAAGGGAGAACTCCGTAACCAAGGCATGCGTTTGAAGCAAGTCGCCGCGTTTTCTATACGTCATCATCGCGGTCAGACCCGAGGGGTCAGGGCTTTTTTTCCCTATCCGAAAGATGAAACCAGGTATCGTCTTGTGAAGATGAAAAGAAAAAAGGATGCAAAACAGTCGAATCGCAGGCGCCGTCGCTCGCAACAGAAATCGTATGTCGCTCTGCAAAATTGAAGCATCACGAAGGATTCTAAGAAGGCGGAGGTCGTAATCGAAAGCATTTATACACAGGAAGTTATTTTTTGCCGTGTCAATGGACGAAAAATTTGGGGTTTATCGTAACAGATGCGCTGGTTGCGTCGCGAAGGTACCAATCATCAAGACTCGCGGCCCAGTGGGGGAAAAAAAAAGCGACGACGCAGAAATCACGGACGAAGGGTCATTAGACATGCCAGGGACGGAGGCCATTTGGCAGCTGCGCTGCACTAGGCATGCGGCATCCTCACCATCGGCGCTGGTTCTGCATCGCGCCGGGCGAGATCGAGGTTGGTGGGCTCGAGAGGGTCACACCGGTGTGGGGGTTGACGATCGGAATGACTTTCCTTGCGCGCACTGCAGCCGGCTGCTGGAAACCCATCTGATTAAGATTACCGTTCATCGCCGACGGCACATAGGCGTTGGTCGAAGCGGGAGACAGAGAGATGGATGGGGTGACTTGTTGGGCGGGCTGGATCTGATGCTGCAGTGGGGACGAATCAGGAGATCCGCTCGACAGTGACGATCGATCGGAGCCAGACGAGTGGATGGAGTGCAGCTGGAGATGGAGTGTCAGTCAAACCGTTGCCTTGAAAAATAGTTGTTCCGTTCAGGCAAACATCGGATCACGGCCTGACACGGGAAGGGAAACAACGTACATCGTCCTCCGTCAGCAGACCGGGGCAGAATTCGAGGTCGTCGTCCAAGTCGAACGAACGTCCAGCCTCGAAACGGGCACGGAAAGCGGTGATAGTGGGAGCCTCAGCCAACTCTCGCATGCTCTTGACACCCCTGAACTGGCGCTGCGTGTTCTGCGAACCCATGCGCGGGCCCCTCCGGGAGCGGCCGCCATGGTTGTTCGTGTTGGACACCATGTGCGAAGCAGCGGCGTGGTGGTGCTGCTGCTGGTGGTGCTGCTGTTGCTGGTGTGCGTAGAAAAATGTCGACATTATGAAGGTATATATCGGTGAAGAGCTCTGTGGTCGGAGTTACACCGGAATAAGGCTGAAGCTGCGACGGACGGCCAGTGCAAGCACGATTGCAGTCCGCGAGAATATCGGATGAAAAGGAGACGACTGGTCACGAAGAGCGGACAGTCGACAATGGCAAGAAGAAAAAGAAGAGAGTTGAGACGAAGGAGAGAATTGGGGGCAAGAAGATGGGTTGTAGAATTGTACAAGAGTGAGAAGATGCGGAAGTGGGTTGGTTGTGTGGGATGAAATTCGATGGCGGGATGAAGAAGGGAAGACAGGAAGAGGTCGCAGGAAAGAGGGAAAGAGAGTGGCAGAGTGTGAGACCGAAGGCGAAAAGCGAGAGGGGGGCTTGCTCAGTGCGAGCGACCAGTGGGGAAGCGCAAGGGCCGTAATTACCGTCATTACGCCGATTCGAGATCGACCTGCCCGAAAGCCCTCCCCAGCGCTGGCTGCACGGGGCGATACTCGGTAACAGCGCGTATCGGTAATACCACGGACCAACCAGCGATCGGCAGACGGCTGCGCGCTAGCGGCAGCCCTAGTGGCGATACCGAGACACCGTCTGGCCACCGAGAGCCAATGATATCCGCCTTCCACAGCTTTAGTGGGCCCAATACCGCCGGCCAGAGCTGGACCATGCAGCTCCCATCCAATCCAACAGCAGCCAGTGGGGCCCAACGGTGGTCGTTGACGCTCAACGCAGAGCGTGACGTCGATGGCAGCACGCTTTCAACTCTCAACTTTCCACTGCAGCCAAAGCCAAGCCAAGCCCTGCGCAGCGTTTGCCCCCGGCACGGACGGCCACGGGGGAACAACCAACGCGATGACGGGCAGACTTGCAGGGGACTCTTACAGTAGGATCTACTCTAGATAGATAGTCTACTGTGTAGTTATCGAGTCTGACGGATGGAACAGCATTCTCACACAGCAGCTAACTATCTCGTCGTGGTCTCTCTATCTACGTGGGTGGGTTTCGTTGAGTCTCGTCTCCTGTTGTTGTCGCTGTGATCCTGACACGTTCCTGCCATCGTCACCATCAGCCCCAGAAGGCGGAGTGGAATGTTTGACGTCGGACTGTGAAGGTCCTCCTGCGTGCGGTAACAACGGTATTATTGGAGTGGTAATAATAATAGTACCATACATACAATAATAATAATAATACGGGGATCATCGACCTAGCCACCTGGCACTCGGCTGGGCCAATCAGCGCTATCGAGGCTGGATCATCGAGTATTCGATGCGCTTCGCTTTCTCCATCTCCCTCATCTCGCTGCTCCCCACTACTAGTTATGCTGTCGGATGCATTAGGGATGATAACTAATAATCATAATAATAAAATAACTATAATTGTTACCATACTCATATGAGTACGATCGCCTTCCTCCCCAGCGAAACAGCGGTCACCATCCTCCTGCACACAGCCTCAGGTGATCTCGAAAATTGCTGTTCTTGGATAGCCCGGCGGCAGATCGATCCACTCCGGTGCTTTTTTCCGCCCGACTGACTTCTCCTGGCCGGTTGGGTTACTCAAGTCATCGTCCAGCGTCCGCATTGCTTTTCCGTAATGTTTCTTCTTCTGCCTGGGGGCGGAGATCTTTCCTGAAACCCGTCAAGCGACGGAGCATCCAGACTGTACCAAACACAAGCGCCGTGGCTGACGCTCATCCACTGGAATGGCGCTGCAAGGAAGCAACAACAACAACAGAGGCGCTCGAACAGTTTCACGCTGTTCCCGGAGCTTAGAGAACGAGTACCATACTCAATAATCTATCCACTCTACAATGAAGCCTTGTCCGTTCTAGGCGAGGGGAGATCCATCAGGTGTCTGTTGTTCCCCTAGCCCCCGTGATTCTTCTCACAACGCTGCCCCCGGAAAGCCCACTAGTTACCAGGTGGCAGGAAAGGACAAGGACAGACGCTATTCTACTAGTAGTACGGAGTAGAGCACTCCCAGATCCCAGATAGGACTCTCACGACTCACGAGGGGAGCCGAACCTCCCGAAGCTAGCTGGACTCGTGTCCTCTGGAGTATAACTATATGGTATGGCAGCTATGGACCAGCAGCATGTCTTCGCTGGTCCCTGGATATCAAAGTCTCTCTGCAACCCTGTGCCGCTTCGTACACCGCCCCTTTGCTGCTCTGCCAATAACAAAGGCATTGTCTCTGACATGCTCACAACAAAGTTTCCCTCATCGTACGGAGAATATTTGTCTTGGATACTATCCAAGTGTTCTTTTTGCTTTTCTGTTCTCAGACTTGGGACTGGAGGGAAATGGGTGCCGATAACACGATTATCGATCGAGAATGCTAAGTTACTCGTTGGATGCGAGATCGGCAGCACGGACATTCCGCTCGGTTTGCTACCGATTCTATCTATCTGCATTTAGAAATTCATTCGGGCGCTCAGTCCATCGCTGGTCCCTGTGTCCAATAATAATAATACTAATACAGTAATAGCGTCCTGATCGAGGTCCCTGACACGCTTTCTCCGCAAACGGCTTCGTGCTTCGGGCCAGCCTTGTCCTCGTTTCTTGGGTCGTTCCATCCAAGGTTGTCTGTGTTCATTCAGATCTTCCATCTGATTTCTGGAGAGGACTAAGTTATGTATCGGTTCCAACATGGATATCAACCCGCCCACAGAGACGCAGGCACTTTCTGAAGCCACCTAAGTACCTAGTCCAGCCAGTCCTTCTGCATACGTACTCAAATCTAGTCACTCTCATCTAACTATCTATGTATGTAGTGCCTAAGACACCCTCCCCTACCTCGCATACCCATCCCCTTCCATCGTATGTACTGTACCTGCGCACGAACCATGTCTTCCGCGTCGTTCTAGACACATACCTGGTCGAATCCCTTCAGATCCCCATACTCGAGTACGTATCGAGTTACAAAAACACAACGCTTACAAGGACATCGCCTAGGGTAGGGTAAGTAATGCTGTAGACGTTGTATCAAGGTCCCAAGGCACAACAGGACTTTGCACATTTCAAACACATTACCCTCACATTCTTGGAATCCTCGACACCCTTCCTAGGGTTGGATTGGATTAGATTGGATTCTTTCTACTATGTATGTGCTTAGTTATGATAACAAAGAAAAAAGAGAGACACAATGACGTATATTCTCTAGTAAATAAATACCGCGCAATTTGGCATGTGCTCTAGATAAATAAAGCTTCATCCACGTGCGACAGAACGTGTCCTGTTCTCTCTCTGCATGGAGTATGGTACTCGTGTGTCTGAAACAGAGAATACCATACAATATGTAGATGTAGGAACGTTTTTTTTTTTTCTGACCTAGTATTTGACTGCATGTATCAATTATGTGTGTGCATATGTACAGTACATGTTCCTGATGCATGATGCCATTTCTCGCTTCGAGCCATAATATCGGCAATATAGGCCCACCTTATAGATAGAGTAAGTAATCATTAGCCTTTCGGTTTCGAGAACTGCTACCTCTATCATCGTAGACGATATTTGGTAAATTCCACTGGATACCTATTAGTTCGTAGTCTTCCGGGAGATGTCCGCTTACAGGATATATATATGGTCATTAATCAATCCATGCTTAAGGTTCCGGTTGATAGTAAGATTTAATAGGATTAAGGATGTAGAGGATTGTAGCAGAAGAAAAAAAATGTATAACATCAGCTTCTGATCGGAGGAGATCGGATCCCATCCCATCCCTGTAGGCTACACGTCGAAGAAGATTCGTCTTCAGGATTTGATATCTCTACTAGTAGTTACGTATATTAGCGAGAATGATTGATCTGCAATCTTGGGATGTTACAGGATCCGGAGATGTCTGGACGAAATTTGATGAGAAAATACGAAGCAGTAAACCTGAAACGAGAAAGGGTTATGTTTCAGGAAGATGAAATTCATCAATGGAGATTGTGACGGCACTTGAAGAGGCCGACTGAGAAGTTCAAGATCTGACCGAGAAATCAGAATAAATAAATAAGAAAGAACCGCTTGGACTTTGATGAGCGCGCGAACCTTTCTATCCGACTTCTTCTCTGCAAGGTATCCATCTGTACGAGCTGCACGCGATGCCCTCAATAAATGTGCTTGCAGGATGTTCACAGCCAGTTATTCCTACCAAATCTGGAGATACCGCAAAAGTGTTACCGCACTGCAAGCGATTCCTATTGCATGCGCCATGTAACTAATAGATGTCCTATGTTCGTCCCGTTGCGATGCGTGTAGCTTCTATATCTGACCAATCCGTCAACGTACGCTCTTTTTTCTCGGCAAGCTTCCTCCATATAAATCCATCCATGTGATCTCTTTCCTCTTCAGTTAAGAGCTGCAGACGATCTTCAAGATCTCCATCGCCAAAGAATCTCTTATCAATTTTCGCCCAGTATACCATGTCAAACGCCCAGCTTTTTCGAGCTGCGTAATTGACCCAAAAATCCCCACTCTCCCAGCTTTCCCTCATGTGGTTCGAAAGTCGGTGTTCCTCGGTCAGAATTCCTCGATTGATTGCCACATCCTCTCGTTGTTTCAAGACACCGAGAAACGTTTCCAAGCGTTTTTCATAGTGTTGGGCCCAGTCCTGGAGACCTTCCGGCCAAAACTCCGGGAGCTCCAGTAGCAGCCAGAATGGTGGGCTGTACGCAAACCCAACCGGTGCTGCGTACGAGAACTCCCAGTCGACCGCCCCGACCACGTGAAGTTCAGCATTTGCAAGAACATTCCCTGGGCGGAAATCGTCGCAAAAAAGTCTAAAAGAGCCAGAATCCTGGCGGCACAATCGATGCTCGCGTGCAAGCTTGCGGAATAAACATCGTGCAATATACTTTCGCCGGCAATCCCCGGCCGACTCGATTGCATCGTTGCGTTGGGTAGAGAGGTGATTCATATGCATCTCCGCAAGCGCCTGATAATAAGAGGAAGAAGTTTGGAACGCATGCTGGGGAAGGAGATGTGGAGGGAAGTTCCCCAATTGAACAAGTTCGTTCATATTGAAGGTCAACGGGCGATGCTTTACAATCCACTGATCATCAAAGTCATCATCTTCCTTGGCCTTGGCAATACAACCAATCTGTGCAAACGAGTGTTTAGATAGCTGAAGCATTATATCGGCCATCTGGCTATATGTCCACTCGAGTGTTTCTTTGGAGATATTCGGGTCCAAAACCGCTCGGTCGTCAGGCGATAGTCCTGGTTTTTCGAGGACGTCGATGAGGTTAACCGCGTTGTCGATGTATTCCATGATAATGAAAGGGCCTAAAATCCTCCTGGGCTCTCTTCGGTCATACCGTAATGAAGAACGTGCGGTACAGGAATACTGGTATGACGTTCCAGGAAACGCATCACGGAGACTTCACGCCTGACCTTTTCTTCAGGGAACATCGAAGCACCCGGACAAGGGAATCGAATAATGGCGGAACCTCCATCTTTGAACTTCATCCGGAGCCAAGCATTGAACGCTCCACGTTTTGGAGCAAACAATTCTTCGGGAAGGCCACCTCTCCACTGGTCTATCAAACGGCCGATTTCTCGAAGTACGTTTTCTTGGTAAAGCGTAACTCTCCAAGTTTCAAACACATTGTCGCTTCTTTCCCATGCAACATCGTCATAGTTCATACACTTGTCGATATGGACGGCGTCAACAGCTGAAGGGGACATGACACTGGAAAAGATATTTGAAGGGACTTCTGTATTCTGGTCCTGTCACAATGTTGAATGGTCTACAAGATTTAAGAGCTCGAGATTGCTTTGTACCGATCGAAGGATGTCCATGTCCACCCCTGAGCTAGAGCTCGACAAGTGACACGGCAAGGCGGTGAGCCATATAAGTATTGGACAGCCTTTCAAAGGTTCTACGCCTTAATTGGTATTGATAACGTTCACAGGGAACAACTATGTAATGTAATTAATCCAATGTGTGTCTGAGATGTGCTATGGAATGATAGATGAGGAGTTGAATCTGGATGAATATTGAGTATATGGCGATTGATGAAGACAAATCCCTGTAATCCCAGGACGCCGATAAAGAGTACGCTATGCGATGTGAGATGAAATAGACACGCCAAAACTATATCAACCGTCATAGGAAACTGAATTGAACGCAAATGCAGGCTCCGGCAAGCGATGAACAACCTTCCTGAATGGATAAGACGCGTGTCTCATTTATCCAGATTCTTGCTCTTGACCATCCGCCCAATAAGTTCTCTGCAGTGTTTCTCACTGTACTGCTCCCACACCTCGTATAGAGAGACCAGCTCCTGTGTACATTCGATGACAGCCTTGATGTCGACTTCACTTTCTGCAAGGAAGGTGATGATTTTCTGAATTCGCGCTGGCGGTCCGGGCGCGTTCTTGTCACCCAAGGCTGCCAGTACACCGGCACCCCCTTCTCGAATGGCGCTGGCTAGCGAGGGCGGTCCTGTGCCGTGGAAGCTGGTCTGACTTGGTTTGAAGACGACGGCGACGATAATCGCCATCACAGCAATGACGTGCGGCGGATACAGAAGCGGCAGGTCTGTGAGATAGTGATCATTAATGACGGACCAAGCGAGGGCGACCTCATCTGATGTAAGCGCCAGCTCGGGCTGAAGCTCTGTCAGTGTCCGATATGGATGGTGGACAATCAGCTGTGAGCTCATTTCTGATATCAAGGAGAACTCGCACTCTCCCAGCTTGGCTACGTCCGACGAGATGAAGTCTGTAGGGCATTAGCTGTGGACGCGGAAAAGAGACGAGGAAAGCAAATACGCATACCTGGCCAGAGACCTCGCGCCTCCCCGACGACGAAGCGGATGTGTTGAGGACACTCTTCCATCTTGCAGGCGAGATAGAAGGCCGTCGTAAGCACCAAGTAGGGGTTGGTCTGTCGAATCTCGACTTTGGTATAGAATCTCTTAATATAAACTTGGGCAGTCGCCAGCGCCTGCTGTCTCGTTGTCATTCTCTTGCCCAACTTGGTCAGTTCTGTAGATGTGGGTCAGCAGAGAGGATCGGTCAACCGGTACAGTGAGTATAGCGGCCTTACGTTGGTTAAAGTAGATGCTAAGGAGCCTCAAATCTGGCAACGGGAACTGCTGATGTGCTAATTTATCCTTCTCTTTCAGGTTCTCTCTGATCTCGGATAATCGCTCCCTCGAGAAGAGCCAATGCCGACGCTGTGTAGATGCCCAGTAATTCGCAGCCATGATGTAGGAGACACTTAAGTAGATGAATGGACTAGAAAGATCAAAACACAGTTTATCAAGGAACTATTAATCAATCAACTCGAGAAAAGCCAGTCTGACGTACAAGCTGATAGTTATGGATGAATGTAAATGCGGAATAACGGAGGGGACAGTCTGTCATCAAACGGCCACGACAGGACCAGGAGCAGCCTCGACAAGACACACCATGGGATCATCACCACTGCATCATAGCATCTTGCTCTTGACGGGGTGATAAAGGCTGAAATGAACGATATAACTACTATGCCGGTGGTTGATGAAGCCAAAAGAGTCAGTCAGGCCCAAAGAGGAATAGTAGGGCTGGAGCCCTTCCAGTTAACCTTAGCCGGCTTTCGCCCGGCTGGCCGGCTATGGCGTAAGGACCAAGACCAGACCAAGACTCTGGGAACTTCCAATCCATCATCACCATTATCGCAGCATCTTGCATGTCTTGCATACTGTTACCCCGCGTGTCCACCTGCTTGTTCTGATGCGCAGCGCGTTATCGCTATCCTTGCTTCCCCGTGATCTCAGGATACCTCCTTACGACAGATCGAGCCTCCGTTCCAAAAGATAATGAAAGACGCCTGAGATTAATTTCACTGCGCCTTCATCATGCCGCCCGGCGAGTCCCAACACGAGCGCGATCAGAGGATCAACAAACTCTGGGAGACGTTAGACACTCGCCGGGAAGGTCAGATCGATTTCAAGGGTCTCAAGAAGGGATTGAAGAAAATCGATCACCGTGAGGACCATCTGTGACCCCTGCACGTGCTCCTGCCGTCGGCTGACTGGGATGAAGCTCTTAAAAATGCAGATGATATGCTCCGCAGTGTGCTGCAGACGGTAGATACCAGCGGCGATGGACATATCCAATATTCTGGTACGATCATCGGCGCTTTAGCCTTCTGGCCGCATGCCGATTTTGCTCGTGCCAACTAACCATCGTCAGAATTCCGCGTGTTTGTCGACTTTGCTGAGAAAGAACTATGGAGGTTGTTCGAGAGCATCGATAGAAACCATAACGGTGAGATCGACAAGGATGAACTAAGGACCGCCTTCTCCAAGGCTGGAGTCACCGTCTCGAGCGCAAAGTTCGACGAATTTTTTCAAGAGGTGGATACCAACAGGGATGGCGTTATCACATATGAGGAGTGGAGGTATGCGCATACTGGTCAAGTGCAATTAGTGAATCATCCGACTGATCACACCCAGGGACTTCCTCCTCTTCTTGCCCGTCAAACCGTCGTCCGACTTGCGCGCAGTCCTCTCATACTATTCGGCCATTGGAAATCTAAACCCGGAGGGCGACGTCCACATCAATGATCTGCAGGGTTTAGGTATAGACCTCTCGTTTCTTAAACGTTTCCTCCTAGCCATCAGGAAATTCCTGTACTACGTATTCCAAGCCCCGATCTCACAATTCTGCACCACTCGACCTACGGATCTTGGCGAGCGATACACATTGGAATCCAAGTCCAACCCTGATCTGGTATCTCTGGATGGCGACTTCGAATTGGAATGGTTGCCCTTGCCCCGGACTGTAGCCATGTGGATGTCATTCCGATATTATGAACAGAAGTTGACGGAGAACACGCCTCAATTAGGTTACTTCATTGCTGGCGGAATTGCTGGCGTCGTCTCACGGACAGCGACAGCCCCTCTCGATCGTCTTAAAGTTTACCTCATCGCTCAGACCGGCGTCAGGCAGGAGGCTGTCCATGCGGCGAAGAAAGGGGCACCGCTTCAAGCGGCGGGAAAGGCTTCAAGGACACTTCTCGTTGCCATCCAAGATCTTTGGAGAGCAGGTGGCATCAGGAGTCTGTTTGCAGGTTCGTTTCCCCACAGAAAGGCCCGAGACATTCAGAGTGGACCAACTAACGGACGCAGGAAATGGCTTGAATGTCGTGAAGGTTATGCCAGAATCTGCTATTAAGTTTGGTGCTTATGAGGTAAGTAAATCGATTCGATGTCTATTGGCCCTGTTGTTGACCATAAAGGCATCAAAACGAGCGTTCGCTCGACTAGAAGGCCATAACGACACAAAGAAACTGCTTCCAACGTCACAGTTTCTATCAGGTGGCCTTGGTGGAATGGTCGCTCAGTATGTTGCTATGTTCCTGAATCTAACTGGTACTGGTGCTGACGTTCACGAGGTGTTTCGCTTACCCGATCGACACCCTTAAGTTGTAAGTTATCTAGGTTCACCCCGATGTTCTATGAATGAGATGCTTATTGTTTCCAGTCGCATGCAGTGTGAAACGGTTGAGGGTGGTTTGAAAGGGAACAAACTCATCGTTGCCACGGCCAGGAAAGTCATACAGCAGTATGGCGTGTATGGCTTCTTTCGCGGTTTGCCGCTGGGCCTTATTGGCATGTTCCCCTACGCGGCTATCGACCTCACCACGTTTGAATATCTGAAGAGAGGCCTCCTCGCGCGCAAGGCTCGTATCCATGGCTGCCATGAAGATGATGTCCCTCTCAACAATTTCACCACTGGTGCTATTGGTGCCTTCAGTGGTGCCCTGAGCGCTTCCATCGTCTACCCGTTGAATGTTCTGAGAACCCGGTTACAGGCACAAGGAACGGTCCTTCATCCCCGAACCTACGACGGCATCCTCGATGTTGCACGAAAAACTCTCCAAGCTGAAGGAGTTCCCGGTCTCTACAGAGGTATTACACCTAACCTGCTGAAAGTTGCTCCGGCGGTCTCTATCAGCTATGTCGTCTACGAAAACGCGAAAAGATTACTGGGTCTGAGGTGATGGCTTGTCCTTAAGAGCTCATTCACTGCTCGTCTCGGATGTCAGACGGGTTAGATGCTTAGGGGTCCGTTCAGATGTAATCGGTTTCATCTCTGAGCGGCCCTATCCTTCTTTCTTTTGAAACCTTTAGATACCCACAGGACCATCCTCGGGGTGGTGAAGGCGCAACTGATTATGCCGCCGCAAATTTTTTTTCTGTTTTGCTACAGATGATACCGCATCTGACAGCGTCACTTTGTCTAGAAGTCTACTTGTTCGCTTTTTGTCCGGTCTTGCACACGGTCCATTTTTGGCATTCTGTCATCTTTTCTCCGATCCAGCGGCGTGCATATCCGAGTCATCTGATCAGACGACTTCCATCTGCCGAGGCAAATGTATGTATAAAACTTGTTTTCATCTTTTGACACCAACTGCACATAGACAGCATAGCATGGCGTGACTTGGCTCGGTGTCCTCAAATATAGGAGGATTTTTGATTTACGTGGAACACAATCTTTCATATATACAGGAGGTCTATACTCCGTTTTCGAAAGATGAACGTTTTGTATTTTAACGACTTAACCTACGTCATGCTTGGTCACCTTGACATTTATGGCGCCTAGATAGAACGCACGTCGCCATATTGGAGGATACAGTGCACTTAATTTACGTTATTCTTTATTTTCGTTTTTTCCAGCTTCGCGCATACTTGCTTGTATCTGATCATTCCATTCCATTCATTATTCTCATGATATCTTATACATCAGATGGCTCGAGCTGGTCGTAACATTCAATGGAACCCTTTACTTCCTCACTGCCGCGACCTCTTGATCCTTCGGCAGAATATCCGGCACAGGTCCCACGGGGGTGATCGCAAACTGGTTAATCTGTGCATGACTCTTCGTATAATGCTTCTTGATGTGCTCAAACTGGGTCGTCTCCTTGAAAGCCGGAATATCCCAATACAGCGCTCTCAACCAACGATGAATAGCCGGGTATCCGGATCTGATATCGCGAATATTGCACTTGAAATGCTGGACGTACACGGGATCAAAGCGGATAACAGTCGTGTAGAGACGAACATCAGCCTCAGTGACAGAGTCGCCGAAGTAGAAGGGCGAGGAAGACTTGGCTTGACGCTCTGCCAGATGAGCTTCAATCCGATCAAGGGATGAGAAGAGCGTCTTGACGGCCTTCTCGTAGGCTTCTTGTGTGGTAGCGAAGCCGGACTTGTACACGCCGTTGTTGACGTCGTTGTAGGTCCAGTCGTTAGTCGCTTCGATCTCGGAGCGAAGAGATGGAGGGAAGAGATCGACTTTCTTGTACTTTTCGGGAAGGAGGTCATCGAATTCGTAGTAGAACATGCGGATGATCTCGGAGCTCTATCTGATTGTTAGATTTGCAGGACTGACTGGAGTCTTTCAAATAGATGCTGGAAAAACAATACATACCTCGTTGCTCACGATACGCTTCGTCTTCTTATCGTACAAAGTAGGAACGGTGAATCTTCCCTTATACTCGGGATCTACCGAGAAATAGATATCCCGAAGATGAGTAAACTCCGGGTGAATAGGGTCAGGGGTGACATTGTCACCGGGGACATTCTCATCGGGCGTCGCAAACCGCCATCCTTTCCAAAAAGTCAACACGGGAACAGTTTTCCTTATTAAGAAGAGCAAAAAAAAAAAAAAAAAAAGATAAGATAATCAGTCGAGGGGAAAATGCCACGAACCTTTCTCTCCCATATGCCAGTGCACGGCTGTATACGGGATGATATCCTCAAGACCCTTGAGTTTGCGGACAATCAATGTTCTATGCGCTATAGTTTTTTTTTTTTGACTCGTTGTCAGTCTTTTTCTGATAAGCATAGACAGACAACACAACCCAAACTCATCACATCCTATCCTTTTCTCTTCCTCCCCAGCAATTCTGGGGTCACTTGGCCAGGATAAGGGTCATGGGAACGCAATCAAAATTGAATCAGAAAAACAATAAAACATACCCCAAGGACAGGCATGTGAGACGTAGAGATGGTATCGATCCTTCTCAGGCGGGAATGTTGCGCCGGGCTCTCGCGAGATCCAGTTACGGAAAACGGACGCTCCGCGCTTGAACTCGCCGGACTTGTCTTTGGGATCAACCCAATCGGTGATCTTTCCCGTCTGAATGGAGAAGATTAGAATCGATAATTGTGGGAGAGCAATGGAAAGAAACAGGATGAGAGGGAGCAAAGGAAACAGGCAATGGAGGGGGTGCACGTACCGACATAGTTCTTGCGCCGGGGTTGAATGCGGAGATGCGTGCGGAGACGGAAAAAGTGGCAAAGCTGGGGCGCTTTGGCGATTGAAGATGGTAGAGCAGCTGAGTAGATCGCAGCAGTGAACGATGCATGAAATCTGTCTGAGACTCAGCAAAAGATCAGTTGTAGCAAGCTGGCGCAGTCGTGGTTTTTGTCAGCTTCTACAGAGCTCGATGCGATGACGCTGTGGAGCAGTCACTCGGCGCCTTCTGGCTGACTGAAGATTCGCTAAGTATTTAGTTGACGTTAGTTAACTCCCTAACCGGACATGCGGGATGACAAAGCGATAACAAAGCAGATCTAGAGCTGAGCAATTGTTACTAACTGAGCCCGTCGCCTGTTCGTACTCATTATTCAGCATGTATGTGGCTAACTAAGCCACGGATTTACGCAAAATAGAAACAGAAACTACATAGGATTGATTCTATTCCACGGTATCAACATGAATCATTCTCGCGTAAACTAGCTCCCCGGAGAAACCCGACCACATTGGACTACTTCCGCAGCTTGACCATCACATAAGGAATCTCCACGTCTTCTCCGCTCTGGTCGTCAGCGGTAACCTCGAAGATGACGTTCTTCTGGTGCTCGGGAATCGGTTTCTTGCTGATGTGCTCAAGAAGCTTGCTCATCCTGTAAGGCCAAAGTTAGCATTCGCACACACATCATTGAACAAAAGGGGTACATACGGCATGGGAAGACGGTCCTTGACCTTGCTTCCGCCATAGAAGCTGGCATAGAGCAAGCTGACTCCGGAGCTGACCATGCTGATCTCCAGTCCAAGATCCTCGAAGTGCTTGAGGAAGTCCTGCAGGGGAATATCATCGACCTCAAAACGGTCCCAGAGCTTGTCGATGGTGACTTCGCCGTTCTTGCCCTGGTACTTGCCCTTGGGGCTGGCAATCGGCTCACTGAAGCCAAAGAATGGAAGCGCCAGGTTGACGAAGCCATTCTTGTACTTTTCGATATCCTGCTTGCCATCGATGATCTTGTACAGCTCGAGGATAACCAGACCGGTGACCAGGGCCGTGGTGGTCGCGATGGCAGGGATGATCTTGCCGGCGATGAACTTCGTCTTGTGACGATCAGCCTGCGGGATGTCGTAGTTCTCAGCACGGAGATTGCTGGCCGCCGTGATGAAGTCAATGTGATGGTTCGTGTCATCATCCTTCTCGAACTCCACAGGGTGAAGACGGAATCCAGCGAGGGACTTCGGTGATGGAAGAGACTCGACGAGGCGCTTGATCTCCTCGTTGTCATCGAAGGAAGATCCAGAAGGTTGAGCATTGGGATCGGGGTCGTTCTCATTCGCCTGGATCTTCACACTGGAACTGGGCGTGAATTCAGGGATAATCATGTTCTCAACCACCTTTCGGTAGTGTTCCTTATCCACGGGCGGGCTCTTAATGCCGTAGTTGAACGCATGCAGATTGGCAGCAGCGATGATGAAACCAATGTGTGTGGGGTTCGTGGGATCAAACTTCAGCGGTGTCGGTGCACGCTTGGGGCCAGACCAGAAAGGCTGACCAGTCGAGGTCTTGGAATCCTTAGGGAAATTGTACAGTAGTTGCTGGATGGCATTGTTGTACTGGGCCTCAAACTGTTGGCGAGCCCATACAATGCAGTCGTCGAAGCTCAGTGGCTTGTCGGTAACCAGGAAGCTGTTCAGGTGTTCCAGCGTCTGCTTCTCATTGCCAGCCTGTTTCAAGGTTTGTTCAATGTAGTTGGGTTGAGAGAGGTACATGTTCACAGCCTCGGGAGGTCCGACGAAGTAAGTCTGGAAGAGATCCCGTGCCCACGCAATGGTATGTTCAATACGGTTGGGGAAACTCTTCAAGGTACACATGGGGAAAGACTGCTCTGGCGGGTCCTGAGAGCTCGAGTACGACTCGGTCAAGCCCGGCAGGATCACCTGCGTATTACCCTTGGTCCCAAGAGTTCCACTCTCCAACAAGGGCTTGCGGAAGAAAACACACCGGCGGTCAACGTAGGTTCTCGCATCAACGTTGTCAAGAGCATTCGTTACCACGTCGAGGTCCTCCCAGAACTCTTCGTTGAAGACGTGCTCCGTGTCGGGCCCGACACGGTCTCGCAGTGTCACGATCTTTCCTTGCAATTCGGGGTTCATGGCCTGCACCGCAGCGGAGGCGCATTCACTCTTCAGCTTTCCGACATCCTTCGATCGGAATAGAAACTGTCGGTTCAGGTTGCTCCTCTCAATCTGATCCATATCTGTGACACTGATCTTACCCTTGGGACCGGTACCCAAGCCGATCATAGCCCAGTTCTTCAGCATCTCACATCCGATGGCACCTGCGCCAACGAGGAACTGACGGACATTCGAAATCTTCTCTTGGAATTCCTTGCCGAATACCGCGATCTGCCCGTCATAGCGGGTACCCAGAGGCTTACAGGTCTCCTCCGAGCGAGTGACCGACTCGGGCAGAGACTCGAGCGAGTCAACGTACATCCATTGGACAACGGGATTAAATTTGCCGGAGACAGCCTTGAGAACTTCCTGGGCGGCGAGACCTCCGAAGAACGCAGCCATCGGGTTGAGGTCTCCCCGAGCCTGGTAGCTGAGCTCCTTAATCAGCTTCTCGTCCAGCTCAACCTTCTCTTCGCCTTCACCAGCCAGACCCTGAGCAATCTTCCACACCTCCTCTGCATCACTTTCACCGTGAGGACGAGGGAGTTGGCCGTCGTGAGCCTCCGCAAACTTGTGCAGAGCCTGAATACCCACGTGCAGTTGCTGCGGGCGATCAAACTTGGCGAAATCAGAGATCAGGAGCTCCGGCTTCTTAATCTGCTCGGACAGAGGCTGGAAATCGATGAACTTAGGCATCTTCACCTGGGTAAAGAGACCACCGCCCTGGTACTTCCCGAGACCAGAGACATCTCCAATGGAGAAAGTGTAAGGTCCCTTGACGGTGACCTTTCGAGGGGCAGAGTTGTTAAGTCCTTCCATGCCCTTGATCTCCGTGAAAGTCACGTAGTCACCATCCTCCAAACCGTGTCTGGTCTCGTCCAACGCAGAGACAAGACCGTCGTCATCAATATCCGCAACAATTCCGCTGACAGGATTCTCTCCATTTGCGTCTCCCACCGTGAAATTCTTTCCAAAATCGTTAAAGACGTAACCAAAAAGACCAAAGGTATCCGTGATGGTGATATAGATGCCATTGTTGTGACAGTATTCAGCAATGGCAAGCTGCTCTTTCAGCGGCGTGATGGTCAAAACGACTACTTGGAAGCGCTTGAGTTGCGAGAGGTCATCGACCAGATTCTTTCCTTCGAAGACTGTTGTTGGGACGTAGGAGTTGAGCTCTGCCACACGTGGAGCGGTTACTTCATCGCGGCGCTTGCCCACGTCGTCTGGATGCAGGAAGAACTGGGAGGAGAGGTCGGAGATGGCGACGGGAGCGGGGTCATAAAGTGTAAGCGACTTAACACCGGCGAGAGCGATATTCTTCGCTGTAAGGTGAGCTGTTAGAGATCGCCGCGGGACCTTTCGAAGCTCTATGTTACATTACTTACCAATCTCGACACCCAAGCCCTTCAAACCCACAACCAGGACATTCGATGAACCCATACGCTTCATTGCCTCATGACCAAGGACGTACCTAGAACAAATTAGTCTCGAGACGCTCCTGCGACCTAGGTATAGAGAGTCGACACCTACAGTTGCCGGCTGTACAACGACTCATCAATGTCCGGCTGCTTGGCAGCCTCGACCGCCTCCTGGGGGTTGTCGACCTGCATTTTGCCGTCCTGATGCTTGTCAGTACTGATACTCTCACAGCAATTTATGCGCCTCCGGAGTGCTGCTGCTCGCGTGACTCACCGTCATGATCTTCTTCTCGGGACGAGCTGGTTGTTCACTGGATGCTTTCCGCTTTCCCAGCTTGGAAGTTTCACGGATCTCTGTAGTGGCGGGAATTGTGAAGACCTAACAGATGAAAGCCTTGCTTCGAGCAAGACTTTCCAACAAAGAGTCAGGAGATGGGCTACCGCTTTATCGCGTCGAGCTCAAAGACAGGCGGGACTGCTATTGTAATACTGGCTTATATAGCGGCGACGCTAGCCGTCTGCTTGACCCAACGACCGCTTCCTGGTTACACCTGACGAAGTAGGGCGACTCTGATAAGGGAGGATGAAACAGGAACAACACGCAGAGCAGGAGAGAAAGCGATGGAGAGCGTAAGAAACGAAGGAGTTGCGAGAGAAACAGCTCGCGGTGGCTCTTTCGGTGCTCGACGTAACAAGGTAGATGACTAACGGATGTGAGGCCTCTCATTGGTCCAGAGCAGCTCCAGCGCAGACAGCCCCGCGGATGCCTGAAAACAAAGGCTGCAGAGGGCGGTGACGGGCGGCAGAGAGACAACAATCATCGAGCATGATGGAAGGATGGGCAAACATAACGTGCGATGTACGAGTAATTGAGCAGCGGGCGCAGTTAGAGGGATCTTATGGGAATTCCAGCGTGTACACTGCCAACAACAAAGAAAATAGGCTTTTTTTTTGTCTTTTGGCATTGGACGGTAGCCCTTAACTACGTAGCACGCCTCAAAAGAGCTCCGCCGCTGTTCCGCCAACTTCGCGCTCCGCGTCTCTGATGCGTGTACACTGTAGCGGGCCAACCACGACGACCATCAGAGATTGACGAGAGCCAGTGATGATCATACCGCTATCTCTGGATGTGCCGATTTGAGCTTCTCGGGTGTGGCATCTTGTACTGGCAGCGTCGACGGGCAGAGGCTACGAGAGACCTCCCATCCAGGTGGGCTGAGCGTTGAGCGCATCGCGGAGACTCCAGACCGCAGCTTTAACTAATTAACCTGCCGCTTTGCGGCGTGTCCATAGACCTTTGCAAACAGAATGCTCCATGAGATCCTGCTCTCCCTCTCCGGCCAACCGTCTCCGCTCCTCGACACCCAGACGGAGAAGGGAGACCCTACTCGGTCATCTTTTCCACTGCTGTCACCGCCAGAAAAGGCCCTCCTCGATTCCCTTGCGCGGCTGAGTCGTCTCCATGCTCTTCTCCGCGCTCATACCTCCAAGATTTCTGCTGCGCATCCTTCAACTATATGTCGGGCAGTCTCCACGGCAATTGCAACGGAGCACCTAGGGCGATTCCAGAAGAAGATCGTGGAGGTGGAAAAGAGCATTCTCCTCAACGATAGCAGCTATGTGGGAGGATACGGGATAGTTCCTCTGTCGACCCTTGTCGGGGAATTCGCTCCCTGGACACGGAGGATGGAATGGTTGTGGGAGGTGGCTCGGTTCATGAAACCAGATTCGACGCAGGATAGAGGACCGGGTAATTGCAGCGGCGCGGCCGTCATTGATTACCTGCGGAAGGAGTCGCAGACTGGTTATATCGACCTGGAGGAGATGGCAGTACAGCTGGTAAAAGCGGCGGAGACAGCATGGATGAGACAACTATCGATGTGGCTACTGTACGGAAATTTGCCTACTTTCGGGAAGGAGGACTTCTTTATCCAGGAAGATACGAGCAACGAGGGAGATGGGCTGGATTTCGTCATGCATGCAGACTTGCTTCCAAAGTTCGTCTCGTCTACTACAGCGTCGTCGATCCTGTTCATAGGGAAATCTCTGAACCACATCAGAGCCAAGCGGAAAACGTCCACAGCAGATGCTTCACAGAGTTCTCTGTCGCAGGTGACCCTGCAGGGAGATCATATTGGGCACCTTTCTTCTCTGGCATCGCCTATATCACGGACAAATTTCTCAAACGCCATAACTGCTATTCGATTATCGCTGTCGCAAACGGCTCTCTCCAAGCTTCTTCCGTTACCCAAGATTCTTGAGGTTCTGTCTCTGCTCCATGACTTCCTTCTTTTGGGTCGCGGCGAATTTGCAATGGCGCTGGTGTCACAAGCTGATAAGCGTATTTATGGACGACACCGATCCAGGACAGCTGGCAGCCTAGATGGCCTCGCCATCAAGGAGGGAGAAGCGATGGCAGTTCTTACTCAGACATGGGCAGAACTGGCCTCTCTTCAGAACGAAGAAGATCCCGTTGACGACGAGTTGGAACTCGCGCGGGACTTGCTTCGTTTATCCGTCAGCAGCAAGAAAAGCAGCCGTGCAGCGACGCCTCAAGATGGTTCTGGTCCTAGCTTGATTGCTGAGATCTCCAGTGTCTCTTTCGACGACCTTCTCTTCCCAACCCCGACCTCTCTCTCACTCCAAGTCCGCCCTCCTCTTGATTTGTTTCTTGCCGCATCGGACATAGCTATCTACTCTAGGATACACTCGTATCTCCTTGGTATCCGCCGAGCACAAATCCGACTAGGCGACCTCTGGAAGCATACCTCTCTTCGGCGGAGTTATCCTTCTCCATGGGGTCCTCCTCGAAGCAATAAGAGAGGCGGAGAATACCAGCTTCGGATACGCAGACAGCGGGAGAACGCACGAACAGTACAAATGAGACGTATCTGGGCCACAAGCAGCGCTTCTCTTTTTGTCTTATCAGAGATAGGAAGCTATTTCCAGGGCGAGGTAATCAACGGTTCGTGGCAGCACCTTCGAGAATCCATCGAAGGCACTTCATCCAGTCCATTATCACGACCAGCATCCCGGCCAGGAACATCCTCCAAAGCAAGCTCTCGGCCTGGAACGGGGCATTCAATGAAACAAATCCACCGCACCGCATCTGGTGAAACGACAGCCACGGACAATCCATTCAATCAATCAGCTCAACTCCACCATCAGCCTCATGACCCAGAAGCGCTCACTGTCGCACATCGTCGTTACATCGCCTCCCTCGTGCAGTCTCTCTTCCTGACCGACGTCCCCTTCACCAGCGCACTCCGCTCTCTTCTCACCAATATCGACCATCTCATTGCCCTCGTCAGCCGTCTCGAGGCTGTCCAGCGAAATCTGGACCTCGAAACGGACGAAGGCGTCGTCGACGCCCTAGCAGACTACGCGCGAGAAGAGACTTCCATCCGACACGAGTTACGCGAGACCTGCAACGAAATCGAGACTGGTATCAAAGACGTCATTGCACGATTACGAGACATCGACGATAGTCGTTCTGGCGAGGGCCGTCGATTATTCGATCTGGGCAACCCCAATCGAACCGCGGCCGTACCCGTCGCCGCTCCTGCTCCCACGCAGCCCATGGATATGTATGACTACGTCCCGCGTAAAGCAGCCGGCGTGGATCGGTTGCTTATGAAGCTCGATTTCGGGAGCCTGAATAGTTCCCTGGATCAAGGATATTATTATCCGCTTCCCGGAACGGAAGGAGCTCAGCAGTAATGTAATGAGAAGAAACGCAAGATAGTACCCTTGCTAGGAGATACGCCTTAATTGATTCATGAGATATTATAAAATAATGAAACTGGAACTGAACTCATATATTGTTCCTCGCTTCAGATCTGAGTAGGTCACAAAGACAACTTTTTTCTCTCCATAGCCGTCTCTCGTATATTATGGGCTGCTGTGAACATGGGAAACACCGTATATATAAGCTGCAAGACACGAGACTAGAAAGGAAACTCTATAACTATAATAATCAAACAAAAAAACTCCCAAGTAGCTACTTCACTAGCAAGGAAAAACGAAACACAATCCATGTTACATTCGAAAAACAAACCAGGTATTGCAGAAAAAGGACGCTCAGGATAAAACTTGGTTTCCGCTCAGAACGCTTTTTTCCTCAGTAGACTTGGAACAAAACGCAATTCAAGTAACAGCCTCCCAGTCATGATGAAATAGCTCTACAAGGCTGAAGATAAGAAATAGAGCGTAAAAGCCATTTACCAAGCGGTGTGACCACCGTCAATGAGCATGGTGCTTCCGGTCATGAAGCTGCTGGCATCACTAAGCGCGAAGAGCGCAGCGCCACGGAACTCCTCTGGTTTTGCAAGTCTGCCCAGCATGTTCTCCGCCTCCCACATTGTGCGGACCTCAGGGGTCTTCTTGAAGACCATATCAACCATTGGAGTGACGATGTGTCCCGGACACAGGCTGTTGACGCGGATGCCATGACGGCCCCATTCCATAGCGAGACACCGTCCTAGCTGGATGACGGCGGCTTTGGAGGAGTTATAGACGGGAGAGCTCATTCCCTTGTTTGCGATAACTCCGCTCATACTGGCGACGAGCAGAATGGACCCGTTGCACTTGTAGTGAAACATCTGTCGTGCTGCTGCGGTAGCAGAGTTGAAGACTCCGTTGTAGTTGATCTGCATGACCTCCTCTAGAGCTTCTTGGGAATGATCAAGCGCGCTCTGCAAGTGGTTGATTCCGGCCGCGGCAATCATGCCGTCTAGTCGTTGTGACTCCGCTGCGATTTCGGCCATGACATTATTCACGTTGACATGGTCACGGACGTCGATTCGTCGATATTCCATGGCCCCTCCATATTCTGACTTGACCGCGCGTTCCTGCGCTTTCTGGAATTCGGGATCTGGCTTCTCCAACCTGTCCAGACAGTATACTGATCGGAAGGGCCTATTAGCCTTCGTGGATACACAAGTAACCTGCTCCTGAGAGACAATATGCAGGGAAATACCTTTTGCGCCAGCTTCCATCAATGCTTCCGCCATACATAGACCAAGCCCTCTGGCACCCCCAGTTACAGTAAAAGTGCGGTTCTCCAGATTGAATTCTCTGAACCGCTGTGGATTCTTCGCCTCCTTCCCTCCAGGTAGCTTCGTTTGGATATTCGTGGTCGTCGCGTATCCAGCTCGCAGGGGTAGGGCCTGCCGAATAGTTCTCCTGGATAGCGCTCGAGGCGCGCATGGTATGCGCGAGATAAAAAAGAACATGACTGAAGCCCGTATGTGTAGATACGAGGGTAAAGCTGGGATAAACAAGGCGCTCTCTGAATATGAAAGCTGAGAAAAACGATTCAATTACTACCCGAACATACAACTAGAGAAGAGTTGGCGACAGCCTAGCGACCAGTCTTTTTACGCAGGAGAGCAGATGACTATCGTCATGGCAAAAGAAAGACCAGGCCACTTCCTTGGTGATCCAGCGCCAAGAGAGCTGTACCACCGAACTACCGTCAGCCATAGTAGAAATTGCTACGATATCTCGGTACGAGATGACATCGTCTCTCCGTCTTCCTTGGGATTCTATGATAGGCAGGCCTTCTCTGCGATTGGCTGTTCCAGTGTGAGAAATAGGAACTTCCAAGTCTGGAATCCGATGCTGGAGATGCACTGACAGAGTTGCACTGACAGAGTATGCCACTAGCGAGAGCCCAGACATTGTGTCAACGGCGTCATTCTGAGCGAAGAACTTTGGACCTGGTGAAACCGCCCGAGAAGCTTACTAGTTAAAGACGGAGCTGGGCCGAATGCTCTGAATCGGGCCGATGGACGGGTAGCCGTGAGAGTGATTTTCAGAGCAGTCGATCCCGAACCGACACCGCGATTCATTTTGAGTCAATTCGTGAGAATAAGTAAAGAGAGAACAGAGCTTTGTTGTTGTCCGAAGAAGGTTATGCGTGACCACCGCTTTCGGGTCTCCTCTCCGCCAATGAACAAGCAGATACTGGGCTTATATAAGCACTTCCTGTCTCCAACAGTTGCATCTATAACTGCACGTTCAATAATAGCGGATTCTAGGAGGCTCTAACAGTGCAGGAATGCAATTGAGAGGAGTAAACAAACTTGGATGTTTGAGAACATAGCCTAAATGATGTATGTGAACTTCGTGTCCGTGGCTGGGAGTCCTGCTTCCGCCACAGAGCCCATCAGACCTTCTCTTTCCTCTCTCTGCGATCCCATCTCCATACTGTCCGCTTTCTCGGCCATCTTCCTGTTATCCCTCTGCAAGAGCAACCTCAATACAAGCGCCATGATGACCACAGAAGCCATAAAGAGCGAGCACGCTACCATACCAGGCACGTACCACGGCCCATCACTCTCGGGATAGAGCCTTGTTCCAATGAGTGGCCCGCATTGTCCAATGATGTTGAGAATGGCAACCCCAGCACCCTTCCCTTCTTTGGCGACACGGTTATCCATAGACCATGTGATGATAATAGTTATGGAGGAGAAGAAACCAAAGGTCGCCGGGTAAATACAGAAATAGCGAATGGCAGTATGTACCTCGGGTGCAAGATGAGAGTGGAAGTATCCAGTGGCCGCTATAATAAGGTAAGAAAGAGATGAAAGAAGAGCATGGACGATGAGATAGGGACTTCGAGCACGGTCGCGATCAGAGAAATATGCCGTCACCAGGACAACAAAGAAGGCGATTATGTACGGAGGCGCTGAAAGAGCCTGGGAAGCTGAGCGAGAGAACCCCATACTGTTAGAGGCATTAGCTTGGTTACAGAGAGCGCGAATAGTACGGGGAGATATACTCTTTGATAATGGTCGGTAAGAAAACCGGCATTGAGCTGAATGCCACGTTGCAACTCAAAAACATAAGCTGGATTCAGCGGTCAGCCAAACTTCTGGACGACTGGGAAAATCCGGAATTCCTTACAGCCATGAGATAGGATTTTGGATCTGCGAGTACATTTCCGACCTGGCGCCAATCGAACTTGCCGCTTTGAGATTGATGGGGTTCAGCTTGAGGCAGCTGAAGCCGCAACTTTGCAACCTTTCTCTCCCGACGAGTGAGAAAGAGAGCTGTCCCAGGGCTATCCGGGATAACTTTCCATGCTATGACGGCAACAACTACGCTTGGGAATCCCTCCACCAAGAAGAGCGTGCGCCAAGGTGCGATAAGACCGTTATCGCTAAGCTTGACAATCAACCAGGCCAAGCTGCTAGCAAAAGTAGTCGCAAGAGGAGCAGCAGAAATGAAGAGGCCAGTCCGGAATGCCTGTTCCTCGCGCTTGTAAAATAATGAAAGGTAAAATGGAACGCCGGGACCAAATGCAGCCTCGGATATCCCAAGTAAAGCACGCAGCACGACCAATGACCCAAAGGAAGTAACCAAAGATTGAAAAGATGCAATCAACCCCCATGAAAGAACACACAGCGAAATGTATACATGCGGGGGAACAATGCGATACATCAAAGTCATCCATTCGAAGAGGATATAGGTAATATAGAAAGCTGTAAGTAGCCATTCATATTGCGAGGATGACAGATCAAGATCGTCGGCGAGACCAGCGATCTTTGCGTTACCAATATCTGCAGTATCAGTTAGCACACAAAGAAACAACATGGATGGTGTCCACCTCTGACAACTAGGATGTGCAGCACTTACTTGAGCGATCCAAAAAGGAAAGTAAATAAAGTAAAGCCAAGAAAGATACCAAATGTCTATCAAACTTTCTCACGACCTCGCGTTCCTCCGCCGCTGAATAATTTGCAAGGAACCCTGTCTGACCACGGAACTCTTTGAACCCCTCTCGAGAGTCAAAACTTTGGGCGTAGTCAATTGAATCGTCCTGGCGTTGGTCGTACGAGCTCCTCTGTGCCTCGGCATGATTGAAATCTGTCTGCAACTTATGTAGTTCCACTCCACGTGGTGGCTGAGGCAAGAGGAAACTCTCATCGCCAGGACCATCGGAATTGGGTGTCAGCTGGGCATTTGAGGCCCCAGGAGAGCTGCTCGACGGTGTATCTTCTGATGCTGAGAGGGTGGGGCGGGACGGGACTCTGAACAGCGGAGATAAAGGGGGCAGAAACCCTCTGCGATGTATCACGGAGGCCTTTTGGACCATTCTGGTTTACCTGCAACTGACCCCGGAGATCCCTTTCTGGAATCCTCCAACATCTAAGAGGTACAGATTCCCGCCATCAGGGGAAGATTGATAAAATGATCTGAGACCTCCGTCAGGCGTCTCGCTCCGCTCCGGCGCAATCACGTGTGGTTCCATACGCCCCTAATTGGATAGATCGACGTTTCTCGGGACAGATTATCTACGACGGCAAACAACTCATTAAGCTAACAAGATCTGTTGATTTTAGAATTAAATTCCGGGGTATTAGACTGCGTCCCTCCATAGACGAGCGCGCCACTATTCTCCCGGCCGTTCAATCAAGTACAGTTAGATACAGGTGCCAAGGCCACAGAACCCACTCATTTGATAGTCAGGGTCTAAACAAGCCGATGATCTTGAGCTCTATGGACGATAGAAGTCACCTGCACGGAACTTTGGATGTTTATATCCATAGCGAGAACGGCCCCCGTGGAATCCCCCACGGCCCTCATGAATCTCGAATCTTCTCTTCCTGCCACCGGAGAGGGAGGTAGCCACCTCCTTGGCCATCTCAAAGGAGCGCTGCAGCTCGGGCACAATCGTATTGTCAGCTATGCGATGCGCTTGAAGGTAATTGAGCGTATTCTCAGCTGTGTCCCGAAGAAATTTGACAGCCTCAAGCTTCTCAGAACGGCTAGCGCCACTGGTTGCATGATAGTCTTCCTTCGCTTTGAAGTAGATGTTCAGCATACGCTCGATACTCTCGTCCACCTTTGGGTCGACAGGGTCATCGCTGGAATGAGACTTCGTCTCCCTTTCATAGCATTGACTCTCAGGATGAGGGGAGGAAGAGTCACCGACCGGTGCGTCGGTGCCCGTCTTTTCATCCGTGCTCTTGTCAAAATGGGCGACTATTCGAAATGTCAATCGAAGAGGTTGATATATGTTCATGACAATATGACCTACTCTTTTTCAAGAGGCTCTTGAGAGCGACATGCTTGTCTAAGACATGCTGCTGTTTGACGACGGTTCCATTGGCAGGGATACCAACGTATTCATCGAGGAAGAGTTCCAAAGCTCCCATGTCCATGATCTCTTTTCCATTCTTGGTGAGGATCAGAAGAGCCTTGTCATAGATGGTGATATGGCCATCCTCAAATGCCTGTGAGCGGGACTTTATGAGAGAGACCTGGGTTTCGATCACCTCCCAGAGAAGAGCATAGCTGTCTGGCTTTTCAAGTGCCTCTTTGAGAAGAGGATGTGGTTTGCTGATACGCCCATAATCATGAACAATATCGTCGACCTCGTCTTCAATATGACTCTGCTTGTAGTGACCACCGCTTTTGAGTGGGTGGGAAGGCATCTTGTCAGTGACGCCAGTCTTGCTTCTGTCGCGATGAGTGTCAGTCCTCTTGCGGGGTACTATAGCATGTCTTTGGTACTAACTGGAGAGTTATGTTCAAGATGCCAGCAAAATCTCCTAGAAGAGGTGTAATAATGTATTTTACTAGGAGATCGGACAGGACAAATGCAAGGAGTACGCGTTGTGAGGGGAAATTAGTGAAGATGAAGTGAAAACAACGCTAAGAAGCCAATGTGTTTCTATCTAGAACCAAACAGTCCAGAAATGGATGGTTGGCAGTTCCCCCAAACAAAGACCATAAGACCACGGCGGGCTCCGCGAAGCTGAAAAGAAATAACATGTACTGGGAGCGACATACAAAGGCATATGCTAGGCGGTGTATCTTGTCTGCAGTGCGAGAATGGTTGCATATGTTCCCACTAAACAAAGTGTGTTTTGTAGATCTATATCAAAAGCAAAATATCCGTTCTGTGCCTCAAGAACAGTGGAAGAGCTAGAATAACAATACTCGACGTCTCAAAGATCCAGAAAAGCCGAGAGATGTGACGCCGTGAAATATCCTCTTGAACAATCAGACACTAACATCAAGTTTGCTCCAGACGATAGGGAGCTATATGAAAAGGATCCGCCGAAGTTACCCAAGGTTACGAACCTTGCTATACTTACCAATAGATTCGATCCATTGAAAGGTTATCCCATCCTCCACGAAGAGCTGCGAGACCACGAGGCTTATGATAACTATCCTGGCATTTCCTTGCTAGGGAATCAGTTGAGCTAACGTGAAATTCTGGCACATAGACAAAATATAAGGGTAATGCAAGCTGCTATATAGAAGACGGTCATTGCTATTGCGAGATATTTTGCAGTGAGCTAAAAGAAAAATGTCAGTAAGCTGGTCTCCAAGAGAGATACCATATCGAAAAAAGGGAAGGTATAGAATAGAATAAATGGTACTTACTGCAGTATGACAGATCGAGTCATAATCAACGGAGCTGTCGCCTTGGTTATCCTTTTTCATGCAGGTCCAAGATATGATAGTCGGATACTTCCTTCCAGCGCTTATTATCCATCCGGGAATAACTAGTATTTTCCTCGGTATTCCATTTGGGTTGGTGATTCGGTTATGTCCATTGACGTCGTCAAAGTGAAACATACCATAATAAACAAAATGGAGAACGATATAGCATATCATATGAAACACCACTCGTCCCGTGATTTCTACCGTGGCGGACAGTGGTGTAGTGAAGAGAGTGAGGGCTGCCTGGACGAAAGTGATGCTTGCCATGCAGATGATCCAGACGTGGAAGCTGCGGTCGATCTTTTTTGGCCACTCCGGGTCATCGCCAACGTCTGATCCTTGAGGGGAATTTCGAACTGCGTGGATAGCATGTCCCGCAAAAAGCAGCATATTGAAAGAAATCGCGAGCAGACACACAGCAATCGTAACAACCGCACAGCTCGTAAAGCTGCACGTTATCACTCTCTTGGGAGCCTTGTACCATGGCTGGAAAGGGGAAGCATGAGAAGAATAGCTAGGAGGACGGTCGTTTGCGCCATTGCAGGACGGACTGTTTGCGAGTTCGTGGATCTCTACAACAGCGTCTCTGGAGTTTGCGGTAGTCATCGCGGTGTCTCTTTTCGTGTATATGTGTATATTCTTTAGATGTGGGATTTGATAGTGTAATGATAAGTCGATGGAGTATTATCTCAGTGGTTAGAAGAGTAGAATATGTCAGACGGCTGGCTGATCTATGCCGTATGCAAAGTCAAGCACCCAAGTCTGGACCGACCTCAGATGTTACTATAAACCATTCCCTGCCCGTAATCCCTCTGTCAATGACATATTCCTTTTATATTCCACGTTCTCGTTCTTCGTAACTCCTAGTGCAAAACGCAAGGCCCCCGTGGTATGAAAATGGGTTATGGACCAATGGCTCTATAAGCAAGGTCAGGAGAAATCCAGCTTTGAGAAGTACAAACTTTTGTGGTCGTACCAGAAGTAAGTCGACTTTATAGGCCATATTGTCTCATTTATAGAGGTAAGGATTTTCTCATTTTAAGAGGTGCCATGGGCTGTGCTCGGCTCCGGACATTTACTGGTGCTAGAAGATCAACATGCAAGGCAACAGGCCCACAGATTTCCATGCTAAACTACTACTGATATCGGCTCCAAAGATCTAGGATCGGTTAGAAGCAGGGCGGTCTGAACCTTACATATAGTTACAAGGTTTCATAGCCCATGGAGCGAAGTAACAGTACTAGTATGAAGGTAGTAGCCTGGTTCATGCTACCTTGGACCTTTAAAAGGTTCTGGTCATTCCATGTGATGAATGTATATTTGGTTCACTATATGAAGATTAATGTACTGCATTTTCTGCTATGAATACTTGAGCATGGTATTATTCTGAATAACGGGGGTATCGAACGAGTAGGTAATATCAAGGTTATATCCGTCTGCTCGACGGATTGGGCATTTTGTTCGTTGGAATAATAGACCAAAAAGAACGATAACGTGCAGGATCCCCCGATAGTACACATGTTGTCAAAGACGACTACTTTGGGCCATAACTAGCGAACGGGTCCATCCGTCATGCGGAAGAGACCTTCCTCTCACGACGGCTTAATTTCTTTCCTTGTAGAGTCTCTCCACCTCATCAACCAGTACGGAGACATTTCTGGCTTTGCCATCCTTCACGCAGTCCTTCCATACTCCGCCATCTCGTATACACCATACTGAGTTGTCTACGCGTACCGTGCAGCTCGTTGTCACTCCCAGTTTCGCACTTCTCTGCGCGCTTTCCCGCAGCAGTGCGATTCCGCTAAGGGGGGCATCACCGAATTCGTCACTGGGATCTTCATCGTCCTGCTGGCTTGCACAATGGTTGAGAGCATCGAAATCGATTCCATGCTCGAGAGCGCAATCCTCGACAAGATTACGGTCAGGAATCTCTTCATACGAGTTGATAAGACAGTTCGAAAACCCAAGCCAGCGGATTGTAGGCGTGCGTCCTAGAGTAAGTGACGATTCGGCGTTGTCCTTGGGAGGGAAGGGAAGATTGGCGGCACAGAGCATGAGCATATTACCAATGCATTCTGCGGGTCCATGTTTGCAGTCAACTTCCGAAGTCTTCTCGGAGACACTGCGAGACTCTCAGTTAGTTATCCTGCGAGGCACTTCAAAACAAATGCCAAGAAAATGAATATTGTAGGCAGATGCTTACCTTGCAATGAATGATAGAATGAAGTCGACCTTGTCATTGATCCGTTCCATTGCAGGAACAACCAATTGCTGCAGACAGTCCTGGGCATCTGGACATTTGCTCATGATGTGAGCCTCCAACGGCACTCGTTTCGACGAGGCCGACGAGAGCGGAAACGCCTCTTCAGTGTCGTGGTCCCCATTTGGACGCTTTCCGCTGACCGCTTGAAGTTCCTCGTTGTGGGAAGATGCGTGTGTATGAGTACGGCTGGTGCTGAAGCGACTCAGAAAGATGTAGATCACCAAGCCGAAGCATACGGCAGTTAGGACGCGACGGAATATCCGGGAGATAGTACGATCGCGTCGCGTTCTGAAGCCGGCTGACGTTGAAAGGGCGGCTGTGCGAAGCAAGTCATCCTGAGACCGCTCAAGCGGAGCAGAAGACTTCTCCATGGTTTCCTCCGATCCTGACGTTCAAATTTCTGCTAGGATTCGAGCCCTCATGACCTGGAAAGTATTATTATCGACAAGATGTAGACAGCGGGTCTTGGGTTACGTCGATGAGGTACTGTACATGGGTGGAGGACGATCGCGGCGGTATTGGGAGCTGACGTCTCGCTGAAACTGCGCCCGTGCACGACTACTATATTATTACACGATCACTCTACAATAAATATACGTAACCAGAGTACACAGCTGACGAAGATATAACTAGTGATTCTCTCTTATTCAGAATCAATATCACTACTGATCGCCCTGGACTTTGTACTTTCTCGATACAAGACTGCATATTATTACTGCACAGCCCCGACAAAAAATAGATCGGGTTTCCATCTGTTGTGACGGTTTGGCGTTTTCTCAGCAAACGGTGTCATCTGAGCTTCTCATAGGTCTGCGCAATTGGCTTAGTCCCGAGCAACTGGCTAAGTTGCTGAAGAATAATACGTGATAGCCCAACGGCGGTCCACGCTACTAGGGTATGTCACTCTATGTCTATGAAGCCCCAGAAACGAAGCCCCAATTTCTCATCTCACTCAAAGTGGGGGTCAGAGAAACTGTAAACAGCTCCGGACAGATCGTTCTAGCCATTCCTCTCCGTCCTTTGGTGAGTCTTCCACATCGGCAGTAGAAAATATTATTGACTGGTCAAGGTGCCATCCACCGCCCTATCCCGGACTCGCCTATTCAACCAATATGCGCCTATCGGACGAGAAATGGAGTGCCATGGCACGCGCATCAGCCTCAAACTTTGAAGCCGTCTGAGTTGACTAACTAGCCGTGCCGTTTGATGGGAGACCAAGTTGGCTCGTGCTCTTGTCGATTTCCGATCCGATGTCGCAGCCCAGATCTGCTCCGCTTTCTGCTAAGGGCGTATCAAGCTGGTGTTGGGTGATGATAATCATCTTCGCTACGGTTGGAACCCGCCAGGTTCAGAGTGGTGCTTTAGCGCAGGAAACGTTGACATCCACACGGGAAGAGGCGGACTGACTCCTCTCAGAGAAAAAAGATCCGCCGGTTCATTAGATTAACCAGCAGCTATGACTCTGACCGCGCGTGCAACCCCCTCCTCCTCGACCGTGGTGTCCAGGACTCATTTCTCACCTGCTGTGTACTTGTTAGACATTCTGATACAGAAGCCGGATGCGTCCCATCGAATGTGCACTTACGGACAGACAACTAGACTGACAATGTCGTAGTTGATATCATGCTTCCCAATAAGGCGTTGCATCCTCAACGCTCAATTCACATCCTATGCTGTAGAGAGTAGGACTGTTAAACTGTTTCAAGTAATACTGGCCTTTCATGGCCCCGCCTTCGTCGACCACATGGCGGATAGTCCCAAGTGGTCCCCGTATGCAAGCGTAATATCAATAATACACGGAGTCACGGACTGTCAGTTGCTGACTCGTTCCTGGCAGCAGGGGCGTTACGCAGTTCGCATAAACGCATCCTCCTGTCGGGTCCCGCCACTCAAAGATGAATCGAGTATCCATCGTCGTTCGCATCTGTTACGAATTGCCATTATTCATTGCGCCATAATACTATCCAGTTCAATAATGTAGTAGCAGCTGAATGGTGGAGACAGAATTCGAGGTACAGCCATAGCGGTTTATTCCGCGACAGCTGCATATCCAGAACAGGATACAAATCTCACAAGGAGTCTTGGATCAATAATAATGCGAACAATGGACAGAGGCTTATGCGTGATAGTATATCAGTTTCTACTTTAACCTGGTGCAGACTACCTGCCATCTTTGGAATCGGAGTATACCGCTCACTGTTTTGCATGGGCAAATACGGCATGACGCACTGGATGATTGGTGTATAGCAATTAACCCATGGCTATAGTAATCGTAAGTTGGTAGATGATTCATAGCGTCAAGGGAATCAAGGCTAGAAAAAGAGCAGCAGATGCAAGGGTTTCCATACCCTTGTCATATTGTTCTATCTCGTCCGTTGTGGCTTAGCCACATCATTCTCTGGCGCTCAGCCGCAGGAAGTAGAGCAAAATATAGCGATAAGAATAATGAAAAAAGGGAGATGACCGGGATATAGCGCAAGACGAGTAGCCGTAAAAGTGAGTATCGAAGTGCCGATTGCGTTGTATGCCATCGAGCAGCTTGACGGTAATACGTACCACCATAACACACGTTGGAGCCGGGCAACCCACACCTTTTCATCGGCCCGTCGCTCGTTGCCCACTTGAGTAAGGAAACATAGCAAGAAAAAACATCGCGCCGATTTAACGAGTTAAAAGGTATTACCTAGGCGCCGGTGCCCACCAGGAACCACGTTGGGCTATGACCCAACGACGGCTGCGCGTCTACTAAGCCAGTGACTTTGGTCTGGAGTTCCAAACCAAGACAGACAACAGAGTTGCTTTTACTTACCACAGCGTCACATCGGGGTGAGGCCTCGTGCCCCGATGGTCGCATTTGTCCATCCATCAGCTTGACTTCACTTCCACTTTCCATAACTTTTTTTGTGACCTTTTTATTCTGCCACCATCTCTTTTCATCTTCCCCTCTGACTCACAGACCCGATACAACGGGTGCTTGCTACTGAGCCCCGCGTCTCTCACTCTATCTTACCCCAATCACACGCTATCCATCTGATATTGAATGGCCCGGACCGCGGACAGACAAAGACATCTTCAGACCGTTCATTGATCCGCTTTTGAGCGACCAGGTGCCTGGGTCTGACAGTTTGGTACATGTCCTGTATCACTTCCTGGATGAGCACTTGAACCCCTAGTGAGTGCATTTCCTACTCTGTTTAGCATATCAGCTGTTGCCTAACACTTCAGCCAGAAGCTATCCTTTAGACCTTGCGTCATTCCATTACGCAGTATTCCTGACGCGTTTGAGTCAATTACTTCTGTCTCCCTTAGTTCGACAAGGAAAATCATTTCCTGATTTAACCTTATTACTGTACTTTAACGCCAAGGCCAGGAGACATCTTCAAATGCTGATGTTAGCTATGTGCTAGACGACGCGTACTCGGCTCAGGAATAAGAATTTGCTAAAGGTATGTTCAGAAGACATAAATACAGCCTGCTATTTACAAAACTAACGAACATTTACCAGCTGGTCATTGTACCAAAGTCCGGCCAGTGGTCGATACCTATCTCAGGTGTTCATTATCAGAGCTGCGATAGCTTCCCTCTGACCACGGCCAGTTCAATATCTCTTTACTATTCCAAAGTCACAATGGCCGACCAAGGCACGGTGCGGTCCATAGATGACGAAGAACTTGACGGCAACTCTCCCTATGACCGGTACATGGAGGACTCTGAGTCTGAGTCTGATTCTGAAGAAGAATACCCAGAGTCTGAAGAGGTCCGGAAGATCGATGATTTCCTCGCCCCCCTTATCCTGGATGAGGCCAAGCTGTACAGCTTGGCGCGCCGTTTCTCGGAAGTGTACCAACACCTTGCTCGAACATCTGATCAGCAATTCCTTCCGACGCCAGTGACCCGCCTCCCCACTGGCCAAGAAACTGGTCGCTACCTAGCCATTGATGTCGGCGGCAGTAATCTTAGAGTCGCTTTCATCGAGCTGCTGGGAGAAGCTGCTGATTTCGATGTACGGTCTACAGGGTCATCTGACAAATCACGTGATACTATTCGCAAAGCCCAAAGGCAGCGTGTGAAACGAACCTCAGAGAAAGCGTGGCCAATTGGCGAGCATTTGAAGATGGACAAGGCTGATGATCTCTTTGCGTGGATCGGGGACTGTATTGCTGAAGTGGTAGCGGACAACTTGACTTCGGATGCTACTAAAGGGGACATCCCTGCGGAGCTGGAAATGGGTATCACTTTCAGCTTCCCTATCATGTAAGTCTACAATGATTTGTTTTTTACTATGCAGTTTACGCGATTCTGTCCATTAAGATTCTGGTTTATCAGTTGTTGCTTGTCTCCAAAGCGTGATGCTAACCAAAAGCAGGCAAGAGTCTCTGGCAGAAGCAACATTGATGCCTATGGGTAAAGGCTTTGCAATCACGTCTGATCTGAATCTCCGCAAAATACTTCTTGCAGGATATGAGAAGCACACAAGGCGCCCAGACGAGGATGATATGCCATCTTCCAAGCGTCGGAAGCTCTTTGCGCTGCCGAAGCTAAAGATAACTGCTATTACTAACGATACCGTTGCCACGCTTGCCTCGCTGGCATACTCAGTCAAATCTTTGCCGAACAGTCGAGTGGCCATGGGTATCATTGTCGGAACCGGCTGTAATGCCACAATCCCAATGAAACTCACTGACCTGCATGATTCTAAAGCTAACCACGTAAAGTCCAAGGATGCAAACGCGACGCAGACAGTGGTCAATACGGAATGGACCATTGGCGGAGCTGCAGGGCCCCTGAAGGAGTTGGAAATCACAACGAAGTGGGACATAGAACTTGACAAGAACTGCGCTCGTCCGGGTTTCCAGCCTTTCGAATACATGACCGGAGGGAGATACGTGGGTGAACTAATCCGACTAGTCCTTTTCGACTACTTGACAGAAGTGGAGGGACTATCCAGGAAAGAACTTCCTGCAAACCTTGTCCAAGACTATGCGTTAACCACCACCTACATTGCTCAGAAAGTCGCACGCTCTCGATCCGACGAAGCGCTTGCGGAGGAATTGCGCCGCTCTCTCCCCCCTCCAGAGTCCAGTGAGTGGAACTGGGATGAGAACTCGGCAGGCGCATTCCGCAAAATTGCCAGGGCCGTGCAGACAAGGTCTGCTGGGCTTATCGCAGCAGCTGTGGTCGGATTACTTGCATGTACTCGTGAAATCGAACTGAAGGTTGACAGCAACGCCAACTCACCCATGCCGAACGGTAGTCCCAATTTGCCTGGCGGATCAACGGAAGGGGCTCCAACCTCATCCTTGGCAGCAGAGACTACGAACCAGGCCACAAGCGCAATTGGACCGATCGTTCCTGTTCTCTCCCCTGCGCCTCTCGACTGGCGTTCTGGCCCTGAGGAGTTGGTTGTGGCCTACACCGGTGGTATCATACAGAATTACCCCAATTTCAAGGAGACGTGTCAGCAGTACATTGATAGGCTCATCATAAGAACGGGTCCCCAGAGAGGAGGTAAATCTGTCTTCCTGAGAGAAGCCTCGGACGGTGGCATAATCGGTGCAGGGGTGCTAGCTGGTATGGTCGCCTCTGTTTAAGTCTAAAATCAGATTGGTGTGATTACGGTTCATCCGCTGTGCGGTTCAGTTTTGAAAACGACAAGATAGGCGAGTTGATTGCAGAAGAAGCTGGATAACCCCCTTCCCTATCATTGCGCGAGTCTCTTCATTCGAGATCAATGCGATATCGATTATATCAGGCGCACTGGCTGACAATCATAAATGTCTGTCATCTATTATTCTTCCACTGCATGGCGTTCTGGTAACATGGAATTCGATACCACTAACTGCATGTGAGCTTTGTTCTTTTTCCCCCTCATCTTACATGGCATCAGAAGTGGATTCGAGGCTTGCTTAAGCCCTCTCCTTCGCCAGCATTGCACCTGAAAAGAAACCCCCAGAAAACAAAACACCTGAAACTGTTTTACATGTACTAGTCAAGAGCATTTTGTGCTTGGATGAGTCTGATTTCTTATCATTATTCCTTGGCTGTGATGAGTTATCGTACAACTGTGAAACGCGGGCTATGAATAAACAGCATTCTTAACAGTAACATATCCTTTCTATCGTTAACATGTGGCTGTGTGTGCAGTACCTTTCTCTGATCATTACAGTAGCCGTCACTCGTATCGCAGCTAGGGTTAGGGGCATTTGGCGCTGTCAAGTGTCGGAGCCGTTATACACGAGACTGGGCTCTGCCGAATCTTACGCAGGCTCTAGCTAGCTTTTCCAGCGGTCTCACATTTGTGGCTTTCGATATTTGCGCCCCGAAAATGTTTATTCGGCGAGCCAGATCGACGTGGTCATATATCAGGTGGCTTACTGGTGGCAGCAGCCGCCGCCGCCGCCGACACCGGAGAAAGATCCGGAATTTTTTCGACATCTTGCAAGACCACTACGGCAGCTGAATGGTGAATCTCCATATGGATTCCAGGCCATAGAATAGTGCTCATTGTTCGCGTTGGGTCCCTAGGCGGCGCTCTTCCACTAGCTTTCAATCTCGTATGTCTACCGCTCGTGGGTCAGATGTACCGGAACATGTTGTTCCTCACGCTCCTCTTCATGGCGACCGGCTTCCCATTCTCATATTCGAGTCCAGACGCTCCGCCTTCACCTGACATATTCTCAAGTTTTTGGCGCAGCTCGTCGTCTAGGTCTGCCATTGTTTTCATCTTTTTCTCGGCGTCCGTTTTGCTATCTTGACTAGTAGATGTCTGTCGATTGCTAGGCTCTTTGGAATCCGATGCCTTTGTATCTACGCCTAGATTTGCTCAGGTCAGTCACAGCATCCAAAACCAAGTGATATATATAGTTGCCACGAACCAGTTGTCTTAGAGCGGCTTCGCGTTGTGGTTAACCGCGAAGCGGAGTGCCTGATGAATCCAGCACGCAATACACAAGTCCTTTGAAGACGAATCGACAACATATCGGAGAAGCTGTAATTGAGTGAAACTGAAAATTGGGTCAAACGATTGATTTAATATTCAACTTGGAACCATCTAACAACTCTGATTTCTGTTCAAAGCAACATTCTTGCCTTTGACGTAATATATGCAAACAGAGACAAACAACCCAGACCCGGTCTCGGATCACGTGAAATCAATATCCCCGCGAACGTGCTGACTCAGGCTGGCGATTCCGGCATCTTTCAACCTCTTGAGGAGGTTAGTTGAACTTCATCCTGCCCATCAACTCGCCAAAATGAGCGCTCAGGCATACTATGAGCTTTATCGCGGTAGCAGGTGCTTTTTACCTACCTGGGCGGGACAGCCTGATAGATCTTGGTGCTAACTTTGGTTCTTATCCAGTATCGGCCTTTCCCTTACCGATACGCTCGATGACCTGATCAACGAGGGACGGATCGAGCCGCAGTTGGCTATGAAGATCCTGTCGAACTTTGACCGTGTTATTACAGAAGTCCTTGCGGATAAGGTCCGCGCCAGGCTCACTTTTAAGGTACTACCTCTTCATTTACTGTGGTCTGGGGAGTGTCTCCGGGGTAGCAGTCTGCAAAGGAATCGCTTTCATTTTGGGACGGGACTGACGTGGAGCGCTGTACAATAAAGGGCCATCTTGATACATACCGATTCTGCGATGAGGTCTGGACTTTCCTTATCAAGGATGTCACTTTCAAGCTCGACAACCAGTCGACCGTTTCCGCGGATAAGGTCAAGATCGTGAGCTGCAACAGCAAACGACCGGGAGAAGCATGATCTGGAGAGGCGCCCCCAACAGGCCCTCGACATCGCTTTCGAAATATATGCGCACTGGGATATTCTAAAATGGCTCGTTTGTTTCAGACAGCAGTACTTTGAATAAAGTGCTGCTTTGGTAGCATTGGCGTTTGGGGGTGCACGGTCCTATTTGTGGCTATCTAGATACCCAGAATCAAGAATGAAAATCCATCTTTTGTTACCGTATGTTTTGGGAGAAGTAAGAATATGCGATATCTTTCGTATGATTTCGATAGTAGTTCGGTAACCGATCAGCTGGGGCAGATATTTGGCGGAGCTTCTAGGCTAGACCGAACCGCTGCCGGGGATCTCTCACCTCAAGCTCACAACATCCAAATACTGTCGCCGTGGCACATCTGCATCCGTTCAAGAGACATCAACCTGTGTACTCCGGGGATGCGGTGCCTCAGTTTTAGCTGTCGATATCTTTCGCCTCATTTTTCCTGGAAAGACGCGTCTCATGCATCATGCCGCGGACGCTGCCATGGCTGACAGGCGGAGCGCATGACACGCCCAGCAAGCAAGCGACACCACTCCCAAAGCGAACAGATTCCGTGACGCCTCGTAGCGACTGGTCTAATAGAGGAAGGAAACCTACAGTTACAGATACTCCTACCAAACGCGACATTCTGCGATCTTGTATGTATCCTACGTACTGTGGGGATTCACATTGCTGATATAAGTTTCCTCCCACAGCTCGAAGCCCGTCAAGCTCCCCAATCAGACAGCCTCCAGCTGAAGAGTCAGTAGTAGCCTTCTTTCAGGATAAATTCTTTATGCCATACTGATGCTGGCGCGAGAGCAGATACCTCATTGAGGGCTTCGACAATGACGACAAGTACATCATGGTCGAAGATGAGTTCTATGCGATCGCGCAGGAATTCACGCAGCATCTCCATCATGCGGAATATGTGCGACAGAGAAAGGAAGCAAAATTGCGGAATGCGGCGGCTATCAACGATCTAGCACGGCCCACAGATGGCCGAACTGAGATAAGGGAAGAGACCAAGAAGAAAAAACTGATCGAAGCGCTGTCTGCGCGTCAGAAGGCCGGCTTGGAGAAGATGAAAGGGAAGCGACCTCGAGTTGATAGCGACGAAGAGGATGAACTGGAAGAGGACGAAGATGACCCCTGGGTCGGGACTTCGTTGCACGGTCTGATGACGAGTCCGAGGAAGGCGCAGTCTCTCGTTGGTCTACAGGGTATCAAGTCTAGAACGAGAGCCGCGGCAGGCTACTCTCAAGCATCCGCCTCAGTCGATAGGGGTAGTCCTTTACGTTCGTCTCCGCCAGCGCGCCGCGGCCAGCCAGACGTTGAGGAGATCGAGACTACAGCATCCGAGGACGACAATGATCTGGACATCCAGCCCACCAAAGCTACTTCCGTGAAGAGACCGTTTATGACACCTCTGCGAAATACTACATCAAGTCCAGTTACTAGGAAGCCGCTTTCCTCTGAGAAGGTCGATCACCCATCCCCAAGTTCTGGGAGAGCAGTGGATTCTAAGCATTCTAGTTACAATGCTCCTTCAAGATCACGTTCTAAATCCAAGATGGATATGTTTTTTGATGAATTGGATAGTACTCCACACAAAGGAAAACCGGAGATGTCAAATCAGGAACCAACGTCCCATTCATCTTCGGCTTCGGTGACGCCGCAAAGGCGGCCTCATGACGATGGTCCGAAGACGAAGAAATCACGCCTAAACGAGGTCCCCACATTTCTGGTGTAATGAAGAACGACCTTCGCAGCGGTCGAGCGAGATATTAAAAAGGTGTACTGGATCTGGGAAATATCCTCCGACGAAAACTGATGGCCCCGGAAACCTTTTTCTCAAAAATGATCCAATTTGCCCTGAATGTCGATCGACGGGCACCTCCATGAACCCACTCACTAGCGTCATGCTCTCAAAACAATTTTGTTTCACAAATCCCTTCGTCTATCATATCGATCTTCGTGTTGTTACGTCATCGCGATTGCGTTGTTGAAACAAAAGCTTCATGAGCTTGCGGGCGCTGGTGGAGTGATCTTGGTGCTCAGTCTTCGCACATGTTGCTTGATCATATCGCGCCTCGAGTTCTGCTGCCCAGCAGCATCACTGTCAGACACTTTCTCTGCGACATCGCAATGGCTGTCATGAGGTGCCAAGGTGCTACACATAGGAGTCAGTAATCGGTATCAGGTTTGAGGCAGCTGGGAATAAAAGGTGTACGCACTCGTCGTCCGAGAACAAGACGGGGGATTCTTCCTTACGGAAGTTGGTCGGGGGTCCCTACATTCAGATAGGTTAGTTTTAGCCGTCTAGACTCACTGTTGGGGGGAGGTAGCATACAATTTCCAATGCGCGAGGCTGCTCCTTCTTGCGCTGGAAAGGAGCCACCAAGCACTGGAACATCTGTCGGAAGCAACCCATTTTTTGGTGTAAAGGATTGATAATTATTGTATTAAGAGCTGTTGTTGTTGTTTTTGGTTGTTGTACTGTTATGGAAACAAGCGAATATCCACAGCGAGAAGGACGTTGTAGATGGAAGAGTATGTCTAAAGTGCGGCGATGAACGAATGACGCTTGATGACAATAACAACAATAAGAATAACGCTGAGTTGAATTGGAGAAACGAGAGACAATGGATAAGAAACACACAAAGGAAGGTAAAGAAAGAATTGATGTCTATGACATTGACTTGTTTATTGAACAGGTGGGGAGAATGAACAAAGAATCCAGAGGGTCAAGGCCCGGCGACGGCGGACACCATATATATCAAAACCATTGGCATGTTTCCTAGGAAAATCCGGAGGTTGAAACGAAATCCACCCGGTAAGGGCTCTAGCTCGGCACAATTTCACTGTGGAACACTGGAACGGGGGCTACCTGAATTGAGAACGGCGTGCAGGGTTCGCATCGCGTCCGTTGTACGCGACACATTCCTCTCTGCCTCTTTTGGACGGTTCGTCGCTCGCGCGGCCGTTCCCCTGCCAGGGAGAGAGAGGGCGGGTATCCCAGGGCGTCGGCGCGAATGACTCGGGTCTGAAGAATCTGTGCAGCTGGTTACGGGGACGCAGGATGAAGAGACCCGTCTACTCTACCATAAATTATTGTCAGATTAAGGCTAACAACAATCTCAGCGAGAGTCTGAAGAGACTGTGGAGACAACGCGGGCGTCACTATAGACTACGATCCTCGTCCGCAAGTATAGCTTCGACAGCTTCCGGACGAGCTACTGTCCGTTACCAGGTCGAACTCTACGCCCTGGCGCATGCTTTTGGCAAACCTAAACTTGCCTGATGGATTTGCAAATCCTCGCATCAAGCCTTCTTCCATTACATCTTCGGCAGGTTCCTGTCTTTGCAATTCGCAGTCCTGATAAACAACTCTCACACGACTTCAGGAAGACAGATTGTCCCCTGCACGAACTACATCAGCACTGTCCAATTCGACCAGTTCCATTATTGCGCGGAAATTGGGCTCGCGCAGTCCGGAATTGCGTCCCGCTTTGCCACGTAGATCCAAGCAAAACCCCCATCCAGAGACAACAGTAATCAATCACAGCGGAACAACAAAGAAGAGCGAAAATACGATAGATAGCCACAGAATGGAGGAATAACAAACTCGTGTGTTCTATTTTTTGCTCATCAAGAGAGAGCCCACTGCACCCTGGTAATAAAGAAAAAGGGTATCAAAAACAACAGGGACAACCCACGTCAAGAAACCGGGTGGGTCTGGTGCTATTGATGTTTCTTCTCTTTTTTGACCTACATACGGAGGACTGTCATACTCCTTTCTCCGCTCATTATTCGTTGCACTGTTCCTATTCAGGCAGCAAGACTCGATTGGGGCTTTTCTACTTGGCGTTAAGCGGTAGATCTCTCGGCTCATGTCGGCTTGGAGCTAGAAGGAATCCACTACGTCGGGGCCAAGGGGTAAAGAACGACTCCAGGAAGTTGGAACAGACAAAAAAAGGCAGAATTAGAACGCGAACCTATGAAAAAGCGGAGCGCGCTAGTCCATCAATTGATGGAGTTCGCGTGTGATTCCTTTTTCTCTCGAGATTTCCTCATCCCTTGCTTCGGCAAAAATGCTCCAGTGTGCATTCCATCATTCCATATTTTTCCCCTTCGTTCCTTTTCGCCTACCCAAACCGCGGCGCAGGAACGGGAAGAGCTGAAGAAGAAAAGAATATAAGGGAAAAATGGCAAAATGGAAAAGCTTACCGCGTTGTGAAATTGCATTGAACGAAGCTCCAATCTGAGATGCGTTCTGACTATGCTGTGAAGTATATACCATATGCACTGCATATGGTATAGAGAGGATGCATTGAATGCATTAGAAGGTGAGACGGCATGGCGGCCATGCTTCCCGGTTGGACAGCATGGTGACACAGCCAGCCATGGATGCTCCAGATTAGCCCTACCGCTCAAATTTGTACTGTACATGCAATATGTAACACATTCAACGCCCTTGTAACAGGCAAATTGAAAACAGAACGAAGAAAATATCCCACTGATCCTCCAGATTTCCGCATGATAACAATGATGGTGGTGACATACATAGACAACTCCTTTCTCAGTATGGAGTCGATCTATGTTGTCATGTATAGTACATACATCATCTGATCTCCTGTCAAGATCTAAGCATGTCAATTCCTCAAACACACAACGCCACGCACGCGACTTGCAACAGGCGCTTCTGGGTCCGGGCCGACCCAAAATTGCTCAAGGCCCTGGCAATCAGTACCATAGAATAAGCATCATTATCTGTGACCACATGACGCCCAGAGAGGAAATATTAAAATTAAACCCGTGCGTCTAGATAAGTTTTGTTCGAAATGCGCAAGGAAATTATACATTTTTTATCATAATATAACACAGAGCTTACTTCAATTACGACATTTTCAATATATCAAGTGATAAAGAAAACCTGACATCGCCTCCCCCTTGTTACCATTTCCAGTAACAATGTCTCTCCTAACGGATTGATATCAGGCTCAGTCTACTCTAGAGTAGTCCTTTCTTTTTTTAGAATTGTCTAACCTGGCAAGATGGGTCTCCATGGCGTCTGTTATTTCGTGGTTCTTCATCCTTCCTTCTTTTCCCCTTGCTATGAAGTCACGGTTCGCGATTGTGTTTGTGGTCATAGGATATTCATATCTTGGGATAGGATAGGTGCATTTTTGACACTACAGCAATGAGGTCATATGAGAGCGAGGATGAATTTCTGGTACGTGCTCGCGTCGAAGAAGGGAGTTGTCATCTGATTGAAAATGATGACAATTAACTCACTTTCTATTTCTGCTAAATTCATTCATCCCCTTTGCTGCTAGATAGTTCTTAGTCACAAATGCGATGGACTGAATAGATCACAGGATCAGAGCTCGTCCTCGGTGTCTAAATCTGTAACCTGGGGCCTTTTCGAGACAACATACTGATAGGAGTGCTCCATGAGAAGCAATGACAGAAAATGCAGTCTTCTCAAGTAACGGTCCTTGCGCAACTGTATTCAAATGTACCTTCTTAACCATCGGAAGAAACTGTCCATCTTCGACCCATTCTGTCGACCCTCCGCAATACCCGCGCTGCGATACATAAAACGGAAACTGAAGCTGGGCTATTAAAGGTATCAATCTGAACGGAGACATTTCACTCATTGATCATGATAAGGTTGTCATGTCATCCTCTCCATTCTATTCTCTCTCTATGTATATATGGGTCATGCGCATCGTGAAGACGACAAAAAGAGCAGCAATCATTCTCTATTTGGGGTAGTCCTTCAGATGATAGCTCTTGAGCTTGACAAACTGCTCAAATCCGAATCTGCTCAGAGTCACTCCACGGCCAGAGTTCTTCCAACCCGTCCATGCCAGGTCCTGGAGAAGAGATGTCAGTGTTTTTGTTCCTTGAACCGATGGAAATGGCTTTATAAATGGGGACTTACTGGACTAGGGAAGTCACATCGGTTAACGAACACCGTTCCAGCCTCGACTTTCTCGATCAGCTTCTCCGCGGTTGACATGTCTTTGGTCCAAACGCTGGCAGTCAGACCAAACTCGCTGTCATTCATGAGCTTGATGGCTTCCTCGTCGCTATTGACCTTCATCACAGGAATCAGTGGTCCGAAGGTCTCCTCCGTCATAACAGTCATCTCGTGAGTAACGCCCGTCAGCAGTGTCGGCTTGACGTAGTTGCCATTAGGCGGGAAGTTCTCAAAAGTCGCGTTCGCCGGAGTCTCGTCTTTGGCACCCTTCTTGATCGCATCCTCGATATGCGCCAGGACAGTCTCCTTGGCTCGCTTGGAAATCACAGGGCCGATATGAGTCTTTTCGTCGAGAGGGTCCCCAACCCGGTAGTTGCTAAGCACCTTCTTGACCTCCTCAATGAACGAATCGTAGATGCTCGAATGCACATACACCCGCTCAATTGAGCAGCAACTCTGACCACTGTTGAAGATAGCGCCGTCGACAATCTCCTCTGCCGCCCACGCCAAGTCCACATCTTCGCGCACATATGCAGGATCCTTGCCACCAAGCTCAAGGCCGACGTTCACGATTCTATCCGAAGCAGCCTTCTGCACAGCCAATCCACCAGCGACGGAACCAGTAAAGCAAATGTGGTTCACCAAAGGAGATCGGACAATAGTCTCTAGCTGAACAAGAGAGCCGGAGTGGAAGTATTGGATAACGTTCTTCGGTAGACCAGCCTCAGTGAAGGCCGCGGCCACCTGCTCGACAATCGTCGGGGTCTGTGGGGAGGGCTTGATGATTACAGCATTCCCAGCCAGAATAGCAGGGATCAAGCTGTTAACGAGGGTCAGGTAAGGGTACTAAAGATAAACGCGCCAGCATCAGCAAAGAAGAAGAAAGTTTGAGGATAGGAGCGCAAAAGCAGATCGTGACTTACGTTCCACGGGAAAATGATCAGTACCACTCCAACGGGCTGTCGCTTGATGAACCTCCTAAATCCATCCTCCGGTACTCCCTGAACAATGCCCTCTTCGCCCAGCACAGAGTTGCTCGTTTTGATCAGCACTTGTCCTCTCTTGATGGCCGTCGCGATTTCCTTGCCAGTATATGCGATTGGGCGTCCCATCTGCTCAGTGATCTCGCGAGCCAATACATCTTGCTTCTTGGCGAAAACATCTAGAGCACGAGCCACTATCTGCTGGCGTTGTTCAAGAGTTGTCGACTGCGAAAACGAGCGGAAGGCAGCCTGGCCAATTTCCGGGAGACGAGACAGCTCTTCGTCCGTAACTCCAGGTCGAGTCACGACCGGGGTGTTGGTGGCGGGGGAAATAGTGGTGATAGTTTCGACGGACATTGTGAGCGACTCGACACTTGATCCGGACTGAAGAATGCAAGGGGTATCGTAACCAGATCAAAATGAGCTGGGTTAAGGGTAGATTGAAGAGAATCGCCCTTCTATCGAGGTCCTGAAGAGGCGAATGTGTCGGATCGGATGCCCCTCCTTAGCTAGTCTAGTTAAGCTTATCCGTTGGCTTTTGGTGGAGCTTCCCCTCCTGTACTTATCAGCAAAGCCTACCTTCCCCTGGATGCTTCAAGCTTCAGCTTCCTACGCCCTTGAAACCGGATACGCGCAGTTACCAGAACAGTTAGAATTTTATTTAAAGCGATGGATCAAAGCAACAGGTTCTCAGACGCAATTGGCGAGTTCTATCCAAATAGTACAACAAAGAGACGAAAGAGCCATCCAAGTGTGAGAGAGATCCCAGCCAACGCCCTCCGGAGTGATTCGTTCATATCACGCAAATTGCTTCTATGACCCAGCAAACAAGTGCGAGACACATGCAGGCCACTCAAGCAGTGGTGGTGTCTTATGATTGACACTTCCATTTCAAAAAGTCTTCCTACCCCAACCGGATCCCGCGAGGCCCCTGGAGCATGATCTTACTTACTATTAAGATGCAGAAGATAGAGTCACTGGCGCAGAGAGTATGTTGGCACCAGTTCACATCACCTGTCAAATCCAAGCCTCTATATGCATGGTTTATGCGCATTGTGAAGATGACGAAGCGAGCAGCAATCATTGTTTATTCGATGCGCACTGCGCCTCTTATGTGTAATGATAGGTTCAATGACAGGCAATCCTTCCTGGTCTGCTTCCTGTTGTGTAGAGACATCTGGCTTGTCAGTTTTTGCTTGTTCGGATTGTGCTGCATCCACTCTTGGTTTCTCCTTCCGTGGTGCTAAAGAGAGAGTCAACATCCCAGGAGACTTTGTGAGAACAAGATTCCTTTCATCAATATGCGCCTTGGTACTATCATTCGCGAGATCCTCTTGTGTGATACTCATATCCTGCTTCACAATGTTGGTTTCGCCTGTGATGTACTCGGGACTCACTTCCAGACTTTCTCCTCCAGCCTCCTCAGTGCTGTCTTCTGAATGACTATCCTCCATATCAAGCTCGCGAAGTTTCTCGCCTGTTTCCCAATTTACCAGCTCGTTATTGCGAACCATCTCATTGTATGTGCGTTTATTGGCGTATCGCCAGTATCCTTCTTTGCGACTGAGGGTCTCCTTAGCTTCATTGGCGACTATCTCGATATCCGATATTATCGAGCTCCCCAGTTCTTGCAGTAGCCGCTGGCGCTCCTTAGTGCCTTCATTGAATGGTGGCTTTATACCAAAGTCACAGATGATCCCAGTGATAATGTCAGTATCCAGGCCGTCTCTCTTTGTTATCGTGTTCGCTCTTCTTCTTTTCAACCGAAGTGCTTCGCTAGCTTTGGATTGGTTTCCTTTATTCTGGAGTTGCAGCTGAAGGTCTTGGAAATTCTTAATTTCTGTTACCAACGCTTTACCTGATTCTCCATGGTCCACCGTAGGAGGCATCTTCGGGTGCCCGTGGATCCCGAGGTGGATTTCTTCAACAAAGTCCCTTGAAGCAGATGTAACACTGTAACCTCTCTGTCGCTTGAGAGCCTTGTCTATGTTCTTAGATGCCCTTGCAGCTTGTTTCTGAAGTCTGATCTCTTTCTCCTTGGATGAACAAGGAGACGCTGACACTATTGCGCTTGGGGGAACTCCAGTCACATTGGCATTATTCGGAATACGCACAGAGAGCACCGGCTTCCTGAACTGCTCTTCCTTCGGAGGTGTCATATACTCTTGCTCATCTGTGCTTTCCGGTTCGGGGGGCGAAGCAAGTTCTCCAGATTGGGCTTTTCTGCGGTGCTGTGCCACCATAGCCTCAACGCCGTCGATTGCTTTGATCTGCCAAATGAGATTACCGATCTCTCTGTGCCTCTTTTCATGTTGTTCATTGGAGTTCTTACATCTGCACAAAAAGATCATTAGCATCCCTTCAGAAGACTTCTATGAGGACAAGGTGGATGAATACGCTTCACAGGAGTGGGCACGGCCGACTCGAAACAATGTCTGATGATATCTCATGCAGGGCACAGCATGGACCCCAAGGCAGGTCTTCTTAGCGCGTGGATTGTTCAAGGTCACTCCGCATACAGAACAGCTATGGTCTAGTAGGTATGTCAGCTTGGTGCGTAATTCCCTAGATGGCTAGTAGCAAACGAACTCAAGGACGGGTTATCCTCCCATCTGTACACATTATCGAGTACACTACTGATCTCTTTCTCGGTCACTTTGGGCCTATTAGGCGTCTTCGGTCGAGATACCATATTAACTCGTCCGGCCCAAGGTCGCAAAGCAAACCACTTCGGAAAACCTGAAACTGAAAAGCTTTATCTGAAGGACCACGACGGTACAGAGCTCTCAGGATATAATACCTCAAGAAGATCTCTATCGAGCAGTTCTATCAAATCTGGATTATGTTCTATGAAACCAAGAAGTATGTTGACAACAGTCGTAATGGCTAGAAAGTAGTAGCGAGAGAAAAAACAAAAAGCCGCAGATGATGAAAAGCAAAAGCTCAACGAGGACGAAGATAGAACATTTTATAACACTTCTCTTTTATCTTTTGACACGTCATCTCTTCAACTTGTGAACTTCGCGTCTGACAAAGGATTGGTATGCTCTCGATTATTGGCGGCTTCGGCCACCAGTGTTGCCGGAAGCCTTTGTATGCTAGTTAACTATATCCAGCATAATAAAGAGCATATTGCCTTTGATACGGTCATATTTGGTTTGCCTCGAATCCGTAGCAATAAAGTTGCAAGTTTTGGATTGGGAAACACCAACGCGGTCTTGTTATAGTTCTATAAAAAGGAGCCCAGAATCCAGTGTATACTACTTCTGCAGGACTATGAGAAGGAATTGCCACCTACGCGTGCGGCTGTGGCTATCGGAGGCATGAGAAGAAAGTAACCTAATTTTAGAGTATTCGTTCAAACGTAGTCTTCTCTTTCCTTTTTCTTCCCGCTCTCTTGTTCTTCCCTCATTCCTTCCCAGGTTGATCTTAAACCGTAGCATATATGTAACAGCCTACAGAGGACTGTATAGTTCAATCCCAACATTTGTAAGCACATACGACCATAGGGTGTGGAAAACAGGGCTTCCCGTCCGCTCAGCCGTACTTAAGCCACACGCCGGCAGGTTAGTAGTTGGGTGGGTGACCACCAGCGAATCCCTGCTGTTGTATGTTTTTGTCTTTTTGCTATTTTCATTTGATACTCTCTTTTTGCGTTCTTCGTATGTTCCAGCATCGTCAAAAGATGAGTAGGGTGACACTATGCTATGCTTGAGTTGTAGTATTGCCGCTGAGGGTTATATGAAACGTCAGAAGGTAGTTATAAAATAGCCATACTTATAAATATTCCAGTATAGAAACTGCTGTGATCTAAAGCTTTTTTTTTTTTTTTTTTTTTAATTTACTCATTTCTTTTAATGACCCTATGATACATACTTAGCTAGCTAACTGTCTATAAGTGAGGGAAGCCAATATCAGGGCTTCCGACATAATATCTTAGTCCTTTACCAGTGATGCAGCGCTCTTCGATGTAGGATACACCCTTGAAGCTTGCTTGTGCGAAATCTTAGGACATCCACGGGAGCGGGAAAATAATGACATGTTACCATATTTACTATTTTGTCTTTATTAGCCTTAAAATGAAAGGAGATAAAGGAGATATAAAACTTAGTTGGTAGTACCAAGTACCTGAGAGGCTATTGAAAATAGTCGGAATTAACAGGAATATATATCAGTCAATATTCAGGGATACCTCACACTAAGAATGAACGGCCTCGGGCATCTTAGAGAGAGCTGGTGTTGGATGGTACCGTGCCGTTTGAATTGCTGGAACACAGTACATAATTGGCTGCGGAATACGCAACCACTTGAATCGTCTCACAAGCTCGTTTCAATTCTGCGTGCCTTCACCACCATCCTCCTCTGGATTTGAGCTTGTTTTTCTTCTCTTTTGATTGTCTCTTGTTAAAGCCCAGAGTCAGAAAGGGTTTTCACCTAATGAGTGCCTCTTAAAGCTCGCCAGCTCTACCTTATATACGTTATTATCTTGTCGTATCTAACCTAACTTCGCATCGCTGGAAAATGTCAGTTCCTCAAGAATCAGAGGACGAAGCTCTTGATATCCATGACCCTTACTTGTGGCTTCCTTCTCGGTACAATGGTCATATTTTTCGCCTTCGTGGTTCGGAGGAGCGTTGGCAGTGTGGCCCCATTCTTCGTGAGGGTGTCCGTCATACTCGGACAGATTTTGATGACGTATCAGAAGTATGTGGTATATGCAATGTAACACTCCTAGATGGTGCACAAGCAGGTCTCAAAGCTATGCTCAAGATTCACGTGCAGTATGTACTCGTTCTGCCCTATCCGTGAATAGGAATGAATTAATAATAGAGACTAGGATTCCCGACGGCCGCGACACTCGTGATGAACTTTACCCGGGACGTGATTATTCTAAGTTCCGGTCAGAAGAGCTAAGCTGGGAGGCAGAGACTGAGTTTGTAATGTTAGAACACCTTACGAAGAAGGGCTGCAAGAGCGTGCCGCATCTGATCGGCTACTCAGTCGACAAACAACCAAAAGATGGTTACGTCCCCGGGGGCTACATAGTATATGTCATCATGGAGAAGGTCCCCGGACATGATCTCTGGGATTTCGGGAAATATCCTCTAGAGAAGAGAGACCAGATACGAATCGCGTTTGGAAAAGCTATTCGGTACGTCCTCGTTACATATGTCGCTTTCTGTGGTAGCATCGCTGATTATGAGCAGCGAGTTCTATTTACATGGATGCCAGCACCTTGACCCCCGTAGATCCAACGTCATATGGGATGAAGCCACGAACAGGTGGTAAGTATCGTCGTTTTCTGACCGAGGATATTGGCTGATATTGGACATATCTAGCTGGATAGTGGATATGGAGCACGTCGACTTTGCAGACCCGCCCGTGAAGTTCAAGCCATTCCGCGAGTGGTCGATATGGGGTCTTTCTCGTCAGGAAGTAATGGACAACACGGATGATGAGACTGTCCGTGAGACATGGGAAGAATGCTCTTCTGATGAGGCACTGGAATCCTTCCTCATAAAACCTACACAGGCATCGGATCAGGAGGGTTGACTTGTTTTGTCCGTTGTCAATAGGTTGTCTGCTCTGTGGTGAGTTCACTGAAGCGCTCGATCTCCTGATATTGGTCATCACCAGCATGCTTACGAGCGAGATTGTATACAGACAGGCACCTTCTTCAGCTACTGCAACGGAGAAACTGAGGTGGAAACAAAGAAGATGCAGCATGAGTGGGAGGGACGGATGGAATCAGCCGATTCGTTGAAGACTGTTAATGCATATCACCAACAATACTCTAGCATGGTACTGGGGATCAGCTTAGAAGGCAATAGACAGTTAAATACCCAATCAGAATCAAGATACCTGTCGTGACTGGTTACTATGTGTAGAGAATCTATGGCATCTAAAAAACGATGCTGCGAGAGCTAGGAATTACGAAATCTCCCAGACTCTCATACGTGTTTATGCGTACGTAGACCAGAAGCAGAAAAAGACCTGGCCTTGAGGGTTCCATTATTTAGATATAGCTCCCTACAGACAGTCTTCACTGTACAGGGTTGCAGTAGCAATGACACCGGTCCACTCACGAATATGTTAAAGCACGCCAGCTTCGTCTCGTCATTCTCCAACATCTGTATATGTTGCTCATCAGCATAATAGCAAGCTCAATTCTTTCTATAAGCTTTCCATATAAAGTATTTACTAGTTTGCGTTTGATAGTGCAAGCACTATGCCGTTTCTAAAGGGCATATATGGAACCCTGACGAAGCGCGGTCTACCCACTAAAATAGGCCCGAAATTATAAATTTTTATTTGCTTCGTTCTGGAGATACTGGAGGAGATCGTAGTGTCCTAAGTGTGGTGGATATCTGTTGATGGCGTGGGTTGAGAGGTATGGAGGTTGCAGAGCCTGTGTGGAAGCGTACATGGACTAAAGTCTGCTTTGATGGCCGTTTATTTAATAAGGTGACGGCGTAACGGTAAGGTGTTAGTAGATCTAGAGCATCGAATTGATGATAAGCTCTTATGGCAAGCATATTCTGAGTTTCACGGCGTTTGGAGTACCATCCCAAGTGTCAGGAGTGGAAAGTCATAATTATCACAAGCAACAGTTACTCGAATCAAGTGATGATATTACGCAATAGGGCGTATTACTACAGTTCACCAAACACAATGAATATTGTCCTGGCATTCCTATAAACCGCAAATAATGATGTGAGTGGAGGACATCAAGTTTTAAGTGGTAATGAACGTCCAGAGTCATATCGACCTCATACGGTAACGCTATCGGATGAAGCAAGTTCCATGCTTCAAATGTCACGTACAAGACGCGCTCCTACCCAAGCGTAGGGGTAATTACGTTGATACCAGTTGACACTTGATGATATGTCAGTGGACCGGCTTATAGATGAATAATACACGGCTGGAAGACTCACAAGGTTGTTCGGCCCGCAATCCGTGGATGAGTAGACCAAGAGCCACCCAGTACAATGTTGTGCTTTCCATCGAAGAAGTCCGCTGAGAAGTAGTCAGCTTTACCTGCAAAGACAAATAATTTGCTATCGAGTCCAGAGTCCAGAGTTCTGACTCACATGTATATCCAGGATAGACCTCCATGGCCTTGAAGCCGTCATGCGGCATTAACGGCGTGCTGGTCCACTCCCAGACGCCTCCCAGTTCACCCTGCCCGGCAAGATGGTCGCCATTTTGGGTAACTGGGGTAGGGTGCCAGTGTCTGAGCCCGACGTTGCAGCCGTCGAGATCAAGGAACACTGGCATTGTATCATGAGAAAGTCTTTGAACCGGCTGGTGATCTGGACAACGGGGTCCCGGCGGGTTGACCTCGTGAGAGTTTCCATTCGAAGCCGTAGTATTGGCATTGGAGGCATGTTTACCATTTTCACTGTCTGTACCGTCGATGCCATCGATATGATTGCTAGATCCCCGATCAGCACATACGTCTTAAGACCAATGATAAGATTGTTCGCTTACCTGCCGCGATGCGCACCATCGACCGTAGAACTTTTAAGAAGAGCCGAGTGCTTGTAAATACTCCTGGCCTCTTCAAAGGTTGGCAACCTGCAGTTTTTCCATTCGGCATATCCTGCAAGTTCATCGTATGAGGCGATTACTGGCCAGTCAGCAGCCAACTCGAGTGGAACGGGTCCGAAGACAGTGCGGACGGAGAGTTTGGAGATTAACTCGGAATTCGAGGCAATAGCACCATTGCTCTCGTTGCTTGTCAGTATCCAAGATGCCGGCCAGTTCTTTATTCGGTTCTCTTGCATATAGTGTGCGAATTCCCCGTTAGTTATCGGCCTGGCTTTCGCCTCAAATGCCGGCACTACCACAGTCCTCTGCGGTTTTTCGTTATCCCACCCGAAAGCTTGTGGGACCTCATTTGGATTGGGATCGTCGAGTCCGATGTTGACTTTCTGCTCCGGGATTGTGAACCACTCATTTGGTTTGTGGTCCCTCCTCGCTTGGTAGCAAAGGTCGCGAAAGTTCGGCGTACTGACACCTGGAGGGGGGAGAGTCCTTTCACTCTGAAGCAGCATGTAAAGGAAGGTCTCGAGGTGCATGGCTTCATGCTCGAAACTGAGCCACATGGCTTCTCCAAGGAGTCGATTCTGTGCTAGGCTATCCATTTTCAGAAGAGACTTGACCCTAGCTCGAACCCGGTCTTGGTAATCCAAAACTTCTGAAACAGGGGGCCATTCATCTGGTATTTCGCTATGGGAATGACATTGCTCAGGGTCATCGACATCAGGGTCAATACCGCGCTCGAAGATTGACTGGTAATACTTTGGTTCAGTCGGTTTACCATGCAGACCACGCGTTAGATGGATATCTGTTCTTGTAAGCACTTGACCAAAGACCCATGTGGAATGTTTTGACAATTTACCTAAGAAGGTAGGGATATGCCCCAGATAAAAGATCAGGGCGTTCCTAAGCTTGATGGGCTTCGACATGAGTTCCTCCTTTGGAATCATGCCTTTAGTGACGATATCCCACGCCAACCAGAGAGCCTGCCAATCTGACAGGCCAGGTATGGGCTGCGCAGCGTACTGCGCCACTTTGGAAGGAAACTCCACGGTCCCTGGAGATAACATATGGATATCTGTACTGGATGTGAGCTAAATTCGATGTTATGAATTTATCCGTGCGTGTCGACTGCTATTTTTCCAGGTGATAAGAGGCTTCCAAAGGTTCAATGGATGGATATAGTAAGAATCCATGGACGTCAGTGGACGTAACGGGGAGATGATATGATCTGAGATCATCGGGTCGGGGTTCACACAAGGGTTACTCACGGTACTCGTCGGAGCTGCTACCAAATGCAGTGACAGGGATCAGCCCGGCCTTGCGCCACAGCTGCTCGCTTTCTTCGGCAGAGTATTTGTATGCCTCTTCGATAATGATTTTCTCACCTTTCCGCAGCTTGATGCCGTTTATTGATACATCCTGTGCCGGGGAATAGAAAGCACGGTGCCGTCCTTCATTCTCGTCGTAGGCACTCACAATCTGCCATTGACCTAGCTTGAAGGCGTCAACGCCCAGCACTACGTTCGCATGCACCAGCCCATTCATATAGAATTTATGAGTGATTCCCTCTCGATCATTATAGGCTCTGTACACCTTCTCTGGAACCTTGCATGCGTCTAGTCCAATGAGCATGGAATCTGAGGGACCAAGTAACTCTGAGAATCCTCGTAGAAAGGCTGCAGCGCCGTCCCGAGAGAAGTTCCCGATTGAAGAGCCCATTGACAGGACACAAGTTGGCTGCTTCCTGTTGTCGGGGTTCTTGAGCCACGTGAGAGCATCATCGTACGTTCCATGCAGTCCATGGAATCGAACATGCGCATATGTACTCGCCGAGACTTCTGAAAATGTACGCTGGAGCTCCTCAAGTGAAAGGTCGAGGGCATAGTAGTCCACCTTCTTTCGGGTCTGTTCAAATTCCTTCAACAATATCTCGATCTTGCGAAGATTCCTAGAGTTTTGTTAGATCCTGAACAGGCAGGGGTGTCTACACGTCTAGCATCTAAGCCATAGGTCTCAAGAATAACACACCCGCTACCGAGCTCAATCAATTGCGCATTATCTGGGATTCGTTCCACAATGCTTCTCGCATGCGTGAGCAGAACTTCTATTTCCGCATTTGTCAAGTAATAGTCCTCCAGATACGTGATCTGTTCGAATAGTTTCAGGCCCTCTGTATCGTATAACAGAATCGTTGGAAGAGATCGAGGTCGGCCATCTTGCGGATTTAGGCCACGGACTATTTCCTTTCCAAGAGAGAGCTCAAGCTCCTCTTGACGAATGTCAATGATGTCAATGTCGTTTGGACGGTATATTGCTGGTGCCATGATGACGTCTCAGTACACGTGTGAAAAGCAATTCAAAAAAACCAATGAGCCGGCGTCTCGATGGGAAGCGAGCGAAAAGTCACTATTGTCGTGTAGAGAAAACAGTTCGGAGGTTGCAGGTTGACAAACAATTTATTACATGTGAAGTCTGATGGATCGTCGATATTGCTAGTAGATACAATAATGTCGAATGGACAGGCCCCCAAATCAGCGGAATAGAGTTCATTTATACGGGGTCCGGATCATCGCATAAGCAGTCAGCCCATGTTCGTTCCTGGATCATGGAGCCATTAGAACGGCGTCCCGGGGCAGGCGCAAATAGCGCATCTCCGACCATGGCGGTTACAAAGTCCGCTGGCGTTGAGTGAGTTTCCATGTAGTGGACCCTTCTTTTTTCCAATCCTGACGTAGCTGTGTTCCACTCAAACCATGGTGGTTATCGGGCAATCCCATCTGCGATCTTCTTGTCACCTAGAAATGTGTTTGTTCCAAGCAGCAGGGACGGGACGACCGAGCATCTCTGGTGAGAAGATCCAATTCCCCGTTCCCCGTGTTTTTCTTTTGCTTTCTGGTCATCCTTGAGAGGGGTCAAGGCGCCTCGCGCCCTCCCAGCCTGATGGAGATAATCCAATAAGAACATATGCAGGAGCAGCAGCAAGGAACAGACGAGTCATTTCGAGCGTATGACGCATGAACTGCAGTTTGCCTGCCAGTCTTAGCGTTGAAGTACAACCGAAAGGATCCGGTTCTGGTCAGTATCCTTACTGTACAATCCAACCAGAAGATCAACATCCGGAACGCGGTAGAGAGCGGGGTTGCTCATGGTGGAGAGTTTGCCTCGTTTGTCCTGTTTGATTCCTGCCGCGTTCAGCCAAGTTTCCCCGCCGCGGCGCAGGCCTAGAAGCCTTCCTTGACGGACTGATAAATAGCTTCAATTCGAAGCAGATAGCTCGGCGACCCGGCGAGAGTAGAGACGATTTTCTCGCCAAAGCTATCCTCGCTGAACTGTAGCCCGCAATTCTGGAAGTGCGGAAGCTAATTAGTTAAGAAATCGTCCGTGTTTCGTCAGTAGGACGGTGAGACGCAGTCAGATGCATACTTAGTAGCCAGAGCGAACTAGTCTACCAGGCATTTCGAAGGCATGAAAGGAGAACAATGACTGCAACAAAGAAGACGTCGGGCCAGGAAAACAAAGCCTGGATGTGCTGTCTTCCTTTCGCTCCTTGTGCTTCTTTACTGCCTATTATTAGTAATTGGAGACTGTTTGGGACATTTCTTCGAATGAAAAGAGCTTCTGGTGGTTTAGCTGAGTGACCGCACTGATAAAAGACAGGAGATCTCACATCACGTACCAAGCTTGCAATATTGTCAAATTCCTGAACAATATATTGTCTTTCCATTCGATTTAAACATGGAGTATTATGTGGCAAGCCCCAATCACGAAGATAGGAAAAGATCCCAGCGGCTATCGCGAGAAACAGATCACTTGCTAGAACTGCTCAACAAGGTCGCGGACGAGAGAGAGGCTGTCCGCCGTAATCTGTATTATTTCCATGATTTGATTGATTCTTTTGAAAGCCAGATTGCCGAATACGACACTCTTATATCACGGGTGCAGTCGGGTCTGGTGCGCATAACAGGGATATCAGAGGAATGTGCTTACTTCCCCGCTGTAAGCCCTGTGGTGGACTCCAGTACTGATCTGGCATGGATTGAAGACACTTGGCTCTGCTCCTCCAGCAACTCGGCAGTACTTGGTGAGGCAGAGATGCACTGGTTAACTGGTCATCCCCAGAACGCTCTCAATGCAGTCAGCAGTATCCTAACGAAGAATCCCAATATCGATTGGTATGATGCCATGAAATGTCGTCTGTTCATGGCAGCCATTTTACATAGCAGTGGAGTACACGATGAGTCGTCTTATATTGTGGACAATGTGCTCAGGCGCTGCGAGGAACATTGCGTTTCGGATCATGTGCAAGCCAGGGAACTCAGTGGGGTTTCCTATTTCATCAAGGGGAAAGATATGATGGTTCAGCAGAACTGGAAAGCCGCCTACCAGTCGTTTGCTCATGCTCTGCATACCCCTGGTTATCAAGATAAAGCGCAGAAGTAGCAGCGCGAAGCAGTAAGAAACCATATGCGAGAAAAGTTCGGGAGAGGCCAGCGCCCTCTTCTGCAAGTGCATCCTTTAGATGTTACAGAACTTCCGTTGTCCCAAACATCGAGAGCAAATGAGGACTGTGTGAGTCTTATCTCTCCCGGACAGATATATCCAGACAAGGAGTCGACACGTGACGAACCGGATTATTATCTCGACCTTGTACGAAGGCGTCCTAAGTAATGCCTTAAACTATTGATAAATAGTCGAAGAGAATTGCTATGGTGTCTGTGAGGATGTTTTCACAAAAATAAAGGGGGATTCTTCGAACCGTAATTTGTCGTTCCTTCATATCTAATGCAGAAGATGATTGATATATACAAAGACAAGCTTACAAAAAGAGTAGTAAAACCTGTTTCTGTGATAATTTCTTTAGGAACTATCTATGGTATGTCAAGGTTGGTGGCATCTTCCGCACGATACTCGCTTTCTGTGGGGAAGTGCCGCCAGCTAGAATGGGCAACATGTCATCCCTCTACTTTCATTTTTCACCGCACACTTAACTCCTTCTACTACATAGACTAGATTTCTTCTTCTATTCCGAACTTTCTACGATAACAGCGAGGTCTCTTCCCGATATGAACGACCAAGACGGAAACTATGAACAGACAACTGGTATGTTGGGCTTGGACCCCCTGGCGTCCGACCCTATATCCTCAAACTTCAGCGATGACGAGCACATGGCATCTGGAATGCACTCGGAAGATCACACAAGGTCACTAGGAACGCCTGACACTTCGACAAACGGGGGAGATGAACTACATGGGGATAGTGACTCTGCATCACCCTCTCTATCAAGCGGAGGGGATGATGATGATGATGAAGATGGTGACTACGATACTCTCGAACCGTGGCATTCAGACTCGACCGATCCCATATCCCGTGAAGATTTCCGTCGTTACCAGTCTCTTGTTGAAGAGCAGATCCAGCGTTTGCGTTTAGAGAGAGACGGATTCCGCGCCCTCTGGAATAATGAGAAAGCACGCGCTGAATCTGGATTAAAACGATATCGGGAGACCCAACGCATGATCGAGCAAGAGTCAAAAAGGGATTATGCGAAATGGGAGAGGTCGTTACGAGGTAGGATGAATGAGCCTGTTTGGCCTCCTCCTGCGGCTGTTCCGATGTCGCAGTTTCTATATGACAACGTTGAGGATATTATGACGCAGCGTTGCATAACGACTACGCTCTTACATGCACAGGCTTGTTTGAATGCGGACGACCCCGATAAGGCGGAAGAATTGGCTAGAGAGGCACTTGAACTTGCGAGGACTTTTGATTACGAACCCCTTGAGGGTAGGTGCAAGTATTGGCTTGGGCGGGTCGAATATGTGAGAGGAGACCATAAGAGAGCGAGGATGTTCTTCATGAAAGCCCGATCCTGTATTGGAAAATATAAGGAGGGTGAAGATGTTGAGGTCTATTTGAGCCTCTTCCAGCCAGGCCTATCCGATCTGGAGAAGAAACGGATCATACTTAGGCACGCGGAGACTATGTATGCGCAGGTTATGGAGGCGCAAAGGAGGCTTCGCCAGACAAATAAAGAAAACTCAGGAGCTGGAGAATGCCATACCGATGCAGCTTCAAGGTCGGATCTTCCAGCTAGCGAAAATTCACAGCAGGGTCATTGAAACTATCGTCGGGGATGACATGCACGCATGGAACATATCTGAGGTTCTTACCCAGTGGGAAAGAGGTACATGAGGGGTTATGTGCAAATAATCTAGTATGCAAATGGTGATACAATTCGTCAATATGACTTATGACACTGACTCTATCCTGGTAAACCAACTATGTCTCATGTTTAAGCGCTGCATAAAGCACACATCCTGGAAAGGGAAGAGCATGGAGCATGGCACGATATATATATATATATATCTTTTATTGCCCTAGATCATGCAGTGCATACATTTGGCAAACACCAACATTTGCATGACTAGGTATAGAGTAGATAATTTAATCAACTCACTCACATTTTAAGTGCCCTCTCGAAGAACAGAGGCCTCCTGTTCTGTCTACACACACACTGCCTGTGCTAAACCACTGGAGGCCTCGAGAAACAGCAGTAGTTCCGGAAGCAATGATTTTACCCTCATAAAGCATTCGGATTCACGTGATACCAACAAGAAGGCCGGATAGTCTAGTTGGTTATGACGTATCGTTAACACCGATAAGGTCCTGGGATCGAGCCCCAGTCTGGTCATATCTTTTTGCTTTTTTTTATTATTGATTCTTCAACTCTTCACTCAATATAACCCTGGGGTATACTATCTGGTGTTATTATTTTATTTATTTTTTCTCCCTTGCTCGTATTAATGAAATCCACTGACACCACGCATAGATATCACACAGGATCCGTGTTTGATGACGAAATCGAATATATCGTCAGCGTTGTCGTCTCATCCTTTGGACACCTCAAAGCTGGCTGATGATCTGCAGTGGAAGTAGGCAATGGAACTGCGCTTAGAATATACCAAAATGTCCCTTTTTGAGCCATAGAAAGAGCTGTGTAAGGTAGGATATATGGCATAGGTAGGTATATATAGATAGCTTGAGTTGTACGCCTAACATCACACACACTATAGACCCCGAACCCTCACTCCTTGCTATAAAAGACACAGCCTACACAAAACAGAAACATGATGACTGCCACGGAAATAAGAAATGACCGAATATCTATCTCGACCAGTGATGAGCTGCGGATTCACGCAAAGAGCGATAATGGGTAATCACAAAGCCCCGCATCTCGATGTCGTGATTGCCGCCATTACCCAAATGGACAGGGTGAGCGTTATTGCATTTGTCATCAGCGGCATCATCGCTGTAGTTAATGCATGGGATATATATACAAGATAAGGAATATATAAGTGACTGCTTTAGCTGCGCTGTTCGTCCTTTTTTATCGAGCTTTATTTGCTGGTGGTTGTTGAGCTACACTACTACATACATTACAAAAGCTATACAAGAGTATCAAATCTCGACAGGAATCAAGAGAAGCAAAAAAGAAAGAAAGAAAAAAAAAAAAAAAAAAAAAAAAAAAAAAAAAAAAAAAAAAAAAAAAAAACAAAAAAAAAAAAAAACAAAATGTCGGATTCAAAACAGTCCAAGCAATTACACCTCACCGCGTTCATGCGTCCGGTCAGTTTACATAGCGGAGCATGGCGTTATCCCGGCGCTTATCCAGATGCCAATTTCAACCTGAACCATCTGAAATCATCCATCCAGAAGCTGGAAAAAGCCAAGTTCGACGCCTTCTTCATGGCTGACCATCTTGCTGTGTTGAATATGCCCGTCGATGCATTGAAACGCAGTCACACCGTTACGTCCTTTGAGCCCTTCACTCTACTCTCTGCCCTGTCGCAGGTAACGGAGAGGATCGGGCTGGCGGCCACTGCATCGACGACATATGATGAACCGTATCATATTGCTAGACGATTCGCATCGCTGGATCATCTTAGTAATGGTCGAGCGGCGTGGAATATCGTCACGACCGGGAATCCAGAATCTGCAAAGAATTTTGGATTAGACGAGCATGTGGAGCATGGAGAGCGGTATAAGAGGGCTCGAGAGTTCTATGATGTGGTTACTGGTCTATGGGATAGCTTCGCCGATGATGCATTTGTCCGGGACCAGGAGAGTGGTATCTATTTTGACCCGGAGAAGTTGCATGTTTTGAACCATAAGGGGGACCACTTGAAGGTGAGGGGGCCGCTGAATATAGCGCGACCAGTACAGGGCTGGCCGGTCATTGTTCAAGCTGGTCAGTCTGAGCCTGGGAAGCAGTTAGCAGCTGAGACGGCTGAGGCGGTCTTCTGTTCACCGCGAGACATCGAATCCGCAAAGGCTCTGTATGCGGATATCAAAGGACGGGCAGTTGCTGCCGGTCGCGATCCCAATCATCTGAAGATCCTGCCTGCTGCTCTCATAATTATCGGAGATACGGTTGAGGAGGCAAAAGAGAAACGTCTCGAGCTTGATAGCCGTGTCCATTACGACAGTGCTATTGCTTCACTGTCTGTTGTTCTGGGGACTGATGCATCTGGTTTCGACCCGGACGGTCCACTGCCGACGGACCTGCCAGAGACAAACGCCAGCAAAACTGGTCGCGAGGGAGCGATAAAGCTCGCCAAGGAAGAAAACCTGTCAGTTAAGCAACTTGCGCAGCGCTATGGTGGTTATGCCGGACTCGCCTTTGTCGGGACTCCTGAGACTATCGCTGATGAATTAGGTACCTGGTTGGAACAGGAGGCTGCTGATGGGTTCACCGTCACTTTCCCATTCGTTCCACAAGGTCTGGATGATGTTGTCGACCGGCTGGTACCGGAGCTGCAACGTCGTGGTATTTTCCGTAAGGAGTATGAAGGGACGACGTTGCGCGAACACCTTGGTCTTCCACGGCCGAAGAATCGTTTCTTCTCCTAAGGTGGGCCATGGCTACCGTCCGAGGTTGTGCCTATATGGGTTATTGTATCCATTTCCACAGCTAGTGAACTTGTGACCGGGTAGCTGGATGGTTACGTTTCCATCACAATATATGATACTGCGACAGAATTGTAGCCAAGGTTGGAAATTACAGAAATCCAATATGGAATGGAACATAATATCATCCGGCATTTTCTAAAATCACTTGGAATACCGCTCCTAAGAGCATCAGAAGAAGAAATATTCCTTTACCAGTAGTATAATTAGACGCCCCGTAGGTATGTTAGCTTTAAGGCCATAGCTAAGTATACTGACGTCTGAACAACCATGGTTTCCTTGGGAGTTGTCTGTATGATTATTTCGCAAAAGCAGCGCTCAGCGGAACATCCCAAATGTAACCTGCAACCGCCATTCCACCAATGCTCATAATCGTCGCCATCAAGACATTAACGTCGTTATTATCAAGCAAGTCGAACCCGCTCTCGACCTTTCGGCTCTCGTGTTCCGGGTCATGACTTCCCGGCTGCGACCCTGCTGATGACCCCGTGATTTTGGCACCTTTCAGGGTTGCAGTATTCGCAGTTTCTTGAGTGGTCCGAAGACCGGTGTTTTGCTTCGGCAAGGCAGCCGCACCGGCAGGTTGGGTGGAAGAAGGGTGTATGAGGACCTGAGCATCGGCAAAGATTAGCGAATATTCATCAAAAAGGTCAATTGAGGACAAGATATGACAGGGCGTATTACCCTCTGTCCGCCACTGCCTTCGACAATCTTCCCAGTCCGCTTATCGACCACACTACTCTGGAGCCACCCGCCCAGGAAGCTATCCAGAAGACTTCCCAGTCCACCCCACAGTGTCACTCCAGCAATCCATAACCCCTTCTCTCCATATCCCCAGTCCGAACAGAAAGGTAGCAGCACCGTTGACGTTACTGCGATGGTGAAAGCACCAAACAGACCAGCCAGAAGACCAGCGGCTGTAACACCGCCGTTGGTGCCTGGCGGAACGACGCGGAGCGTCAGGGAGGTTATGAGGCGCGGTTTCGACTTGGAGAGAATGCCGAGTTCAGAGGAGAAGGTATCGGCAGCAACGGCGGCGTAATTTCTATTTCGTCAATGAGTGTTTGTTCTTTCCTCCTCCGATTATTTCAAGTGCACTACTCACGCAACAACTCCAACCATCAACAAATCCGCCGCATCTGTTCCCTTCGAAAAGCAATCCCGCCCACTCCGCGCCAGCTGTCTTGAGTGTAACTGCGTCAAGATGGACGCGATAATAGAGTTGGCCAGGACCTGAATATGCGTTCGAGGGCCCTCTCCACCGCTAGACCCGGTCGAGGAGACGGTCAGTTGGCTTTTAATATCATGTTTGACCTGCTCGGTTCGGGGAAGTCAGCGCATCAGCCCTACAGCGCTCCACAAGGCGGCAGTAGTCCAATAAACCATAAGCTCTAACCTTCGTCGCAGTCGTTCCGCCCAGATAAAAGATGACCAGAAGAGTAAACGGTGTCGACCACGGGTGCTGGGCGTGGACGAGAGCAGTAATGGCGGCAGCGACGATGCCCGTAGTCGTCAGCGATTTGCGAGACCAGGCGCGATAGACGAGGGCCAGGGTCGCCGGAATGGCGACATAAGGTTTCATAGCTGTAGCCTCCAGTGCTTTGGTATTTCCTATTGGAAAATAGCTGAAGAGATGGGAGAGGGGAATGGTCCCATGGCTGGTCGGGGAATTGGAGGGGAGGTTTCAAATTGTTAGCTATGATGGAATTGCGGAGAGCTCCCCGAGCGGAGCTCTGGCCAAGCTAAGTAAGTATGTATGTCTACCTATGCTCTTATTTTCCCTACAGAACCATACGGCTACGACAGAAATAAGAACTGTAAGATAGTCATCGATTCTTGTATTCTGTAGCCCGATTTATTATTGAGAACATATTGTACAATAGTGACTCCTATAAACAGTACAGCACACTGTATGTCCTCGTGCAGACTGCAGCAAGTCCGTGCTCCGAATAGACTGTGTCACCGATCGGTTCCCAAGATCGGCAAGAGTATTGCGAGTGGAAGGGACTAGCCAGGCTGAAGCTGTGACAAGCCGTGACAAGCTTTAGAGCGTGCTGCTGTGCATCACCAAAGATTGCCTCCCCGAGTTGTATTCTGGAGAGCGGCCTGGTCATCCAGAGATCACCGCCTTATGGTGAGGTGGCAGATCAGGAACGAGCTCTCCACCGGGATTATGACACGCCTTGGGTGCATGTAATGCCCAGAGACTCCTGCTCAAGCAGAAGAGCGTGTGCTTGAGCTAACTATAAGCTCTAATCCCGTATGAGGTCCAACGACTGCCTCATATTTCAGTCGCAGACAAAGGATGTACCGACCACAGAGGGTCCGGTCCCGCTCGATCTCCTCATAGATGGAACCCGCCTTGCTCATTGACTTCGACGAATCGCCACATCCCAGCCTCGCGCGCAGCGTCCTTCACACTGCCCAGCTCCTGATCAGTCACAGCACGGTTGATATCCGCATACCGGACCTCCTCCTCCGGGCCACCTTCCGCCTGCTTGGTGGCGCGCTTTTTCTTTCCCACATGAGCATCAGGATGGTACTGTTCCATGATATGGATATACATATCCTTGGACACATTCTCTGCCAGCCATCTCACGATCTCTTTACCTTCATCCTCCTTGCCCGGCATGACTAGATGACGGAGCAAGACACCCTTCTTGGCGATACCATCAGACGTAAAGCACAGATCACCAACCTGCTTGTGCATGGCCTTGATGCTTTCCATAGCTGTCTCCGCATAGTTGTCCGCCTTGAGCAATCGTTTCGAAGTGCTGTTCTTCCAGACCTTGAAATCGGCCAGGTAGATATCGACCAGACCGTCCATCAGCTCTATGGAAGCGAGAGAGTCAAATGACGAGGTATTGTAGATCACTGGCAACTTGAGACCCATGTCTCGAGCAGCTAGGATGGATAGTGCTACCTGCGGGACGATATGCTCTGGCGTAACCAGGTTGATGTTATGTACGTTTCCAACCTGCTGTAGTTTAAGGTACCACTCTGCCAGTTCTTCTGGTGTCAAATCGAATCCTTTCCGCTGGTGCGCGATGTCCTGTCACACATATTACCTATTAGCACATCCCCCAAACTAAACCCAGCAAAGAAAAAATCGAGACATAACGACGGAAAGAAAAGAGAAAAAGAGACAAGATGAACTCCCTTACATGGTTCTGACAAAACACACATCTCAAATTACACCCCGAGAAGAAAACCGATCCACTCCCCCGATATCCCGTAATGCAGGGCTCCTCACCAAAATGCGGTGCGATCACATTAACCTTCGCTGTCTCCGCCCCAATCAAACACACCCCCGTCTCCTTATACCGGTTAACGCCACATTTTCTGGGGCACAAATTGCAGTTTTGCAAATGTGCATATGCTTGGGAGCGTTTCTTGGCCGCCTCGACGGATGTAAGTAGCTGGTAGCGTGGGATGTACTCGTCCAGGAGGTACTGTGGCGGGATGCCGAGGTTGCGTCGCGGAATGAGAGGACGGAGCTTGGAGGATGATGGGTTGATGATGGGATTATTGATATTGACAGTACGCGGAAGTCTGGTGTTGAAGGCGCGGCAAAGAGTGGCCATCCTCGCGGAATCAGCAGGTCAGGTATCAAGCTTCGACATCTGGAAAAGAAAGCAATGAATTGTCGATCGATAAGTAGATATGGTCTGGAACTTAACTTAATGCTGTATTCTTCTTCTATGGTTCGGACCATGATCTAAGCCACGGCGTCATACCTAGGTATCACGTGTTGCGTTCCTTTGCTCCGAAGTCGACCAATCGCAGTGAACACTTTATGCAGCAGAGATACAGTTGATTCTACTTATCCTAATATGAGTATGAGGATTTCGAAAGGTGTTAAGACATGTCATGTAGAGGTGCACCAAATCATGGATGTTTTCTTTTCATGATAAGGATCAGATGGAGAAGTTTCAAATATATACAAATATAATACCGTCTGGCATGTACAGCACAGTACTGTAGACACTGGCACCAGACAGATCATCGAATCGAAGAGCGCTGTAAATGCCCGCTCGAGTGGTGACTGACATCCCCGAACACCAGTGTCCTTCCATGATATAACCGCAAAGGACGGATAAACATAAATACTGTCCCATAACGTTCTCCCATATGATGATGGCAAAGGAGCAGTGCTCCATGCTCCATTCGCAGAAAGATATCTGCTGCATACAAATCGTGACAGAGACTTACTTCGTGTGATATCATTGATGCTTCCATGACCTTGAATAGTAAAAGACAACGAGTATAGGTATCATAAAGCGAGTCCACTTCCATCGCCAGTCCAACGGTATAGTGCTAGGACCTCGCGTCTGCGTCGCTGCTGTTCGCCGAGGTCTTCAGGTACACGGCCATGGACCTGGGCGAGAGCTGAGCGCATGACCTTCCGGAAATTCCTCTATTGTAATGTTTAGCGATACAAAAGAAAAAAAGAGATTGAGTAAAGACGCAGGAACCCACCTGGTATTCCGTATTCAGGGTCACGACGCAGGCTTCGTGTGCGCGGACAATAATCTCGCAAGCCCTCACCACATCGCTGCTTGCGTCTGTCTGCAGCTTGTCCGCCGTCAGCAGAAGCAGGAAACTGCCCTGTAAAAGATAGATCCCGAAGAAGAAAGGCATATAGCTGAGATCCGGGTCTTTCTTCAAGATTCGATCCGCAGCTTCTGCGGCATTGACAGCGTGTCCCATCGCTGCCACGAATTCGTCAGAGGATATCCAGAGGTCATTATCATCGAGCAGGGCGATGGGATCCCATTTCCCTGCGAGCAAGATATGCAACACATGCATGATGTGCGTTCCATATGCGACAACAATCTCGGTTTGGACCTTTGATTCCGTCATCCGAGAGTCGCTAGAACGTACTGATGGGCTGAGATGATCGAGGCGAGTCCCTTCCACCATAGGTTCATCGTGCATCTGGCGTGTCTCAAAATCTTTCAAGCTTTGACCGTAAACATCAAGTTGGCGAGTTATTTCAGCCACTTGAGCATCCCACTCCCGGCCACTCCTGAAACTCATAGGATGGTTCCGGGCATGATGCAAGTCCACGATTTCGCCCAAAATCGTCATCAGGGGGAGGAAATAGCCAAACATACTATGTCCTGTACATTCGAAACTCGGCCCAACGCGTCGGTATCCAGCATTGGAGAAATCGCCAGCTTGCCATAGGTCGTCATTCATGGGCTGCAGTAACCCTTCACATTCTCTATCCAAAAGACTCAGCGGCCGATTATAGCACAGAGCAAGATGCCGGTCCATGACATAGAGCAGCCACCAGATGCGCCGGCGTTCCTCTCGCTCTTCCTCGCTGAACTCAATGTTCGAATTACCCATTCCATTGGATAGTGGCATCGGCGGGTGTCTTTTCCCGATATCACCCTTGGTATCTCTGTCTCTCTCTCCATCCTGGCTCACTTGGGACATATTTGGCGGCAGTTCTCGGCCAAGCTTGAGCTCCCGGGCCAGTGACCAAGCCGCAGCCCACCAGCGTATACTGGCACCCTTATACTCACTAGCGGAAACAACCGTGGCAAGGTGAATATACGTCGCAACATCATCGGTAGCCCCAGTAGCACTGCTCTCGGCTCCCAGCTGATCCATAGACACACCGAATCCACCAAGAGCGACTCCGTTGATGACCATGTTGGCCGCGTAGTTCGGAGATGCTTCCCCCGGTGCTGGTCCATGAATCAGGGGCCTAAGGAGACCGACCGTGAGCTCCAGCAGTTTCTGGCACACTCGACCCCTCGCAGAAGGCGGGGACGTCAAAAAGGCGGCGTCGCTCGTCTGTGCTGCTACCCATAGCATGCTTGCTAGGAGGCTAGGACTGCAGACTCTGGGTTTGGTCGGATGAAGGAAGGACTGCTTGCGGAAAACATATCCCACGACGTAAGGAGACTGTGGGCAGAGATGAGAAGAAGAGGAGCTCGTGAAATACAGATCGAGCAGGTCACAAGCAAGCGATTGGGGTATAATAGACGCAATATGTGGTAGAATAGGCTGCAAAACGGGGTATCTCAACGTACTAGGAACAGGAGGCAGAGTAAAGGACGAGAGGTTAGCAGGAGATGGGGAGGGTAGTGGGAGCCATCCAGGAGATTGGGCGGGCGGAGTGAGCCCTATGAAAGGTGCGGAAGCATTTCCCGCAGAGGCTGCGAAACGGAAACCGTTCGTTGATGCTACATTCTGTTCCGGATGGCCTATCAAGGAAAATGCAGCCTCGCCATATCCGCTATTAAATCCGGGAGGAGGGAGTAACGACGATGGGGATCGATGGTTCGCATTTGACGACTGGAGCATCTGAAGAGATCTGAAATCCGCAACACCCATGCCTTGTTGATCGACCTCTTGCAGGGACCCAAACCCATTCATTGGCAAAGCTTCTAGTCCGGAGACGAGCTCTTGTTGCTGCTGTTGCTGAGACGGCGAGATCGTCGTCATTCCTGGCATGCTTTGCTGTCGTGCATGAGATGTGCGTGGCTGCGCGGAATCTCGCGAGGAATCAAACGCTATCCCACTCCTATTATTCACTTCGGATGGCGATCTTTTGTCGGCAGGAGACTGACCGTTGGCGGAAGATGCGCTGTCATTTCCATTGCTGGATGGAGCAGCGGTTGCAGCCGCCGCGGCTTTTGCGAGATCCTTTTTCGATGCTTTCCCCCGCTTCTTGCGTTCGCGGGCATATTCGCAGGTCAAGCCAAATTCTGTAAGAGTGTCAGCACTCTCAGAGACCATGATCTGATCAAATCACTACCTATACAATGAGCGCACGGGCTGTGTCCATCGCACTTGGTCCGTAACTGGTTGCATTGGTCGCAAGCGCGGCTTATCCTCCGTCGGACTGGCGTAGAGGAGGAATTCTTCCGAATAGCGGATCGAGCCTCGGAGAGAGAATCGCGCTGAAAGGAAGCTTTGAAGCCATTGCAGCTTTCAGCGTAGAGTTGATCTTTCGGTTTCGCATGTGCCTCTCGAGAGAGCTGTAACTGCTCGAGTGCGTACTGTGAACCCTCCGCCAAGGTATCCAGCCCAGAAGTCTGCGATTGTGGGACTCGATCAGATAGAGCCCCATTGGGAACAGTCGAGAAGGAGCCATATGCGCCCGCATACGACAATGAGGTCGAACTAGACATCTTGACCCTCCCCCGAACCCTGCTGAGACCGAAGTAGGCGCGGTAGCAATGCGATGAGCCTGTCGACAAATATTTCTCCAAATTAGGCCGATAGCGGTCAACGCAGCGATGACATCGCAGCGCAGGATACCGCGGCCAGAGCAGTGCCGGAATCGGGGAACACTCTGCCTCTCCGCTGCGATACTCACGCGCACGCTGGAAGGATCGAGAACGGTAATGGGCGTTGCTGGTGTTCTCGTAGTTGACGGTGAAGCGCACGCACCCACAAGACCAGGAACATAGATAGGAACAAGACGTTCGTGAAGGGTGGAATTTTTCAATATGCCGACCGGGACGCCGCGATGGTGGAGTTTAACTGTCTAATTCCCCCGAAAACGACCAGCGAGTATTCTCGGGCCAGACGAGCCTTTCGGCGGTGGCACGGTGGCAGGCGAGCAATAATAATGGCTCAGATTGTGTGGAGAAGAGCGGCGCACGAGGGCGAAAGGGCGAAAAGGGCGCGGGGTACCAAGAGCTAGTCTCGTTAGCAGCAGCTTGTTTCCAGGTGGGGAGATGCAATCGGACACTCTTGAGTCTTCTCTTCAGTGTTCACAGTCTCGACCTTTGACCAGGATCCATGAATAATAATGAGAGACAGGAAAAGCTAGAAAGTCTCCAGTCGAACAGTGCATCCTAGACGGTCATGAGGCCGTTACCGCCTCGGGGGAGCCGTTTTGATGCTTGTCTGGGGAAGCGCAGAGACTAACAATTCTAGTCTCGACGCAACGGGTCTCCCCCACGGCCTGTCGAATGCTGGCCCAAGAGGTCGGATCGCGAGACTTCAAGTGACGGGGAGAGGCATCATTTGCTGGAAACACCTGCATTCCACGGGCCATGAACGCCACTGACTAGTAAGGATCTCCCTGATCAAGCGTATTGTTATGCAGCGTAGAGCAGAACGGAGTCACTCTCGACTCCTCGAGTAATACTTGTAAAGCAAAGTACTCGAGTAAGTATAGAGTAGGTAGGGCAGACTGTTAGAGACACAGGCAGTCTATTCTCCACATTTGTCCCTGTCGATCGTGGCGGCGAAGAATCCCTGGGAGAAACCATTATTATGACCGGCCGATCATCGATGTTTCACGCGTAGCAGCAGCAGCAGCAGCAGCAGTAGTTTCTGTTGATCGCTTTCGAGTCAGCAACAAGCGGTAACTAACTGGCTACTAGTGGCACATGCGGGGAAGACAAGTAAAAAGCCGAGTCGCAATCAATCGCATGATGAGGTACCTACTGGCGAGAACTTGTCCATCATGAAGTCCATTCTGTTACTTTAGCTATTCCTCGTACGCAACAGTGGTACGTAAGTATTCTGCCAGGTGATCCAGTACCGACGGAGAAAGATCGGATCATGCGAGAGTCGTATGGCGTAGATAATTCTCCTCCAGTTCGGGAGAAGAAGAGAAAGGAATCGAACGGTCAGGTCAGCTCACCTCACACGTGGTCAGATGGTGCATCGCACTTTCACAACTGATGATCAATATGAAATGCTCTCGTCGGCTAGCAGTCGATATATCATCAGATATATTAATAACTACATTGACTAGGATCCAGTAATGCGAACCTGGTAGCCCTTATAGTGAACAGGCTTGGCAATGTAATCTTTCTTGCTATAATATGATAACCAGAAATAGAGTGATAATTGAAATGCCATAATCATACATTCGATTCTCAGATCGTTTCTGCCCGTGTGTGTTCTAGATACAGCCTATCGGCAGAGAATATCCCAAAGTATATATAGATACATGCTGATTTTTTGCTCAACAATCGTCGATCCACAACACCATCCCACAGTAATATGTAGTTGTACATGAGCCAAGAACGCTTGAGAGGGGTGTCGATTGTAGAAAAAACAAAGAGGCATCCATCATAAGACAAAGGTCGAAGGTATTTGTCGGCCAAAGAGCCAACGAAAATCCGCAATTCGCTCGCGGTGAAACAAACATGAGAAACGCCGACGCAATGCTAGACACAAACACAAACATTGCGGATCGAAGACAACCCAACAAGGCGGCATGCAGTCGCCTTTTGTCTTCTGATGACAAACGCGGACACTGAAGACCAACTCCAAGTTAAGAAAAGAAGTATGTACTGTCCTTGAGCCGGGAGATGTCCCAAGACCCCTTCTCCGGCACCTCCTTGAATCGCATTGGCAGCCATAGCCATTCGTAAGAGGGACCCTTCTGTCGACGGCGGGTTTCCGAGGTATCGGCGTCTGAAAAGTCGACGCTATCGGAATCCGCGTCGGAGCTCTCATACAAAAGTTCCGTACTCATAGGATCAACCTCCGATAGCATACTCTCCAGGGCGGGATCAGTCTCCATGATATTTTTGGTCTTGCTACTAGCCGTGAGATCACTGGGAACGTGGCCAACGGCGCTCTCTCCGAGACTGCTAGCCTGTTCTAGGTGTTCATCCTTTGCACCCATCTCTTCGAAAATGCTTGCAGGGGTTATCATCTCACGACCCTGCTGTTGCAGTTCGGGATCGTCCGACTTTAGCAGTGTCTGTCTCTTGTATTCCGCAAAGAGCTCATTCAGTTTTGCCTGTTTGGCAGGCATCTTGTTCTCGCGTCGCAACTGGCTGACAGCCTTACCAACCGGGCTCTTGCGGTCCACTTTTGTAAGGAATATGTGGTTTCCATAACGAGCCTGGAACTCGGCGTGAAGTCGCTTGACGATATCGTCAGAGTGCATGCGCACGAAGGCATCGCGGAGGATGCGGCTCATGACATCGACGTCGGAAGCATGGGTCCAGAAGGAATCATGAACAGCAGAGAAAGTCAGGCCCTGTCGATGACATTCAAGAGCAGACATCATCATATGCGTGGCGTCAAGAGAATGAATAAAGTTAGGAGGGAAGGCCTGAAGCTGCTTGCGTTTAGACACTACATCGTGCGATGACGCATCCGCAATACTGAGGTCCTGCAACGTTGTGGCAATCCGACGGCTCTTCTTGACGCGGTATGGTTGCACAACTGGCAAGCCCAGAGGTGTGGTCCAGATGACAGTCGAACGGAAGTGCGAGGCTGGGTCCGCTGCCTTCGCTCGCTTCTTCTCTTGATCTTTCGACAAGAGTTCCATTTCTGGTTCGGTCTGAGTCTTCTGCGCGAGTTGCTCGATCTGTTCGGGTGAAAGAGACGACGTGATACGAGTGGCACAGTCTCCAAGCCAGTACTGAATCTTATGGGCACCGGTGAACATTGATCCCAGAGCCTGGAAGATCTTCTTGGCTATATAGATCGAGGCATCTTTGTATTCTACCTTGCTGAACTCGGGGTAATAGTCGATTAGTTGCTTGCGAACTTGCCTAGTCGCTCCGATGAAAGTCACACCGTAGACGTTGGTCATGACTGTTTGCTTGACGATCTTTCTTGTGATCTTTCCGTTAAGTTTCTTCGCGATCTCAACGCCCTCAGCAGCCTCCTTGGCAACCTCGGCCTTAACGAATTCAGCCACACCAGTATAGACATCGGAAGGTCGATCAGAGGGTTCCAGGTTGACCTGCTGAGCACCCACAACGTCTCCACCCAGAGCTGCGTAATGTTGCAGTCCGTTGCAAGACCCATCTTGGTGGACCGGTAATCTCGATTCGTATTGAGTCGGATCCGCAAGTTTGAGAGCATTCCTTAGCTCACAGCACGCTGCCAAACACTGCCATGGGTCCTCTGCTTCAAGCCACCAACGTTTGCCATGCAACCCGTTGTTAGCTGAATCAAGCACATCGTCCAAATGCTGCATGGTAAATTCTTCTCGCTCTTTAAGACTCGCTTTGTCGTAACCGAAGAGATTTGCAAGGTGGATCTTCAACCATCTCAGACCACCTTCGCCGAGAACCTTCCCTTTAGCGAAGAGGAGAAGGCCCCTGGCGTTGTCGGCACCCATCTGATTGAGATACGGCGGGAGAGGATAAGCACGGCCACGGAAGTCAATGTTATGAGGAAGATAGAATGTCTCGTTTCTGTAGGCACGAGCGATCTCCATCTGGAAATTCTGGAAACACCTGTTGGAATGGAATCCGGCGAGCTTGTTCTCGAGTTCTCTGACCTCATAACTCCACTTGGCCTCGGCTTCAGGACCCTCATCAGGAGAGGGCCTAGGGGGCAAAGGAAAGTTGGGGTCTAGCGGAGCGATGTTGGCAACAGCATCGCCGGAATTCCAAGCCTCGAGCATGACATTGAAAACATCCCGGTTGATTATCCACGGTGTTTTCCCAAGGACATCGAGGCCAGAACGCAGCTGCTCCAATCCATGATTCTCAATGGCAGCTTTCAGGTAGGCCGGCTGCCAATAGTCTCCAGGGGTGGCACGCATCATAGAGGTATTGTATGTGATGTACCCGCCATCCTTGGGTCCTTTCCATGGCTTGGGCTCCGATACCATAGGGAGAAGTCGGGAAATAAGGTCAACTGGTGGTTCTTCCGTCACCTTCTTGATGATTTCCGGATGAAGGTTGATCAGACCAATGCGTCTTCCCCTGCTGACCCTATAGCTGTGGCTAAAAGCAGGGTGCATACTGATAACGCGCTCCTTGGTTTCTGGGCGCTCCATTTCGACTGGGGCTTTAGCAACCTCAACCAAGAGACTCATGAGGACCGCTCCAACTTTCGCCTCGACTCTCACTGGCCACATCACCGCTGGCGTTGTCTCTTCCAGTTGGCGAACAAGGGCCTTCCATCTGCTGCGCCCAGTCTTTTGCTTGCGCTTGGCGAGGATTTCACCAAGGATCTTCCGACGTCGGGTATCGGCCTGAGCATCCTGTTCCATAACACGTTCTGCTAGCATCTCATCTCGTATATCCTTACCAATGGTTGTGACAAGAGAAGTGGTCTTAATACCCTTCTCTACACCAGCTCGACTGAAGACTGACATGCTGCCGAGTATAGCGATAGCCGCCAACTTCTCAGCGCTTAGGAGTCTGAGATAAACGCCATATTCACATCTTTCCCTCTGTTTGACTGTGCGCGTCGGATTGGCTTCAGCTTGTTCAACCATTTCCAGCTCCTTGTGAATAGCCTTAACTAGATCAGCATGCCACTGACTGAGGATAGAACGGAGCCGCGATCCTTGAGTAGCCGTGGAGATGCCAAGCTTCTTCATGTCTTCCATCTCCTGCTGCCAGCGTTGCACAGCAGATCGTACCGCGTCAGCTTCTAACTGCCGTTCTCTCATTTGCTGATAGTATTTCATCTGCTCCGGGTCGTTTGGGTCCAAATCGGCCGGCATTGGGACCGAGGTTTTGCCTTGGAACAAGGAAAGCGAATCGTGGAGTGACGTTAAACCATAACCCTGTTGTTTCGTCTGGCGGATAGCGGCGGGTTCATCTTCGGCTACGGCTGGTTCTTTGGCGCTACCGAAATCCATGCTCCCAATTGCAACACGCTGCAGGTCGGAAGAACAGATCTATCAATGGGTTAGAAGATCGGATCTTCCTAGTGTCTCATAAAAATAGAACTTACCTCTGACAATTCACCGAGTTCCAGTTCCGAAAGAACAGGAACTGCGAGTACCTCCTCCTCAATTTCCGCATTCTTGGCCATCTCCCAATACCTTCGTACAGTGCGGTCGCGCTTGGGACCGTGTAGCATACGCAGTGCCATCCGGATCATCGAAGCATATGTGGTAGCATCCGGAGTAACACCTCCCTTGGGCATATCCACCTCAAACCAGCGCTGGACCGGCAGAACCATATCGTTCTGTCTGGTGAAAATCATGTGCGACACAACGGACTGCAAGTAGCGATTGTGAATATCGAGATACTCCGGCGAGCCACTAGGGAAAAACTGTCCTAGGCGGTGAATCAATGCGGAGGCACGATCGAATCTTCCGATTTTCAAGGAGACGTCGAGATTTGCCATCATCTCCTCCGCATCACCACCGATACCCTTTATTTTCCTGAGGACCCTGGGCTGCGTCTGCAGCAGATCCTCCACAATGACGATAGAAGACGCATCGAATTCCCCTGGAGCAACAAACGCCGGCGGAACCCAATGATTTGAACCTTCCGAACTGCCTCCCACAGAGTACTGGCTGCTCTCGAATGGATTGTACCTGCTTTGTTCGACGGTCGAAGGGTCTGCGGCTGTGGCAAGACTTCGTCTCGATTGGAAGGATGGTCGACGTGATCGTTCTTTCGTAGTTGTCGACGACGAGGTGGCTAGTGAGGCCGATGCGGACGATTGGGATTGAAGTCGTAGCACCGCCGGACAAAGCCATGGAAGGGCCAGCCGCTCACTTGACCGTCGCAGGCGATGCAATGCATCTTTCTGGCGAGTCGCTGCTCGCAACATGATTTTCTGGCCGTTGATTTTAGGAATTAAGGATAAAGAAAGGTTAAAATATTATCAAGAATCGGAGAATATAAGAAAAAAAAATAACCCAGAAGAAAAGCAGGAAAAAAAAAACACAGCGGAAAAAGCGGCTGGAGTGCAACGGGTATTGAATTGGATCAAAAGGAATGCCACCCGCAGCAAGACAAAGACCTCGAGATCTTTCTGATGTCCTGCAGCCTCCGCCTGTCTGGAATCAGAGCAAAAGGAGACGGGGATCGAAGACACGGAAGACACGAGGACAGCTACTTCGGACGGAGAGGCGAGACTGGAAAAAAGATTCACGCCGATAATGCACGTGAGGTCACGTGATTATATCTGTCGCCCTTTTGGACGCGTTTCTTACCGTGTCTGATTGGCCAACAGAGACTGGAACTGCTAGTGGAAGAATAATCATTATTGTTAAGGAATTGATCGCCCTATATTATTATCGCGCGACTCAATCGGATCCACTGACACTGGCAGAATGGATGTTCTTTTGGACTAACAAGGTGGCGACCTGCACACAATGGGTTCCAGGTCTATTCCGCCTTTTCTGCTCTGGATGTTGGTTGGCGGCAACTCTCCCGGCGGTGAAGCATTTAATGCATAGATTCTACTCTGTGCCTTTGCTAACTTAACTAATTCCGTATGATAGAGGCTGAAAGACGGTTTGCCACCGGTTGTAACTGTTCCAGGCGCTGAAGATGCAAAATGAATTGTTTTGTAAACAAGGATTCTCCCATCATCCCTCCTCGACATCACTTCCCACTTCCTTCTGCTTCTGTCGGTTCTGCTTCATTGCCCAACCGCTCAGCTCCGGATGGGCGGGATCTATTCGCGGAGCGCTCATGCCGTCTAGATAGTCTTCGCTGCTGATAGCAGAGTGCAGTTGCGGTAGTTCTTCAGGCTGTTGGTGGATCATGTAGCTCTCATATCTGTCCCATGCGTCTTGAGTCTGTTGACCGTGTTAGCAAAGGTTAGGTTCTTTTACCATTTTACCATATAGAACTAGACATATCCTACCTCTGCATCAACCCAGTCATATCTCGTCCATTGCTCATCTTGCATTCGTTTGAGGAGATCGAGGTTACCGGGAATCAAGGCCTCTCCACCCTCTGCTGACTTGACTTTCACGTCGATAGCCCGCGCTTCAGTCTCTGCTGACCGCGTCGGAGTATCTTCTTCAATGTCTTTCTTCGCTCTGGCCCCTCTTCCTTTCGAAGAAACTTCCTCTGAAGCGTCCAGATGGTGAAGCTGAGGACGTAACTGTACCACTGCAGAAACCGGGGAAAGGTGAAGGTCACCTAATCAAGAAAGAAGACCTCGTCAGTTTGCCGTACATAGAGTCATCGTCAAAGAAAACTTACTTCCTCGAAAAGCACCCAGCATATAGACAGGATCACCATCCTCCGGAGGCTTAATCCTTCCACCTAGAGTCTGCGTGCGCAGTACAGTAGCACCGCCATCGCCCTTCTTCTCATCCAATAATTCCGCTGCCTCCGCATCACCTCCTTCAATCTTAACCCTGCTGCCCGCACCGGCCACGGCACCTCCGGCCTGAAAACCTCCAGCCATTCCATATGCACCCCCTTCCCTCGTAACGCGGCTTTTCCGCAGCGCATCTCCGTATCGTAGTCCTTTGCCAACGTCGTAATTTACCCTCGTGTCAATGGGGACGTCGACCTCGACGAGACCCGTTTGGGGCTTCAATCGCATCATAGTGGGCTTCTGATTGTTGCGTTCATCGTATGCGCGGTTCGTGGGCCTGTCGAGGTACTGTAGGACGAAGCGGGATATTTGAGAATCTGTAAGGTAGACGTCGTAGGACGCGACGACGGGATCGGAATCCGTCATGGTGGTGCGGTTCCAGCTAGGCAGAATCTGCTGACAGTCTAAAAGGGAGGAGGTATATTTCAATGCCTGATTCAGAACAGTGTGGCTTGAGAAGTTATCTCTCCAGCTGAGGATTTGCGAAGATGCCTGGAAAGCTTTGTTCAACGCCGAACAAAGTGCAGGAAGACCCCGCACAAACGTGTTTATTCGAAGGAGACGATGGAGTCACGAAAAAATGAAGAACTAGAATGTCGAAGTTCTTGTTACATGAGCATTAAACTCGCAAGTCCATTGGCGCAAGGCGTTGAGGAGATCTTGTCGGACTTCTTGCGGAGGGACATTGAAGTCCGAAGTGGCGGCAGTAACTTTTTTCTGGGTTTATCGATAACGGCAGCTTGGCCGTCCTCGGCAGCGTTATGTACAGTACACTTTCTTTTGAGTAGCCCGCATAGAACCTCGAGACAAGAATTTATTCTTTCGATGCCATGAAACAGCCTATTCCGACTAGGTTCCCCATACAATAAATTTTGTGGCAATGTTGGGTTTTGGCTACAGACTCAACGCAGTGGCTAGTTACCTGGCAGGAAAAGCTCCCAAGAGCTCCTCTATCCAATATAAAATGTGATAAATGATTTCATGATCAATTTCGTACGATATATACAATGTCATACGGCGACATGCGGATATACAAAATGCTATGCCAAAAAATAGAATAGAATAAAATAAAATGGGCGTAAGATCATCCCAAACAAAACGACACTGACAATGCCATCCTGATGCTTTACTCTTCCTCGTCCTCTTCGGCAACCTATTTAACTGTTAGTGATCATCGACCATGTAATTCAGCGATTCGAAACTAGACTTACTCCTTCATGGAAGTTCTTGCCTTCCGTCGTCTCCTTGATAATACCGGCGCGGATACACCAGTCACCGAACCTCTCAGGCTCCTGACCAGGGGCCGTCTTCCTCTCCAAGGAGTAACGCTTGAAGAGATCCTTCATGATGTCAAGGATCTCGTCTTCCTTGATGGATGCGCGGTAGAGCTTGTTCAAACGCTGACCGTGGTAACCACCGCCCAGGTACATGTTGTAAGCTCCGTAAGCCTTACCAACGAAGGCCACTTCAGCAAGCCAAGGGCGGGCACAGCCGTTAGGGCAACCGGTCATACGCATGACGATGCTCTCCTTGCCAAGGCCATTCTCCTCAAGAGTAGCCTCGAGCTTGGAGATGAGAACAGGGAGGTAGCGCTCAGACTCAGCCATAGCGAGACCACAAGTAGGGAAGGCCACACATGCAGAGGAAGAAAGGCGGAGGCCGGAGAAAGAAGTGTTGTCCAGCTTGTACTTGGCCATAAGAGCCTTGATTTCAGGAAGATCGGCATCTTCGATGTTGGAAAGGATCAGATGCTGGTTACCAGTGAGGCGGAACTCTCCCTTGTTGAGCTTGGCAATCTCCCGCAGACCGGTCCGCATGGGGAAGTCAGCGGTATCTTCAATACGACCGTTCTCGATGAAGAAGGTGAAGTGGTTCAGGCCCTTCTCATCCTTCTGCCATCCGAATGTATCGATGTTGGAGACGAACTTGAAAGGACGAGGCTCAGCGAACTGCACACCCTCCGGAAGAATAGCCTCCACCTTGCTCTTGAAGACGTCCAGGCCCATGTCGTCGATGGTGTACTTCAGACGCGCGTGCTTTCTGTTCTTACGGTCACCGTGGTCTCGCTGGACAAGCATGATCTTTTCGCAAACAAGGTGAGTCTGATCAGCAGGGACGAATCCGAGCATAGAGCCGGTTCTCGGGTAGGTCTTCTTGTTGTTGTGGGTTGTGCCCATTCCACCACCGACAAGGACATTGAAACCCTCCAGATGTCCGTCAGCGCCCTTGATAGCAATGAGACCGATATCATGAGCATAGACATCAGTGTCGTTGTGAGGAGGAATGGCAATAGTGATCTTGAACTTTCGGGGAAGGTATGTCGGGCCGTACAGAGGCTCATGGTCGACAACAGCATCACCAGCAACCTGAATCTTCTTGTCATTGTCATCCTTCAGCCAGATTTCGTGATAGGCGGTGGTGGCAGGGATGAGGTGGTCGCTGATCCTCTTGGATACGGCGTGAACCTCTCGGTGATAACCAGACAGCTCGGGCAGAGAACTGCACATGACGTTACGGTTGACATCACCGCAAGCAGCGATAGTGGTCATCAGGGCCTTGTTGATAGCGCGCATTGCGGCACGAAGCTTGCCCTTGACGACTCCGTGGAACTGGAACGTCTGTCTCGTAGTCAGCTTCATGGTCTCATTACCATGAGCACTGCTGATTGCGTCCATCTGAAGGTACTGAGAAGGAGTCGCAACACCACCAGGAAGACGGCAACGAATCATGAAGGAATAAGCGGGCTCAAGGCCCTGAGCCTTGCGCTCGTCACGGACATCACGGTCATCCTGCATGTAAGTACCATGGAACTTGGTCAGTTGCTGGTCGCTGGCAGAAATAGCACCAGTGCTCTCGTCATTCAGACCCTCAACGATAGTACCACGGAGGAAGTTAGACTGAGCCTTGATATCCTCGTTCGTGAGCGGTGCAGGCTCCTCAGGGAGACCCTCGACATTGTCCACACCAAGAGCCTTCCACAACCGCGGTTCCCACTCAGAGTAGCCAGTCTGGTAACCATCTGGGTCCTGGTCATCACCGAGTCCGATGTCGGTGAGCTTTCTTCCACCAAGGAAGGAAACACGAGCATCAATGTCCTTCGCGGGCTTGTTGTAGTAGATCCTATCCTCCTTGCGAGGCCAGTAGTGGCTGTCGCCAAGACCGAAGACAGAGTAATTGATGGAAGAAAGGTCCAAGTCACCCGAGTTCTTTACAACCTCCCAGAAGGAGCGACCGTTCTGCGGGAACTCTCCCTGACCTGCAACACTGGTGATGAAAACGACGTTCTCTTCAGTAGACAAGTCCTCAATCGGGTAATCGTCCATAGCGAAGACCGTAGTCTTCAGACCCCTAGCACGTCCACGGTTGCCCAGGCGCTTAGCCAAGTTCTGTGCGTTACCGTTGTCAGAGGCGAATAAGATAGTCAGAGGAGCACCGAAGAGACCTTCGAGGAGCTTCTCATACGAATCCTTGGCCTTACGCTTTTGCAGAGCGCGAACTTCAGTGCCGTAAGACTCAGACAAGCTTGAGGAGAAGTTAGGGTGACGCTTCATCAGCTGAGTGAGCTGGTTATCCCTACGCAGGAAATCCTCAAGCTCGCGTCTGATACGCTCCGAGTCGAGAGAGAATTTGGGCTCGCCATTCTCCTCCTGACCAGGGTTCCAACGGTAGAGAGGCCAGTAACCAAGGTCAACAGCCTTCTTAGTCTCTTGAAGGACAGTCAGAGGAGAATCATCTTCCTTGTTGTATGGTAGATAGGCAACGACAACGGAGGGACCTTCGAACTGGTCGGCTTCCGCCATGGCCTGAAGAACCTGGGTGTAGGATCCATACACGGCGACGGATGCGACATAAGCGTTGCCAAAGTTCATGGCATACAGTCCAATGTCCTTCTTGCGACGAGTAGGGTCAGCAGCGGCACGCTCGGAGTAAGGCTCCGAGTCAATGATGAGCATGTTAACATTGGCACCCGACGCCAGGACGTGGTGAACACCGCTGTTTCCAAGATCGTATGCCCACGCCTCTGAACCGATAAGCCATTGAGATTCCTTGAAAAAGAGCTGCTTGGATTGCAGAAGGTCCTGTGCGGTCTTGGAGCCGTCAACGGAGAGATGAGAGATCACGTCAGGAGCAAGGCTGTTGGCCTTTGCCGCATCTCTAGCACTCAGAGCCCACTTAGACAACCAGCTCTTGGGGGTCTCGGTAGTGAAGACACCCGACTTTGCTGCCTCTTCAACCTCGCGGATCAGTCGTTCGCGGTGTTCCGTTCTGGCAATCAATGAACCGAAACCATATTCAGGGCTAGCTGCAATAGTAGCAGAGATACCAGCATTGTTGGAAGCCAGCTGGTTCGCCACATAGAGTCGGTCATTGAACAACTGCTGGAGGATCTTAGTGTAGGCATTTTCGAGCTCAGGCTGTTCAGGGACCTTCTGAAGAGGAGCCTTGTGGCTGCCGATCTCAAGGTTTTGGATCGGGGTCTCAGAGCCGAGGTTCTGGAGAATACCACGGAGAGCCTGAACAGCAGTAGAGGGCTCAACATAACCGAGTCTGTATGCTACGAGGCGCGGAGCCTGAGACGGACTCAGACTCGAGAGCAGATCCAAGAACGCAGGACCCCATCTAGTGGTCTTGCGCGCCTGCTCCACCACGGCGATCTTCTCAACGGATGCGGGGATCGAGCTAGAGATCTGAGAACCGACCCAAGGACGGTACAGACGAGCAGTGATGATTCCAACATTCTGCAGCTCCGGCTGGTCCTTGGCACCTTCCAGAGCATCAACGAAGACTCCTGTCGAACCGAAGATGAAAATAGCAGACTTGGCGTTGTGCGGGCCAGTGTATTCGACAGCGTGGTAGCTGCGGCCAGTAGCCTTTGAGAGAGTCTCCCAGATCTGTGCGGTGAACTCGAAGACATCAGCGGCATTGACCGGTCGTGCAGCAGCCACATCAACGGTCGTTGCGGTAGAGCTAGGAGCACGGCTGTCGACACTGCTGTCCCGCTTGGAAGAACCAACAGACGAGGCATCTGTAGAATCGACGGGGCTCTTTGCTGGGGTTGGAAGAGCGGCCGCGCCTTCGGTCTCGGCCTCAGGGGCAGCCTCCACCTTCTCCTCGACGGTAGCCGCACGACCAGAGTCCGTGTACAAGGTCTGCTCTCCAGTGCCAGACACGTGGGTTGCCTTGTCTCCCTCCAAGTCCAGGACCTTCTTAACGACCTCAATATCTTCCTCCGCGATGGCGTTATCAGCCTGAGAGTTGGCGGGATCGAAGAAATGGATGACACCCTTTCCAGACTTGATCGCAAGGGCGTGGGCGGTCAAGGCGATATCCTGTGCTTCCTGGAGGGTCTCTGACTGCAGGAACGCGAAGCCACACTGGCGGATCGAGCTGATAACCGAGTAATCCGGGAAGGGAGATGCGTCGAGAGCGACGTGGATGACAATGGGATAATTCGCCAGACGGAAAAGGTGGGGAATAGAAGAAAGGAGAACATTGGAAGAAGTCGTAACAGAAACAATGCTTCCAGACTGAAGAGGATAGAAAGCGGAAAGGAGAGGGTCCGCATTCTCTCTCACAGCTCGTACCTGATTTGAAAAATCAGCGTCCTGAACTATGGTATGGCATGGACCAGATCCAACTCCAACGAGAAACTCACCTCAGGAGCGGCCTTGGAAATCAAGCCAGAGGCACCCTTGGCCTTCAGGCTGTTGAGAGACTTGGAGAACTGCGAATCCGTCCGCAGAGACGGCTGTACGGAGAGGACGACATCACTGGCAAGGTAGGCGATTCTCGCCACTGCGCAAAAGATACTCATCAGCCACGGACCATCCAAATATAGATCGATTGAAACAGCATTTTCCAGAATTGAACTTCCAGATGCGTTTCAGATAGGAGGTAACACTCACCAGCTTCTCCGGCCGTCGAGATAGACCCCATATTGACCAATATGTCCTGCACTTCTTACAGCACAGTTGGGTAGGGGAAGAGGGGTACGCAAAAATATAGTACGGCAGTGGAGATCACCGCATAGAATGAAATCCAACGTAGCGGGCAGGGTATATATAAAAATGGCACGCTCACCACCCAGAACCCGAGTCACAGATTTTCTCCTCGCGACGACACTGTCCTTTTGCCGCAGAGGAAGATGAGTCTAGGGGAGAGAAAAGAGAAGAGAAAATATCCACGCCTTTCAGAATTCCTCTCTCCGTCCTGCCTCTCAACTGTCCGCCCTCGGGTTGGATCAGCAGGTTTCTCATTGGCTCCCGATCACGACATCGATGCAAACCACAGCGGCCGCGAGTTGCAAACACGCCGCTTCGGGAAAGGCTCGGTGTCCCGTGACTGTATCGCAGCCCGTCGTATCGGTATTTGCGTCGTATCGAGCCGTAATTTTGGCCGTATCGTCCGGCCTAGGCGGGATTTGGTGCGGTGTCGGCCACGACAGTCAACCCGCTCACGTCCAGACCAGCGTGAGGGGAAATATTTGAAGAATTCATCTAGACTATTTTTTTTTTTCCTCGAGTAAGTTACTTACCTAGGTATATCTAGTTGACCAAACACTGCTGCCCTCATGAGGGGTTCTGAGGGGACACCCAATAATAATAATAACTGCTTGGTCCCATTTTCATTCTAACATGCAAAGTTCTAGGAAATGAAAATAAAATAAAATAAAATAAAATAAAACATCTCATGTATTATTCATTACTTGCCATGATAGTTAATTGGCAGCACTCAATTTGTTTCACAATACACATCATTAACTATTGAAGTATTATTATTGATTAGAAACCGGTCTTCAGTTGCAATGTGATTTCATGCCCCGCATGTTGCATTATTATTAGATAGGTTGTCAGCCCATCTCCCATCCGGGCGGTTGCCGGGCCAAGACGGCCCTCATAACCTCTCGGGCGAGAATCACGCAAGCACGCAATCGCTCTGGACATTACCTATTAAGCCCGTACAGGAAAGGTACGCTGCAAGCCGGGTTTTGCTGCCAGAAAGTTTACGCTGACGACATGTGTATCATAAGCATCATGACTGGCTGAGACAATCACTGTCATTGATGTGTAACTATCACAAGTATATTCGAGCTAAAAATCCCTTTCGGACCATTCTCGGTGTTGTCAGTTACCGATTATATCGAGTACTAACTGACTACATCTGATAAGCGAAATAACCCAGATCCGTTGACGCCATGAAACCCTCTCCCAGTGTCCAACATACTATGTACAAAGCCCAGCGCTGATTGAGACAATCCCTGGATATCTTTCCAAAGCAATGTACAACTAGACCATTACCGTGAGGCCCGTCCGCACGAGAACATCCGCACGGATCTTATAGCCATGGAAGAACGGGTGGTAGAAGAGTATATATGGAGACAAATCGCGCAACATGAAATCCCCAGTTGACCCGACCATCCACTATTTATGCAGGTCATGTCGGCATGTGCAATAATGAACAAAATAGGAAAATATGATGATGATAATGATGATGAATGACGACGAAAGGCATTATGGCCGGAGCGGGATGGCTCATAAGCACCCGGCCGCAACTGTGTCTGATCGAAGACGAAGAGACAGAAACGAAAATGGTCTATTCTCCCAGACTAGTAGAGAGAAAGATGCAAGATGGCGATGGGGTATATGGTAACACGCGAACGCGCCAGCGGTCCAGGGAACGTCTGTGCCCGAGAGTGATCAGGGACAGTATAGGTCAGTATCACGGCCGGTTTGTGATTCCCATAGATGACGGATCACCTGGGATCGTTCCAGTCGTGCATCTTCACATGCATCCCTTGAACTTGGATAGGCTGTTGCAAAGCGGCAGCCTGTACCACTGTTTGCGAAGGGAGTGGTGGACCAGTACCCGAGCGTCGCCGTCGTTCTCTCTCAGTCGGTCCAGTATTAACTTCACCTCGTCTGCGAAACCTGCGACCAATTGCGCTCGCCCAGTTGGCATCATCAGGCCCGCCAAGCCAGTAGCTTCGAGGGAACCTGACCATAGCACGGCCCAGCTTTCCCTGCCATCCTTGTCCATCTGGACTGCGTGCGGAGAACGGATCTCGATCGATTTCGGCGTTACAGCTGGCCACAGACACATTGCGACTGTGGGTAGGAACCTGGTGATGACGAGGTGACCCCGTGGCCACGTATTGACGAAGCGCGTGTCTAGCGAAGGCCAACATGACCAGGACGAAATAGATGCGGATTCCCCACAGAGCACAGATGAACCCGATACTCTGGAAACTCTCTGGCTGAAGAACACCGTGCCCTAGACTAGGAACGCCTTGCGCCGTCGCCCCCAAACTACCAGCCGGCGCAGTGGCAGGGTGCGCGGCAGCCACAGCACCCTGTCCGGGTGACAAAACACCAGCATCCGGTCCGGCCGCGGCTTGGACCGAAGAGACGTTGTATTTTGGATTCGTGAACCCGGCAGTTTCCTCCATGGTCTCACTTCCTGGACCGGATGTAGGCGCATTATGATAGTGCTGAGACACAACGAGGAACCATGTCACACCAAAAGCCGCCGTGTAGGCGGCATTAATCAAGCTATCCAGGAGATAAAACCAAGCGAGCGACAGACATTGTAGCGGCGAGTGCTTCCGGATGTGGGGGAACAGGAAAGCCGTGAGGCCCAGAGCCCCGAGCGAGTAAACATACATGGACAGCTGGACCGGCGAAAGGTGGTATCCGGTCAACAGCGCAAGCAGGCCATAGAGACCACTGATCTTGTTCAGGAGCAATGAGAGCGTAATCAGAGAAGCGCCCGTCTCCAGGCTCATCACATAGAAGAAAGTCTAGATGGGTGGCGATGTCAGTAAACAGCCGGCGGCTCAGCTCAAACCCGCACTCACCTCTGGCCGCGGGATGCGGAAGAATCGGGCTAAAGAGCCCATCTTGGAGGACGCAATGTGATCAGGAATACTCAGCCAGAGCAACAGGACGGGAACCTGGGCAAAAAAGCGACGGGAAGCCAGAGAGAAGGACGAGATGGTCAGAGAGGTGGAAAACCAAGTAGTGTGATCATTGATGCATAAGGAGCCGGATTATCCGCTCGCCGATCGCCCGCTTGCGTTGGAAGCCAAGAACAGGTACTTAACTAGTCTAACAACCCTCTCAACAGACACCCAACGCTTGATGAAGCAACAATGTGAGATGTGAGAGAGATAGAGGGAGAGAGTGTGAGTGAGTGAGAGGGAGATCGTCGACAAATCTTCGTCCTGTTTTCGACCTTAATTGTTTTACACCTTGTGTCAAAGATCGGATCGATCGGGGTGCCTGCCGAATACCGGTGTGTCTTGGACGGTTGGACCAGGTCTTGGTACATACTTAACCAGTTTCCTTAGTCCCTTGAAGGCGCTTTGTCTGCCCGAAACGTCTGAAAATAGACGCTCAGCTCAGGATGTGCGCTAAAGCTCGCGGCCATATGCCCCATTACGTGTCAAAAGTCCTGAGGCGGAAATACACTCGAATTGGGAAATCACCCTTGAGACGTAAAGGGGATCGCCAGTGGGCTTCATATATGAAGATCATGCAGATCCCTATGCTTTCAGAAAAGGGAGCTGACACCGCAATATCCAAAGCCGCAGAGCTCGCCTCCGTCGTCAGAAGACCGCTCGACAGAAATCGGTATATTTATACAGCTAAGAAATATGCCCTGGAACCACTAAGCTTCTGAAAATAGCCATTTACCCAAGAGTTCGAAGCGAATGCAAGAATTTTCCGAGAAATACAATCATCAGGTTAGATAAAGGATCAAATGATAACGCCCAATCACCTGGTGGCAAATGACAGAGACCTTCTCAGGCCCCCAGCGAGAACAAAAGGAAAGGTGAAAAACGGCATTACGGTCCAAGAGAGCCTGGTCTAGACATGCCATGCCCGGCAGGAAAAAGGATATACAGCGAGACATCACGGAGGTTATAGACAGGAAAAAGAACAATCGGATATTACGTCCGGACATTTAGCATGCGCATCCATCGTTGCTCGTAGGCTGGTTGTTGTTGATGTTGACATCGATCACTGGGGAACGCAAGTTAGTTTTACCACGATAAAGGACTGGGACCGGAAGCACATACTCTGGCTCTCTCCTCTGCTGGTCTCTCCCTCCATTCCTGGAAGCGCCTGAGCTATCCTCCTGAACAGCTGCTTAACGTTGTGGCCGACCTTCGCACTGGTCTCGATGAACATCAGGCCGTTCTTCTTGGCCTCCTCTTCACCCTGGGCCGTAGTGACCTCGCGCTTGTCGTTAAGATCGGTCTTGTTGCCCACTAGGACGATAATCACGTCGTTGCCCCGTTCGCCTCGAACATCATCTACCCACTTCCGCGTGTTTTGGAAGGATTTAGCATTCGATATATCGTATACGACGACGGCGACACTGGAGTCACGGATGTAGGACGGGATCAATGAGCGGAATCGTTCCTGGCCTGCCGTATCCCACAGCTGTAGTCGGACGGTTCTATCTTCGAGATACATCGTCTGGAACGGACAGAGAGTGTTAGCCAGTTGTTCCGGTAGAGAGGCCTCCACGAGCTTGCTTGAGTTTCCGAAAGCTATCCATATAGAGACCCGGCATGATCTGAGATAAGCTATCTTCCACGTACTTTCGACAAGAAATCGATTCCAATTGTCGCCTGATACGTATTATCGAACGAGTCGTACATGAATCGCGTAATAAGAGAAGTCTTTCCCACTATCAGAGAGTTAGGACCAGAAAATCACCTATACTGCGGGCATCAAAGGCCACACCGGTGCTTCCATACCGCTTTGCTCGCCTAGAAAGACCAACCTGGAACTTGTCAGCACTAGCTTGATAGATTACACATGCAGAACGCCTGCAGCAAAGATAGAAGCGTACTTGAACTTCTTCAGTGGGTTGGAATAAGATCCAACTGCGGATTGTGCAGCCATGGTGACCGAGGTTTATAGAACGGTATCAGGGGTAGCTGGTGGAAGTGCTGGAGGGTGCTGGAGGCTGATAAAAGAGGAGTCGAGAAAAGGAGTCGGCAAGCCGAAGAACGTCTCCTCCTCAAAGTCGGCAACGACTAGACCGTGGCCTGGTGGTTGATCCAGGTGCTGCAGGAGAATTGTCGACTAGACAGGTAAGCTACACAGAGTGCCAATCCATGGATCCGTCTTAATCGGGGGCTCGTGGGGGAGCGCCGAGGCCAGAAGGGCAGGTCCGTCACCCGCGCGGCTGCTGCGCTTGCTTCTCCGTTCCGACCGCGGGCTCCGGCGATCTCTACTGACCACCACGCCCAAACATCAAGACGCTTGCTGCCGCCAGGATCTCATCTCCCAGTGTTCCCTGCGGCGTGCGAATTTGTTTCTGTTTTATTCTGTGAATAGACTTGGACTCATCGCAGCCATGGGCCTTTCCTATCCAGCTGGTCTTGCGACGTTCTCCCTGACCGTGGTCGGAGCTTGTGAGTTGATCTCCACCGTGTCGAGCGAGAGGAAACGCGCTGGCTAACAGAACTTTCTGATAGATATGCTCTTCCACGGCAATGGAGAGGCATTTAACGTATGAGATTCCGTGTTTCCTTAGTACCGAGTCTTTGTCTGACGGCGTGGGATAGGTCGGTCAATTCCTCGAAAGCGTCTCCCCGTACGCATGGGCGAACGTTGGTATTGCGAGCTGCATAGGTCTGTCCGTGGTTGGAGCAGCATGGTACGAGACAAGAACTCTCTCCAGCAATTTGCGTGCTTGCACATAGTACTGACACTACGGTCTGTCAAGGGGTATCTTCCTTACCGGTTCCTCGATCGTTGGTGGAGGTGTCAAAGCTCCCAGAATACGAACGAAGAACTTGATCTCCATTATTTTCTGCGAGGTCGTCGCTATCTATGGCGTCATTATGGCCATCGTCTTCTCTTCGAAGTTGAATCTCGTTGCAGGTGATGGCATCTACTCGAGCAGCAACTACTACACTGGTTATGCTCTCTTCTGGGGAGGAATCACCGTGGGAGTGTGCAACCTGATCTGTGGTATCTCCGTCGGTATCAATGGAAGTGGCGCAGCTCTAGCAGATGCCGCGGACCCCAGCCTGTTAGTTCCCCTACGTTCTGTGGTTGCGTCATAGCATCACTGACACCGTGCCTCCTAGCTTCGTGAAAATCCTCGTTATCGAGATTTTCAGTTCCGTCCTTGGACTTTTCGGACTGATTGTTGGTCTGCTGGTGGGAGGGAAGGCTCTGGATTTCGAGTAGATGGTAGCAGTTGACAGTTAGAGATCGAGGATTCGGGGCAGTTATGGAGAAAAGTGGTCAGTGCGCAGGATATCACACCATGACATTTTCCTTTCCATGATAGCGTATATAGCATTGGGGCGTATGGTCTCGACATGATTGTAAGATTTCTCGTTTATGGATTCGGGGGCATGATGCCACTGGTTTCCCTGTATCTTTCCGGGCTGGTGTACATTATTAAGGCTATGTTCTGGAATATGAAATGAATCACACCCTGGATACTCACATTAGAGTGAAAGATATTCTACTGCGACACCATTTGTTTTTCAAGTCAATCTGAGCTATCTCTGTCATGGAACGTTCTCCATTCATGACTACCAAATCGGGACTTGCGGCAATTTCTCGGGACATATCCTTTCGGGCAAGCTAACCTAAGCTTATTTCCCCAACATCGCTACCCCTCACCTGATAAGACAACTATTACTATATCACGCAAAATGGCAGAGGGTAAATTAAGAGCAGCAATTCTGATTGTATCGGATACTGCAGCACAGGATCCGTCATCTGATAAGGCTGGGGCTGCATTGACTGCTACGTTTACTGCGGAAGGGTCTAGCAACTGGGAGACGCCAGTCACCAAGATCGTCCCTGATAACGTCTTAGATATCCAACTAGCGATCAGAAATTGGTCAGATGGAGAAGAAGTGTTCAACCTCATAATAACAACTGGTGGAACAGGCTTTGCTGTCAAGGATAATACTCCCGAGGTCTGTTAACATAGTGCTGCACGCTTTATCAGTTTATAAGCTGACTCCTACGGGTATCTATCAGGCAGTGTCGCCTCTTATTCACCGTCATGCCCCTGGACTTGTGTGAGTAGATTCCTCTGGATCACTCCAAGGAGCTATGTAAGCTGATGATATTTTCAGGCATGGAATGCTGGCAGCTTCACTACAGGTGACTCCATGTAAGGATACGAGACTTTTGTTCCCATCAACAAACACGCTAATGGCGAGCAGTTGCAATGATGGCTAGGCCTGTAGCGGGAATACGGAACAAGACCCTGATTCTCACTCTGCCAGGGTCACCTAAAGGCGCAAAAGAGAACCTGGAAGCAGTGATCAAGCTATTGCCTCACGCATGCATACAGGCGGCTGGTGCCAATTCAAGATCCATCCACGCTGGGGGCGTTAAGAAACTAGAAGCGCAAGCTGGTGTATCTTCCTCCAGTGGTGGAGAGTCCTCAGGCCACCATCACCACCATGGCCACCATGACCATGCTCACTCTCATTCTCATGGTCATACTATTCCCAAAGCACATACGTTACCTTCAGAGAGACCACAGTCTAATGATCCCAATGCTGGACCTACGCGGAGATATCGGAACTCGCCCTACCCAATGCTCTCTGTGGATGAAGCGCTCAAGGTGATAAGCGAGAAGACACCCGAGCCAACAATTGTTGAAGTTCCGGTGACAGCTGATCTTGTAGGATCAGTGATTGCTGAAGACGTCTATGCGGGAGAGGCAGTACCTGCCTATCGAGCTAGTATCGTGGATGGCTACGCTCTCATTGCACCCGAGTCACCATCTGCTGGACCAAGCAGCAAAGGTGTCTTCCCTGTGGCTTCTGTATCTCACGCCCAGGCTGGTTCTATGCCCCCAGCGCTGGAGCCTGGAAGTATCGCAAGGATCACTACAGGAGCACCTCTCCCTCCAAACGCGAATGCAGTGGTCATGGTGGAAGACACTGTTCTAGCATCATCCACTCCTGATGGCACGGAAGAAGCAACTGTTGAAATACTAACAGCGGATATCAAGCCTGGTGAAAATATACGCGAACCAGGAAGTGATGTTTCTCTGGGGTCCAAGATTCTTCAAAAGGGAGACCTCATCACAGCTGTGGGAGGCGAGGTTGGTCTGTTGGCGTCGACAGGAACCAAGACAGTGAAAGTCTACAAGAAGCCTCGTGTAGGTGTCCTGAGCACCGGCGATGAACTAGTCGAGTACAATGACCCGAAGAAGCTGGAGGGAGGTCAGATTCGAGACTCGAACCGTCCATCCCTGATATCCGCTTTGAAGGCCTGGGGCTTTGAGACTGTTGATCTTGGAATCGCTCGTGATACTCCAGTGGGCCAAATCGAACAATCGTTGCGTGGAGCATTGCGCGGAGTCGGACCAGGTGCTAACAAACCTGTGGACGTGATCGTTACTACAGGAGGTGTATCAATGGGTGAACTGGACCTGCTCAAGCCTACAATTGAGCGTTCCCTTGGCGGCACAATCCACTTTGGCCGCGTCTCAATGAAGCCCGGCAAGCCTACAACCTTCGCGACAGTCCCATACAAACCAGCCATGTCATCATCAGGCGCATCCGCACAGCAAGAAAGAGAGACGAAGCTTATTTTCGCCCTCCCGGGGAATCCTGCTTCTGCCTTAGTGACGTTAAACCTGTTTGTGCTTCCATCATTGCACAAGCTGAGCGGCATGGGCCAGACATCTCTTGCAGCCACAGTTCCCAAACCACACACGGCTTTGGGTCTCCCCTTGGTCTCGGCTACATTGACTCATGCTATTCCCCTGGACCCCAAACGTACAGAATACCACCGTGCTGTTGTTGTCGCTTCGCGATCCGACGGACGCCTCTACGCAACTAGTACAGGACTTGGCGGCCCTGGTGCCGGGGTTGGTCAGCGAAGCTCAAGAGTGGGTAGTCTGGCTGGGGCGAATGCACTGTTAGTCTTGAATCCGGGTAAGGGGAGGATTGAGAAGGATCAGTTCGTAGAAGTGTTGATGATGGGCCCTGTCCTTGGTGGAGAATAGAGCACGAGTTGAAAATGGTCCTGTGAATAAGTGAATCTAAACCCACTCTGAGAGAAGAAAAGGCTAGTACTAGGTTTTAATGTTCTAATTCTACTACTAAGTAAACAGAAGAAAGTATTGAGCGTAACTACTATACTATACCCCACGACGTGAAGTCATGAAGGCAAGGAAGAATTCATGCACTTGTCAGTATCAGATATTCTAAAAACTTGTTGCTAACTGGTTTCTGACCAGGAAACCGAGTATATGACGTCTCACGAGCTAATACCAATACCATAACACCATCTCACATCTACATATGATTCATAACAATCCGAACATTTAGACTGATTTTCACCGATTCTGAGCCTTCCATCCCTTTTTCTTCACTGCCCTCAGTGCTGGCAATGTCCCATCCTTCCCCTGCTTCCTTGCCACCTCCACCACGACGAATCGTATGAAATCCGTCAGCGTCCAGTAGCTGCTGTGTGCGCTCAGCATGTTTAGATATTGGATATTTAGGGGCCCACCGCCGCCAGAGAGGTAGTAATCGATCTGCCCGTTGTCGTTGAGGAGAAGCATGCGCTTTTCAGCGATCTCTTCGCGGGTGAAATCATGAGTTTCGAGCTCGACATTTGATGGGAGCTTGGATATTGCTGCAGGTCGGGATGGGAGAGCGGTTGCAGAAAGAGCCGTGGAGGGTTCAGGGCCGGTGGAGGAACTCCAGCGGAAGACACCAGCGAAGGACTGGAAGAATGATGAGGAAGAAGAGGGTACTGGGGCTGGCCTGAGAGAATCAGCCAGATCTCTATCCACTGCTGCGTTAATACGGTATGCAATAGCTATGTGGAGCCATGATCAGTATTTGACATGTTTAACTATCCAGGTGTAACAGATACTTACGGTCGGTAGTGTGCATGATGTTATAGATGTTGTCGACAGCCAAGCAGCCGTATTTATCCGCTTCTCCTGCAACTCCCCGTTGCTGATCCTCGCCTTCTCTCCCAGGTTTATTTCGTCCTCTGCGTGGAAGTAGGTTCGCTGCAATCTGCTTAACTGTTATCGCTCTCCAAAGGGATATTGGGACACAAACCTTTGTGTAAGAGTAGGAAGAGTCCGACAGGGCTTCCACAAATGAACAAATTGCTCGTATCGAATTCAAAGATATCGTTGTGAGCAGGTACGGAGTCAAAATCGAAATATGGCACTCTGGTCGGCTGGTGACTGAGGATATCAAAAGACATGACGCTTCCGAGAGAATGGGCCATAACGTGGACTTTCCCATACTCCTGGAAGCCCGGGTTGTTCTTACACCAAAGTCGATATACTCGGTTTGCTTCTTTGACAACTGCCTGGATCATTTTGGACTTGTGATGAGAAAGGTAGTAGGGAATATCCAGCATAACATCGCTAACGAGGGTCCGTATAGCGGGGATTGTGTCGGGAGTAATATCTTTCAGGGAGTAATGGTTTTCTGTTGGATCTTCATTCGACTGGGTCTCAATATTTGCATCTTCAAGTGAAAGAGTTGATCGCCAATTGACTGGGAGAACCATTATACCTCCAAGATCTGGGCGGATGTGTGGCCACACTGCTTCACTGTTAAGTTCCACATTGACATGTCTGCGAAACGCGTTGATAGCATGAGTGAAATGGAAACTTTCCATTCTTTCAGATAGCTTTTGACCGATACCATGGATGACAAGCATTAGGTCTGTTGGGCTAGGTCTCGATTCTTCTATTGCGCAAGCATAACAAACCTGTCCACTGTGTCCGACAGGTGCGTCCCTAGACTGAGGCCGCCTTATATAATTTCTCACGTCAACAGGATTAGGCTTCGAGGGATATAATTTGTCCCACATCTGCCGACTGAAGCCGCGGATAACTGGTATGCCGATTTGTCTCCCTTTCCGAATTGCACTGAGCGGACGTCTCCCCCTAGAGGCGGATGGAAGGAGACTAGGTCGCAGGATTTGAGCATTTTTTGCGTCAACGTATATGACACTGGAGCTTTTGAAGGGTTTCAAAGCCGCCTCCTGGGAAGGAGCACCACTAGCAGCCATGTTCTCATCGAAGGTTAGCGCCTCGACTTCAATATCGGTGGTCTTATCAGGTGGCGTAGGCTGAGGGCCTGTCGCTCCCAGTTCCTGTGCCGTCGCAGGTCTGCTAACAGATTTGCTTTCTTCTTTAGGCCAGAGCCTGTGCACGACTTTCGCCTCGGCGTCTGCACCATTCTCGACACAGCTGTTCAGCTCATCCTGCCATGTCTCTGTCCATGGCTGCATATAAAGGTATCCCTCTTCGAGTTTGTTAGCCAGCTGAGGCTCAACCGGCAGCATAGTATTCTTATAAAACCATGTAGCTCGTAAAACGTCAGATATATCGTGAACTGGACTCCAGTATATAGGTTTCATCTATCGATTATCAGACAATTTTATTCAGTGGAGTGAGAAAGAGAGTAATGAATTATATATACCTTCAGATTTGGCAGTTCAACCAAATGAAGACGTGAATAACCAACTGGAATTACTGCCTGGGGAACATCGCCCTCCAGCTTGTCTAACAAGCGATCAGGAGATTCGGCCAGCTGTGTGGATTCTCTCCTTAATCCGGATGATCTTGGGGCAGCCATGTCTGAATCGAGGATCTCTTCTGCACGGACTCCACGTGCGCTCGAAGGCCTGAGAGACTGAGTAGTACCATAGGAGCTCGGATCCAACGGAGAATTTGATTGCAGATCTGGTCTCCTTGAAGGTGCACGGATAAACGGCGACCCACTGATGTTCATGTCAGAAGATACGCTTCCTTGCAATATAGCGCTCTCCGGTTCTAGAGTGGGCTCCTCGCTGGGAGATGAGGTGCTTTTACGCTTCGCAGATTTGTGCCTCCCGCCAAGGGGGGAAACTTCTCTCTTCCGGCCATCATTCATGCTGCCACTGCCATCGCCAGGAGTATCATTTTCCCTTAGACTGCTTTGTTGTCCACCGACTCCAATCGGTCCCGCCGCTGATGATGGTAGAATGCTCTCAGATTCCCTCGACAAAGATCGTATCGTGTCATCGGCTCCCGTCCTCTTATCATCTTGACTACCTACCTTGTTCGGAGTGCCCAAGCGAGAGCTGAGCTTATGGTGATGACCCGGTATCCTGGTAGCCTTTGAAGGTCCATCATGCTTTCCACTACTCCTAGAAAGCTTTGTTTCCCTTTTATCGCGCAATTCTTTCCAAGCTTCTTCGAGGGCAATATTGTCTCTTGCAGAGAAAGGCTGCGGCGGAAACTTCTCGTACGCGGAACTGGAGCTGCCCGAGGGAATAGGCAAAGGCGCTAGAGGGTCATCGATCGGTAAAGAAGATGCATAAAAGAACTGTGCGCGCAACCGAGGAGGATTTGGAGACGACCTGACGGCCGCAGGATCTTCATCTTTGTCGGCAAGAAGGCACGTAGGGCCGTAGGTGTGAGCGGGTATTGTCGACATATCAACACTGGAGGTAGGCCACCGGTAACCGCACAGAAACTTATCTTATCCACGTATATTTAGATATTACGAGGATCCATATTCGAAGGATAAGTGAGGACACAAGAGCAGACAGCCTTCAGGTGCGCCAAGGACGCCAGGTGCGGTCAGCGATAGAAAACAAGCACCGCGAAATCGAAAGCAAGAACGCTTGTTGGGTATCTCTCAGAAAGCAATGACCATAAAGCGGCTTAGGAACAAATCGCACTCCACAGACTCTGAGCACCAGCGCAACAGACGCTCAGCCGACGCGAAGTTGATGGTTGGCGAAGCTCCCTTCGATCGGAATCGTTGCGCGTGTTTGGGAAAGCTATGACGTCGCACCACGTGCGTAGATCGCTCGCTCTTGGTTGGTCCAGCACAACAACTTCCTTCATATTACTGTCTGATATCTACCGATCTCTTCTTCTATAGAGAACATATGTGAATAGTATTGTGGCTAAAAGTTGTAGGCATTTCAGCTCCGTCAAAATGAGTACAGAATCTAGCCTGCTCTGTAGCTACTGCTGAGCGACCCTAGAATCTCCTGGAGCTGCTTGCTCATAAGTACCTAGAGCTCATGAATTTCCGAAAATAGCCTGGATTATTCAACTAATAGTCACATTCAATCTCCGCATGAGGTGGGAATATTGCGCCGGAAACAGAAAAATCGTGGCGATCGTAAAGTCATCATCCACCAATGGAAACATGTCGGGGTGGCTAGAATACATGAACAAACAAGGAAAAGTGCAGAGGAAACATGTAGAATGAGTAGAAAGAGTAGTAGAAAGTAATAACCGTATCCGAAATGACGCCTAAAGAAGTCCGCCCAACCATAAAAATCTCGAAGCTACCTAGAACCGTAGAACTTCTCCCGTGTCCGTTTCTCCTTTAGTAGGAGTTGTTGGAGCTGTGCTTCTCCGACGAAGAGCGGCTGTGTCCGTTGGAGTTGCGAGGATGATACGTCTTTTTAGTATGTTCCTTCATCATTGCTAAAGCTTTCATCTGAAGCTCTTGGAAAGCAAGGAAGGTTGCAAGAGGCGCTCCAAGCATTTCCAGGATTTTGTAAGTGTCGTGCATATGTTTGCGAATCACGCTGTCACGGTTGCAGAAAGTACGAACGCTCATTTCCTTAGCCACAGCCTTCCAATTGTGCAGAGTTGAGTTCAAAGCGACGGGGTTGGTGGAATACTCCCCGTTGAAGTCCAGTGTGCGGATATTGTGGAGGACCAGGTCGCGTTGGGTAGCTTGATCGAACTGAAACTCGGGGACTTGAGGTCTATTCTTCGAGGCCCAGAAGTTGGTGGCCTTGTTGATAGACTCTACCGACAGACGTCCTTCTTTGTACTGTTGAAGAAGGAACTTATTGGCGCTCACGCAGATCATGGCCTCTATTTCAGAATACAGCTTGGCTTGAGTAGGAGGGTCCAGAGAAATCGGCAAGCGGCCATCTGTAACAATCTTTGGATGACTGAACTGAGTTGTGTAGGCTTTGGCAACGTCTCCAGCCTAGATATAAATTAGTGACTAGTCCTCATGCGCCATATCATATAGAACTTACAAGTCCTTCCACATGCTGCTTGATCTTCTCTCCCAAGCTTTTGAAAGGGGTCTTCCGATATTTTTCGTTGTCCTTCATACTGGCACTGCGCCCGAGCCATCCATTTTCTCCGAAGAGTTTCTTGTGAGGAGACCTCGAGCGTCTCGGAGGGCTGTCAAGATCGAAATCAATGTCATCGTAGTCATCATTGAATCTCTCTCGAGAGCGTCCACGAACAGGGACCTCATATTCGCGGATGGGGCTTTTCTCTCCCCGTCCGTAGGATGGAGTAGCATAGTCTGGATTCTTGAAGCGGACACGAAGTGGTTGAGGGCGATCAACAATGTATTTCTCGGATACCGAGTGCGGTATGTGCCTTCCGGAAAAGAGTGGCATAACGCTTTCCGACTGGTATGAGGATGTCTTGGGAGAAGGCGACTGGCTTGGAGACGATTGCTGCATCTCCATCTCAGGAGACATATTCCAGAGATATTGATGCTCGCCGTAGAACGGATTTCCGTCGGCCATGTTCGTATAAGAGGTTTGCCTATTCTCCAGTCAGTCTCGGATCGTCAATGTAAACAAGATTAACAAACACGTACTCCTCGCTGAGAATGATAGGAACCTCTAAGCTTGTTTCTAAGCTTGTTACACTCATTGGATTGAACTTGACTGGTTCGGCTTCTTCAGACTGGACAATCTTGCTATCAGATCGTAGGAACAGTTCTGAATTCAGGATCTCCCTGGTGAGGTTTCGAAAGGTCTCTTTCGTGCTGGCAGACGAAGATGTCTGAAAGGATTGTGTCTTGTTCGAAGAGGAAGAGGATAGGGAGTGCTTGTGGGAAGTTAAAGAGTCCTTCTTATTGTTGTTTTCAAGGGGAGATGGTCTACTCCCTGAGCGAATGGGTGGGTTTTGCAATTCATGACAATAGCAAGGTTGGGGCCTATTAGGCGAAATAGCCATTGTATTGAGAATGGGGGCAGTGAATGAAATATCAATAGAATAGGACAATATAAAATGGACTAACACGCGCTCGCAAGACCAGTGAGGGTATGTTTTGGGTGGACCTGGTTACGGGCGCGCTCCAGGGTAACTATCTCTTTTTGCTTGCCAACCTCACGAGGATTCAGAGGCGAGTAGTAGGATGGCTTCTAACTTGAACTAGTGTTACTGCTTCTCCTATTAAGAAATAAAATGATACTGTTTTGGGGAGTTGAACAGTGGCGCATGTAGTTATGTACGAGATCAGAATTTATATCGCCATCTTTTGGGACAAATAGCCTACTACAATGCTCTGGAATCTATTGAGGCGAATCAAGTGGTCAAAAAAATATTCACAGCGCTCGTAGGAGCGGCCACTGCAGGCAAAGCGTTATTCACTGTCATATAATACCGAAAACCCAACAATTGGGGGCTACTATTGAGCAGATAACACCTTTATCTTATTGTCTACTGTCAATGTCAGCATGATTATGCTTACCTTTCACGAAGTATCTCTTTTCTTCCATGAGTATAATCCCTCATCCTCGATATATGATTAAGGCTAAGATGTCAGAAAGGCCCGATCAGCAACTCACACGACTTGTAATGCGATCCTTTAAGTTCTGCTCATATAAGCTTCGACATAAGCTTACTAAACTTGCCAACAGTACTAGGCGACGTCACACTTGAAGTGTTTACAAAAACTAATGCATAAAGTAGTCCATTTTGTCATCTCATTATCTGCGCTTAGCTTCTTGTAGGTATTTGCGAGGCGTCAAATTTTCCAGTATAGTATCGTCACTCTATTGGTTGATGGTATTCTGCAAGAACTGAGGAAGGCTCAGGTTGTTTTTCAGCAAATCAGTACTAGAGCGCAGATCCTAAGGGGATAAGTCCAGCTGTAGTTTCTGGTTACACATATTGGAGTACTAATACGACTCGATACAGATACCCCCAGTCTGGAATCTATGAATGAAAAAATGGCACTGTGGGTCTAAAAGGATGGCGCTACTACAATACACTATTCATATCTGATATAGACATTTTCCATTGTCGTGTTGAGCGTTTGGCTGGTCCCAGATACTCTATCAACTTCCTGCGCATCCGATCTTACAAAAAAGCCAGTGAACAGGGCCACCCAGTCCTGTATTGATAGATCCGAAGAAAACTCAATGTCTTCACTCGTTGGCTAGCATTTTGTTGGTGATACTATACATGTAAACGGACTTCCTGTTTCAGGTTTTTTAACTCCTTATACATACAATTATACAGATATTGTTGCTACTGGAAAGGAGATCGAAATGTGCAGTATTAGATATCAGCTAGACATCAGCATGACAGGTTAAGTAGCTACGGCAAGTGTAGCAGGTACCGAGTTCACCGGCAAACCGAGTCTCTATATAAGATAGCCCATATGTTTTAGTCTCCACAAGTGACGTGCGATATGCGCCATTGTTGATCGCAGTCCCTGTTCATCCATTACCTAGGTATGCACTTCGCAAATCAACTAGGCCGGGTCTATCCGGGAACAGAAACGGCACATCTCTTAAGAGGCCATAGACGCAGCGAACCCCAGTCAGCCGACAATACCAGCCGATCAACCGATCTAGAAGACAGAGTTGGCGGCAGAGAAGAAGTAAGTCTGTCGAAGAGTTCGGGGAGGAGACTCGGCGAGGTTGCACATACATGGTTTACCCCGGACAAATCACGTGCAGCACTCCACTTGCCGACTTTCTATCCGCATGTGGGGATCCTGCGCTGATGTGAGCATCAACAAGGCTCGGAATGAACCACGGCATTCTCAACCCCCGCAAAAGAGCGAGATTCTTTTTGCCTGGGCTCATGGCATAATCAAGGATTCGTTGAGCTTGATACGCGGTGGGGTCAATGAATGCCGTTATAGCTCTCCGTTCTGTTGTTTCCCACCTTTTCGGTCCAGCTAGCCATGAGGAGCTGTCGTATATTAAAGATGACAATACTGCACGAAATGTCTTCTTTTCCCTTCACGGCCTTCATATATTACCCTACCTGATACTGCGATCCTTAATGCGATTATAGTTCTCCTTTCTTAGAATCCCAATAGTGTGGTTGGCCTTAGTTTCTCTCTCCCCCGTTTTCTTGCTTCCAAGTGTCATCCATAGATATGACCGGTCCCAAAGACCAATATGACATCGTCATTGTGGGCGCGGGCCCTGTAGGGCTCCTTCTCTCACTGTGTCTGTCTAGATGGGGTTACAAAGTCAAGCACATCGATAACCGCCCCGTACCTACCACTACGGGTCGCGCAGATGGCATTCAGCCCCGTTCCATTGAGATCCTGCGAAACCTGGGCTTAAAACGTCAGTTGATGGCATATGAGCCGGCAAAGGTCTATGATGTCGCATTCTGGGACCCTCTCCCTGCTGGTAAAGGCATCCACCGCACCGGAACCTGGCCCAGCTGCCCGCGATTCATTGACACGAGATATCCGTTTACCGCCCTTATCCACCAGGGCAAAATCGAAAGGATGTTCTTGGCCGAGATCGAAAAAGCTGGAACCACCGTCCAGCGTCCTTGGACCATTATTCGCTTCGACAATGATGGCAAGGACGAGGCATATCCTGTCGAAGTGGATCTCAAGAATCTCGACACAAACGTCATTGAGACTATCCGGACAAAGTACCTCTTCAGCGGAGAAGGAGCCCGGAGTTTCGTTCGTGAAAAGCTTGGAATTCAGATACGCCACAAGGATCCGATCTCCCACGTGTGGGGTGTTATGGACGGGGTGGTCCGGACAGATTTCCCCGATATCAAGGTATGTCAGAAAACGCGATTAGGTAAATCTTGTTCTAATAAGCTCCTTAGACAAAATGCACCATCCACTCGGATAGCGGTTCCATCATGGTTATCCCCCGTGAAGAGAATATGGTGCGACTCTATGTCCAGATTGCTTCTTCGACAGACCCGGACTTTAACCCCAGGAAAACGGCCACGGTTGAGGAAGTGCAAGCTGCCGCAAAGAAGATTCTTCGCCCTTATTACCTTGAATGGGATCGTGTAGAGTGGTACTCAGTATATCCTATTGGACAGGGAATCGCAGAGAGGTATACGCTAGACAACCGTGTCTTCATGGGCGGAGATGCCTGCCACACCCACAGCGTAAGCATTTACCGTTTCTGCCTTCTGAAGATTCATGCTAAAATATCTCGTTAGCCCAAAGCAGGTCAAGGTATGAATACTGCATTCCACGATGCTCTCAACATGGCGTGGAAGATTCATGTTGTGGAGTCTGGTTTGGCCGACCGGTCCATCCTGAGCACATATGAGCTCGAGCGTAAACAGATTGCCGAGAACTTGCTCGACTTTGATAACAAGTACGCAGCGCTGTTTTCAAAGCGTCCTCCATCCGCAGGTGAAGTGGGCTCGGCCGATTCCCATGTCGCTCCTGTTGGAGAGGAAGACGAGTTCGTGAAGACATTCAAGTCATCCTGCGAGTTCACCAGTGGCTATGGTATATCATATGACGCCAATATCTTTAACTGGTCCCCAAGCCATCCGGCGAAGTCGCCACTGTTCAACATCCCCGGGGTGAAGCTGCGTGTTGGACGTGCTTTCACTCCTTCCAAAGTGACAAGGCTCTCGGATGCAAATTTTGTAAACTTGGAGCAGGAAGTTCCTGCTAATGGTGCATTCCGCATATTCGTCTTTGCGGGAATTCCCGCGAAGACCAAGCAGGCACTCGCCGATTTTGCAGCAAACCTTGAGAAGGAACGGTCATTCTTGTCGGTTTATCGAAGACCTGATATTGCCAGTGTCTCGCACTTCGAGCGTCATAACCCCCATTCCAAACTTTTCACTATATCTGTCGTTTATGCATCCGACAAGAACGGTGTCGACCTGCCAAATCTCCCCAACTTCCTCAAGGCCTATCACCACCACATCTACGCTGACGACCTTCCGGACGTCCGTGTACCACAGGCTACCTTCGCGGCTCACGAGAAGCTTGGATTCGACCCAGCTAAGGGAGGTGTAGTTGTCACCCGTCCCGACAGTCATGTTGCTTGCACAGTGCAGCTAGTGGAAGGAAGCGGAACGGTGGACGCACTGAACGAATATTTCGGCTCGTTCTCGACAAAGCCACTAGGACTCAACCCACAGCTGAGCCATCTGTAATGTTATAAGCGATATGTATTTCAGAAAGCGCGTGTGTATGAGGAGCTAGGAGAGCGTCTGTTTGCGTAGACGGTTGATTGCCATACTGTCAAGATTCCAAGACACTTGTATTTAGCGAATTTTCGATTTCTCAGCGTTTTAGAAATAGTTATCCAATTTTGTGTAGAGTACCTGTTCGGTCCAGAGGCCACTTTAAATATGGGAGTTGTAGATAACCTGAAGCGCGGCAGATATCGACGGCTTTCGGTGCTGTTCCGTACCACTCCCCACATCACTTTGTCAGAGTGCTCTCATCAACCCGGTGGTACGCAGCTGCCAGCAACCGCCAATAGCATAGCCATCACATCCAGCCTCAGTAAGAATGCTGTCTCTTACACTTTCGGCAGAGCTATCTGGGTAAGTCGAAGTCTGAAGTTGGTCTATCATTTTTTCCTGCAAGGAGCGGGGGCATATCCATTAGTTCTACATCTTTCTGTTCTCCCCGCATCGCGACACCGGCAACGTTGAAAATATATGACATAGCCTAACAGCGGGATATTTGGATAGCGTGACGGATCTCCGTCCCAGTGACACGCAGGAGAACCCTTATTTTTATACATTTAAGGTGCAATGCACTTCTTGTCGGGAGACCCATCCTAACTGGGTCAGCTTCAACCGCTTTGTGAGTACCTTTTGAGCCTCCAGGCCCTCCACAGTCATTTAACCACGCAGCTTTCTGCCCCTTTTTGCCTCCAAGCCGGGGCATCCACTTCATATAATTGATGTTTTTCTAACTTCCTCGTGTCTATCTAGGAGGAGCATGAGATCCCGGGCAGCCGTGGCAACGCAAATTTCGTGTGGACATGCAAGCTTTGCAAGGTCTGTTGCCCCTTGGTGGCTTCTTTAATCGATACTCTAAGAATCTGCCATTGCATGATACCCTATGTTGAAGGGGTTTTATCTATTCTATTCTTGTTATGTTCTCTGAACGATGATTCCGCTTCTCAGAGATCATCAAATCCCATTCTTCTGTGCGATGTTACATATTCACTCCCATGCTGACCGTTAGTTTCTTTTGCATGCTCAGAAAACCCACTCTGCATCCGTGACTGCAGGCCCTAATTCCTATGATGTCGAAAAGAAGTCTGGCCAGAAGATCATCGATATCGACTGCCGTGGTCTAGAATTCACCGAATTCAAACCTGACGTAAGACAAGATAGATCCCCTGCCCCTTCAGAAATATGCTTTCCCATCAGGAAGGTTGAGTGCTTATGAATGCTAAATAATCAATCGCTACAGGGAGAGTGGGAGGCAAAAGGAATCGAGTCCTCGACGCCTTTTTCTAGCATCGACCTCTCGGAAGGAGAATGGTACGATTACGATGAGAAGGCGGGGGAAGAGGTCAGTATCAAGGATATTACCTGGAACATCAGCCGGTCCTGAAAGAGTAAAAAATGAACCAGTCTAAAATTTCTTTTCTTAACTTTCTTGCCTTCTCTGCTTATGTATCGTCCATGCTCTTGTTCATGGAAACGTATTCTGCTCGTTAGTCTAATGGAAGGGAGAGCTCGGAACCGTATGTTTTCCCATTCTTACGATTAGAAACTTGTAGGAGGTCTCATTTTTATGTCTACTGTATCGTATCAGCTTTGGACTGTTTAAAACAGATCAGATTTCGAATAGCAAGTAGTATATATTTGGAAGTTGCAGCTATTGCTTTTTCAAGGGTTTGCGGCATCATGTTGATACCTCAGGCATGAATTGTTGGTCGTTCCTGATTGGCTACAATCAACAGACGGATGTCGAGCCTGGGCCAGCATCATCACATTTTCGCGCAATCCGACATCGCGGCTTTCCCCAGAGTTCCCAGCCAGCTTCAACTTCGACCGGGACGTCTGATTCGAAACCATCAGCAGCGATCTTCTGTGCAGCTGGCCCTCAGCACATCATCGGCATCTGTTAAAGAAGCCTGCGTGTCCAGATTTTCCGGTGGGGATCCAGTCAAGAGAAGCGCGACACGATGAGTGTTAGTTACAGCCCTACCTCGACTCTATGTCTTCCATGCTGAATGCTGCAGCAGTATCTGCTGTGTCTGAATGGATGGCTAACGTGCGTTCTTCATAGTTCCAACCCGTGAACCCTCGGCCTTTCCTCCAGGCCCGGTACGTACCTACATCTCCTTGACGAGCACACGCCGTGATCCCTCCTACCGGCAGCAGGAGTGGAGCAATCGCTTCATCGCTCTCGTCGCAGGTCTTTTTTGATGGATTATTTCTGACATTTTATGTTTACAGAGTTGGGACTGAGCTCATTATCCGCCTCAAGTGGGGTCAGACAGAGTACAAGGGCAAGCTGGAGAGCATCGACTCCTACATGAACGTGCTTCTGAGGGATACGGAGGAATTCATTGACGGCAAGAACACTGGAAGCCTCGGTCTTGTCCTTATTAGGTGTGTTTCTGGTCCCCATTGTGCTATTATACCGTCTGCACCGTATGCTGCAGTCGTCGGAGCATAGATCGACACGGACGCATCCTTCTCTTTATCGTTTCCTTGATCTCGGAAAAGAATCTCGCTGATCTAGTTATTTTTAGATGCAACAACATCCTCTGGATGGCCAGTGCGGATGGCGTGGAGATGACAGATCTGGGTTTGAAATAGAGACGCACCGTCGAGCCGGACACCCGACATCTGTGATCTTCGAAGTGGGAAAGGAAGAGGGAAAAAAGAAGATCACGGAGAATTCACGCAGCTACGGACATATCACAGGAGGACACGGCAGGTTTCAGCGGCTCATGATCCGACAGATGACGTTTTTGGATGATTTGGGGGGGAAATGAAACGCTGCGACGTGCATTGCCCAGCGAAAAAAGACCCCTGGGATATATGCGAGCGATGACAGGACCAAGAAGGGAAATTTCTTTTAGTCCTTGTCGGCTGATATCTTTCTTTACCCTACTGGGCCAGCGATTCATCTCGTGCGATCTAGCTACCAGCTTCCTGATGTAGCTGCATGCTATACCCCCAAGAAGACCAATTAGGCATGAACAGTTATACGCAGCGCCTAAAATATGGTTAGCTTCGAGCATTAGGCCAATTAATGGTTATTGCCACGACTAAATATATCTTCCCCCCCAAAGTAGTTCTCGTTTCTCGAACACATCTAGCAATGACCTCACAATGTGGACCACGCGGTGCAAAAACACAAATAGGTATATACTCTATGATAGATAAGATATCCTGCCAAGAGATATCCGGATTTGGCAACACATAGGACGGCGACGCGCCATCAATCTAATAAGCTATTATCATGAAGGAGGAGGGTGACCATTATTATTAATTCTTGTTACTCCATACTCTATAGCTTGATTGGACTAGATTATCATCTGGAGCGGAGAGTCTGATCAAGCTTTTGTGGGCATGATGAGATCAAATGCTCCGCGGTAGGGTTCTTGAGACTCGGAGCTCCATGTTGTGCCCGAGGCGAAGAGTCACCATGCGGGCTGTGCAGGGCTTCGTCACTGAAGGCAATCATGCCGGGAGAACCATTGCGTACAACTATGGAGATGATTCTATGGTATCTAGAGCAAATCAACGGGGCAGGATTCGCGACACCAAGAATACTATACTCCATAGGAACTCACCGGTTAACGATGACATCTGCAGGAGGGAACAGGCATCCTGGTCCATAGGGTTTGCTGCCTCGGGGCGAATGAACCAGCTAAAAGAAGAAGAATACATAGTAACAGACGGGTATCGCATCCCAAGGCAAGATCCTAACTGACTCTCACGTCAGAGGCTGAAACAGCTCTCACCGCGAGAGATCCTTGACTCTAACAGGGATGAAGCAGATCATCGGTTCGTCAATGCGGTTCTCGAGACGTCGTGGAAAGAAGAGGTTACCTAAATTAGTTACTACCCACGGCTCCAAGAATAGTTTCGGAGCTGCCAGCCTGCTTTCCTGGCCACTTTTTTCTTTTCTTTTCTTTTCTTGTCTTTTTCTGTTTTGTTATTCCTATTCCTTTTCCTTTTCTATTTTTTGCCGCCGCAGGAATGTTGCGGGATGTGCCATATGGTAGACTACCATAATTGACCCAAGCATGCCCGACGAACGTCATAGCACAGCACACTGCGTGTGACTGCAGAGCGGCCCGCGCCACCTTCTCTGTATACTCCGTGGTCGTTACCATAAGCTGTCTTATGGTATTATTATTATCGGATTATTCCCCTCGTTCGGTATTCGAAGTGCGATAGCCTACCTGAAAGACGAGGAACCAGTCCCGATCCGTCATCTGTCTGCTAGGTAGCTGGCTGTGAGTAACTACCTAGCTGCTCATCGTCCTCGTTTCCCTCATCGCTCGTACACTACCATACACTGGTGGTTTGCGTGTCCATATTTGCCATCGCCCTCACCCTCACCCCTCGCGTCGGAGCCGGATACGCAAGCCCGCCCAGCCGTTCCCACGACCTCCCAACCGCGGGCAAAAAGTATGGTAGAGTACGGACTACGGAGTGGTAAGTTATGGTAGATAGATCGACCCGCATATGTGAACCCCACAGTCTAAACTAGACTACTGGATCACTTGGGATCAGGAGGTCAAGCGAACTAGTAGTCTTTCGGACGGCGTACACTCGCTGCCAACGCTCCAACAGAGTTAGACAGACGAATAATGTGGGGGACGTTAGAGGACGTTTGGTGGCGCCTCGTAGTTCGAAGGTGCGGGAGTAATAAATAATAATGCTGACCGTTCGGCACTAAACATCCTGGCGGGCCGTCCACGGGCTGCTAGTATAGCCCACGAGGGATCCATCATCCATGGGACCATAAGGAGGTGTGTGTGTGTGCGTGTGGCTCAACACCGTTAATATAGAAAATAGGCTCGTGTCCCTCCGTCATTCCCTCTGGTCGCATTACAACTGCTCCTACTCTACATCCAGAAGGCCGCGCAAGAAGCAACCACGGATTAGCCACAGGCAACTACCTCTTCGTCGGCTTATATACTTCCTCACCGTACTCAACATCCTGCGCTCAATTATCCTTCTTACACATATCTACCGCACTCTCGAACATTACTACATTATATAGCTCCGTCCGAAATATCTATACTCTACTACTACATTTCTCCGCGTTACTCCAAGGTTGTTACAGTCTCTGCCGACTCAGTGCAGAGAAACAAAAGACAACTTTCCACTACATAGCTCTTATACCGACCTCGAGAGTTCGTCCCTTCTCCGCCAAAATGCCAGAAGGGTCCAAATTTGTCGAGATCCTCAACCCAGAGGAGGATCACCCCATGATGACCGACTTCGACGTCCGACTCGAGGACGTCCTGGCGGACCACGAAGCCCGCGTCCACCGATCCCGCTCCTCCACACAATCGTCGGGCAAGAGCAGTATAGTTCGCGACGAGTCGATATTCCAGTCGCCCACCCGACTAAAGAGGCTCAGCATGAAATTCACCCTGTCCGGGCGATGAATTTCTTAATTTTCAATTCGCTTCGCCATATCGATTTCTTTTTACAAATCGGGCGTTCGGGCTGGTCTCCCTAGTATATACGCGCAGGGGATAGGAGTGTCATGGGAAATTCAAAACATAAATACGGGACACCCACACTCCAAAAAGGATTCAATTCGACTCCTCCCTTGTCCACCTCCAACCGGGAACTCGCGAGCTCTGAGAGACTTGTGAGGGTAAACGATGGGACGAGCATACGACTTTTTTTCATGCATATATGGCTATTATAAAATCCTGACGCTCCTTGACGATGCCTCGCTACGATTGAATTGCTACTTTATTTCGGCCTGACGGCGCTCCTTTGATACCCCCCTACATCACGCTGCGGATGGAATTGCTCTTGCTTGAGGTGGTGGATCTTGTTTTTCTTTGCTCAAGTTTAGAAATTGTGTTTTCTGATTGTTATTATTACCACCATAATTATTATTACAAGAGAGTTTGAAGATTACAGATTACGCGAACAGGTTACCGTATTAATTGCTGGAGCTGACGGGAAATGGCTTTTATTATTATTATTCTGCTGTACATTTAACACAGAACCAAAATTTAACAAAAGAAACATACTTCCTACACTTTTTTTCTCCTCTTCCTTCTCATGTCGCGGGGCACGGACTCTAGAGCAAAAATTTTCTTTTTCTTCGGGATTAGTCTAGTGTAATTATGGCGCTCAAGCCTGCCTGTGCGCCGGTACTCGGAGTGTAACTATCCATGCTTGACTTTGGGACGGGTGATCGCCATCCTGCGAACTGCATAATTTACGAAAAGGGCCGTGTGCGCGGTCGGTCTGATCGCCGTGTCGATTAGAACTCTAGATAGTCTAGCTGGACGCCCAAGGGCATCTTGGCTCCCGTATGCTCACGGGTCACGCGCCAATAATGGTCCATACGGAGCAAGCCAAAAAAAAAAAAAAAAGAAGAAAAATCATAAAACAATCTTATCCTATCCAGGGTTTTCGTTTCTATAATACATACGCAGGATTACGATCTGAAGGAATCTGGGAATCTTGCTCATATTCACTTCCCTTATTAGTTTGTGACTTCTGATACAGCCCCTTCTTTATTATTATTACTTCCCTCGGGTACATAGATAGATAGATAGATAGATAGATAGTAGATTCATTTTCATATCCAGTGTTCCACCTCTTGACTACTGGGTCGTGTCTCCGCAATGCTTTGAATAAAGCCACCAGTAAACCAGTAGACTCGTAGAGCCAGTAAGGTGAGTCACGGAAGTTGTACACCGTAAGATTCGAAACGCGAAAGTAGGTACTTACGTCTCCAAGCCTCCTCCTAAATGGGCCGAGAAAAGAGAGGAAAAAAAAAAAAAATAAAAAAAAAAGAAGTTCCCCACAACTCAAAACCCGAGCCGCCGTAGCTGGTTAGTTAAGTTTTTGAAAAAAAAAAAAAAATTGTACGTAGGTACAGTAAGATTTATAATAATAAAAAGGCTTTAAGCTAGAGGGCAGGATTATTTAATTTATTGGTAGGATCTGTGGCAGATCTGATCTGTGCGTTTAACGAGTAATGTAAACTGTTTACGGAGTACATAGAGTAGAGTCTTTTTCTCTGAAGATGGAGGGAAGAGAAGGAAGCCAAACCAAAAGAGGGAAAACAAATTCCTGACGAAAATATACCATACCACCATACCGCAATCTGCAGCTAATGCTGCAGCAGTCCTATTTTGTCCATGGGGATTATACTCCTGATGATCGAATTACTGGGAACAGCTGGGGTATTATTATTGGACGCGCAACTCCCCGGATGGCCGGAATATTTCATTAAATAATATCACATTCCACGTCCCGCAGCGGCAGAGACGAATCATAGTCTTATCCGGAGCTTCTATTGAATTTTCCGCAGAGGATAAACGGACGTGCAATTACATAGTTAGCAGCGGGTGATGATCAAGTGCTGACTTACCTTACTGTGCTTAAGGCTTATCCGGATTGGCGGAGCAGACACGGAGAGAAAGAAGCGGGGCAAAGAAGTAGCCGAAACATTGCATTTTGTGCATATCGCAAATCATCCGCTGGAGATGGCTGACGGGCATTAAAAAAAGAAAAAATAAAATAAAAAAATAAAAAATAAATGCACGCCATCGACAAAAAACGGCGTCCTCAAAACGTGGCCCCATCAATAAGGTAGCCCACCGACTTAAGCTTCAATAAATAGAAAGACACATGCCCTAGAAAATTTAGCTTCAAGCAGTGCAGTGACCTTGGGAATTCTTCACCGCCCTCGTGAGGGGCATTGCCGAGTCACTCCCGAACTGTGAATCCGAAGAACTTACTACTGAGCACGCGCTGTTCCAAATCCAAGTGCTCTGAGCGCACTGGTGCGAGCTCTTTTCTAATCCCCATCCGGCGTTGTCTTCAGTGGGGCCTGGGGTGATATTATTCTGATCTTCGTGCTCGTTGTATACACCCCGCGCGTGACTGGTCCAATATGTCGACCTCGGTCCCGGGAGAGAGAACCAGGACACCGACGGTGTTTGAACAGCAAAGAGAGGAGTTGGTGAGGGAGATCGCGGTGGTGAGTGGTTCCGTGTTCTCTGTTCCCTGTCTTTGGTGTCCTGTTTCTCGTTTATGTGGTGGCCCCATCTTGGCCATTGGTGAATCTCTCCGCTGCTGAGCACTATTCATTAGATCAGCTGGGCTTCGGAGATATATCAGCTCTTTTTTTCAGCCCATTTGGGATTATAATTCTCGTGAGATCGCCGGATGTGGCTTGATCAATTGGCTGCCGTGTACTCCATCCACATACTGACTGGCATCAATCTGTTCCCATCGTTCCCTATCTGGATAGGATCCCGTCAAGAAGACACTCAAGTCTCATCCTGCTTGAGATCTTATACACCCTCTCCAATCACCTTCCAGACACACGAGTCATTTTATGCTTTCCCCACACTCTATTAAGATTTCCCACATGCAACGCTGCCAAGTCTATAGCTGGCTTCTCCAGTTTTTGCTTTTTTCAAGATACCCAACAACCCAATCCATACTAACCCCATATTCATACAGGGCATGGAAGAAGTCCTCCAGAATATCAATCGACTGAACCGGAATTTGGAAGGAATAATTGCTGTAAGTACAACTTACATTCTGGTTGTATATTTTTCTTATCTTCTTCACGAAACCTCCATTATGCTCCTTCAGGATCTACTTAACACAGAAAGGAGAGATATACTAATTTCATATCTCAAGGTTGGAAACGAGTTCAGCTCTGTCGAGGCACTATGGTCACAATTTGAAAACTTCATGGGCCGAGATGGCGAGGAAGGAGCAGGCGAGGGCCATGCGGAAGGAGAGGCCCAGGATGATCATGACCAGCATGAGGATAGCCGAGTAGAAGAAAGCGGAAGAGGCAGTGCTACAGACATCAAGGACGAGCGATGAATTGCTAGCTGCTGTTCCATCACGATAGAGTTTGAGATCGCCGTCCATGCATACGATCCACTTTGTGTTTTGTTTGAGATACCATGTTGATATTTGAATTCGCCTTTTTTCCACTTATTTATTACCAGGCTCCTTCTGTTTTGATTCTTACAATTGGCTTTCTACCCAGTTCACCATGGGTTGAGGAAAGAAGATAGCGTGATTGCATCTATACATTTTGAGAAACTAAACGCTGCATTGACTCTAAATACATTCATGCGCCACTGAACGCCCATCCCATGCATTCATAATGCCCGCCAAGGTCCCAGATGCTGTGTGACGTGACAGACAGAATAGACGATAGAAAATGGGTTTTGCAAAAAGAAAAAGGGGGTGGGAAAAGAGAAATAATAACAAAAAGGGCTCGGGGAAGATAGTTGACAGGGGCAGCGAGGAACCATAGAAATGATACTTCGCTGGTCGTAATGTCCAAAGAAAAGAAAATGATAACATGACACAAGGAAAGGGTCTTGTGGGAGAATTGTCGGTGAGACGGTCCCTGGAGACATAAAGACATGATCCATAACTCAATAAGTTCGCATCAACATGGCACGTGTAAAGTTGGGGGGTGGATAAAGATGTATGTCGTAGCAACCAGGCTCAGTCGACATGATGGAAGAATGAAATAGCAGCAAAGAGGAACGGCGTGCCCCCTTTACAGAATCTTGCAAGTGCGCTTCTTGATCTTCTTCCTTCCACCACCGCTGCTGGCACCACCGCCACTGGGGCTTCCGTTACTGACATAGCCGCTGTTCCAGCCTTCCTCGACACCGACAGCGGTGTTGACGGCCAGTTGGAAGACTTCGTCCACACCACGCATTTCCTTACTGCTGCACTCCACGTATTTCGCTCCCATGCGTTGAGCGACCGCCCGGCCTTGCTCAGGCGTCACCGGGGTCAGACCCTGAGTTTTGAGGAGTTCGATACAGGTACGCTTGGTGCGGAGATCCGACTTGAGGCCGACAAGAATAAGGGGAGTGGTGGGGCAGAAATGGAGCACCTCGGGGTACCACTGGTTCCGAAACTTAGTTGTTGATCCCTACCATAGGACGCAGATAGCTAGGTAGCTATTAGCTATATACTAGGGTCTTGAACGTACCTTGTCCAAAACATTCTCAAGGGAGACCGGGCAGTCGATGGCGAAGCACACAAAAAGAAGGTCCGTTTCGGGATATGAGAGCGGACGCAATCGATCATACTCTTCCTGGCCTGCAGTATCCCAGAGCGCGAGTTCGACCGTCTTTCCAGAAGGACGGTGGGTGGTCTGTGTGATGTAGTTTTCGAAAACGGTGGGAACGTATTTCTGTTTTTTTGTTTATTAGCCAGGGATCTCCTATCGGGCCTGTCCAAGAAAGGCACATGGCTTACCTCTGGGAAATAGCCCTGCGAGTAGCTAATCAAGAGACATGTCTTTCCACAGCCTCCATCTCCCACCACTACAAACTTTTTCGAATACGATGGCGGCTGGGTGATATTGGTTGCTTCTGACATCCTCCCACTCGACACACTGGTGTTTGTGCTGACGGTGCCGTTGCTGACTCTGACGCTCTGGCTTCGAACACGGCTCTGATGAGGAGACATTGAGGGCGGAGGCGTTGCTACTGAATGGCGTCGAGCGCTGGCGCTGTAGCCGGAAGGGCGTTCGTCGTAGATATCGGCAGACATGTTGTCAAGTGCACGGTCTTCAGGTTGAAGAGGACGAAGAGAGAGAGAGAGAGAGAGAGGGTGGAGAATTCTTCAGCGAATCCCGTTGTCGTAAGCAACAGAACGAATTGTGGATTGTATGTATGTATTCCTGATCCAGCCGTGTCTCCTTTCTGGACTATCTCTCTGTGAGAACAATAAAGTGTTCCGCTCAAAGTGTGTGAAGAACAGGATCAAGTCGCAGGGGATGATTCTTTTTTGAAATCCTTTGTGGAGGTTTAAGATGATCTATGAAGGCTGATATTGAACAGGTGGTAGCTGTTTACCGCGGGAGGGCTGCCATGGCAACGTACGGGGTCGATCAGACGCACGGGCAGCACTTCACAGCTGGTCTGGGGTCTTCCATGATGCCATCGCGGCCCTTTCTGGCTTAATAGCAATTATTTTTAGATGGTAATCCAGGTTTCCTTGCCCTTTTGCTCGTCGCATGGGCCATTCTCGGCCATTTTCTCCCGAAATGTTGTCAAATCCTAAACCAACTTCCAGTGCTCAAGCCAGCTGGCGGGGGATCCCTCATCGATCTCAGATTCCCTCCCCTCAACAACACTTGGACCCGATGGGGTGTCTAATCCTTTCTGAGGAAATACTGCATAAGTTTGCGGTGGCCAAGTCTCACGGGTTTTACTATGTATGGACCTAGTTAAGGGCCACTTGCCATTTTGTCATTCCGACTGTGACCGTTTCCCGCAAACGCAACATTGCAAATCCACACCTTCTCTTCATCCTGAATTTCTTCGTCCAAACATGTCAGATTTAAGAAAGATAGGTACCTGAACGGGAGCGAACCTTGTATTTCTGGAACACTAGTGGGTTCTCTATTCTCCAACCAGGTTCGTCTCTTGGGGCTTTGATTCCTTGGACTGGTTACCAGGTCTCCAGTAGGGCGCGCTCAGATTAGTTTACGGAGTACTCCGTACTGTCTTGGCCAAGCAGTAGACTATGATTAGTTACTCTAAACTTCTAAAGCCACACAAACCAGGGCAAGCCAACTCGGGTCGGGCTGAGAATCGAGCGGTGGGACCCGATTGATGCTGTCATGGATCTGAACTTCTCTGAAGGATGTTTCCGGGAGACCTTCATCCAATGTTTTGGACCTTCTGATAAGAGCAGGACACAGGTCACCTCACCTCGTCGGTCATGTGATTCTCACCTCGCACGGACCCTTTTAGAGCCTACCTCACCTCGTTAAATTCTAACCCCACCTCGTCCCTTAGTTATCCCCTAGTTATAACTGTTATCCTCTCCGGGGGGAGACTATAGTTAAAGGTCTTACCTAGGAGGGGGTCGCTCCGGGTCCCCAGCTTATATTGGTCGGCGAGCTTATATCCTATAATCCTAAATATCCTTCCCGGGTTTTAATAGAGGATTTTAGCAGTCGCCCCACAGGGGACTACAACGTAAGAATTCTGCGGGCAGAAAGTCTCAATTGGGATGTCACATGATTTTAAATACAGTAACCTAAATACAGTATAAATATTAGTAAGCAACAATTTCAAACAAGTGTTATTTGTGTGATGTCGGGATGTGCCGCACTTTACCTAATTGGGGCGAGTTGGACTTGAGCCAGGTGGCTCGTAGTACGAGCCACCTGGATCGTAATACAAGACTAAAAAATACGCTAATCAGACCGCCTACCTTTTATAATTGCTAAGGGTGTCTCAATGAGGAAAATCCCTTATGTTGTAGTCCCCCGTGGGGCTTTGCTAAAATCCTCTAATACCCGCCCGGTGAGATCTTTACCGGGAATAAAACCCCTTTTAACTATTATACTTACCTGGAGCGAAGGGGGTTGCTCCGGGTAAGACCTTTAACTATACTTAACGGGAATAACCCCCGGGAACGGTACAGTGGCTGGTCATGTGACCTTACCCGGGAGGGATTATTATAACGAGGTGAGGTGGGCTTACAAGGCTTGGCGCTTTTTTGGTCCGTGCGAGGTGAGGATCACATGACCGACGAGGTGAGCTGACATGTAGTCACCTGATAAGAGTATGGTCTTTGTTGCACCGCCGTATCCAGTCTTGCGGCCCATTTCGCTGGGCGTCGGGACGGCAACAAAAGAGCACGTGGGAAATACCATATGGTACTTATACTCTAGATCGCCACACCAACACGCAGTACCGGGGACGGCGACTCAAGTAACTTACTCAATCTATCCAATTCCTCGTCATGGTTTTGATGTAAGAAATAATGAAGGTGCTCCAGTGTTTTCGTTTTTGCGCGGAGGAAACACCGTAACCAACTAGGTACTTAGGTACCAAGCTAATCCAAGACCAGTTAAGTAAGCATCGTGCCGCGGCCGCGGCTTACCGGTATTCGACCGCCCGTAAGATTCGAGGAGATCAGCATGCGGAGACCATAACTATCTCAGCCACAAATCTGCGTCGCACGGATATCGAAACCTCCTGACAACCTTTTGGGCCGACGTCCTGTCCCCCTCTAACTGATCATAACCTGTATTGGTGGAGCTGAATTGCAATTGAATGCGCTGAATTCGTCGGCTGTTTTTTCGGACACTGCCCTAGCTCTGCTCTTATGGAGAACAGAGGAAGGTACATCCTAGCCACAAACAGCACGACTGCTTAAGGATGGCTAAGGAGGGGAATGGACGGCCAGATGCTGGCCTGAGAAGTTTAAACCACTGTACGGACCTCTTTATTTGACTTCTGACCGCTGCAAATGTGGTTTTCCCCAGGAGGAATGCTTTGTCGCTAACTTCTGGTCCTTTTTTTCTCTTATGTGGATAGATCAGCATCGATTGCCAAAATGGCGGTACTGGACTCGTCAGAAACTCCTCCCTCTAGTTCGATACGAGACGCCGTATCTAGCATGGTTCCAGGAAAAGATGCGAACACCATCTCTGGACACGTGGTTCGCTATCACGGCAAATCTGGGAACGCATACTTTCTTCATGATCTTCTTGCCGATTCTCTTCTGGTGTGGATATACTAGTCTGGGTCGCGGGTAGGTTTACGGATCTCAACGGGGTGGTTTGGTTCAGTCTGGAGACAACTCAAGATGGATTGACCTGTCTTCTAGGATGGTGCATATACTGGCCTCTGGTGTCTTCTTCAGCGGGTTCATCAAGGACCTATTCTGCCTCCCCCGACCTCTCTCGCCTCCCTTGACGCGAATCACCATGTCCGGTTCCGCAGCTCTCGAATATGGCTTCCCGTCTACCCACTCGACAAATGCGGTCTCGGTTGCTGTCTATGCAATGTACCTCCTGAGATCGCCGGAAACTGTTATGTCCCCGTTGCTCAACACCGTTCTTCAAGGCACGCTATACCTCTACGTCTTCTCCATTGTTATCGGCCGCTTATACTGTGGAATGCATGGATTCTTTGATGTTGTTATCGGCTGCGCCCTTGGCGCCTTTATCGCCTTAGTGCAGTGCAGATATGGGGAAGATTTTGACGCAATGGTTGTGTCGGGGTCATTGAAGCAATTGCTTCTCATCATTTTCATTATCCTGGTTTTTGTCCGAATTCATCCAGAACCGGCGGATGATTGTCCATGTTTCGATGATAGCGTTGCTTTCGCGGGGGTTGCTGCTGGTTGTGAGGTTGCCTATTGGCACTACGCGCAGACGAGCTATTCATGGTCAGAGCCTATACCGGGTACTGTTCCTTATCAGCTTGAAAGGATGGGCTTATTCAAGACCATAGTCCGTCTCACTCTTGGTGTGCTTGCTATCTTCGCCTGGCGGGGGATCATGAAGCCGTCTCTTCTGCGAATTCTGCCACCGATCTTCCGAGGATTGGAAAAACTGGGTCTGATTCTTCCCAGAAGATTTTTCACGAGAGCATCGTAAGTCCGCAACAGAGGGTATGTTCGTGTGTGCCATGCTGACATCAACTAAAGGGAATATAAGAAGGTCCCCGGCCACTTGAAGGATGACGATGTGCTTCCCAGGATTTCAGACATCCCAACAATACTCACTTCTATTCGACACCCTAGACGCAGGGCCGTGTCTGTTGGCCCTCAATCCGAGGCTGATGCATACGAGACATTAGCGTACCGGGAGAAGCGTCGCCGGGAGAGCGTGTCTTCTGGCCAGCCCGGGACCCCCAGTGTTAGCAGGGGATCACCGATGACTCCATTGTCTGATGGCGATCAGAAACCAGGCTTGGCCTCAGTAGGTGAGGGATCTGGCCTTACTCAACGGAAACAAACCAAGCTGGAGGAATACGAGAACATGATGGGCACGGGAACCCCACGCTACAGCCCCGAAGTCGTTGCCACTGGCGAGCGGAGTTCTGTCGTTGCAACCACCCCGTCTAACCCTGCTGAGTATGGTCCAGAGGGTCCTAATGAGGAGGAAATGTTCTCACGGCTATTGAAACCTCGGGTACGGTATGACGTGGAGGTGGTCACTAAGCTTATTGTATACTCCGGTAAGTGATCCTTAGTCCCGCCTCCCCCCCTTGCCCTCGCTATCTTTTGTCTAGTACTGACGGGCGAGACTAGGAATTGCATGGCTGGTGTTGGAAGGCTGTCCTATCCTGTTTGAAATTATAGGACTTGGAGGAAGGGACTTGCAGTGAAGTGATGACGATGCAGCTGGTCTATGGCCTCAGCAGGCTGGGTCAGAGATCTCGAGCCCATGACCTTGGGGATGCGGCACGGACTGTTCATTTTCTTGTATTATATTATCATGGAATCGGTATCTGACTTTCATGAGATTAGATCTTCCTTCCTGTTTTTGGGATGTGGTCTAAGTGTATGACGTCTTCTAGAATGATTACTTTTGTCTGTATCTCGATTTTGTACTTCTCATGTTTCTAATGCGCCCGGAGCATGTCCTGGGATTGAAATTTCCGATGAATTCGCATTTTCCCCTCGATTCACCCAAAATCAAGTTTCACGGTATCAAGAAGGGAATTCCCGTAACCTGGGGATTTCCTGCAAATGGAACTCCCTCCGTGCTCTACTTGTAGCATACTAGCCTATCAGTAACTGTTTAGTCAACGTGGCAGCATCTGGCACGAGCTTTTGGGCGGGAAATCCCGACCGATTGCCGCGTTTCTTTGTCATCACCTGTGGCCAATCACTGCCAGTGACCACAGCCAGCCGCCAGCCTCCACGTGACCGACAAGCGCAGCCGCCCCCCCGGCTTCACCTCACTTTAAATCACTTCGCGGTTCAGCGGCGCTTGCTGGCCTGTCTTTCCACCCAAACGTCCCCGACGCGACCCGCGCCGCAGCTCAGGTAGCTTCCCTTAGCTTTCCCCAGCTGGAGGTACTTTTCTGGCAGCACCCTGCCGGTCTATCTAGTTGTCTCCCACGACAAAACAACAATCTCAATGATGCTCTCCTCGACGGCATCTGACATGTTGCTCTGGTACGTATGGCATTGTGTTCCTCCCCCTCGTCCTCCTCCTCGTCCTCCCCCTCCTGCCCCCCTCTTTATTCTCCTGCTCTTCCTCTTCGTCCTCTTCGTCTTTCTTCTGTAGAGAACTTCGTCTTCATCATCTCCTACATCTGCAACATCTTCAAATTCTGCTTTGAAGACTGCTCGCTTCTCTCTCCTCTTCTCGTCGTGCTACTACTTCTGTAGAGACCTTCGTCTTCTACACCTGCTACATCTGTTTCTGGCAGACACCTCATTTCTCTTCACTTGTTGTCTTGCTACTGCTTCTGCAAAGACATTTATCTTCTTCATCTGCTACATCTGTCTCTGGAAGACGTCTCCGTCCTACACAAATTCTCCTGTAAAGAACTTCATCTTCTACATCTACCACATCTACCACATCTGCTACATTTGTCTCTGGAGAACTGCTCCTTTCCACAAATCTTCCGTAAACATGGAGAGATATTGCTACCCAGAGAAATATGGCATGAAGCCTAAGAGCACCGCCATGCCTACTATTGACGAAAATACTCACATGGAGGATGCACCAGATTCCAACCCATACTCAGACTCAGACTCAGACTGCGACTTCGAACTTGACGAACTTGACCCACAGACTGTGGCCACCCTTGAGGCAGAATTTGGCCCAGGAGCTGCACAGCAAGACTTTGGACTTGATCCTGAATTCGCAGCAGTACTTGACGCTGAATTTGGTGAAAGACCTAACGCGAAGCTCGGCCAAGAATTTGACTCAGAACTTCATTCAGTCCGCGACTCAGAATCTAACGTTGAAGTTGAGTCCGAAGTCGAGTCCGAAGTTGACTCAGTCCGCGACTCAGTCCGCTACTCAGAACCTCACATTGGCGTCCACTCTGGAGTTGACTCAGAACGTGACATTGAAGTTGAGTCTGAAGAGGACTCAGAACGTCACTCCGAAGTTGACGCACGCTTCAATTCTGCGCTCAGATCTGATCCTAACCCAAAGGTCGATCATGATACGGAGAAGCCACCCGGAAAAAGAGATTACCCAAAGTGTGAGCGACCACCGCTTTCTCCACCAGAACCTCTCAAAGTTAGTAAAGTGAGAATCGATGACAGGGGGCTTTTCAAGCGTTACACTGGCATGAGTCTTCCTGAACCTGGACGCGTTCGTGTTTCCGTCTACGGACGACCCAAGCTAGTTCCTCGATCAGTCAACCCAAAGAAGAGGTCTCCTCCCCCTAAAGAGCCTAAGAATAGACCTCTGACGGGCGTGGCGGCTTCTAAATACGCGATGCCAGGATATCGGCCGAGTCCAATCTGGAAGAAGCCAGATGGACCTACTTACAGGACCTACAATACTCGACCTTACCTTCGTGGCCGATATGTTTGCGATGAAGATCGTGACCCACTGGACGTCGAAGCTGACGAACGCAAACGTCGAGCTGATCACCTCGAATCTTTCCGTGAACAGGATCAGTCTGTTCCGGGCGGTTGGCCTGATGACGATAGAATGGAGATCACCAGGGAAATCAATCTCGATAGGGTGCCCCGGCAAATCGCAGATGAGCTGAGGAACATGCCTCATTACGAGCCTTGTACCATCAATGATGAAGGCGCCAACTCGAAAGACCAAATTGCATTGATGTCTGGTGCTTTGAACACGAGACCACGCGTTTCTGAACACGGCATCACCATTCCTTTACATTCTGTCCGAGATTCTTCCAACGACGGTAAAAAGCAAGAGCTCGTGGCACACAATGGGGACTATGTCACCTTTTTCTGCGACAAGGATTGGTTGTCATGTGCGCGTCAAGTCAAGGTGGCTTTCCCTGGTGCTCGTCGAGTCGGTATCGTCGCGATGGAATTTGTTCAAGGCGCCGTCAACCTGGGCGACACGTTCAAACGGCGAGCGCTTAGTCTCTTTGAGAGACGCCACACTGCGGAAGAGAGAGACCGTACAAAGAACGGTCGCCTGCGTAGGGGATCAAGAGGACGACAAACCGCGCGAGACAGAGACCGGCAGAGAAGACGATCGTGGAATTCGTCCAGACCGACCACACCTGAAAAGTACAACTCATCTACTGCCTCGTATTCATCCCTTCCTTCTGGATACCACTATTCGAATTCTGCTTTGACTCTCCCACCACCTGAGACACCGACCGCTGGTCTGCTCTCCTCCCTGAACTATCAGACTTCTAACATGTCTCAACCTCATTTTCACAGTTCCGGGCCATCTTCCTATCTTGAGACTCCAGAATCCCCTGAAATCGAAATGTCAGACAGCTCCGGAAATGAACTAGACAGTTCCGAGATCGAAATGTTAGACAGCTCCGACGAGAATGCCGACATTCATGGATACTCCTCTTCTCTACCGCATACTTCTCCCTTCGCAAGCACATCTTCGGCGAAAGTTCATACGTCGTCTCAATTTGAGATGTCGGATACAGGAATGCCCGGGCGATCTTCTTCATCAGTACCCTTTCAACACACAACCACATCTGCTCCGCGGAATTCCGCACACGCCAAATCCTCAACTGTTCTCACCTACGGGCAAGCCGTTCGGCGAGCTATGATCACTCGGCCCATATCTGCGATAGCAAAATCATTGACACTGGCATCTGTGTACAAGCTGGGTCGCGCTGTCGCTCATGTCACTGGCCGTTCTAGGGCTAAACCCTCTGGCATCACGAAGCCAGTTAGACGTGGTCGCCATACACGTCGTACAAAGGAAGATCTCAAAAAGAAGCTTGAGCGCTTTCCGAACGAATTTGTTGTTCCTTGGTTTCGCCCCCCTAAACCGTCAACACCCTTAGCTCAGCCGTCTGTATCAGCTCAGCCATCCACACCAGCACAGCCATCAAAGGGAGCACCTGAGGCACTTTTTTCACACAAACGGAAAGCGGATGGGCAGATCGTCTCCACACCACGTCTTCCAACTACTGAAACCTCAGAAACTCATCCCGTTCCACCAACTACTTCTCCTATACCACAGCCAGCTCAACCTAAATCTGCCACGAGGCCGCCTAGGAAGATCGGACCTATTCTTGACGTTGGACCACTGCCGGGACTTGAAGAGAGAAGGCGAGAAAGACAGCGTCGGATCGCTGAGGGCGATCGGAAGATTGGACCTGTGCGTGACCTTGAAGGACCACTGCCAGGACTTGCCGAGAGAAGGCTCGAACGACAGCGTCGGTTCGCGGAGGGCTATCAGACGATCGAACCTGACCTTAACGGTGAACTGCTTCCAGGATTTACTACGAGAAGGCTTGAACGGCAGCGTCATATCATGGACGGCGATCAGAACAAAAAGCTAGCGGCCTTGTTGTATCCAGAGTTGGTACCTCTTCCCGACGATGGCGATAGTGAAAAAGGACCAGAAGACTATCCTCTCCCAGAAGACGGCGACGACGAGAAAGGTCCCGAAGACTACCCTCTCCCTGAAGATGAGGACGAAGAACTGCGGCCAGAGTACATCCCTCTTCCAGAGCGCTTAGTGGAGCCAGAGCCTACCGCTGCTGGTCCAGCCCCTTGGCTGCAATCCGATGTCCCTTTTGGGAAGCCTGTCTCCGCTGTTCGCATCTTCAATCCGGAGGCAGTCGAACGAGAACCGACCCGCGAGGAATCCTCCTACGCCACCGTCTGGCGAGACGTCGAGGAACCCGAGGCGCAACGTCAACCTCCAGCTCGGATTTGGCCTGAGGGGCCAGCTGTTCGGCCACTCCCAGCTCAGTGGAAAGATATACTCGCAACCAGCATGGCCAAGAGGGACGACGAGCCTCTGGCAACGACTTTGCGAGGAGCCAAATTGACAAAGATGGATCTCATGACCTGCTACAAACCAATGGCATGGTTGAACGACGAGATCATCAATGGCTACCTCGAATTGATCGTTGCCTACCTCCGACGAATCTCAGGCAATACGGGGCGGAACGAAAAGCCCAAGTACCATGCCTTCAGCACCTTCTTCTTCTCCAATCTCCGTCAAAAGGGCTACGCTGGCGTCGCAAAATGGGCCACGCGTGCCAAGATTGGAGGAGAAGGCCTCCTCAATGTGGACACGGTCTTCATCCCGGTCCACAACAGTGCTCACTGGACCTTAATGGTCGTCAAGCCGTCCGCCCGGACGATTGAGCACTTCGACTCACTGGGCTCCCTGTCGCCCGCCTACGTCGCCCTAGCCAAGGGCTGGCTGCGTGGTGAGCTGGGACAACTTTACGTGGACGAGGAGTGGAACGTCCTCCCGTCCATCTCCCCGCAGCAAGACAATGGCAGCGACTGTGGGGTCTTTCTCCTATCCACGGCCAAGGCAGTGGCTGTGGGCCTCGAGCCCCTGTCCTACGGGGCAGCCGACATCCCTCTGCTTCGACAGAAGATCGTTGCAGAGTTGATGCGCGGCGGGCTCGAGGGGGAGTTTGACCCTGCAGGGGAGTCCGGTGAGTTGCGGCTGTAAAGCCGGGGGAGGTTGGTGCTGGAGGCAGTTGGGACGGGGTTTGGTTTTCTTTTCTTTTGTTTTGTTTTGTTTTGTTTTGTTTTGTTTTGTTTGTCGTTGTTCTTGTTTTTTAGTTTGAATTATGTCGGAACGGAGGGCATCAGACGGTCTTTTTGTACTTTGGGCGTTCTGTTTTCATTAATTTCCTTGCATGTATGTGGATCTGTGTATTAGTGGTGGTGTGAAGGGGCCTTTTTCGGAAGGCACCTCCATTTCTGCTATATGCAGCTCCCTCGTTGTTCTGTATGTAGTCTTGGTGGCCCTGTGTGGCTTTAAAGCCCCGCCACCGTCCATTCCTTTTACGTTTGTTGTTTCTTTTCCTTCTGGCGACTTTCATTGCATGTAATGGACCTGCACTGTTGTTGGGCAATGCGATGGGACTAGACTTCGGTCAGTCCCTCCATTGTCCCGGCTTTGCAGCAGCCAACCTTTGTTACATGTAAGTAGTCGTGGTGGTGTCTATATCCACTGTCCGTTTGTTTTGTTCATCGTCTGGTGTCCTCCGTTCCAGAGTCCTGTACATTGTTTTGTTTTCTTGTGTGTTTCTTCGCGGTTGGTTTTTACTTCCCTGCTGACTATTCTGTTCTTTTCTCCCTGTCCTGTCCTGGTGCTGTCCGGCCGTGGTGTTCTATTTTTTTCTCTACGGGTTGATACCCCGTCAGTTGAGCTTGGGCTCCTGACTGTTCACGTTGACATAAACAAAGCGAAGAGAGTTTGGGCGTTCCGGGTGATTGTTTTTGTTCTTCGGTACTTTTTTCGGTTCTTTCTCAGTAATTTTACTTTTCCCTGGGGGGCCTGTTTTGCTTTTTTGTCCTGCCTCTTGAAGCATGTACCCCGATAGGGGACCGTGGTGCCTTGAAGCCCACTGATACGAATCACAGAGAAAATTCCAGAAAGCATTCTCTTAGTTCCTTGTAGAATAGATGATCTCTACGATATGTAATGGAGATAATGAAGGAAGTTATTACTTTAGCGGAACATATCCATTGCTAGCGACGTATTGCAAGCCTCGAACTCCTCATTTTATTGCGTGTTATGGTTGTTAGGTCATGATGAGAATGACTACGATCTTGCTAAGTGCTCGCGAAGATATTTTCGGTGGTAGAATTAATGCAAGCTCAGAACATTCTGTTTCTAGCAAGTTGATGTAAATCAAGGCTAATTCGTATAGTGCTTTTTTTACCAAGCTAATAAGCTGCCTAGGCAGAATAGTCATATACAACCTCCGGGAATCCTTTCTGCTGGACATCGTCGATCCGACAAGCCACTCTGCATCCTTTGTGAATTTCAATTCCCTCGTTTCCGTCAGACTTGAGCAACGACTCTTCCGGATCTTCCTCCCTGACAAACTCATTCGCCATGTTTGCACGCAAGATGTGATTCGGGTGTCTGCGGTTGGGCAATTCATCAGAAATATCAGCACCGTCCGTGGTGGCATTGTAGGCGATTTCAATCGATTCGATACCCATATAGACGCTGTCTCCCACAGACATGTTGCCAGTCCAATTTCCGCCATCACTCCAGAGATTGATCACTAACATGCTGGGATTGTAGGGAACGGAGTATGTCTTTCTCTCCTGGATGATGCCATCTACCCACCAGCGGGAATTACTCGAGAACCAATCGAGACGATGCGTTGCCCACGAGGTCCAGCGAACGGGAAGATCTACTACGGTACTCGCACCTGGGATCATCTCATCCGTGATGGGGTCGTAGTCAGGCTGATTGGCGTAATGGATGCGATAAGGAGGATCTGAAGTGAGGATTTCGATATCCGACTCGCTTGTCGTGGAATGGTACGTGAATATCCCCGCACATGCACCGCTAGGAGGACTCGCTGACACTTTTGGTTCCACAGATACATCCGGATCTTCGTCTTCTTGATTGCTGACGGATTTTCCCCAAATTGGGGGTTGAAGAATGCCATCTCCAGCAAACAGACGCAGTCGCACACGAACAGAGCAGTGCAAGATATTCCGCAACCGAGTCTCTATCTCCGCCGTAGAAGAATAGTCATCTAGCCTGGTCGTCCGAAACACCAGATTCGTTGCATCCTCATGCCACGGATCATTCGTGATGAAAACATTCCGCTCCGAATTAACAATAGGTACTGGAAAGAGACTTGAACCTTCCCGACTCCAACTCTGAACGGTCCATTCGTCCGCGAACTTTGTGTCTCTCAACAGAATTGGCCTTTTCAGCAAAGGTCCATTAGCTTCGTTATACTTGGCGGCACCAGCATTGTTTCCTAACGGAGAGAATTGGTATTCTTTAGCCAACTCAGGCTCCGGAGGCACGTAGCGAAAGTCCCAGAAACGGTAGTTTTGGAAGTATCCTGGTTCTGGTCCGGAGACGATATAGCATTCGCAGCTTGGATGGTTTGCGTGCACTTGCGATAGGATCGTCAGTACGATGGTCCATAGAGTAGATGAGATTGGGAAATGAGGAATCATGGTTTCTTTTCCGAAATGATAATGCAATGTATCTTGATCATGCAGGTTTTAATGTCTCTGTGCGTGGCCTGGGGAAGTAAGTCTCTATATTGAAAATATTATTATGGAGGAACTGGTTTACGAGAAATGCAAGAGCAGACAGGTCCCAGGGGCCTGTATGGCAAGAACGTTCTGTACTGTCTGTCCAACGCGACCTTTATATTGCCTTCCTCTATTATTTGTATAGAAGTATAATGGACTAAACAGTAATTTCTGCATTCTCATATCTCCGCAGATAGTAATACCCATCTAATATAAATGAATAGATAATCCTGGCTGACGAGATGTAATAATATTACTAGACTAGCTGGTGGTTGATTAATTACTGCTAGTGTGATGGTCGCCACGCAGGGCTTGGCGTCGTGTGACGGAGACGGGAGGAGAAAGCCAGAAAAGGAAGTTCTCCTCTCACGGTCGCAGCGTCAGCCTCCCGTCGCCCACCTCCTCGAGCCAGTTTCACTCTCTGCCTTCAGTCTCTTCATCACCATCATCGCCCTTACCATCTCCACCGCCTTCACTGAAGCCTTCTCCATCGCTGCTATGGATTCTATACGCGTCTAGACGGGTTTACACACACACAGACACACTCACACGGCCCAATATTCTCCCGTCTACACGCCAGTCCGTCTCCATGACCACCACTATCGAGAGAAGCCTCTCGCGGGCTTCCAGCGGCTCGATGACTATGTCTAGTCCCAGACTTTCGATGAAAAGAGAGTCCACACCACCGACCGTCTCCGATCCTGCTCTTCTACATCTCCATGACCGCATCAACCATTTGGATTCTCGCGTGTCCGACCTTCGTTCCAGCGTCTTGACTAAGGATAACTACGTCGATCGTCGGAACCGTGAGGACGACTACATCCGTCGCGAATTTGAAGCACAACGCACTATCTCCAGCCGCATCGACATCAATGTGGCTCTTCTGAGGACCGACGTCGATCAACTTCGGTCGGGAATCACACAGCTGAAATCCAACATTGGCCAGCTCGGAACCGATACTATCTTCCTTCGCAACGATGTCGACCGTCTTCAGAAGAATGTCGACCAGGTGCAGATTGATCTTGAGCAGCTTCAGACTGATGTCTGTGGCTGCCAAGTCGAGATCAGCAAACTCCATACCGCGGTCAGCAACCTTCGCACCGATTTGATGAGCTTGCAGCGTGAGACGTCACATCATTTCGGTGCCGTCTTCAAACGCTTTTCGATGATGGAGTCGCACATGAAGCACATGGAACGTGTCCGCTTCAACTCGCTTGCTCACACTATCCATGCTCCGATAACACCTGTACCCGTGCTCGAAGAGGACGGTTCCCTTCGCTACCCAGAGTATTTCCCACGAACCGTCTGGCGCTTTTGGTGTCTGAAGAAAAGAAGTCGCAGTGAGTAATACTTACTGATAATTTACCCAGACGATCCTAACAAAAACCTCTTTTCCAGTTCATCGGCTGGCCCAATTAGCCGAATTTTACCAACTGGAAGGCTATCATTACTGGGGCCGAATGCAGCCCTCCGATGACCTTCTCCCAAACGACAGCGATTCGAGCGATTCGAGTGAGAATCCCCTTAATCTGACCCGTGCAGAAGCGGCGAGACTCTATCCGGAAGCGTGTCACCAAGCTCTCGCTGCGACTCTTGGTCTTGTCTACTACAAGATTCGAAATGAAGTCGGCGATGGCCCCGGTAGCCGTATCACTGCGCGCCCTCCAAAGCGTCAGCAGGAGGAAGTGTCTGTCTCTTCCAGCTCGAAGCAGAAGCCAGCCAAAATCGCTCGAATTCCCATCACTACTTTACCCTCAGCCTCAGCTTTGCATCGACTGGTCACTGGACCTTCGATAGAGTCGAAGTCGGTGAAGTCGGAAGAGATGGATCAACTTGGTTGGAACGCTCATTCGTCTGATATCTCGGATGAGACTATGAGCAAGCTCAAGGGAATTGTTACGGTTGATGAGTTCCAGACGCTTCTCCGTGCCCTTGAACGTGGTCGTGTCAAGCTGAAGCCTAGCCGCTCTGAGCGCTCGAATCTGTCGCCTACTAGCTCCAAGCGAAGCCACCGAAATGGCGAAACCCAAACGGATGTTGCTCAAGAGGTTGCCCAGGATGATGAAGTACGGACGCAGCCGGCTACAGTATCCACTGAGCTTCTCTCCCCCGTTGCCGGCAGAGAGGATGCTCGCGATCTTCCAGACACTGCTTCCGAGAGCAGCAGCGTCATAACTTGAGGTTTCAGTGGTTGGTTAGATCGATTCAGATCTAATCTGAGCCTTCTTGACTTTACCAACTCGAGGAGTTGAATCCTGGAAACCGGGATTTCTCCTACTTGATTGCCATACTGTTGCCGTGCACAGCGATGTCTCTCTAAGCGGCTCCACCGACGGTTTCAGAGCGCCATGATATGACAGTATGCTGTCAACAGGCGGTTCTAGACGAGGTCCACTCCACTTTCGGATGTGTTGTATCAGTGATGCCTTATCACTGAACAATATCCGCATCCCATCCAACAATGGATGGAAGGCGTGCCGCCGATAATTGTCACTTCATGAGCCTCAGGGCTTCCCTGGTTCTGGACGAAGTGCGCATACTACGGCGTGCATAACCGGAAATTCCTATATTCCTCTGCAACCGCAAGGCTGCATATCTAAATAAGCTTGATGCTTTGTTTTTTGGGTTCCCAGGATGAATATATCGCTGCATTTTTGAGTTTGGTTGTACGGCGTTGTGTTCGGTATTGCGATTCTTAGATACCCTGCTGGAGTTGGCGTTGCTTGACATTTTGATATATAGTTGTCCCTTGGGTGATGCATATTTTGTTCACTGAAGAATAACACAGGAACCCTGATCGACTACCAGATTACCGGGGTTGCGCTTCTTACCATATCTCTTCGATTTCCACGAGCTGAGTAGCTGCTCCGCGATGCCCTTCCTGCCATAGAGCTACAAGGCCGGGACACTGGCGCGTGTGCGGCCAGGTGTGACCAGCGAAAGTAAATGAGTACACCGGAGTCCCTTCTTGCAGGTAATGATGTTGACGTAAAGGTCCACGATGCTACCCGTCCGCCACAATGCCCACGTATCTGACCTGCGTGACCTCGACAATCCAATGTCCTAGATGTCGCTGTTACGGTAACTCGACTCTCTTACCGAAGAAATGGCAATATGGACCGTATAAGAGCCTGACCAGTCTCTCGTCTGGCAGCCGATAGGGCACTACACGTATTGGCCAGAGACTGGTGGTGTATCGGTCCCATACTGACAAATGATTCGCGAGAGCTGCCAAATGATGTCTTGGTAGTAGTAGTCCCGTCCGGAATTGTTGAGAATCGAACCGTATAAGCCATTGCTAGACACTAACTCCATAGATGCGAACTATATACTAACTGTCTTCCGCTCGAAAGAACAGCAGGAAATCATGCCTGTGCGAGATCTTGCTGCAAAACCTCAAGTACCTTTTTCTCATCTACATCAGGCAGACCGGTCATCGTGGATTCGTTTACTGCCCCTTCCTCCTCACTCTCTTCTCTGGGCTTTGATTCTTCTTCCGGTGGTGGTCCGTAAATGCGCAGGTAATCCTCCTCCAACAGATACTGACAGTCTATCACTTCTTCCTCCTTTTCCTTTCGTGATTGTGAGAGGTCCTGTGGTGATTGTGGAAGGACAAAGACGGTGGGAAATTCGAGAACGACTCGATCGCGGAGAGAGGCCGTAAAAGTATTGCTAGGACGGAGAGGTATGAGGACGGTTTGTTTTGTAGCGGTTCGTGGTCGGTGGAGGTAGAAGTAGAGACCCCGATGGACAGCTGGAGTCGACGATGATTGTGGTCGATCTTGAGGCCCAGATTCAGGCTGTGATGTTTCTGCTGCTGGGATTCCGGGTGTCTCTGCGTCTGGCGGCGCTGGAGCTCGGGCGTCGCCGTTGTCGATATTATGGCTCGCTTCTTCGTCCTTCTCCTGCCCCCGGCGTGTCTCGGGGTTGCCTTCCTGAGCTGTTAGTGTTGTAGGAGTTGTTGAATCGGTACTCTGCGCGCTCCGGGTCTGCTTTTCTTCTTTGGGAGGAGGATATATCCGATCGTAGGCTTCAGCGATGGTGCATGTCTCGCTGCAATTCCTCCTCGTTCTCTGACCATCCGGGGCTACCCATTCCACTGTCCAGCTAAGGCATTTGTGTCTGTAAGTAAGTTAGTACCAAGCTCGACCGCTGTCGCCCCCCCAAGACCTGCAAGGACATACTTCAGGTGCCACCGCGACGTATTCTCCTTATTCCTAGTCATGCCCCTAGGGGCCCTCACCACCCTAACACCACTGGCCTCTGCACCCCGTAAGAAGCCCGCCTCGCCCTTGACCAGTGTCTCTCTCTTCCTCTTCTTCCCAGCCCCCGGCGCAGCCCCGACCCCTTCTTCATCTGCATTCAGAGCCAGCTCCTCTTCACTGGGGAGCGTAACACCACGACGCTCAACTTCCCTCTCAGCTCGCTCCAAGCTCCGCTCGATGCCAGTAATGAAGTTAAAGTCGCGATCAAAGGCAGTCGGGTTCGCCAGTTCGTGGCGCTTCAGGTATGCGGCGGGATCGCGCACCCCAGAGCATTGCGACCAGAGCTTGTGGCGGCGGGTGCAGGGGAGGGAGCAGGTGCGGATCGAGCACCGGGGGCAGCGATATTTAGGCGCGTTGATGTGACTATGGAATGGAGTGGTAAATTAGTTTCTCGTTCGTTTCATTCGTTCAGCAACAATAGAAGATGGAATGGGCTATAATCAGACTTACCATATCGTACACAGCTCACTCAAGAGCGCATCTTCGCCACCGGCCGAGCCTGACATGCCGGCCTATAGAGATCAGATTGACAATTGAATCAAAGTCTGTCTAAGCTTGTATTCGACGTGTATAGTAGAAGAACGAAGCGATGGCGGTCATCATCTCTGGCAGGAAAAATAGCCGGACAAAAGCTCGGGCCGGCAAGGTCTTTTTGCCTCTGCCTTATCGATAAGCTGAGCTCCTTGTGGGGGAGCCCATCGCTTTTCAATCTTTGGGTCGGCTCCATACTTAGAAGAAAAGCATCTATGTATCTACTCAAGAATACTTCTGTGCCAGTTGATACCTCCCGTCGATAGTTCGCCTTCACATATATATCCACCGGGGTCAGTTGGGGCTGGAATCTGCGTGCAACGGTTCAGGTGTACAGAAGTTGCTGAGGGGGAACGATTTTGTATGGGAAAATCGCAACATGCCATTTTCCCCATACAATGTGGGCCAGTTTTTTTGGGCGTCACCACAACGTTAGGTAGAGTGCTTGTGCGCGGGCCTTTAAGCTTAAGCCTTTTGGATGTATTCTTGGATACGTATAGAAAGAAGCGGGAGTTTAATATTTTCTATATATGTTTCTAGGAATAAATAGCTTTTTATGGATAATAGCATTTGGAAAGCACTTCATCGCGTATCCAATTAGTCAGAACAAAATGATTGGCTTTGTAACGACCAAATGGGAATATGGCTATATTCCAGGCCCACAATCTAAGATTTCTTCCGTTCAGACTCTACAGATATCAATAACCTCGAGGATCGGCTGGGCCTATACCAAGCAGTCAGGCTTTCTCCAGCGGAAGTGCAACAAAACATCGCGCCAGGCGGGTGAATTATATGAGACGCAGGCTCCAGAACTGAAATGCCTGAGCTACGAGGAATATTTGCTGATCGTGGAACAACTTTTTGCAAATAGGATGGGCTGGACTTGCGGAGAGAATATGGATCAAATATGTGGAAAGGCCAGGGAGAGCTTGTAGTTGTAGGTTGCGGGTGACATTGCTAGATCTCGTTGCAGTACGTATTCAGAAATACGCATCGCCAGTTGAAATATACCGATCTTACTGACTCTATTATCCTATTTTCCAGGTGAGATCAATCCATGAGAAGTGCATTGGCCTGATGAGGGCTATGATCACATCACGTGATCTAATTACATAAGCGCACAAGAAGCGATCGATATTTGCTCGATTCTATCCAACTTCACTGCGACTCAGCGACAACAGACAAACGCGGACCACCAAAATGCCTACCCGTTTGACCAAGACCAGGAAGCAGTAAGTGCCTCCATCTCGATATCTATTTTCCACAGTACTGACGAAATCAGCCGTGGCCATGTCTCTGCCGGACACGGTCGTATTGGCAAGCACCGCAAGCACCCCGGTGGTCGCGGTATGGCCGGTGGTCAGCACCACCACCGAACCAACTTGGACAAGTACCACCCTGGTTACTTCGGTAAAGTGAGTAAAGAGCGGTCGCGTACCTTCAGGATCTTTTACTGACTCAAGCAGGTTGGTATGAGACGCTTCCACCTCCTCCGCAACCACCTGTGGAAGCCAGTCCTCAACCTCGACAAGGTGAGCAATTCCGCATGGTACCCCATTTTGATACTCGTCGCTAATGCAATCGTTTCCAGCTCTGGTCTATCGTTCCTGAGGAGATCCGCGAAAAGTACCTGGCCGAGAACAACACCGCCCAGGACACTGCCCCCGTCATCGACCTTCTCGCCCTTGGCTATTCCAAGCTTCTGGGCAAGGGCCGTCTGCCCGAGATCCCCGTTGTTGTGAAGGCTCGCTACGTCAGCCGTGAGGCTGAGCGTAAGATCAAGGAAGCTGGTGGTAGCATCCAGCTTGTGGCATAAGCCCTGATCGAAACCGACAAAAAGGAAATAACGGAAGGGAGGAACTCATGATGGACGACTCGCTCCAGTGATGGAGCGAGTTACTTGCCGGCGAGCAAGTCAGCGTGGTGGCTGGGTAATGGTCAATTTGGAGTAGCCTGCAGCTATAAGAAATTGATTCATTACCGAACAGACCAATGCCTTTCGGGCATTCTCTTTTCTTTCCTCATGGGAGGGGTTGCCGACCAGGCACCATTCTGTATGCTGTACGGATGATAAGAGGGATCGTCGTAGTGGTCATCGTGCTGTCCATACCATATGGTTCAGGCCATGTGGTTCAGGTAAGTGGCATGCGTAGTTGACCGGTAGGTGCCCTTGTGTAGTTGCTGTAGGCCCTTGGCGACCATTCGTAGTGAAGGACGGCTTTCGTAATCCATGGAGTCATTCTGCTTGAACATGGTGGTCTCTACTGAGGTAAAGCTTTGTTGAAGTCTCAAGGGGTATGTTTGTAAACGAGTAACTTCGAGCCTACCCCGGCGTTCCACCAACGGGGACAATAATATGTTTGCAGAATGCACTAACTGATACATGCCAAAATGGCGATAATCTTATAAAATCATGCTCACTACATACAATAAACCCGTGGCTTCTTAGGGTATAGGTAAAAGATAAGTACTGTTTCTTGATTCTTGCTGCACTGAGCTAGATTCTGCGAATGTTCAATTCAGCTCACATAAAAAAAGATAGTAGACCATCTCACGAAGCCATAAGTAGGCTGATTGAGTCTCTCAATAGGCCAGCAGCGGGAGTCAGGCTTCAAGACAGCATATTCCTCATACTGGCCATATCTCAACGTTGCATTCTTTACTAGGAGGGACTGTCTGGGTCTGCAGGAGTCATCTCTCCGATACTATCGGTTTACTGTGATACGGTTCTAGAATCAGATTCAGACATTCGACTAACAGGACAGATTAGCTCAGAAATATGGCCGCCGTGCCATGTTCTAGTATGCTTCATCCAAGGATGTGAAACAGATGATAACATGGCATAAATATGTATTTACGCTACAAGGATAGTAAGAGGAGGATTCCTTCACAGCCCAGAGGAGATATATAGAACAATAGCACAGTAATACCGACACAAAATATAGTTATCGGATATTCGTCCCCCACTAGGCGCAAGGAGATCGAGTTTCATCTTTGTCCTCAGAATTCGCAATGTATGCCGCAATGAATGGCATGTCTCCGTCTTCCTCAATTGGGAGGTGATTTAGGAAGTTTCTTAGGATTTTAACCGTAGCAACACTGTGAGTGAAATCGGAGAGATTTGTTTAATCCGATGTAGACTTTCGATGCCTGACTTTGCTTTGGACAATTCAGCGCTTATTATAGAAACTGATAGCGCAGTGATAGATATCTGGTGAGTGCTTGCGCAGTTCAGCAGCTGGAGACCGCTGCGATAGACCCAGATCAGAATAGCATCCGTGATCGCTCTAGCTGTTTCATTCGAGTGCTTGATATGCCACCCCTTGAAAGAGGAAATTATATTTCGAGGACACAATGTCTATTGTGCAGACAATTAGTTGAAGCTAGATTTCTCTTCTATCGACAAAGAAACTCGACTCTTGTACTGATTCACTATAATATAGCTTCACCTGCAGAAGGACTGTTCAACGTCCACTTAAGCGTATATTGACAGAATCATCTGTGCAAGAACCCCTCCGTAGTAGTTCATCATAGAGTCATAGCTAGCTACCCCTCCAAATAGCTCCTAACTAGCATAAATAATCATGTTCCAGCTTGGGTACCTACCTATTTACCTCTCTCGTCCCACCTGCCCGAAGAGGAATATACCTCAAACGGGGCCACATCGGCGGCTATTCGAAAAATCGAAAAGAAAGCCATTATTATTATTACTACCCCTCACCGAGAAAATGAAAAAGTCCGAACTAAATGAAACGAACGAAAACCCCCTCCGTTCGGTAATCATAATCTTAATTCAATTCAATTGTGTCATTAGAATTATTATTATCGGTAGTTATTGTCATTATTTATCCCGTGTATAGTAGTAATTACCCCTCTATTTCCGCCCCCACCCCCACCTCCTACCTCCGTACCTACCTAGGTAATTAGATATGGAGGGGTAGACACGGTACGGAGCCGATAGCTACCTACCTACCTAAGACATCTGACAAGCTATGTATCTAGCCTGGGCTTCTATCTAGCAAGATAGCTACTGGAAGTTACCTAGGTACCCAAGCATTGGGTACCTAGGTACGTGGGATGAAGTAACTAGGTATCCATCTAGTTTAATTTTATTTCGTTTACAGTTTAGTTTCTTTTTATGATGATATGGCATGACCTTTTTTATTCTTTTTTTTTTTTTCTCTCTCGCGGGACTCGATTTTCCCACGAGGAGTACAGTAACTAATTACTCTAATACCTACCTAATTTAATCTAATTATCCGATTCCCACGCGGATAATCCCCGACAGTCTTTTGCCGTTTGATCCGTGAGAAAAGAGAGAGGGAGGGAGAAAAGGACCGATTCAGAAATCCATTAGAGAGAGAGAGGGAGGGCGAGAGATAGATAGATAGCCGCAATACACTGCAGTTTCATCTCTAGAGATAGTATAAGTATTATACACTACGACTTTGATATGTATATCACATGCAGTCATCAATACTCCTAGAGTACATACATACATACACAACTATTATCATTACCAATCCTCTACTAACTAACTAACTACAGAACGCAAGAAAAAATCAAAACATATTCTCAAAAACAGTGCGTTTTTCCCAGTAACAACTACTACCATACTCAACTAGACCTCTCCCCGCCCACACAAAGTAGGTACTGTATGTACATACATACAATAGCACAGTACAATACATACATACGTACATAACTTACCACAAGGCTCGAGTAAAAACAACAAACCACGCAATTTGATTCGCTAGCGAGCTAACCGCACCTTAAATCCCAATCCCACTCGCCTTTTATTTCCTAGACCAAATCGAAATCCGAAACAACAAAAAAAAAGTGTAATAATAATAAATTAAAAAAAGAATCTAGAGCGCACTGCGCTACGCTGCGCCTCCCTAGGATCCACAGAATCAGTTAGATGGGAACAACATGACAACAAGGGAAAAAAAAAAAGAAAAAAGAAAAAAGAAAAAGCTGGACAGCGGGACGTGCTTTAGTGCGAATTCTGCGACATTGAAGACAAAGGGCTGGTTTGTTCTGGAAGGAGGGATGGAAACATGGAAATCGCCTGTTGTTGCGCGCTAGGCAGCAGCCTGCATACCTATGTATGGCGTGGAGTGGCGATGGCGATATACTATTCGCACGGATTGGTTTCTGTGGGCATAACGCGTATCTATACTACTGCTATTATTACTTTTACTACTTCTACTATTATTACTGATTCAAGAGATGGAGTACTCTGTATTGTGTGCAAATGTTTGTGCACTTGATTGATGATAGTAGGAAAACTATGGAATCGCTATGCTAATGGTATTTGTGGATAATGAAAAGAAACGCTAGACGTATGCGATGCCCACGATAGGGACTGCCGATGCTGGGTATTAAGGAAAAACAAACCAAGAGATCTCAAGAGCCAGTGGAAAAACCAAACAACAGGGGGTATATAACCATGCATGATGCGACACCAGAAAAAGAAACACCGTGCGATATGAAATCCGAGACCGCGATAACACCGTCGCCAGAAATGGGCCGAGGCCGAGACAAAACCGGAAACAAAAGATGATAGAAAGCCTAGACAGGTCGACGGTGACCAACAAAGCAGAAGGAGGGGTAGAAAGAAGGCGATGCACTGCTGTGAGTCATCTGGAGACAAGATGAAGCTGTAGAAGTCGGCGGGGGAAGAGACCAGCGGTGAGATGGCCGAGACATGATAGGCAGAAGTCCAGGTGGGATGAAGGATGAGGATGCGGTGAGAACAAGATAAGATGCGAGGAGATTTTGGTGTTCGGGCAGCGTCGGGTTGTGACGGGTATGGTAACGGTATGTATCAATACCGTATGGTAAAGGCGGTCAGCGCGGAAAACCCGGTGCCGCAGATGGATAGGAAACTGCCGTAGACTTCGTATGCCAGCAAGAACAAGAACTCGGGAAGAGGCTGTATTAGTTGGTTTTCACGACCGCTGAGACGACACTGTCTTCGATGATGATGACGTCGAGCGACGCTTCTTCTCCGGAACCGCCCTGCGCTTCTTGCGTCGTGCATTCTCGCGCTCTGCTGCAGCCAGCTGGGCCACGCGAGCTGCTTGTTGTGCGCGAGCGTGAGCCTGGACCTGGGCCAGGTATCGCTGGCGTCGTTCCTCCTCCTCAGCAGCTGCGCGCATCATCTGCACCTGCTGCTCCGTGGTGACGTCGAAAGGGCAGCAGACAGGGTCAATGATGGCAGATTCCTCGTCGATGATAGCCTCGGATGCGCCCTCAGGGAAGAGGTCCTCATCCGACAGATAGGAACTGGGGGTAGAGCAGTCGGAATCTGCGTTCAGCAGAGAGGAGCGGTTGGGCCAGGAAGGGAATGCACACGACGTGCTCATGCCCAGCGTCGTCGAGAAAGAAGACTTGCGAGGAGTGATATCAAGCAAGTCATCGTTAGGAGAAGGAGGTGGTGGGGGAGGAGGCAGCGAGGAAGGCGAAGGGGAGGACATGGTGCTGCTGCTGAAACTGAAGCTGAACCTCATGATGCCGGTGTTGGTATAAGAAGACTCGCGTAGAGCTGTTGTTGAGGGTTGTTTAAAGCACGCAAACAGGGGGATGGCGCGATAATGATTATATGGTGCGGGCGATATATACTGTATAGATCGCGCGCGGGAGATGTACCCCGATCCAGGTCAGAACGCCCCTTGCGTGTGCGACGGATAAGGCGTCCGGCGAGTCTGTTGGGCAGGCACCGCCAACAAGAACGCAGCTCAGGGACAAAGCAAATAAACAAGGACACGGCCAGGCCAAATCACAAGCTGTGGCGGCAGTAGCGGTCGAGGGCGTGCAGACGAATCCCGCCGCGATGGAATGTAGGGCGATGGGTCCCGATAAATATGACAGCTCTGAACTGGGCAATGCTAAGCCCAGCTGCACGACAGTTGAATAATAATGAATTGAACTTCGGCGCGATCGCTCACGGCCTTGGGGGCTTAGTTCCCCCTCGTGGATCGGTCCGCTGGTTCACGGACTCCCCGGCGAAAGTCGCGGTGTGGGGGCAGCGATGCTGTTGGAGCGTGCGAACAAGCGGGTAATAATAATAATAGTTCCCCGTCGGCAAGCAGATGACAGGCGGTGATGACAATCAAATAGATGCTGAGAATCGGGTCTAGGCGTTCTCGTTCGTGGAGAACCCGGGCACTCCGGGCGAGGTTTGGTGAAAGAAACAGCAAGTCACCGTGACAAGTCAGAGTCACAAGTCACCGTCACACCAGGAGCAGATGTGAGAAGTGATAGCGGATAGCGAACTTGTTGGAGATGGGGGGTTGACTGGGCGTCAGGGAGGGGGGAATCGCCGACTGATAAACAAGAGGGGAGAGTTGTCGATGCGGAGAGATCGTAACAGACCGTCTGTTTGCTGTTTTCGTGGTGACTGATCTCCGGGGATCGACTGATGGGTGAAGCCGGTGTCAGATAGGGTTGTATACTTCGTCCAGCCGGCGCAAGGGATGGACGGGGGAATGGGCCGATGCAGATGGATGATAATCGGTTGGTCTCAGGTCTGAGGTGAGATCTGGGATCGGAGTGCGTGCATGGATAAGGGAGGCGATAAGTGATCGGAAACACGATAATGTGTTATGCACGCCGGGTTGGGGATCTTCGCCTTCTTGCTTGTTGTCCTGCTTCCCCGCGGATTGCGGTGTGCAGGAAGAATGTCGGATGCGGGACCGAAGTAGAACTCGATTTGCCTCGCCCCGCAAAGGAATTAATGTATGTACAGCGTGGCTGGGATATTCAGAGTCTCAGACAATATCACTGCCTAGCCAGTGAATAATAATAACCACGGTACTTTATCGGCGGTTCCAGCGGATATTATATTCCAGAACACCGATCTAGCACATCCCACGCTAAAGGGAATCAGGCACCAGAGTCTCGTTGGCTGCAGTCTAGACGTGTCAGGAAGCGGAGAAGAGCCAGGAAGAAGAAACCACGTCGGACTGTAACGTGGAATGGTTCGAGGTAGTGAGAATGCAGTATCGTAATGTAGTATATCGTGTAGTATAGTATAGTATAGCGAAAGAGGTCGAGACGGGCGATGAAAGAGTGACAATAATAGGGTTTCGATCAGATCAGACAGCCTCTACAGTCCGTCAAGCTTCTCGCTACAAATGCAAGGTCGAGAATCCATTGCATCCTCATGTCCGCACGGCGCTCTAATATACTGACAGCTCCCGCCCATCCAGGGGACCGAAATCTCTGCCAGACCAAGCTCATCGGGAAGCTTCCGGTCAGAAGCCAGAAGCCTGCCCCCACCGGGCCTCAATTTTCTGTAATTAGCCTCTTTTTTTCGTTCCCAAACGCGTGTTTTCCCCCCCTGGATCGATCCATGGCGTCCGTGGAGTTCCCGCTAAGCTTCGGCCACCCGCTTCTCCGGGTTTTCACCGTGGCTTCAATTATCAATCAACCAAGGCTCGGCAAAAGAATAGAGTATTGTTATTATCCCCAGTTGGTGAATAACCATATCATATCATATGCCATTTAGCCGGCCTCTGGTCCGTCCCCCGTTCCCCCGCGATTTGAGACCTCTCCCCGGGTTTCTGGACGAATCGTGATAATAATATCGAGGATATCATACCTCTCAAACCTCTGTTTGCGGCCCAACGCGGCGAACTTGCTTGTCCACCGTCAGTCAGGTATCGGTACCCGCTCTGCGTAGCAATTTCGGAGATGGTCGCCGTACTGCGACAAGGAGGGCCTCGCCCTGTGGCGTCCATCAGCAGAAAATCCGTCCAGCCCAGGCCAGACTCCCGTAGGAACTGCCCAAACCAGGGAGGATCATCGCTTTTCCACATGGCTGGCACAGCAGGCGCTTCCGCGGAATATGGCCTCCCTTCCGCCTGGCACCGTCCAGTCGGTTAGTCTGGCGTGTTAGATCAATTAGACTGACATCGCGTCCGCACCGTCGAGGACGGGGCCGTCCCGATTCCCGACTGTCGGGGTCTGCCAGGGCATCCTAATTCGAAATAACAGCATTGCGCGCAGGAAGCCCAGAATGCACCTGGCCGCTGGGATATCAGAGCGCGCGAGCTATCCAAAATTCAAGCCCCAAGAGCCCCTGAGCAACGTATTCATCCTGATTCCTTGATTGACAGCCGTCTGCTAGTTCATCGATCAATCGATGATCAGAACCCGCCTCTCTGGTCCCCCGGATATGTTTCGGCCAGCCCCCCCTCGCTCCTTTTTCACACTATCTACGGAGGCACAGTCGACGAAACACTGTTACTCCTGGGTTGCGGATCCGCTCGCGGAACTTCCATTGCTTTTTCCGCCCGCGTAGCCTAACCGGCCGAATGGGTCGTCGCATGGATGATAGATATGTAAATTGCATCATAGAATAACAGCACGGACCGAAAGAGCAGGTTCAGCATCAGAGAACAGGGACGTTCAACTTTGAATTCAACTGGGTAACCGAGGAGACGATAACATAGTTAGATATTCTGTTACAATCCGATTCGGTACTTTAGCCGCGCAGCTAGAGCAGGCAGCGCGCATGCTGTCAAGCGGCGGATCGTCGCACATTGCAGGATGCATACTTCCAGCGTCTCTTCATGCAATGCACCATGCACGCTGGTCTGCGTTTGAATTCTGCTGACCAGTCCTTTTGAAAAGCGGTGATTCACCGCCTGTATTTGTCCTCGCATCTCTCTGCAGGGACTTCCCAACGGTTCTCTGACTGGATGACCCTCGTACTCTGTACAAATCAGGATAATAATATACCCCAAGTGGCGGTGATGAGGCGCGTTGGTAGACCTGGGGGTGGGACGCCGTCCCGCGAGTTCCGTTGTGCTGCTTGGGGTTTCGGCAATAATAAGAATACATAACTAATCACAATTATTGATTTTTCCTTTCTTCCACGGGCGTTCTTCGGGCAATCGTCACTGGGGCCTAGGCGCATTTGAAACGACCACTCCACCGCAGTACTTAGTGCCGTGGACTCCTGCCAAACAACCACCATATCCCCTCACAGGGCTGATTCTGCGTTTGAAGAAAAGTGGCTCCGAGGACGCACATGAATTGCAGGCCAAAAGTTACGTGGAGCGACTCCAACATTGCCAATTCATCCCAACAATTGGTATCCGGACGGACGCACGAGGATAATGACGAGGTTGAAGCGACACCCGCGGCTCCTCACTGCCTCGGCTACAGCTGCTGCTCCGAGAGCTTCTGCTTCCCGCGGCAATAATAATAAGTTAATAATATTAATGCTGCGCCTTGGCTTGCATAGTTCAGACTGAAGCATAAAATAGTTAGTAGATACAGTAAATCCCCGCTATAACGAACCCCCTTATTATGAATTTTCCACTATAACGAATTTTTTTCAGTGCCTAATTTAATCCCCCATATAAAATTCGTTAATTCCTCAGTATAACGAAATTTGTTACAATACCCTAGCTCACCACTGATTTTATATGGGGGATTCATTATAGCGAGGGATTAGTTATAGCTAATAATCAATAAAAATCCCTAATTTTAAGAGATTTATTATATAATATTGCAAATTTTATATCCCTTACTATGATTATATAATAAAAATCAGATTTTGCTAATATTTGCTGTAACGAATTTTCTACTATAACAAATTTTTTTCTGTGCCTCATTCAATTTGTTATAGCGGGGATTTACTGTAGTTGGTTTATTGAAGATCAAAGCGCACGACTGACATATCTCAACTTTACAACTCACCGCCCTGTTCTGATCTGTCGCGGGACAGAAGCAAGGTCGGTGACGAATTTGCATCTCGACTGACCTACACCGTAGATATTGCAGGTGATAATCTCCGAGAGTTCCATGGCCAGGCGTATCAATCAGCTTAGAAGAGGGTGACAAATTCAGACCGCCACAAGCGACTGAGGGTGTGATGACAGTTGTTTATTTGATGACACAAGCTCCGCCTGATGTGGAAATTCCTACTCTAGGAAAGTCGTCTAGATACAGGGATAGCACAACTTGACATATGCCATCGATACCGCTGAGAAATTTTCAGAATTAGCGAGCATGGCGTCGCAAATACCTGATTTCGCAATTGGGTCTACAGATCCTGCGGAGACGAAGCTGGAGTAGTTTGAATGTGTCGCGAACTATATACATACTGTATATATGGATATGTTGATATATATATATATATATATATATCGAACTCACCACTTCGCATACCAGCAGCGATTCAGCCAAAAATCCCATTTAATCTACTTTCAGATTACCATAAAACAAGAAACAAACTCTCTATAGTTCCAAATACTGATCGTGCACCTATTCTTCTTGATGCAATTTAACAGTAAAAGCATGAATCTAGACACATATCTAGCGAATCCGATAAGCAAAAAGGCGTAGATATATCATATCACATCCCCCCCCCTCCCCTCCTCCCAGCGCCGATCGATCGCTAAAAACACCAGAAAATCCAAGATTTCGAATATTCCATCACCGGATCCACATCCGTAGTTTCCGGGAAAAAAAAAACTGGTTTAGACTAGTTCCCCCCCGCCACGAAACCAAACTAGCAGAAATTAGAATTAATCGTGACAGGCACGCATAAACATCTCATCTTGTTAAAACAGCCCAAATTGCCCAACTAACTATCTACCCCCGTGGTCAGTTTCATCTCTCTCTCTCCTTGTTCGGGTTACTTTTCAATATCTAGAAGCGAACTACGATGTCTATTATTGTCTTTCTAAACGCGCTAGATAGGGAACTGATTTTTTGGGGTTCATACCGTCCGTCTCGCTTATCTGATCTACAGTGTGCATTGATATACTACTCCGTAGAGCGGTCGTTTGCAAGTTTGGGCGAGGCGAGGCAAGCGAGGGATTGTCTTCGTATGGAGAATTCTCGGTCGCATTATTCTTTCCCCCCAGGGGGTGTGTATCCTATTGCGCTCGATCAGATTTGGCTTGTAGACTAGAGTACGAGGCGATTAAAATAAACATTTGTACGTATCATCTGTCAAATACTTTAAGCTTGTGTCTGGTCACGGAATGGGAAAGAAGGAGTCGGTTAGTTTGTTCTGATTAACCATTTTTTTTCCTTTTTGTGTATCTAGACCTATTATGAAAAAGCAGAGACGAAATAATATAAAGATAGATAGTTAGAGCCAATTAAAACAGTCATAATTGAGTTAAGTCTTTGGCAGGCGAGACTACATACGCTGACAAATTCCAGAAGCGCAGTCACAATCATCAAATGGATAGATATGTCTCCGGGGACGGAGAATTAATTGCATCGAATTGAATAAAGGGGGTAGATAGACTAGACTAGATAACTAAAGTGTGCCGCCGGAGCGGGACCGGGATCAGCCGCTTCGCCCAAACTTTGAGAGCAATTTAATTAGAAGTCAATTTTATTTATTTTATTTAGGGCTTCGGGCTCTAGATAGTCGAGTCTGGTTCTTCCCCGGAGCAAACGCGGAGGCACATAGTTGATTCCACAGTCTGTGCCATGCCTGTCATATTTTAACTAGGTATTGCGTAGTTAGTTAATAATACCTGTTGACTGGTATGTCGACCCGACAGCCCGGATTTCAGACATGTAATGTTTCTCTGAAGTATGCAGGGGGTGGGTGTACACTGTACACCAGATGCTCACAAATCATCACCAAGATACGAGTCGTTGGCAACGATCAGCGAATGGCTTCCGCATCGACACCTGTTCGACATTATTGCACCACAGGGGCGGAACAGGATGTATCGAGCCGCAATGTGAATAATCGCCGTCTTGGCAGAATCTCATCTTACTCCATCACTCCTTCAGTCCTTACTGATTGTATGATTTATGGCCCCTTTGGCATGCATTCGTGTAACCGTGGGCTCCGGCGAGCGCCTCTGGGGAACGTATCTCCGCAATCAAGGCTGCTGCACACCCCGGATTTCGACTCAGCTCACCTGCATCTCAACAGCTGCCCTTCCAATGTTGTACATACTCCAGCAGCTGACCGCCGCGACGGGAAGTGTCAGCAATAGACACGCGTCTTCCTATCCTCATCAGCCTTTTTCTTTTTTTTTTTTGTTGTCCTCTTTTTTGGGGCTTGTCTCATGTCATGCCTCAAACAGGGAATATCGCTTCAGCTCTTTGTCTTGGTGAGCAGTTAGCGGACTTTGGTCCCGGCAAGCAGACGGAAATTCCATGGATATCTAGCCTGATAGCCCATGTAGATCTGGGGAAACTCATTATTTGGGTTGGCAGGATGGTATGTTGGAATGTCAGATATGCATAACCCCGGGCTGTGCTTCCACCTAAAGTACGCCGAAGTTCCCAAAGTTAGCCCCGGGGTCCAGCAGCTGTCTTCCCCGTCTCCGCGACCCGGTTTGTCGGGCATCGTGGCTTTACAGACAAAGACAAGGGGGCTTGGACATGGCTTGCCTCTCCAAACTGTGGCGCCGCGGTGATCGACAAATCCAGTGCGGTCCTTGGGATCTGATCATCTTTCCAAGGCTGGGCCTGTCCTTGCCCTTATGCACACGACCCAATCCGCCCTGGCAAGGCTGGGCCGGGTGATGCAGTCGAGGGTTGATTGTCGGTGATGAGTCCGATGATGTGCTGCTATCTATTATCTCAACAGCTCCCGTGAGCTTCTCCGCGACAAGTCGGGGCGACCCAAGCGCAATAATGAGGCCTCCAACAAGATCGCGAAGATGAGTATGTTCGCGTCGATTGGCGGTTTTGTCTACGTCTCCTTATTATCGCGGTCGCTTTCTTTGGTGCGTCTCTCTTTCTGCCTGGAGGTAGAGACCCGGAACTCTGGCTATCTACTCCGTACTTCGTGTTCAACGATTGTCCCCCCTAAGAAACGCGCCCAGCTGACCTCTGTGTGATTCTTTCGAGACATCCCGTGTCAGCCTGGAGGCCAATACCTTCGACAAACAGCGATGACGACGCTGTTGTTCTTCTGTGAAATGCCGTGGTTCGAAGCCTCCATCGGGTAAACCCGTAACGTTACTATCACAAGCAACCCTGGCTATCCCGTTTGCATACGGCGAGAGCCACCAACGTCAAGGGCTAACCTGCCCTCATGATACTGACTGTATACTAGAGACCATTCCAAGTTTTCATGAGATGCCGGGGACTCCAGTATCAAAGTCTCATGCTGGCACGTATCGTATCCTCGGTTGCTACATATGTGCAGTTCCATGTATCGAAGTGAGTCGCCGCTTTCACCGCAGGTTGGCCAAGGCCCTGCCAAGGAAACTGAGTTCCTGGCAGCTGCACGGAGCAGTTCATGGACAGTAGGACGATCGATAGTACTACGTACTCCATAGTTGGTAGCTTTAGTTACGCCGTTACGGTATCCCACGTGGGGCAAAAGGTATGACCTTTTAAGAAGGATTCTCTCGGCCGAAGCCAGCGCGGTCCACGGAGTCCGGAGTACGGAGCAATGGACGTTGACTTTGTTCCACAAAGCAAACAAACAACCCCAGGATTCTGTGGTAGAAAATAGGACGAGTACGGAGTACACGCCTACTGTCTCGGAAAAGTCTCGGGGAAGTTCCGCTATGTAGACTAGAACTATGTCTCAGTTGGCTGGGGACTCCATTTTCAGGATCATCAGCGCGGAAGGATGATTCATGAGGAATGCTCCAAATGTAGCGGTTCCATCCGAACGAGTGAAGGAAGCGGTTGAAAAAATGTAGGCGTCGTAAGTTCCTCTCTTCCTCCATAAGACGTTTTTAAGATTTGGTCGCCGTAATTCGTGGAGCTGGATCAAAGCACAGATCGTGGCGGGCTCAGACTGGAGATTGATCGTCGGCAAGGCGTCGTAGATCTGCCTGTAATAGGCCATATCGCGGTCCCCCGGAGGGCACAAACACGTTCCGGTGTCACATCCCTTCTACCTACTCTGGGGTTGAGGAATCAACTGCCGTTTTTTGCCGGTTAATGTAATCCTCATACTGTATTGCGCAGTAACAGGCCGCAATAGAGTAAACATATACAAATAAAAACCTTATTTCTTGACGAGACGGTGAGCAAACCTGCCAGAAATGGTGCTCTCACCACGGTTTCGCGCCACGTACCAGCCTTCGGTCCTTCGCCCGGACTCTGTACGTGTCTCACCCTGGCGCCTATGGTAGATGGTATTATCAGAATTGGCCTAGCAAGCGAAGTAAATATCTGGTTTTGGGAATCTATATCATACATCTTCAGGTGGAAAAGGCCATTTCTTTGCAGCCGCCTCTGGCGACATTTCTTCACTCATTGTATCAATAAACATATCATATAGATACTTATTGACTTGTTGAGTCGCTTCCTATCGCTCCATTGGAACCCAGCCTGTGTTGTCTGTACGGAGCTGTTCTGTTACAAGCTTCCATAAATAGCTCTTGTCTTCGTATTGTCTCACATGCTCGCCGTGCCTCTCCAGTTCCTCTTTTGTAAACCCAAAGGGGCATTGCCCAGGTAGCCCTAGATGAGCCCAGTCTTGGAAAACACGTATTAGACAGTTACGCAGAGGAACGAGAGTGCCGTCAGGGAACAACTCGTAGCATGTAAATAGCTCTGACAGCCTCCGATCAAGTACCAAGGCATCGTGGACGCTTTCATTGCGTATAAGGGTAACCATCTCGTAGTACTTGGAGAGTGTTGCCAACCTGTTGTTTCGTACAGCTTGTTCCTGTTGTTCAGAGCTCAGTTTATCGAAATCTTCTGGCAGAGTTGGGATGCCCGGGCCCAGAATATAATCTTTAGGTGGTATAACAAAATCGGGGAAATGAGCTTGGACAAATAGAGGGGTAATTTTGGATGATTGCCAATCAACAATTCCTTGAATAGCAGTAGCATCGTCTGGAGATATCAAAATATTGCTAAGATCAAGGTAAGGGTGCCTCAAAAAAGGGCTTGACAGCTTGGTCACGCGCGGATCGCGCGACAATGCAGGAAATATGCTCGATGCCTTTGCTAAGAGAGTGCCGTATTCGTCAACTGACTGAGACTCATCGAAGGTATGAAGATGACGTTGCACTTTAGAGGGGAATTTTGCAATGAAATCCAATTCGCATTGAGGTATTGAACATGTATAGTCATCAAAAGACAACCCTGCTGTCAATGTCAGAGAGCAAGATATAGGCTCTATTAGGTGTACAAAAACTTACAAGGCCCTGCATCTGTGGCAGACTTGTCAACGTTCTCAAGCAACGAGATTCCATTACAATATGGACCCACGCAAAATAATTGAGCAGGGTCCTGAACGGAAGGGAAAGGGCAGCCTTGAAATTCATTGGACACGTCATCTCGCAAATAGATGCTCCCGTATGCTGGATATTTCAAGCTTTTAAGCTCTTTTTCCATATCGACAATCTGATCGATTATTTTGTAACACTCTAAGAGATTCATTGTCTCCCACCTTTCAGTCAAAGGAATTCCGGGGATCTTTTCCATAATGATGTACTCCACGCCTATAGGATTATCCGACCTTGAGCTCCAAGCAAGGACCTTCGGGACACGAATGGTTGTAAGCGATTGCACTGGAGAGTAAGCACTATGAACATGAACGTAGGAGAATGATAGGTTGCACATACAAAATTCCAAAGTCGCAACCTCAGAAGCTGTCCTATAAAAAGGAAGCCCGGCATTGGGGCACGGTATTTTGGCTATAACCTCATTTCCATCGTCCATCGTGATGAGCAGAGCTATATTATAGTTCCCTTCTATTTTGGTTACACGCGCACACTTGGTCTGGTTACTGAAGAGAGATGCAGCCAGACGACAGAGCTTTTCGATATCAAATTGAACATAATGCTGTGCGATTTGACACTCTTCGTTGACCAGCCATCGACCAGACGTATGCTTGAAGAGCTCGTCAAGAGTTATTGCTCTCAAATCTATAATATCGTTAATTAAATCAGACCAGGACACAGAAGTTAAGCCACGAACCAGTATTTCTGAGAGTGGCTGTTTCTGACATTGTTCGACGCTGAGCTCTAGACGTGTTTGCACGTATGAAAGTCAGAGAGCCGCTGCTGATCCTTTTCAAACATTGCAATTTCAAGGCGGATGAAAATCTTGATTTCAGTCGGATTAGGGACATGATTAATACTCGTTGTAGCACGATCTGCCTCAGGTCGATGAACTTGACGCTTGCTGAAGTGAGGGCAGTAGTGATTGTTGCGACCGCTGCCTAGCACTAAAGTTCCCACGCGAACAGGAATGAGTAGTCATAAGGATTACGTGAGTTTTTCAATACTACTCTTTTCTGAGGTCATGGTGCGGCATTATTATTGCATGGCTATTCTCTCATTCAATTTAGTGCTTGCCTACATTCAAGTTTTACTATTCTGAGAGGACTGCCAACATAGGATCGGGTATAATTACGTAGGTATTGTAGTACACTAAATATTACAGAAGTATATTGTGATAGTACAGGAGCTTCAATGGTTTGTGGCTTTCTACTGTGATGCCTCCGTCAGCATAACACTAAGACTTCGATATCTCTAACTGTTTCCTGTGATAGATCGCTTAAAGTTTAGGACAGAGTGGAGAAACGGGCTCATACTTTAGCCACAAAGCGTGATAAAGAGAAGGAGAAAAGAAAAGGCCGCAGATAAGCGTCAACTTCAGAAAGGTACAAGAATATGCAAGAGAAATAAACAGAACAGGGATAAGACCGTTAGCTATCGGAGACAAATTGACCCATTTGAGATCAAGAGCTGAACTGTTCCAAGTATCGCAAAGAAACTAGTCCTCAAATCGAGTGCAAGTCACTGAACTTCGCGTGTATGAAAGCAGATGCAGGAACCCGATGTCTTTACATATTGGTTTCTTTATACGCTGCATCACGCCGAAAACAGGGATGAACACTGCGGATTCTCACTGCGAATAGCGAATACAAGGGATAGAGGCTCCATCGATTATTTTGCCTTTACTATTTGTTCAAGGGGAAAAGAAAGCATCGCGGGAAGATGCAATGGTATCTACACATCATTCCTCACTCAGGGCTCATTCAATCACTACATCTACAGAACTGAGAGGATTGGTTTTGACTTCACTATGAATGCAATGATTCCCAAACATATGGATTGATGTAAGGATCTTACGCTTGCAGTCAAGCTTTGGAGCGTGTGCTTTGTCGAGCCAGCTCTCGATCCCAGTTCTATCTCAGTGCATCCAACAAAGGACAGTACGCATGCCATCGTCACCTGCTAGAGACAAAGAATATCTGCGGAAACTGGTGTCTCAGACACAGGGCGTTAGAGAGGGAACGGTGACTCTGCTCTATTTGACTTGACATTAATCTTCACCTGCTGAGTTTACGTTCATTTCTACGAAGTTTTCACGGCTCTTCTAGCTCTACTGACTCGATCCCATTCACTTATCCATCAAGGGGAAAGATTTCAAGCCATGGAAACACCAGAGGTTCCTCATATCTTATCTTTGATATTCAATCACGTCGTGTTTCCACCAAAGCTTCCGGGTAGAGCAGACCCTGAAGGTGCAACCGAAGATGTGCAATCAGGTCTGTTAGACCGGGTACTGCACGTAATAAAAGTGCTCAAGGGGGCTTCTGGGGCTGAATACATGCCGCTCTGTGAACGTCGCCGGATATCTCGATAAAGAGGCCCTGGTAGAAGAGTTTAAAAAGCTGCGATCTGGCAACGCTATCATCGTTTACGTGGAGCAGCAGAATGCCTGTATTCTCATACGGATGCCTTGGTAAGTTGTCATTTATCCCTCATTTTTCTAAACCTTTTCACTCCAGGAGTCTCCTGACATATCAAACGCAGTGACAATGACGACACCATCATATTCGAAGCATTCGAAACCTCAGCCACGGCCAGAGAAGCACTCGCAGCCAAGGGCGCTCTGCAATGGGACTTCCCAGGAATGGCAGTGAGCCTTGACAGAAGCGAATTTGCCAATACCACCTTTCAACACAACCTAGTTAGGTTTATCGAGCAGGCGAGCGTCGAGCCTATAGACGAGTTCGCCGCCAAAACGATGAAGGCTGGGGCAGAATTCACCGAAACTCGAGATACGACTGACCCTGCAATAATAACAAAGTTTTTGATGACGCTACTTGAGACAAATGGCAGTCGGATCAATACACCGGTACTGCGAAAGCGTGTCAAAGATGATGTATGTTGAATATAGCGAACTACATGCGTCCGAGCGCGAGGAAGGGGAACCGAGAACGCTGGAAGAGATTCGCCAAATTGACTTCAAGAAGAAGCAACACGACGAAAAGTGCATGTTAGAGTGTAAGAGGTTTTCTACGTTTCTGCTCAACCAATGGCCACGCGAGGAGCTGTCTGTCGACGGGTTTGAGTCGAGGTATCTCGATGTTCATCAGGCTCTACATGCCATTGTCCCTGAATGGTCGCGATTGTATAGGAGCCTGCAACTATCCAAACATATCAATGAGATCCAGGTGGTCCTCAGCAAACATTGGAATCCCAGGCCTGCTGCTGATTCGCCCCCGACTTTGGGTGATCCTGAATTGTTTGGAACAGCCTCAAGGCACAAATACTATGCAACTCAACTGGCAGAGAGCCTTGTGCAAAAGAATGGCCCCAGAATATGCGAACCATACGACATGGAAAACGTTAGGAAATGGATTAAAGAGAATGCAGTTAGATCTACGTGTTCGGTTACTCTGAGACCAAAGGCGGAGACGGCGGAAGAAGTACGGGAGCTCGAAGAAATCATAGACAGCATGACCTCCTCAGGTTGTCCAGTGAAGTCAAGATACGGACAGGATCTGAAGGAGAGCATCAATGCATTGAAGGCAATAGAGGCTGTGCCAGAAGACGAACCTAGTTTCCAGATCGCCTTTCTTAAGGGGACAGTCTACCTCAACAACGAAATCGAGAAAGCCCGCTCCGTTGTCAATAATCATTACCACGCCATCACGGAGGCATTGTCAAGGAATGATTCGAGGTTCCATTGGTCGTCACAATCCAATCTGTGGCTATGCGTGACACCTGTTCCTATCCTAGAACAGCTCCGATCGACTCCCCAACTGCAATTTGGGCTAAACATGAGGGAGTCTTTGATCTCATATGGGTTAGAGATTGTAAAGCTCCAGCAGCTGATTCGCATGAAAGGAGCTCTCAGGAAGAATGATCGAACGTTGCACCAGGAGTACAAGAACCGCGGCCATATCAACTGGCACCCATCGACTTACCCCGACTGGCTACTATTGGAGATCGATTCCAACTTTCAAATTCGCGAGGAGCAAGCTACTGTCGCCCTGGAAATCATATCTCCCACGTCAGGGTCCAATTCTGTCTTGCAAATGAATATGGGGCAAGGGAAAACCTCCGTTATAATGCCGATGGTCGCATCCGTGCTTGCAGATGGGGAAAGGCTCGCAAGGCTTCTAGTTCCCAAGGCTCTGCTATCTCAGACCGCAGAAATCCTTCAGACCCGGCTTGGAGGCCTCATTGGGAGACAAATAACTCATATTCCATTTTCGAGGAAGACTGAAACAACCGATAGTGTCATTGATATATACCGAAAGCTACATGATGAAACGATCAAAAGCTCTGGGATAATATTGGGCATTCCAGAACATGTTCTGTCTTTCAAGCTCAGCGGCATCCAGAAAATATCGGATTCCAGAATCAATGAAGCTTTTCAAATGGTGAAAACTCAGAACTGGATGAACAACGTTTGTCGTGACGTTCTAGACGAGTGCGATTTCACGTTGGCTGTTAGGACGCAGCTCATCTACCCCAGTGGCACGCAGCTGATGGTTGATGGGCATCCTGACCGGTGGGAAGTAGCGATGGTCGTCTTGAATCTTGTCGCACACCATGCCCGGCTTCTTGCTCGAGACTTTCCACAGAGTATTGATATCGTGGAGCGTTCGCTGACAGGCTTCCCACTGGCCTACTTTCTGAGGAAGGACGCAGAAGTGCTTCTAGTACGGAAGATAGTGGATGATATCTGCTCTGGTCAGATACTGCCAATGCACCACTTCTCAAGTGAAGAGAGCGACGCCATAAAAGCTTTCATATCCTGCGAAGACGTCGATTCGCCTATTGAGGAATGCATTTCTCATATCCTTCCAGACAAGCCACCAGTGCGTAAGAAGATCTATCTGTTACGGGGATTACTTGCGCGTGGCATTCTCATTTTGTGCCTAAAAAGAAGATGGAACGTACAGTATGGCCTCCATCCACGGCGAGATCCCATAGCAGTCCCATTCCATGCCAAAGGAGTTCCGTCAGATCGAGCAGAGTGGGGCCACCCAGACGTAGCCATTCTGCTGACTTGTCTCTCATTTTACTATCAAGGTCTCAGCCAGGATCAGCTTCGACAGAGCCTGGAGATTATCCTAGAGTCCGACGACCCTGCTAGCGAATATGATAGCTGGATTCAGGCGTCAACTTCTCTTCCCGAGGCGCTTCGTCATTGGAACATGATCAATATTGACGACAGATGGCAGATTCAAGACATGTGGCGGCACCTGCGATTCTCAGTCATCGTTATCAACCATTTCCTGGGAAATGTCGTCTTCCCCCTACACGCAAAGCAGTTCAGAACTAAATTACAGATGTCGGGTTGGGATATTCCTTTGTACAATGACAGTCAGACCTCACCGTCTAGTGATGATACTGGGGATATCCCTGGAGTCACAGCTGGGTTTAGCGGCACAAATGACAATCGAAGGCTGCTTCCTCTTACCATCCAGCAGCGAGATCTCCCGAGTCTATTGCACACAAATGCTGAAGTTCTCACCTATCTTTTACAGAAGAGGAACCGGCAGTGTATATTGGCAGCGGACTCAAACAACAGACGTATCACTGAACTAGATCTACTCCACCGTCTCAAAGAAAGAAACATCCGTATTCTTATTGATAGTGGGGCATTCATATTGGAGATGGACAATCGGACACTTGCCCAAAAATGGCTCCAGGAAGATGAAACTGCGCAGGCCGCAGTATATTTTGGCTTAGACAATAAAGCTTGGGTGCAGTACAGAATTGGAAAGACTGTACCCCTCGTTTCAAGTCCGCTTGCGGATAACCTAGAGAATTGTTTGGTCTATCTTGATGAGGCACATACTCAAGGCACTGATCTCAAGTTACCGCCTGCAGCTAGAGGTGCATTGACTCTGGGACTGAACCAGACCAAGGATCACACAGTGCAAGGTACGCATTTATTTTGCTCTAATTCTATATTCAGTTGTTCCCCAGTTCTAATACTTCTTCTGCAGCTGCAATGAGATTACGGCAGTTAGGAACAACACAATCAATAACCTTCATCGCTCCACCTGAAGTACATCAAAGTATTCTTGATATGCGTCAAAAAGGCAGAACAGGCTATATTGATTCATATGACGTGATAGTCTGGCTTCTGACTCAAACATGTGACAATATTAGGGACTTGCAGCCTCTATATTATGCGCAAGGTTCTGATTTCTGTCGCCGAATGCAAGCTGCGAGACGCTATGAGAACTTTCTGGAAAATACAGCTCACCGAAATGCATATATAGAGAACTTGCGCCAATCAGAACAACAGGCTTTGGAGAAGATGTATGCTCCCCGGAGCCCATCAGCATCTTTAAGAGCTGATGCTTTCCTGATTACTGAAAGAAAGCTAGTTGAATGCATGCAAGAGCTCAATAAGACTTATGGAAAGTCATATGCTGATTCTAGCTTCGCAACATCGGCATTGGAGGAGGTGGAACAGGAGCGCGAGGTGGCCAACGAAGTTGAAGAAAGAGAAGTGCAACGGCCACGTCCCATGACCCCTCTCGAATGGCCCGGTCTACACAAATCGATCCTTGACTTTGTGAAAACTGGCCAATTGAAAACAGGTGGTCATTATATGAAAGCCTCGAGGATACTTTCATCAACGCAGCTGGCCCTGAAGCATGGAATAGACGTTTTCAGCTTCATGCCTCACCTCCATGTTTCGCTGGAATTCACGAGGACAGTGAAACTCGACTCAGGGGCAGGGGAGACGCATGATAATTACATTGTAAGTTTCTGTTTCATACTAGTTTCTGCTTACTCGGCTAACGGTTTCCCGCCTACCTGCTTAGCGTCCTGTCAACTGGATATTGTATAGTAGGCGCACGGAGGACGCCATTGTGATAATTCCCGAAGAGGTTGAACAGCTGATTCAAATTTTCTGGAGAGACCCAGACCTGCCTGTGCATCTTATCCTCTATGCGGCGCCTGTTACCAAGAGAATGCAGCACTTTAACCGTCTCGCCTACTACTCTATCCCGAGTCTCCCTGTCGAATGGACCCCACCACCATGGCTTCCTGTCGAGATTGGTATATTGGCAGGAAGGTTATACTTCGACTTTTCAGAGTACACAAGTCTACTGGATCGCTTTCAGTCTCAACGGACTAAAATTGGAACGTTACTCGAATTTATCCAGGAATGGTCTGTTCTTCGTCGTTCTGGCCAAAACATCTCCCATACCCCGATGGGATTCCTGTGCCAGGGCCTTCCACTTGACGAGGGCCATCCATTCTTTTCAACGAGAAAGACACAGGAGCAGGCAGAAGATATTCAGTGTGATCCATTTCCTTCCACCCTGAACCATGCAGAGAGCGCTGGTGAGCATTATTATGATGGCGAAGACATGGACCCTGGTGTTGGAATGAGCGATGACGAGTCTGGTGATGAGGGTATTGTCGATTAATAAACCTTCTACGTATAAACGTCTGGCACGTTAATTGCGTCTATTGGATAGACTTGGAATGCATTTAGGCATATTGATTGGTTCCAAATACTTAGAGCAGACTTGACACTAATTTGGACGTGTTAAGCGAGTCGGTTGGTTACTTTAAGTTCAGAGCTTACTGTACTCGTAGATCTACTGTTAGACCACGAAGTGGAGGGGTGCTTACAACGATTGATCTACGATCACATTTGACAAACCAACCTGAAATTGGACACAAATATCACTGAGCAGAACAGAGAATGACTACTAATATCCCCGCTAAGATGAATATACGGCACCCGCAACACTCCCCACGGAGAGTCAAGATCCATACCTCTATTCTCTTCGACCCTAAAAAGAAAGAGTTCATCAAAGACTTGACAATAGTCGCAGACCGAAGCACTGGACTCATTGTCGACGTATACAAGCGTTCCGCTACTGACGGGCAAATTTTACCTGCGGAAGATATCGACTTGCGCGGTCTTCTGGTCCTGCCCGGTTTGGTAGATGCCCACACCCACATATTCCTCCATTCCTACAAGGAAACACCAGCTCTGAACCAGATGCGCGATGAGAGTTTGATAGAACGGACCATCAGAGCCGTGAACCATTGCCGGACAGCTCTTTTAGCTGGCTACACGACTTATAGAGACCTGGGCACTGAGGGCTTGCAGGATGCAGATGTTAATGTCCGCGACGCGATCAACCGTGCACTGACTCCTGGCCCGAGGCTCATTGTCGCTACAGAAACGATCGCCTCATCGGGTGGTTATGCTATTAGACAGGAGAATCGCCTTGGCGGGACGGTTGTTCCGTCTATCTCTGACGTTGCAGATGGCATAGACGGAGTCAGGGCAGCTGTTCGACGGCGCATTGGAGCAGGTGCAGATATCGTGAAGTTTTACGCAGACTACCGAAAGAGACAACTACGATTCCCACCTGCGAACTGGCCAGGTGCTTGTCCAATCCAATTTCCGCCTACTGATCGGAACCCGGACATTGTTCTCTTCACACAGGAAGAAATGGACACAATTGTTGCGGAAGCACGAAATTCAAACTGTCCAGTTGCCGCTCATGCATCTTCAGCGAAGGCTGTGATTATGGCTGCCAAGGCTGGTGTCACTACCATTGAACATGGATATGAGCCGTCCCGTGAAGCGCTGCAGGCAATGAAAGAAGCAGGGACAATTTTCGTTCCTACGTTAGCTGTTTTCGAGCAGCAACTTCCTGAGCGCATAGAAGAAATTCTCGCACACACGAAAGAGGCATGGGAGGCTGGGGTTAAACTAGCCTGCGGAGGTGATACTGGGGCATTCTCCCATGGCGACAATGCCAGAGAGATGGAGCTTATGACGGAGGCAGGGATCCCAATTGAAGAAGTCTTAACTGCTAGCACATTGCACGGTTGGGAAGCTTGCGGAGGGGATATGTGTGGAAGAAGGTTCGGTTGGTTCGAGAAAGGGGTTGCCGCGGATATTATTGCTTTGGACGGGGATCTTAGAACTGATATTGGGGCTCTACGGAGGGTGCAATTTGTGATGAAGGATGCTAGGGTGTGGAAGGAAAATGGAGTCCCCGTAGGTATGTACTGAGGAGTCGCCCTCGATCACGGATGATGCCCTGTTAGAAAGATAGCACAGGAGGAAAAGATAAGCAGTTCGGCCTAATAGCTTAGACCTTCTTCTTTTGTCTAAAGCGGCTCAAAGCGAAATGATATCGTTCCTTGATCTCACATGGGTATTCCAGAAACCCTTATCTGGAACGAATGCTTCTAAGGTGATACAGATTTCTCTTTCTATATTCAGATTCCGAACATAATGATGTTTTCATCTATATTGCCTCTTATCGCGATTTTGCGGGGTCGACCCGCCCGTCGAGTTTCCAAATTCATCGGAGAAACCGACAGCATCTTGTCTAACACCCACGCTTGAGATAGTACGTGTGCTTGAAACAGTGTAATCCGGGGTTAGAAAGATCACACGTTGGAGTTCTTTCAATTATTGTTTTTTAGATTGACAGTTAAAGAAGGCATATAGTCTCTTGTTCTTATTCTTAGTATCATCATACTCTATACCCCGAGTATTGATGTCTCAGAAAGTGGAGAAGATAAGAAACACTGTCCTTGATCACATCTCCGACGGCCCGTACAATAAAAGTAAGGGTGTGGCGGGCCCTTCGTAGCTTCATCCTGGAAAACAACATGTCAAAGCACATTGATTCCATAGGTAGTACCTACCTAGTTAGCGCAAGACGCTTTTAGCAATCCTGTGCGAGGAACACTAGAGAAATCTGCCTGAGTGGCGAGCTAACATGTCCTTATCGTTCTCTCGTCGCGCATTGTCCCCGGTGCTAAGTAGGTACAGTACTACCATGTGGTAGTCTAAAGAGACTAACCTGCATAAATGATAAGGATACTATCAACGATGCAATGTCCAGATACTACGCTGGTATACAATGGAAAACATGCCGATCCCCCGCTCCTTCGTCCATACCTTCTTGCGGTCTTGATCAGCGATAGAAGAAACCTCAATCCTCTACAGAAGGATCTGAGGTTCAGAATCGCCAATCATGGCTTCCAAAGAGAAAGAGATGGACTCCGTCGTGAAGCCCGCGACAACTCGCGGGGAGACGGAAGTTGAACAAGGTGCACTGGAGGAATTGGACGTTGATTTGAATACGGTGTTGAAAGAGAATGCGAAGATCGACATTGAATCTGATCGATCGCCCTATCCCGAAGGTACTGTATAAGCTCTAGTAATCTGCTCTATATGCATGCCCGCTAACTACAATTCTAGTTCGGGCGGTCGTCCCGGAGGTTGATGACCCCGGCATGCCAGTGAATACTCTGCGCATGTGGGTGCTAGGAATAATATTCACGATCCTCGGTTCTGGAGTTAATCAATTCTTCGCTTTGCGCTATCCATCCGTACACATCGTGGCCCTAGTCGCAGAACTTCTGGCGTACCCTTGCGGTGTATTTCTGGCAAAGACTCTTCCACAATGGACTGTCAACCTTGGTCCCTTGGGACGATGGTGCATAAACCCAGATAGCCATTTCAACATCAAGGAACATGCTGTTATAACGATCATGAGCAATGTCTCCTTCGGTTATGGAAGTGCGGACGCCACTCAAATCATCCAAGCCGCCTCACCCAAGTTCTACAACTTTGGACTCAAGGCAGGATTCTCCGTCTTGGTTGTGTTATGCGCGCAGCTCCTGGGCTTTGGTATTGCCGGACTGGCAGCGCCATGGCTCGTGGAGCCTGCTAGTATAATCTGGCCAGCAGTGTTATCGAATTGTGCGATGCTTGAAACTCTCCACTCGCGCGCAAATGCTGTCGCTGATGGCTGGAAGGTTTCACGTCTGCGCTTTTTCTTCTACGTTACGATTGCGGCGTTCGCATGGTACTGGTTCCCGGGTCTGATCTTCACTGCGCTCAGCTACTTTACCTGGGTGTGTTGGATAGCACCAAAGAACCTCATCGTAAATCACCTTTTCGGAATGCAGACAGGACTTGGACTTAGTCCCATCACGTTCGACTGGTCGATGGTGGCCTACAATACTGACCCGTTGCTATCACCTGCTTGGGCAGCTCTCAATGTCTTCGCAGGATTCGTGGTGTTCTTCTGGATCATCACTCCGATTCTGTACTACACGAATACCTGGTTTACAGCCTACCTTCCACTGATGACGGCCGATGTGTATGACAGAACAGGTCAAGTCTATGATACCAGCAGGGTCGTTGGCCCAGACAACTCTTTAGACGTCGAGGCGTATAAGCGATACTCGCCTCCATATCTACCAGCGACATTTGCATTCGTCTACGGTTTATCCTTCGCATCTATCACAGCTGCTCTTACCCACGTCGCCTGTTGGCATTATGACGATATCAGAGATGCTTGGAAGGGCAGGACCAAGCTCGACATTCACGCTCGACTGATGAAAAGATACAGGAGCACGCCATGGTACTGGTATGCTGCCATAATTGTTATGATGACCGCAATTGCAATTGCCATGGTCGAAGTGTATGAGACAAAGCTCCCTGTATACGGCGTTTTCCTAGCCCTGGTCATTCCAGCGTTGTACATGATCCCATGCGGTATCATTGAAGGAATCACCAACGTCAATGCCAACCAGATCAACGTACTCAGCGAGTTCATCGGCGGTTACATGTTTGAAGGAAAGCCTCTCGCCAATATGATCTTCAAGGTCCTGTCGCAAGACGTAGTAGGCCAAGGCGTCTATTTCGCCATGGACATGAAGCTGGGCCATTATCTCAAGATCCCACCGCGAACGCTCTTCTTCGCACAGGGTTTCGCAACCATTCTTGGAGCTTTGACCCAAGCGGGAGTCACGATCTGGATGCTGGGCCATATCCCCGATGTCTGCGATTCTGACCAGCCGGACGGGTTCTCCTGTCCCGGTGGCAGAACCGTATATTCCTCGTCCGTTGTCTGGGGTCTGGTCGGTCCGCGCCGTCTCTATTCCGCTGGAAAGATATATTCATCTCTCTTGCACTTCTTCTGGATCGGTGCTCTCGTCCCAGTCTTCACATGGCTTCTGTATAAGTATACTAAACGTCCGTTCCTCAAACTGATCAATTGGCCCTTGATATTTGTCGGAACCTATAACGTGCCACCAGGTACACATTCTCCCCGCATCGCTACTTACCAAAACGTGACCACTAATATCATATCACAGCAACCGGAATCAATTACTCCAGTTGGGCCATTGTCAACTTCGTCTTCAACTACTATATCAAGCGCAAATTCTTCGCCTGGTGGACGAAATATAACTATGTCCTTGCTGCCGCACTCGACACCGGCCTGGCCTTATCTGGCATTGTCATTTTTTTCTGCGTCAGTTACCCGGGTGCTTCATTCCCAGATTGGTGGGGAAACACTGTCTATCTCAACACAGCGGATGGAGAAGGCCTCCCATGGAAAGAGATGCCAACAGTAGGGTACTTTGGCCCGCCAAATGGGACGTGGACTTGATGGCAAGCTGAGAAGTACCATCTGAGTTCTTTCCGTGTGGAGTTGTAAAGAGATATTGCCGTGTCATTCTTCCAGGACAGTTCACCACCATCCTGCAGACTTGTCGGGATGGTTTAGGAGAGTCGCTGACACTCTGAGGATAGCCGCAATTATGTTTACCGGACAGAATATTAATCGTATCATCAAAATTCATGATTTATTATCGGGATAAACCTGCATTCGTCTCGACTACAACACGAGCAGCATGGTCTGAGTTCGGGTGAAAAAGTACATACATTCTCCCTTTGTCCCATCCCTTCAAATAGCCGAAAACCCGCAACGTGAAACCGAGCGCATAAACTTAAACCGTAAAAAATAACAGACGCAGGGGTTGTAATAAAAAGACCAGCAACAACAACTGCAATAAGAGTTTCTGACAACGGTTGCGAAGTCTGAAGTCGTACGGACAAAATGGGGGTTTAGAGTACAGGTAAGTCAATGCTCGCTTTCCAGAGCTGAGAGGCTGGTTCAAGCGCATTCAATGAAAACCGGTCGTTTACTACGATAAGTTAGTCCTTCCTGCTCAACTTTTACGTCTTTCGGCAATGACTTACAGATATCTCAGCCACCATGTCATCACCATTGGTAGCTGGCTGCGCAGCAGCACCATTGGTGGCAGCAGGAGCGGCGCCTTCAGCAGCAGGGGCACTATTCTCAGTGCTGGCAAAGTAATCCACCATCTCCGCGTCGAGTTCCTCAACGGACTTCGGCTTCGGACGGTTGTTGGGCTTACGACCACGGCCACGAGCACGGCCACGACCGCGGGCAGCTGTGCCATTGGCCTTGGTCGCAGTAGCTGGCTTAGGCTGGGCCTTGGGTTGACTGCAAAGGTCAGTAGCCAGTACAAGCAAGCTGGAGGAGCAGCAAACATACGCTACACGCTCAGTGAGCGGCTTTGGTGCAGGAATCTCTGGGGCGCGAGTGGCGTCGAGGACAACTTCGATCTATAACAGAGTTAGACATGAGTGATCAAATGGAATGAGAAAGTGCGATGCATACTCTCATCGGGCGCTTGTCGACGAGAAGTCCGTTCAACTCCTTAGCGGCCTTCGCCGCAGTGTCCGGTCTGCTGAATGTCACCTGAGCGATGCCTCGGCTCGTGCCATTCTGGTTGTAGGTCACCATTACCCGCTTGACGGGGCCTGCTGACTTTGTGAAATACTCCTATAACGATAGCGACATAACAATCAGTATTTCCATTGGAAACTCCACGTCCGTCGCACTCGACACTGAGACAGCTAGGATGCGCGCGCGAAAACGGTCCCGAACTCGAAAATCCCAAGGGCATCAGCGAGTACACAGCGAGCATTAGTAGTTAGTGATGTTTGAAGAAATGTTGCATCGACATGAGGACGGTAGTTCCGGCGAGATATAATCCAAGTCAAGGCATGAGGGACGGAGCGAATTTGTGGATATCCGGTGGTTGTAAAAAACTCTGTCAACATAGCATAATAGCTATGTGATACGGGAAACCATGGCCAGGATTCTCAAACAGCATCGCGCATGCTTATTTGTTTGTATCTGGCCGCCGCAGACATAGGAGAAGACAAAGAGCGAGTTGTGATTTCTAGTGGCTCACAGAATGTTTCCCATGCCGCAAGAGATGCGTATTGTTTTTCAGGGCATTTAGGTTTCCGGGAGGCGACCGCACTGAGCTGTGGGCTAGTCGATAGTCGGGCAGGCGGGCAAGCAGGACGTAGTCGCTTCTGGAGTTGGCTTTCTTCCGTGGCTAGATGAACTATGCTGCTGAATCACTGATGCGCTCACTGATGCGCTCGCTGATGCCCCATAAAAGCCAGAATGCGAAATCACAACGCATAGCCAATGTTCAAAAAAAGAACCCGGGAACGTCTGAATCGACACTCTCATGGCACAGTCTGCAGAGCGACCACACAAGCGTTGCTAACCGATAGCGAGCAAATGATATGGCGCATGGCAAGACTAGCGACAGGGCTCTACTTCCACAGTCCGCATCAGCCGCTAAGGGGCGAGCAAGGACGTAGGTAAGGAGCACTCTGTCTGCGCCGAAAAATTTCGACCGGTATGACCGCGTCGTGGACGAGATAGAGAAACTCGGAATGCAACCGCTCGCGCCTCGAAGATCTCAAAAAGATATGGCGATAGAAACCCAAGGCGAAGGCCTCTCGATTAACATACCTTGATTTGGGCTTCATTCACGTCCGGTGGCTAGTTATACAGTTAGTACCGCATACCTTGTTATGAGAGACAACCCAACACAGTGGACGGAGAAAGCTTACCAGTCCGCTCACCATGATCTTGCTCTCACCAGATACTCCTGCAGGTCCAGTGGGCGCACCCTTTCCTGCTGGCTTCGCACCCTTGGTGTTCTTCTTCACTCCTCCGACCGGAGCAGCGCTGGCAGCGGCCTTCGCGCCACCACTGCGACGACGCGCATTACGGCGGCCAGCATTACCCTGCCGACGGCTGCTGAGGATCTCATCGAGAGACTGGTCGAGCTTGCCAGACATGTTGACTACGTGAGGAGTCTTGATAGATTTGAAAGATCTCACGAAAGGTCACGTCGACCGTAGCACTTGGTGGAGACGAGTGGAAGAGGTTGCGTCACCAAAGATCGCAACGCTTTGAGAATCGACCTGAAGCTGAACTCTCGCGGGGATACGGAGAATCGCAGAGACGATAGATAGATAGATGTGTATATGTAGATATGATGAATCACGGATGCTCCTTGGGAGTTGAAGAAGCGTTGGGTGGGTGGATTAAGGAGGAATGGATGGGAGAGAGAGTGAAAGGGTCGAATGTTGCAGCGGAAGGTGGTCGACAAACAGGGAAGAGCGCTAGTCCGCTTCGGGTTGACTGCGCCTTTGACTTGCACCTGCCCGTTTCAGCCTCTTGGGCATCAATGGATGATCATAACAATAACAATACATCCTGTACACGCCACTGCATCGAAACAAAGGCACACCGAGTGATGTCTCGGGCGTCATAGACGGCGAAACCTCCTTTTCCTCAAGGAGCACATATTCGCTTATGCACTAACATGGTGCTGGAGTCTTTACTCAACTAGTTAGCCTATGTTCACTTACTCGAAGGATTCATTGCGTTCCCTCGACTCAACGCATGAATCGCACTTTGAGAGCCTTTGGCCTTTTTGTTTACGTTCATATCATTTGAAGCAAAGATGGTTGAACATTCACCTTCTCTTTCCCGTGTCGTGTCAACCAGAAGAATAGAGACCCAACTGCCAGAACCTTTCAAAGCCCTAGAGCACTTCCAAATCCACATAGAAGGTGAAAACGCCATATTGCGGCTATCCCAAGAAATTTCCCCGCATGTTACAGGGGCCTTCCACAGTCTCGGGAGCATCATGCAGATGTTGAAACTTGGCTATAAAAGTACCAGTGGCGAGATATTGCTCCCGTATTCCTTCCAAGAAGTCCAATCATGATAGAACTATCCAATGATACCATCGGGACCAGAAATTCATGAGACAATTGGACCGTTGCATATTGTCGATCCAACTTAGTAACATATAGAAACTGCGGACGTTTTGTGTTGAAACTCCGAGGATTAACGGAGATTATATTTAGCGTTGAGGCATTCCTTAAACGCAGCACGAGAGAGGAACTATATCCATCTTGATTATAGCGAAGGAAGCAAAGCTAAGATCAACAGAATCTATCGCTTGATATCCGTGACCGGTGTCGATGATACCGGCATGGCGGGTGCCACAAACTCAGGGACCGCATGAGGTCGCAGTAAATGGACCTGATCACCCATGACTTGGGGGCCTAAAAAAGCAAAGCACGACGATGACGATGAAGGAATAGAATTCTACTTTAGACGACTTCTTCAAAATATTAGTATGTTTATCAAATATATCGATCTGGGTCTCACCTATCGCAGGTTTTATGTTGATCTCTTGGCGGTTTATGTATCACTCGCCTCGTATATATGCTCATTCATGCTCCACGCTGAGACTCGACATACAAATGGTAAATAATGATATATTATAGACATACTGCAATATTTCTAAGTGGCAATCTTTCTTGACACATGCAAACCCCTGTAAACTAGACATCGCATTAGTTTTAGTGCTTTCCGTATGTGGCGTGTTGCAGCTCGGGTACACCGTCTCAGACGAGCTAGAGTATATGACCAGAACGTGGCATTCATCCGAGTTAACTGGGGGGACTAATGCTTTTTTCCTCCCTCTTTTTTGAGATTACATTTGATTCTGTCTATCTTCTTAACACTGCCTATATGCTCGACCGCGGATGATAAATCACAATGGAGGACAAGCCCGGCTCAATAGAACTCCACCCAGACTACAAGTATTGCGGTACGCTGTCATATTTTGTTTTCTCGTCGCCATTTAAAAGATCTGTTCGAATTGCCTATCCACGTATCCTGGTCACGCTCCTGCGACCTGTATGTCTTTCCAATGGAGGACTTACTTGCTATGATCTCTAGGAAGGAATTTCACGACGACAATCCATCACGATACATACCCTGCCATTTCCCCACTACTAGCGAACCTTTCAGGACAAACGGTGTTGGTCACTGGAGCTTCAAGAGGGATTGGTGCCACCACCGCCGCCGCATTCGCACGAGCAGGAGCATCACAGATCGTAATCCTAGCACGTGGGAATCTTGATGGTACGGAGAAGCGCATCCTCGACGAGGCCGCTGCTACAGGGAGATACGTGCCGGAAATCTTGAAGCTGCATACTGATATTACAGATGCAAAAGCTGTTGCAGCGGCCGCCAATGAGATTAGGGCTCGATTCGGAAAAGTGAATATACTGGTCAATAATGCTGCGTTCTTGGGGAAAGAAGCCTCTATTACAGAGAGCGACCCTGATGAATGGTGGCGGTCGTGGGAAGTTAATAATAAAGGCACATATCTCGTCACAAGAGAGATCCTGCCCCTTTTGTTTGCGGCTGGTGATGGACAAGATGTCCTCAGACAGGTGGTGAACTTGACGAGCATCAGTGCACACCTCGGTTGGCCTGGCCACTCGAGCTATACGACAACCAAGTTGGCAGTTATACGCTTCACTGAGAGAATATGTGCAGAATATGCAGACAAGGGTGTGATATCAATTGCACTGCACCCTGGGCTCGTGGCCACGGATATGGGGGAAACAGTTCCAGAAAACATGAGACCTTGTAAGTACCAGATGGACGGATCACACAAAACTCTGCAATAACTACAGTTTTAATCATATTTTGCTTTTAGATTTCGGAGATACCCAAGAGCTCAGTTCGGACACCGTCGTATGGCTGACGAAAAAGCCGCGCAGATGGCTTGCTGGTCGCTATGTGGATGCAACATGGGATATGTTGGAACTAGAAGAAAAAAAGAATACGATTGTAGAGAATGATCTCCTGAAGGTTAGAATGAGATTATCTGCCGATTGAGCGGGCTCCAAGCACATTACCGTTTGAGGCGAGCTAGATGAACCAATAAATTAAAAAGAGCCCGTATTTTTGAATATTGCTTGCTGTGCGATTCCAGTCTAAGAACTCATGCGAAATGGAACCCGACTTTGGGGGAAAAAAGATATATGCATAGAGGAGACAGAATACGCTCAGCGCAACGTCGTGAAAAACCCCCCGAAGCCCAGACGAAACAAAAGTATCCAACGATCCTGAACACCCCCAGCAGCATGGCAAGCAACAAGAAGCGCATATGTTCGTTTAATATGAAAGGCAACGAAAAAGTGGAGTCTCAGCCACCAAAACTGTTTCAACTCTTGAGAGCCTCCAGACGGCCCCTCATCTGCTCGAGTGTTGCCTCCTGGTCCTCGAAGCTCTCTTCCACAGCTGGCTCTTCTTCCTCCAGCGGCCTGGTAGCCTGGGCAGGTTCTGCCTTGGCGAGTCTTCCCTGCAGAACTTCTTGCAAGACTTTGTCGACCTCGGCATCTGCTTCTTCCTCCTCGTCCTCCATAAGTTCGTTGGCCGGCATGGCGTCATCAACCATCTCCTCGATGATACCCGCCTTGACCAACTCCATCGACAGCTGTCGCATCGTCCCGGTCAACTCTGGTAGCCGAACCAAAGTGTTCACGTCCTTCATGATGCCTGTTGATTTCTTGAGGCTGCCTTGAATCTTCCGCACGGAAAATGCCTCATTGACTTGCATCTGCACACTCTGCAATTGCGCCCTACTCGTCGTGAGACGTCCATGCTGCTTGCGAATTCTAACAAGCTCACGCGCGAATGTCTTGGCCTCACTGTTGGCCTGCTTCGCTTGCGACGGGTTTCTCTGGGCGCGACGGGACGCATTGAGGATCAACTGACGCGTCTTGCTGTCGAGTTGTTTCAATTGGGAAATATCACGGTCGAGCTGACGGGTATTTGCGCGAATGAGTTGATTACATTTCCTCATCTACCGTTTGAGCTCTTGTCAGCACAGAAGAGCTACGTCGGACTGAGGAGAGAGACATAGACGTACCTGCGCCTGCGGATCAGGACCGAAGAATACAGCTTTGATTGACTCCATGACCGGCGAATAACTGGCGGTTTTTCTCCGTTTGAATTTGGTACAAAGTCTCCCCCAACAGTGGGAATTTCAGATTATGTTAGTAGGCTGTGATAAGGCTTCAAGATACCGGAGACCCGCTCAGCGATGTTGAAAGTTCAAGTTACAAGCGGACCCGGGGGGGCATGGTTGGAATGGGCGGGGCAGCAGACGCCCAAGGCGTCGATGTCGCGGCGTCAAGAGGCAAGCTTGGACGGCGCACGGAGAACAAGGATGGGAGCTGATCGTCTGGAATCCCGACACAGCTCAAGAGGCGATCTAGATGTGCCTGGAGTGCTTGATCGCGATGATAGCGATATCTAGCTCGTCCGGGGAGGGGCGTTGCCTGGCTTAGTCACCCACGGCCAGGCAAACAGGCCAAACAATGAGGCTTCCAGTACTTTCTAGGCAGAGCGGGATCCCTCGCGGCAAAGCAATCGCTCTGGCTCTTCTAGCTTCACGCATCTCGAATCTCGAACGCCAGCTTTTTGGGATCCTCGACTCAAGCAGTTTATACCCTACAATCCGTTAATTAGTTCTGTGTCACCTCTCCTACCTTACCTTCCTCACAATGTCGCAGACAACTGTTACCCCAGAAGGTATGCCCGCAGCACCATAACCCCACACTGGTCTGAGCGTTCTGCATAGGCATCGCAAGAGAGCTTTACAGTCTCGATTAGTTGCGCCTATTGATCGCTGGTCAGAAGGGCCAGGATGGGCTTCGTCTAACGTCGTGAGAGCACCAATGCTGACTTGAACTGCACCAGTGACATGGGCTCAGCGCTCCTCGAGCTCTGATCCTGCCAAGAACTACCTCTACGTCAACATCAACGTCCCCGATGTGCCTAAGACCTCTGCCGATCTCAACATCACCGCAAACAACGTGTCATTCACAGGTACCTCGATTAAGGGCATCAAGTACCATGTGTCGCTTGATCTATATGCCGAGATCGACCCCGAGAACAGCAAGGTGAACCATACCCCGCGCGGGGTCGAGCTGGTGCTGCGCAAGAAGGACCTCAAGGAAGAGTACTGGCCTCGCTTGCTGAAGGAGAGCAAGAAGGTCCACTTCCTCAAGACCGACTTCGACAAGGTATGATCCAGGAAGCTACTGGCCTCTCAGGGATCGAGACATGCTGACGGATTTAGTGGGTCGATGAGGACGAGCAGGATGAGGCTCCTGAAGACGACTACGCCAACAACTTCGGTGGTTTCGGTGAGGACGGTGGTCTCGGTGGTATTGACTTCTCTAAACTCGGCGGCGCTGCCGGCGGCTTCGGTGCTGACGGTGGTTTCGGCGCTGAGGGTGCCGAGGGTGAGGAGGATGGATCGGTATGCAGATCTTTGAAGATGGTTGGCCTAGACTCGTAACTAACTATAGTCTAGGACGACGATATGCCAGAGCTCGAGGGCGACGAGTCTGGTGAGGGAAAGAGCCAGGAGAAGCCAAAGATCGAGGAGGTCGCTTAAATTTCGAAAACTCAAATCGTTAAACGCGCTTGCTCTTGAGCAGGAAATATCCATTCTTTAGAGCCCTCAGAATCGATTGCGTGGTGTGTTTTAGCTACACAGCAGGATTTAGGATGTGGGAGCGGCGAATGGTCTTGATCTGGTTTTTGGCTTTGAAGTGGAAGGCGGCACCACGAGGTTGTCGCTTCTGCAACTTATGACGTGTGATGTTTAAGAGCGATTCTTGAATGGATGAAAGGTTGAAAAGCAGGCGTATTTTCCAGAATTTACTGTAGGGAATTACATTTTCGCGTCTACGCGGTTGATGTTTTGAGCCACTTCTGTTTGGTCGCGCTGATGCGTTGCTTCATTAGTGCAACCTCATTACTGTTATCTTCTGCCATTATTTTGCGTAGATGTCTAGTCATGGTCTCCCATGTCTTGCTGAGACACGTCGCAATCCTCAATATTCAATCAGTGATGTTTGTCTTGGCCAACTTTGGTTCTAGGAGACTCGGAGGATGCCTCCGTGCTGACAACTATTTGCATTGACAAAATCGCACAAACGGTATGTGGATTAGATATAGTAAATATACACCAAAGGACGGAGCCAGGACCATTCCTGCATCATCTTGCAAGCGAGCTGTACGGCGTCACTCCGGGATAGAATGACGTGGGGATCGTTGGGATCGGGATAGAAGCCGTGGTTCCAAAAGCAGTTGTCAAGTCACCCGTCATGGTGGGAGCTGAGTACCCAGACGGAGCGCTGGTGACAGTGGTTGTAGTCACAGCATACGAGGTAGCAGATGAGCTGTCCTCCAGACAGGCACCAGAACCGTATGCGCTCTCGCAGGAGTACCATTGTTCGCTACCGCTTTCGGTCCACATGGCGAAGTCTTTGATGGTGATGTCGGTGCAAGGCACAGCGTCAGGACAGATGACGCGAATCGGACCTCGTTTTGAACCGTCGGCTTCTGTACCTTTCCAGTTGTTGAACGTGATGTTGCTCAGTTGGACTCCGTCGCCCTCTGCCTCTGACTGGCCGCTCCAGTGGCTGTCGATGTTGAGGGAGTAGGCGTTGCCATGGCCTTTGAGTCGGGTTAGTATAAAAAGCTCTTATGTCTGGAGTGGCTGGTTCACGAGATGCTAGTACATACCGATGAAGTTCTCGAATAGAACATTCTCCACGAATCCACTGCCGCCGTTACTCTTGATCATCATCATCTGGTTGGACGACCAGGTGTAGATGTTGCGATAGGTCACGTCAGTGATATTGGTATCTGCTCCCAGGGAACCGATAGCGCAACCACCGCTCCAGTTGCAGTAGATACTCTCGACAAGGATATTCTTTGAAGGACTCTGAATACGAGATTAGCGGACATCTCTACGGAAGCATATGGCGAGAAAGAGGATTTACCTTGACCGTTACACACTCATCCTTGTTAGTAACCATGACCTGGAAGATGTTAGATCATTTGCTATTGGAGCCCTCCCTAGTTCATGACAACATACGTCGTGCACCCAAATGTTGGTACTCCAAACATCAATACCGTCAAGACCTCCCTCATCACCTCCACGGATGGCCATGTTATAAATCTCACCGTCAGAGCAGGTATCAACTGAGAAATGAAACGATGGCGAGTCGACAAGAATGAAATCATGCACAGAGAAGTGTGAGACATCATAGAATCGTAAGAGGCGAGGACCACTGAGCGATCCATTGATATGATATTCGTATCCATTTCCCTGGATCGCACCCTTCGACGTGCTGCTGAAGAGCTCAAAGTCCGACGAGTGTTCAATAAAAATCATGTTTCCACCATCAGTTCCGGTGCGGTATATCTGTCCATCGATCTGAAGCGCCCAGGCACTGCCGCCGCTTAGGGTCACCCATGTGTCCATGGCATATTTTCCGGAGGGGACATAGACCAGGCCACCCGACTTGCAGTCTGCAAAAGCAGAAGCAAGTGGAGCACCTAGATCTGTTGACTGGTCGGCTACCGCGCCGTAGTCAACGACATTGCAGGTCTTCGTGGCTTTCTTCGTGGAGACTGAAGTCAGCGGTCCGACGTCCCCGGATAGCTGGGCTGACGATTGAACAGCCAGAAGGCCCAATGAAATAAAGAGTGTAGGAAGTGATAGCTGCATAATGGGTGGTTGTTTAAGATAAACAAGAAAGAATCGTAGAGTTAGATATCAAAAGAGCGACAACAGGCGGCCCACGTAAGGAAAGTTGGTGATACCGTGCCTGGATGAGAGAAAGCTCCTGCATTGGAAGAAGGCCTGCATTATTATATATTACTAGAACATAAAAGAAGCTCCTCTAACGAGGAGTGCTTGACGGTGAGAGGTGGAGTTTTGTTGGTCTGATCTGTTTCAAGAGGCTCCTGTGTCATTGAATTGAAAAGTCGTTAGTCCCACCAACAGGAGAGATTCCGAACATTCTGTATTGAATATGTAACCGACTATCTACGGAAAAGTCCCGAGCAGTTCTCTGTAGATATAATAATAGTATAGCGCCACAGAACGCGTCATGACCAGATAGGGATCAGGTGCTCTGGTAAAAGAAACAAGCGATCCCTGAATCTTATTCCTCTTGTGGGTATAAAACCGCGAATGTCGATCAACTGCTGCTTCTTGTTGTTCCTAGTGGGTCATAACAACACATTTATTCGTGGAGAAATGTAAACTACATCTACCCTGTGTATAGCAAGCAGCTTTATAGTTGCAGAGGAAGGACAGGCACAAAGATTGTGAACAATGATATGATATCTAATAATTCCATTCAATATGCTGTGGAAGGATATAAAAAATAAAATAAAAATACCGTCGTTGCCCACATATGTCCCCTCTGCCCTGGCAGGAGAAAACCTTACTAGTCTGTACTTGAAACAAGCTATAAGTATGGAGTATATTCCCGGCTCCTTGGCGGTTGGCGTTTATATCGAGTAATCTTATGAGGCGTTCTCTTGTTGAAACTATGAACCGAACACCCTGGGAGAGTTCACTCAACTCTCTACGTAAGAGATCCTATATATGAGATTGACTAGCCAAACCATGCCTTTCAGCGCCGACTTTAGCAGCCAACTCTAACCCCTCAATTATCTTGTTCGGCATACTCAGAAATGGTGAGTGTGACCCTTGGCACCGGAAGAGAATGCAGCCGCGTCCAAGAGTACTGGCGAACTGTTCTTGAAGGGCAATCGGTAAACACATATCCTTTTCGCACAATATATACATACATGCTAAATTGTGCCAAGGCTCGTTTGTGACGGGCTCCATGAGTGCTGAAACGGAAATGTGTTTTAGCTTGGATATCCACTTTTTCTGTTCGTCTGGTGAGAGGTCGTTGTAGAAAACGATTTCTTCATCGGAGGTATAACAGTAGTCTCCCTGTATGTACGGAGTATAGTATGGGTCAGCACTGAGCAAAATCGATGGTACGCAACGCAATAAAACAACCTTTACTTTTATCCATGGAAACCACTTGCCCCCAATCATATCGTAGAGGCTGTTTCCACTTGGTGCAACAAGTGCTGTCATGTAGACCAACATAATCACACCACCAGTCTGTCCTGACTGAGAACGCTGGACGTAGTCTAGTCCTTGAACAGCTCCAGCACCGACTAATCCACCGTAAGAGTGAGCAACCACCACAAGTAGTCTTCCTTCTTCAGCTAACTGTTGCAGGACAGAGCGAACATGGGAGACATCATCAGTCAAGCTTTTGTTGGGAGGCTCAGCACCGACAGAAGGAAGAGCGACCACTTCGGAGTCGAGCTCCTGCTGGGACATGAGCTGCCTGAGAGGATTGAAGACTTCTGGCATATGACAGGCCCCGGGAATAAATACAAATACTAGCTTTTCGTTATGAGCCATGATTATAGTGATTTTGACAACACGAGACTATAGCAGAAATGATGTGAGAGGGAATACGTCACGTCCTTCTTAATTGCTATTCTCGATAAAAGAGAATGATACAGGACTGCTTCATTGCAAAATCTCTCTAATCGGGCCGATTAGAGGCCCGCCATGCACGGGAAAAGGGTGTGGGAAGTACACTTCACTCCAGCGACACGAATCGTTTGCAAATACGAGTGAAAGATAATATGGATATCTTATTGGCAGAAACTAAACACCGTTATGCTAGCAAAGACCAAAATATATGTCCGGTGAAAGCACAGCAGACATGGATTAGATTTTAGAGCCAGATAGTTCCTCAAATAGGGAACACGCACGAACAATTGCCCCGATACCTATCCCTCGCGCAGCTACCAGTATATATACACAAATTTCATAAACAAACGTTACAAAAATCACGGCAAGGAAGATATTTGAAATTATCAAGAAATAGGCTCAAGATAACATCAAAGAAATGGAGATAAGCTTCTTTAGATGGCTGTGTTTTGGCCTCCGAATGATCCCTGCATCAGCAGGCCGCCGGGCTCAAGAAGGAGTAGATACCGACAGTGCTGCATTTCCTGAAGTAAAAGTTAGTGCATGACGTGAATATTAACTACAGCCTCTTCTTGATGCCATTGAATAGCCTCAGAAACTAGAAACTTGCAACCAGACTGAATATGTAATGTGAATTTCACTGTCTGTTTCCTGCTGTAGCATGTCCGGCATCAATATGGTATATATGTTGTTGACCCCGATCAGCATCGTGAAGGTTTATATTGCTACTAATGGCATATGAATACATCTACTGCACTACAGTAGGGATCATCAAAATCTCTATCCTGCTGATGTACTCTCGTATCTTCCCAACTCGGGGGTTCCGCATTGCAGCTTACATACGATGGGCCATCGCAATTTCCTGGGTGATTGCGATTAATTTGTTGTCATCTTTCAATGCGTCCCTATTTAAAAGACCCGGAAACCAACTATACGCGGGCACTGCATCAACTTGAAAGGTTCATTCATAGGTAATGCCTAGGGCATAATTTTTAGCCTCGCGATGAGCAAACTTGTTTCAGATTCGATCATTAGCTTCATCCGCGGGGAAAGAATAATACGTGAACTTCTGAAGGCTCTAAATATAAGTTCCACAATAGGGATGAATTAGTTACCCGTCTCGTTCCTAGCTTCCAAGCTCGGAATGAATCGTCAGGCACGGAGTTCGGGGACTGTTCTATATTTGCTCGGCGTATGAAATAGCAGCACTGGGGTTCACTAAGTTAAGCTCCTTTAGGTTCAGCCCCCGATAAACTATGAGCCAAGGAACTATCAACTGCTACGTTTCAGATCTAACGAGAACATCAGATTCAGGAGAAGCCACCAAAATTTGCACGTGGATTCAAGGAATCCCAGGCATCCTGGCGTGCACATAAATTATTATTTGAGCTATGTCGAACAGACCATCAATAATTGCAAACGTATCCTACCATCTTCCTCTCCGTCTTTTCCCCAATTCACACTGGGTCCGTAGACTCGCAGCTAACAGTGTCTTGAATCTTCTGCAAGAAAGTTCACAGTCAGGGCATTGTTTATGTACAAATAAAAGATCGTTTGAACATCACGTTTTCCCCTGACATTCCTCGGTGGCTGTGCGCCTGACCCCCAGGTTAAGCTTAAGATCCGGACCATAGATATCGGGGACCCATTATTAGATTGTTTTCCCTAGGCCTCCACTTCAGTTCTGTTCCAGTGGGCGAGAGAGCCCGTTAGCCTACTTTTGAGAATGATGGGTCTCGGGTGTTTCCACTATCCTATCCACTTACCCGTCCCAGTTATGACCAGCCATCTTCTGCCAAAGATATTTAACGTCGACATGTCCCAATGGATCCCAGTACAGGTACTGGCTTTCGTCTCTGCATGGGCAAGAGGACAGTGACAAGCCAATTCCTCAAGATCGTCCATTCTATACCTTTAACGTCCGATCCTTGAGGAACAAGTTGCTTCTGATTCAGCCTGTCAGGATGTCTGTCCTTTCTCGTCTTCTTCATGTCTCTCTAGGCCTCCTGGCTGCAACCACATGCAATGCGAGTCCTATCACAGGTCTACAGCGACGTGGAAGCATCGCATCGGATGAGATCGTCGGTTTTGCTCAAACAGTTCCAAGCGGTACAACAGGCGACCTCTATCTAGCCTATCAGCCCCGCCTAAAGGTAGTTAACGGCTGTGTTCCTTTCCCAGCTGTTGACGCTGAGGGAGATACCAAGTAAGTCTTTCATCCTCTTCCGAGTAAAAGGTTTGTCTGACCATTTACAGTGCTGGTCTCTCGCCTACCGGTGATTCCGACGGTGACTGTAGCAGCAGCACCGGTCAGATCTACGTCCGCGGAGCCAATTATGGCGATAGATACGCTCTACTCTACGCCTGGTACTTCCCCAAAGATGAGCCATCTGATGGGCTTGGACATCGTCATGACTGGGAAGGCGCCATTGTCTGGCTTTCAAGCGCGAATTCTACCTCCACGGACAATATCCTGGCTGTATGCCCATCTGCCCATGGGGGCTGGGACTGTTCGACGAACGGATATACGCTTGACGGCACCTCTCCCTTGATCCGGTACTACAGCATCTGGCCGGTAGACCACCAGTGCGGTCTCACTTCAACTGTTGGTGGTACCCAGCCACTTATCGCGTGGGAGTCTCTCCCAACTCTTGCACAGGACGCTCTTTCGGATACTGACTGGGGCTCCGGCAATGTGCCCTTCATCGATGCCAACCTCGATACCAATTTAGGAAAAGCGACTTTCTAGTTATTCAGGGCCAATCTTACATTTCATACCCAGATGCGTTTGAATCAGTGCTATGATTCAGATATCCTTTTGGATACAGACTTAAGATTTTCGTTTGCATAATGGAACCAACATGTGCGCTTGTTGAAGCCGTGCGTATACTACTTAAAGACCCTATGAGCAATAAGCTTTTCGACACCTAATCTTCTATACATGCTTTACAATATTTAGGCAAAGAGGTTCCTAAGATGGCCAGCTATCTTGGCGTGTGTTCCGACGGCTTGGAGGACTTAAGGGCCAGTAATGCTGAGACCACATAAGGACGAGCCAGTCCTAGATAACTTCTGCCCATTGCTTTGTGTCAAAAACAGAAGGTCAAAACGGTGGCTTGTATCTAACTGGCACTAACAGCGTCCGCAGTAACTCTACACAACTCTCCGCCCGCTTTGATTCATCTCACTGCGGGGGAGCGTAGCCCGGGCTGGTTAGCCACCTGCCAAATAAATCTCAGGTGCTAACATTTCTACCCGTCTGATGATAAGGTAGCACCGAGCTAATACTGCTCAGCACTCTATTATATTGTCTCATTCGTGCGAATTTAATAATTCCTTCTGATACGGCTTAACGATCGACACTTCCACTCAATGGTCCGAGGTGGCTGATAAGCATTATCCCGATAAGAGAGGCGGAGTGCTTCCGCCACAATGGCGGGCAGGTCCCGACAGGAATCTGATCGCACGAGTCTTTACTTGAATACTTACTTTCAAAATGCATTGAGTGTGCTGCCTTGAACACCTAGGTACTCACCATGGGTGCCGACGAGGTTACTTTTGCACCATTGGCTGTTGCGGCCGCTGGCGACGATAAAGGCGTCATCAAAGTTCAAGATGCGGATGAATTGCGCTTAGCACAGATGGGTAGGTGATTTCTCAATGTTTCAGGACACAGGACACTTGAATGTGAGGCTTCTAACATACCTTGAGATAGGCCACAAACAGGAGTTGGCGCGACATTTCTCTGTGTTCAGTCTCATCGGTCTCGCTTCGACGTGTACCATCTCGTGGACGGGTATGTTTGGCAGTATACCCTGCATTAGAATAGTTGACTGAATAATATACAGGCCTTGGACTCGGTCTTATTACAGCGATCAACGCGGGTGGCCCAGGTGCACGTAAGGCTCAGTAGCAACCCAGGTTTACTCTGCAGTTCATACTGACAAAACCAATTGCAGTAATCTATGGATTCATTCTTGTCGCGATCCTCCAGTCCTTTCTCGGCGCATCGCTGGCGGAGTTTGTCTCAGCATACCCGGTTGAAGGAGGGATGTACCATTGGATAGCCGCAATCGCACCAAAGAAATATAACTTTTTCCTAAGCTTTGCCACAGGCTGGAGTACCGTGTTCGGATGTGAGTTTTCTGTGATTGTCGACTCTTGTCGCATGTCTAACAGCAGTAGGGATCTTTACCACAGCATCTACTAACCTACTATATGCCACAAATTTTATGGCTTTGATAGCTCTATATAAGGATGGTCTAGTCATTCAGCCATGGATGACATTTGTTGTCTACCAAGGCCTCAATCTAATCACTTCAGGCATAGTGATGTTCGGAAATCGATTGATACCTGCGATCAACAAGTTTTCCTGTAAGCCTATGTTTACCTTTGCATACGGATATTGATACTAATGCAGGGATATCAGTGGCTTATCTTCAGATTGCTTGGTTTGTCATTATGGTCACAGTAGCTGCCAAAGCACCAGCACATAACGATTCGAAGTTCGTCTTCAAGACATGGATCAACAATACGGGCTGGGAAAACAACGTCATGTGCTTCATTACCGGCCTGGTTAACCCTCTGTATTCCTTGGGTGGTCTGGATGGAATTACTGTGAGTCTTTCGAAAGCACTGCTGGATATTTACTGACCAGAACCCAGCATATTACCGAAGAGATGCCTAATGTAAGTGGAACGATGGAGATCAAGCAATATCGTGCTAAATAGATAATTCTAGCCAGGAAGAAACGCACCACTTGCGCTTGGTCAGTATGTCTCTTCCAAGCCATTACCTAGCTAATACCGTTTTCTGCAGCATGTACACTTATAATTGCGTTCGTCACGGGTCTCACATACATGCTCAGTCTCATGTTCTCCGTCCAGGACTACACTACACTAGCTGACTCCCCGACCGGTCTTCCTCTGGCTGAGATCTTTCGCCAGACAACTCAAAGCCGAGGAGGCGCTTTTGGCCTGACTTTTATGCTTTGGATTGCCCTCGGTCCGTGTACGATCGGGTCGCAGCTGAGTAAGTCTCCCCTTGCCAGGCAGTTATCAGTGGACTTTCTGACTATCTTCTGCAGGCACTGGCCGAATTTTCTGGGCCTTTGCTCGAGACGATGGTCTCCCGCTATCAAATATGTAAGCCACCTACATGAGTCACTGAAGTCCTATGCATGCTAAATAACTCTCTAGCTGGTCTAAAGTCAACCGTAGACTAGGGGCTCCGTTCAATGCCCAACTCTGCGTGACTGTAATCATAGCCTTACTTGGCTGCATTTATCTCGGCTCTAGTACAGCCTTCAACGCGATGATGAGTTCGGCAGTGTAAGCATCCCCCGCCTTGGACAAAGAGACTGAATGGATTACTTATTGAATTAAAACGTGTAACAGCACAATCAACAACATCGCGTACCTCGTCCCCATATTAACGAACCTTCTACAAAGACGCAAGCGAATGCACCGCGGTCCTTTCTTCATGGGAAACCTGCCCGGAATGTTCGCCAACAGTGTGACAGTTGCTTGGCTAATCTTCGCAATTGTCTTTTTCTCCTTTCCATATTACATGCCTGTAACAGGTACGTGTGAACTACGAATTTATCGCACCTATGGATCTGGAGGCATATAGCTAATGCAAGAAATTAATCCATGTAGCCTCCAACATGAATTACACTTGCGCCTGTGTCGGGGGCTTTATGATCATTGAGCTGTTCTGGTGGCTTGTTGCTGGCAAGCGGTATACTCGAAGTATGCGAAAAGTCCGGGAAGAGGAAGGGCCCCAGACTGCCGTCATTGTCTCTGAAGGTGTAGAAAAGGATCTATAAGTAAATAGGGTTTGTGATCAAATCAGTTAGTCGATTATCGGGGCAATCCCTATACTTTTTTGAGGTGTCACAGATATGATCGTTGATGTTTTAGAAGATACACTTTGTGGAAGGAACTATACTAGTCTACATAAAGAGGCCCAGAAGTAGTTACGTAGAAATAATGGATGTCAATATCCGATACAGTAGTGTGTGTTGCTGATCTCCTGCGTGAGGGGTGGTAGTAAGGGGGCATACGAGGCCTGGCACATTCCGATTCTTCAACAGTCAGACATATATAGCGAGATCCTGCCTGTCTATACTCGCTTCAAAAAACTTTGAATTAATATTCAGGGACACCTGCGCTTATACATACCATGCGCGGTAACGGTTTGTATAGCCGATCGCTTAGGACCAAGTTCCTTGCGCCGGGGTTGGCCATGAGCTCAACCCCACGAAGGGGCATCATAATAACAACATTCCTAAACCTGAAATAAATATTATCCCTATCAACCATACACAACCACAATAGACTCGTTCCCACCTATACTCAAACTATTAATACTTATAACGCAGCGGGTCACACTACTTGCAAGGTCTCGGTTCTAGCTGCCATCTTCCAAGCCCAGGGGCGGGACACTTATTTACATAGAATCACTGAAACATGGAAGACATGCAACGTTGTACCTGCGATCCTCTGAGTTAACTATAGACATAACCATACCATTGACTGTAGTTTCTTAGCGATGGGATAGGAAGATATTGCCGACACCATCTTTATTTAAAGACGGTCTCTTCGACCCCCCTCCTCGACAGACAACAAGATTTCCATCTATCTATTGAGTCATCTACTGGAAGTATTTCTAATCTTACTACTTTCCACAATACCTACGCAAAAAAAAAAAAAAAAAGAATAATTCAAAATGCACAGCATCCTTCTCGCCCTCTTCACTCTCCTGCCCCTATCCTTCGCAAGAGCAGGAGCTCAGGCGGACCCTGTCATTAAATGCGCCAGCGGTTCTGCCCTCTGCTGCGGCACCATCGGCACGGTTTCTGATCCAAGCATTGTCAAAACTTTGAATCGAAATGGCATTCCCATCAAGGAGGCAACGGGTCTTTTGGGGCTTGATTGTAAGTTTTCCCACTCATCATCAAGAAGGAATATGATGGGGATGGGGATGGAAAGTGAGGGGGAACTTTGATTTGCTAATTTCTCGGGGATTGGTGTAGGCAATCCGCTCTATACTTTGTCAGGATGTACGGATCATCCGCTCTGTTGTGATGCTTCTACGGATGTGAGTTTTCATCCCTCTTGTCTTTTTGGGGTCTGAGAGTGAGGTTGCTGATTATGATTCTTTGCTGCAGAATGATATCTTATATACTAACTGTGCGATCATTGACCCTACGACCATATAATAAAACGGTTGACTTTGTGTCGGAGGACCGGATGGTTGTTGATGATAATTGTCGGCGCACAAAGTTCGCGTACATGTAACCTGTCACATCGTCCATTCGCAGCAGGTTCTTTCATTAATACCTTGATTATCCTAATTAGAGGATAGAATGTACTAGATCACAAGGATCTGGATTCTTTGTATGCTAAGGATATGAATATGAGATCAACCTCCCCTAGAAGTAGAGTCGAGAAAGCAACCTACCTACGGGCTAGGAGGTTGAAGTCATAGCCTTTGCTTCCGTGGATTCTATATTAACTTGATTGAGAAGGGGTGGGATTAAGAATAGCTTTGACGTTACTGGGATACGCTGATAATATAAAATACTAATGTATTGTACTATACATGTGGTCGGTCATAAAGACGAGGGTATCGTAAATCGTAAGCGGGAGCATCATTGTACGGTGACAATCGATAAAAGTAGCTGAAAAGATCCTGCCTGCTGACCATATTTAGATAGACAACATCGAAATCACCTCCTTCCCTCAGGAGGTGGTACTCCCTCCTCAGGCGCTGTACCAGGGATGCCTCTCCCTTTGGGGCGGATTGGTAAGTCTTTGCCATTTTGCTGATGGTCATGCTCCTCTTTCTGGGACTCTGATTTGGTAAGTTTGTCTGCGTGACTTGAATTAATCTCTTTATGCTGACTGTGTTTCGCTTTGATCGTATCGATCTTCTCGTGGAATTTCTTCTTGCCCTTCTTGACCTTAGCATAGCCTTCAATTCCGACCAGAACTGCGTATGATTTGCTGATCGAAACGCGCGACATGTCGACGCCCTGGTCTTCAAGAGCATGCACAAAACGGCGAAAGTTTGCTGCTGGGGGTCGATAGTGACCGCTACGTTTTGTTAATTGCCTGGTTGTATGGGGGTTTGACACCAGATAGTACGTACCTGAGAGGGGATAGACTTCGGAGTTGTCCATCTTTGATCTTGATCACACCAGCGGAAGAGATACGGGCACCACGCAGGAATGATGAATGCTGGAAAGCACCCGATTCTTTGATGCCGACGTACAAACGAAAGGATGTATCTGTATATCGTGGTTAGTACCAAGTGATGCAAGTAAGACGCCATTAGGGCATGCGCGAGAAGCGAGAGCCCCGCCTCCTGCAGTATCACGTACCAGCTACCTACTGCAATTAGCATCACAACAAGCCTGTGCGATTGAGGAAGTGGGCACAACGTACGAAAATCCACTTGTCCTTCTTCTTCAAAGACTTTTTCATAAGATGATTGAAAATCACCGCTGGACTCACATACGCCAGCTTCTTCACCCCTTTCGCTTCGTTGAGATCGTGGTTGAGATAATGGTTAACTTCTTCACTCGAGCTATCACTTTCCTCATCATTGGCTGAGGACGAGGAGCTGGCGTCCGCAATTTCATTCCCTTCCGCGGAATTGCCTCTGAATCGAGGTGTTTTGTCCTCCACCGGAACCACACCATGTATACTGTCCTTGAATCGATCGCTGTCTGTGGTTACCCTTTCTCCATTCTTCGCCCATCGGAATCGCCCTGATTTGTCGACCTGGACCAAATAATCCATCCTTTCTTCGCGGCTCAGGTAACGGACTTGCTCTCGGTCCAGACGGTCTCGCGGGCACTGCGGTAGGTCTACGTTCCTACCATCCCCGTAGTCGAGCCAGTAGAAGAAATTCTGCTTGGACGGTGAGTTCTTCCAGTAGTTGTGGTAGCTGCGCAGATTACTACCATAACGATGTTTCGTATCGACCATTTCGAGAAAGTACTGGAGATCCATCATCTTTGCTGTTTTCTCGCTCTCGATTCCTGAAACGGTTGAGCTGCGTCTGTTGTCTGCCTCTACGTCGGCATGTGAACCATCATTATTGGCTTCGCATGCAGCGACTTCATCGAGGATATTGTCGTCCCCACCGGCACGGCGTGCGATACTACCCACCCTCTTCCAGGTTTCGCGTGCCTGGATACGAGGTGTTTTGTCTCCAGGCGAAGATGGCTCCTGTTCGTCTACATGTGGCAGTTGAGGGCGCGTTGATTGACGCCATTGGGCTTCTTTAACAGCCTGTATGAGACGATCAGCACCTGCAAGAACACAAACATGCATAGGAGCGAGCTGCAGATCATACTGCGAAACTCAAACACCAGCGCAAAAGTGGAAAGTATGTCGTACGTACCTCAAGCCACCTGGTCGATGCGTCGAGACCAAGACCTTTAAGTTCTCGTCTCGTCTTGTAACCACGATAGTTTCTCTGGCGCGATTTAGTACGAGTCCTTTTCCAGCGCTTCATGAAGACGTGGATACAATATAATAGGCGCACCTGAATGATTATCGCAGCTTTCTCACGCTCTTTCTCAGTCATACCAAGTTTCTCTAGCTGGTCCGTCTGTTTGTTCATCGCTTCATTTTCCTTCGGAGGATGACTGACGTCATTGGCTGTATGCTCGTCTGCGATAGTGTTTGGACTCGCGCCCAGGCCTGCCATGACATCCAGCATAGAGACAGCGGTATCCTGCTGATCAGACGATGGCATTGAAACGCAAAGAGTGTACTCTGAGATTGTTATTGTTCAAGGTTCATGTTGGATGGTCGCGATAGACGCGTTCCGCACGGCAAGATCCGTGGGGGAGTATCCGCGAAGGTTTGCTGAGTTTGATAGGCTGGGCGATGATCGACTCCCTAGTGTACCTTTTTTAAGGATTCGGGATTTTGCTCCGTTCGGTATCCCGTGTCTTAGTTAATCCCTTTGACGGGCTCTCTAACTACATGAGATAAGAGGACTGATTCATGGATATGTTACCTTCTAAGATTATCTGCTGGGGGTAACTACCTCGCCAATCAGATTCGTCGTGAAACTAAACAGAGGCAGGATCATACTACGATCTATACGTTGCGTAGAGACGGCGACACATAATCAGACTACGACCAATGTTCAAAGCAGCTACATGAGCAGCTTGCAGTGATGGCGGGGTTCTTCACGCAGACAGGATATCAAGTCATCTCAATCTACCGCGGTCTTGTCAGCAACTCCGTATAGCAAGATAGTAAATATGGTATAGGTGAGTTGTCAAAAGTAGCAATATATAGCACTAGATGTTGAAATATAATTAGAGATATCGTTATTCATAAGCAACCCATACTAACTACCCAAAGGAAGAATAATCTGTCGTCGTAAATAACCCTAGTGGCGATTGAGTAGACACTTTCCAGTCGTCCAAAGACCGTCTCCGCATCGTAGTTTTGTCAATGAACAATTTGCGCTAGCCGATGTGAGCAAAGATGAAGTCTTTCAGCACGGGAGATCCAGAGAACTCGGGGTTCAGGAGCACGCAACTAAGTGATATCAATGTCAGTCACTGTTGACGGGGCAAGTCAGACATGAAACGACGGGCACCGACTTAAAGAAATATTCTAGTCTCTCCCTCCTTTTCTCCAGAAACGAAGGTCGAAACTTGACTGTGAAGACAGGTTAGTCAACCGTTCTTAAGCAATTATCCAACTGCGATACTCACATAGCATGCTCTTTGGAGGGAGGGGCGGCAATGCATTTTTCGAATTGGGGAAAGCCTGCAGTAATTTCTGGCGCAAATCGTCGAACTCCGAGTATCTGAATAATCAACAGACAATCCCAATACAACGACGTTATCGCAATCATACCTCAGTCGTAATACCATTGGACCACCCTGCAGTGAGATCAGCAATCACTGACTATTACAAGATCTACGCGGGGAAGACGACCCACATCTAGAGTTTGAATCTTGCAATTCCATACGACATATGCTCCCACGCCTGTTTTGCCTTGCACTACCACATGATCGTCGATTGTAACGCTCTTCGCCCATAGACCGCGGCTTGTCTCAGCCCCCGGATCCTCGGTGTGGTCCTCGAGCGTGATGGCGGCCGCCCCGTCAAACGAAGCCTGGGAAGTTCGCGAGACATTCCGATAATGGCGCCAGTACGGAGGAACTACGCCAGAGATGGGGCGCTCCTTCTTGGACGCATTATTCTGATCATTATCAGAATGTGAGCTCCCTGGGGATGACGAGAGGGCCGTGCCAGTATTACTGCTGGCACCGGCACTGTTGGACGCCGCCACGAGGCCCTCGTTATCCGAGACGCTCAACGAGGATGCGGGGGAGCGCCGCTGCAGACCGGCCTCCTCATTGGCTGACTCCATCCATCAGAAGCAGCGACAGTCTCGAGGGGATGAGATCGTCTGAGACCGGCGCAAAGCGCTGATTCATGCGGTGGAAGGTGCCGATAGATAGATGATATAGGGCACTAAGATTTAAGAGTCCGGTGATTTTTGTAGTTGGGTTCAGCGATGTCACGCCAACTTGGCCGCAGCCTGTCTCCAGCGCCAGACGTTGAGGACAGGACCAAATCAAATAATTAATAATTGGCGTAGCGAGGGACCTTAACCTGCGCTGGTGATAAGGAAAGAAACGCGTCTAAGACAAGCCCATTGAGAGACGCGAATGGAAGCTGGTTTGTATCTATCAGATGCTCGGGATCAAAGCCTCCTTTTGCGCAGCTAACTTGAGCCAAACATGGAGAGTGCACGGGACCAGTCACGGGACGTGCAAGGGTATCAGCAGAAACACTCCAAATAGGAAGGTAGGGCCTGGGAAACAAAACCCTAAACATCCTATTTTGGCTGATCGACAAACTGCTCCCAAAGAATAATGATCGTGAATGGCGGGTAACACTACTATCTTCCGTTCATTATTCATCTCTAGCGCGGAGAAAGAAGCTATTGTTAGATCCAGTTAGGATCACGCTAAACACAGTCCGTCAGATCCTATCAGCTACGGGGAAAAAAGGAGTCTTGTGTATCTATCACCCACTGGCACATCTAAGACCACCGCAAGCCATGGCGTTCTCTCTTCTCTTCCAGTCCCTTCCAGGATCCTCTTTTCAACCTACCAAACTGTGGTTCCCACCACCACAGTCCCGTTGAGTGATTCCTGAGCTCAGTGGGAATAGCAGGAATGTCTTTCTTGCAGTGTCGGGACTCCGGAAAAGACATGATCGTACACGCAGAGGGGAAGACTGGGGGGGTAGATGGTGGTGAGCTGCTGGTCGCAGTGACAATCAAGGCGCGAGCTTATTACTTTTCCTTCTAAGACCAGGACTAAAATCTAGTGCTCTCTCGAGCCTGTATGGAGTATGGATGGACTCTGGAGTGGCAGCTTGGGCTAGCTGTTTGCAGAAGAACTAACTTGCTGTTGTACTCAGTACTCCACTGTCAAGACTCAACGGTGACAGCTCCTTGCTCGATATGTCAATTCCAGTCCTCGACGGGTCTAGCTGCAACGCTATCGCTCTCTAGCTTCTTCTAGGGGACCACTGTTCGGCAGATCCTGGATATCACCTTGTACATTCTACAGGAGCTCCCCCGGCTCTCGGTTGGCTATTATCTCCGTATGCCATAACATGGCTTGTTGCTAAATCCTCAAGATCCGCCCTCTTCCTCCCCTTTCACTTCCTCACTGTCTTTCTACTTGAGGCGCAGTCAGTCTTCACTTTTCTCTTTTTTCACTTCTTTCGTCAGTAGTGGCTTGTAGTCAACGGTCGTTCAATTCTCCATCAGCATTCCTGGACTGGGCCGGAGCGTGATAGTCGTACTAGCGAAGACTTCATCGGTGAGCAGCCCGAGCCCCCAACATTCCCCTCGACTCTCCCCGGGAACAACGGATCTACAGAAAAAGACACAGTGAAACTGACTTATTTGGCATTTGCCAGGGTCACTCTCGTTGTTCCCTTCTCTCCATCTGCGCGTAGCCGTCAGCAGAGCATTATCACAAAATGTTGGCTGGATCTATCCTTCTGCTCCTGTCCTCTGTGGCTGGTCTGGGTGTTGCTCAGAGCATTGACCCGAACAGTGTCCCCCTCTCGACCAGAGGTGAGTTTACATGTGTCCCTGCAGTCTGATGATGTGTCTAACTGGTCTAGATCAATGGTGCCAGTCTCAAAAGACGTCCTGCCCTCTCATCTGTCTGCAGCTTCCCGGGGTGACAGGTCAGCCTGAGGACAATTCGTGTAACCCGGTAAGTCCACCCTACGGGTGATTAGATGTTTGCAAACATGCTGATCTGGCATCCTTCCAGAAAACCCTCAGCTTCAGCTGTGTTTGCAGCAATGGCCAGCAGCCCAACTCCTCGGAATACTCCCAGACTCTCCCCTACTTCATCTGCACGGAGGCCAACAATCAATGCGTGAACAACTGCAATGGGGAGTCCAGCTGCCAAGCTGCGTGCCGTGATGACCACCCCTGCGGTGCCCAGAACCCCAAGCGCTACAACATAACCACCACCTCTGCTACTTCCAACCCTACCGCTAGCGCCAGCAGCACCTCTGGTGGAAACGTCGTCTATACTGGATTTGGCTCTGCCTCGACTGCTGCTGCCAAGAAGGGTGATGCCAGCACCTTTGCTCTGGAAATTGGGCAGGTGTACGGCCTGTTTGGCCTGGTTGCAGGGTTCCTAGGCGGTTTCGCCTACCTGCTGTAAAGTGGTCACTACCCGTGAGAGACGAGATTACGAGTCATGATGAAACCCGCCGGTTCAGCCTGGCTCCTGTGACTGCAGACTGGACATTTACTGGCTCCCGTCTGCCAGAAATGGTGTGCTCGGGCTTCTGCGTCACCATTTGCGCGTTGATGCATCTTTTATCATCCATGCTTTTTTTGACCTGTCTGCATTTCTGCCATGCATGTGACGAGCAAGTAGCGTTAGGCGTGTGAGCGATCATTGTAAGCATACTGATCATATCAGCTAATACTCTAATAATTGACAACATGTCACCAAGTCAGAAGGTCCTCTTTAACTTCTATATTCTATCGTAATCATTCATGTCACTTCTCTAAGAAGCAGTTCCAGGAACTATCTACGAGAAGACGGGAGACGATAGCAGACAATACAGTATCAATCCTAACAGTGCTATCCAAATTGGTGTATATTCCGCATAGAGATCGCTGTCGCATCCCTAGTTAATACTTCTATCCAGTATAAGTTCTCGAAAACATCCCAGGGCAGCTATCCGGATCTTGCAGAATTAATATACATCACTACGCCCAAAACCTCATACGCTCATTCTCGGTATTGAATGGAAGACTCCGTCAAAGTGCTGACCAAGCCAAGTGAATCTGCCTGTCTCGGCCCACTGCATGCACAAATCATATAGCAGAGCTGTGGGTATTTCCAACCAAAGCAATTGCGTAAGTTACTCTCTTTCCTAATTTCACGCGGGGGGAGCAGACATTCAGTCACTACCCTTGCTATGAATAAGAGCCGTTGGAACGAGAGGGGTATAAATACCCTCTCTTGACGAAGATAAGAAAATACTTCCTTTCTACCTTTATTGCCGTGTATATGGAGCTGTGTATATTTACAGACATTCAAATCGTTTCCGTTATATACATCCTGAGGTGCAGCAGCTAGTGTCAATGAATAATGAGGATAATGCTGAAGAAAGGTAAGAGAAAGAAAGTGAGGGGGAAAAAAAGGAAGCAAGGAAAAAGAATAAAGAAAAGGATGCGTCCCCTGTTATATTGGTAAAGCATCCATTGCTAATATAATATACTAGATTTCAGTCACTACCTTCTATTTCCTAACTTTTATAATACTCTCAAGATTTCTATTTTTTATGGATTTTATAACTCCGGCAGACTGCCTTCGTCTTTAAGCACGCATAAATAGGGCATCTGATAAATATCCCGATATCCTTTTCTTCTCCGTTCTAGGAGACCTGGGGGAATTATAAAAACTGCTTAAGGAGGCAGATCTTTTTAAGAAGTCTATCCATCATCTCCACGGTAAATGGCTTCTCTCTGGGTCCAAAGTAACTCAGATGCAATTCCTTGCATTTCATATAATCTTCCCTACTCTATATCCTTGTTTATAGGTGCATACTCAAGACTACTTATTCGGGCATAGAACGTTTACACAAACCTTCTATTTACTCCATATATGTCGCCTATCTTGCCCGAGCCCTTGGATACTTTGCTCTTTTCTCTACGCCTCATACAGTATAATGGCTATCATTTCTCGTTGATAGATTTTCTTCAAGCTATCTATCAGCTTGAGGGTCCCCGGACTTCGGGCGGGATACTAGCAAAGTGGTACCCTGGAGCACTACTTCTATCGACTCTTACACTTTATATATGCTACTGGTAATACCACGAACTCATCATCATTCACGGCCAGCGCTCTTCTAAACGTTGGGCCCAGAAGAACGCGACGCCCTTCAGGCGGCCGCCGTTGCCTAGGCATAAGTTGTGCATTTCCATGTCTAATAAGCGATTCCATGATGAGTTGTGTGCATGCACTTCTATCTACAATAAGCTCTGACCGTGGGGGAAGATATCACTATCATATTTTGCTATTCCGGTATGGTATTTTCTGTCTCACTATTCTTCTGGCTCTTGATGTTTGTACTGGGGCTAATTTGGGGGACTCTAGGAAAAGAATGCGCTATGGATGTAAGGACCAATCGACAGGGCATTTCACTCCGTACAGTGAAATCTGTGCTCCTTTATAAACCTTGTTCATATATATTTACTCTCATACCTCTTCTCTTCTATGAATTCTTGCCCCGCAGAGACCTGATATTGGGAAGTTCCATAGAGATCTCGGCGATAGGGTGTTCCTGTGGTGAGTTTCCGATCCTATTGCCAAAGGCACAAACTAAAAAGCGACTTCGGTAGATGTCAACCATATGATTTTATATACCACACTCAAAGCCTTTGTAAGTACCACACAATACAGCCTTCAGGGAAGCTTATCTGACGAAATAAGGCGCGCTCTCATCCTACAAAACGGAAACAAGATCTTTATGTCATTTCTTCAAAACAACTAGCGGCGCATACACTACCTGTGTCAGGTTAGATATGACCCGAACATCTCTCTCCAGGTCGAATTCTTGCCTGGAGAAGCGTCCCCCGACCTGAATGGCGTTAAAATATACCTAGAAGTAAAGATCAGATAAACCAGGGATCAGGCGGGCCCTGCAGCGCTTAAATAACACTTCTCCGCTTTTCATTGGGCCGTGCTGACAGAATTGAGATGATCCTATCGAAGAAGTGCGATTGTTAGCCCTAAGAGAGACCAGGATGCACGACCATCTTTTCATGTGGGTGTAGCACAGATACACCTATTTGCAAAGCTGTCTCTGTATCTCATCACCATACGTCCACAACGATGGACCACGCTGGCTTGAGGGCAAATGGAAATCCAAGAACCACGACAGATGGACTAGCGGAACACCCAAGTCTTGGAAAGTTCCTAATAACTACCTATATACCACAGACGCTTCGGACTGTCTAGTTGAACGAGCCGCCTAATGTTCTGCGTGATGCAGACATTGAGGAAGACGACTGCTACGAAGAGTTTCGAAATTATCTATCGCGATTCGACTACCGCCACTGGGCACGAGTTCTTCAAGAATGTGCGAAGACAATCCGAGCTGAGTTTAAAGCGGTAATGAGAAAGTTCAACGATCCTACCAAGATTGTAAGTTTCAAGTATCTCACTCGACCCCCGTCATGGAACGACGTCGATTTGACCAAAGAAGGATCGAGTGGGAAGGTCCTCACGAAACCCACGTCGGACACAGGAAGAGGGAATGTTCTCGCGAAACCGGCATCAATCGTGAAGAAGACCGCAATACCAAAGAATAACAATCGCGTGCAACGCTACTTCGCTTCGCTTAACCAGACCCTTAAGGCTGATATCCTTCTCCGGGTGGCACCGAGAGAGGGAGAACAAAATGAACTAGCACCTCTAGTCCTGAACAGGCGGTACAACTGTGGCGGTTGTACGTCCCTGAGCGGGTGGTGCCCGCGGGTACCAGTATAGCACCGAACTGAAAATACTTAAGCATGAAATCGATGAAAGGAACAAAGTCTAAAGCGAGCAAGACCTCGGGCATAAAACCCCCGAGAGATCCCCAGGGGGAAGCAAGCATGACCCATTCACAAGATAGAGTGCAACCACAAGGAAACGAGACCGCGGCGGGTGATGATATTTTTCCCATGCTCGATGCCATACGTGATGCCGAGATCGCTCATCAACGACGCGTTAACGAGTTACGCTGTCAAACCTTTCACTGGTCTGTCGGTTTATTTTCGAATCACGAAAGATCTTCTGCTAGCTACAATACTTTCTGGTAGGGGAAATGTATCATTCGGACCAGTGACGACAGCTACAGATTATCTCACCATATGTTTACCATGATGCCAGAGTCGACTCCAGTCTTTCATGTTGTTCGGGCGAACTATTGGACCACAGAAACCTTGAAGCGTCTCTTATTCGTGGCAGACTGCCCACCCGATGTTGGTCCAAGAATCCGCCTGATCGCAGTTTGTGGCATCACCGATGACTATGACCACGCTAGTCCAACGAAGGACGGTTGGTTCTTCTCTGATTTCTATCTGCTTCATTACCTCTCTTCTACTTCGAGTGTTGCTATCATTATTGGTTCTGATGACAATGAAGTCCCCCCGATCCGAAAGCGTGCTGCAGCGCATGTCCTTCCCCCCCAGCCAAAACGTCAGCGTAGGAAGCGTGTCGATACAATCGCGACTCAGCAGCATCTCGCGTCATAGAGTCCCGTCCTAGGACGGACGCTTGGTGCACGTTATATTTCTCCCTGATCACACTACTAAGGGATCTTTTTCCACGAAATTGCCATCATTACCGCCTACCAAGGGCACACCTTGCGAATCAAAGTCATGTCCACGTGGATCCATGACTGTATCCAAGGCTGGCTCTCGAAGCAGATGATCGAGTGGCTGCTAAACCATGACATAATGTGAGAAGAAGAGTCGCTTTTACATGGGAAAGTAGGCACATATGGCCACTACGGGAACTGATTAATCGAAGGAAGGAGGAAAGTAGATCACTATCTGAGATTATCAGAATGCATCGTGATGCATGTAAACTTCTCATCAACCGGATATATACACAGGTTATAAGCACATACTGACTATGTCTCTCGACTTTCCGACGCAAAGTTGCTGTACTCTGCATATAGTTTAGGCCTGGGGCTTATTTATGTCAGCCTTGGCACGCCGGCCAGTGAGTTACCACATGGTGATATATCGAGTCTTCTTCTGAATACGTTACCATCCAGCACAATTTTGTATTCACTTTCATATCACCTTTATCTAACTATTTAGTTGAGTCTTAGATTCACCCCTACTTTATTGAAACTTGTCTTATTCTCTTTTATGTTTCTTTCTCTTATGTTGCTACATTCAAGTGAATAGACAGGACAATTATTGGTAGGTATTTCCCTTTAGATATGATCCACTATGCCTTTTCTTTGATAATCTCACTTATAGATACCTACTCTTGTCCGTTTTTCTTTATGTTCTCGCTCAGCAAGTACTCGAACTTGTTTTTCTCCTCTCTCGTTTCTCGTTCCCAGGAAACTCCGTTCGTACTATATAAACCCACTATCTCTCAAAATGGCCATGGCGCATAGCACACCACCTCCAGTTACAACTTATGATCCTTTTCCGGCGTTGCCACCGGACCATCTCACGGTCTCATTCTCCAACGTCGTCCGTCTTACTCGCGCAGCTGAGCACGTTTATACCCAGCTCAAGACAAATTCGGACGAGGGCAACCAGTATATTGTTGTCCTCGGCCTTTCAAACTATGCCATCCAGAGGCTCAAGGATGAGCCTCATATTCTCGGTGTGCCATGCCGTCTCGAATTTGATGGGAGTACTGCCATCATCAAAGTGAAGCCCGGTGACAATCACGAAGGACCAGTGAACCTCCTCATTAGCTACATGGTCGTGAAATTTGCAATGATGGGTATTCCGCCAGGTCAATGCAGATTTCGAGGTGCCGCTCGTCGCACAGGCACTGTCACTACCAAAGCCAAAGAACCCGACCAATCTTTTTACCCGCCGTCAAGAATTGGAGTTCCCGGACCGGCAAGGCCTTGGCCTACTGTGGTAATTGATGTCGGAAATAGCGATTGCTTGCCCAAAATGCGCATGGACGCCCTGTGGTGGTTTAACAATTCCCAGGGAGATGTGCGTATTGCTATTGTCATGAAGGTCGAGGCTCGCTCGCGTAGCATACTTATCGAAAAATGGCAGCTTGCGCCTCCCAATACGCCTCTATTGACTCAAGTTATCATCGACGGCTTCCGTCAATCCAATCCCCCAGCGCTACCGCCTCTGGTTCGGCAGCCTGCAGCGACTCAGCAGGCGTACTCTATTCAAGAGATCACCGTCACGACGACTAGCGCTACCGCTCAATTGGTGCTGCCATTCCATGCGATGTACGACCGTCCTCCCGTCCCTCCGGAGGCGGATATTGTCTTCACTGTGCAGGAGCTGATCGAGCTTACTGGCGATGTCTGGGTCTGATTGCTCTCCTTGCTCTCCTACATTTCGACGAGACTTCATGGTGGTGTTTGCTGTTTTCTTATGTTCTATTTGAGAATGAGACTGGCGTATGTCGAGATCTCGGTTCTAAGAGGAAGCGTAAAGCCGGACTAACTCTGATCGATACGCAATCTACGTCTTCTCTGGGGGTGTTGCGGCGTGAGCTTATGTTTATCTGAGGACGGGACAAATGTTTTTTTTTTTTTTTTTCTATCTTAAGGACTCCTCTTAGGGGAAGGCATGTATGCAGCGGGGCCTGATCTAATCGATACGCATTCCTGGCTCTTTTCTGTTGATTCTAAGCTTTTACCGGTTCTGTAGTAATTCTGTAAAATAAGCGATACATGCAACCAGCAAGTTGTCTGGATTCATTGCAGCCCTGACTTATGAACTCTTTTTGGAGACTGTTATAGGTTTGCTTCTCGGTCTTACACTATACAGTTCTAGAACACAGTTAGTTCAAAGTATTTACAGATCAGCATCTGGCCACATCGTGATTACGTCAACGATTTTCCTGCAATCGGTAACAGAAGTAATTTTCTCCAACGCAAATAGCATTGTGAATATTTATATACAGAGTAAACCACGACAAGACATGTGATGGCTAACCAGAATATTGTCCCATAATGGGTGAGATCATGTTCAGAGAGAGGTTGTTACATATAAATTGAAGTCATTTCAGATGGCGTAGATAGCGTAGATGACGTGATAGATATTAGGATCCAAGAAGGTCTGGCGATTATTGGTGATAGACGTGAAGACAAGGGTGTCTTAAGATATTAATCGTTCTTGTCAGGGTCGGAGACAGGATCGGCGGAGTCCGTCGCCGAGCGGGGATCGACCAGGTTTGCGTTCGAATTCGATGCTGTATTGACGATGTGGAAAGAGAAATCGAGTTCTCCGACAAGGGCTTTAACATTCCTTTATCTGTGTAAGATGATGTCTGCGTACCAGAGAAGAAAACTCGTGAACTTACTTCAACAACTTATCCAAGTCACCAATAATGCATCGGGTGGAGATCTGGAGAACAGCGAAAGCGGCATATCCTGGCTCTGCGCTATGCCTTAGACTAAGGATGTCCCTGTCCAAGGCTTCAAGCCGCTTCGAAAACCCGTACGGCGTAGGTGTGCGCAGGTAGGGAGGTAGTGGTTGTCTGTTCGTTATACTGGCTGCCAGTAGGGCAAGCAGAGATGTTATTTCATGGGAAGTCAGGTTGGCACTGGCCATCAGTCTCTTAAAGTCGTTGAACCATGCATTTTGGGATACCTCAGCATCTTCACCTATGCGCGTAAACGTATCTGATGCGTAAGCAACGAGACTGACATAGTTGACAATGCTGCCAAACATTAGTACGAAGCGGTGATATTGGTAACTGGAAACTTACTTCTGCATGCAGTTTATGATGGTATCATAGTTCTGCTTTGGGAATTTGCCACCAATAGGTACCTCCCACCTCAGGAACTCGCAATGTGTCCGTAGACCTGCAAGCATAAGCATCTGTTTGGAAAATACTTTGTTGCGTGCCTTTTCCAGTTTGCGTCCACTTGAGGTTGTGCTGAGTAAATCTTCTGAGTCGCCACGGATTCGGGCAGACACTGTCTCGTGGATAAGGGAATAGTAATTTGCAAGGAGGTATAGAGAATTTCCAAGATCCTGGCGGAGGGCCGAGTGTTCTGAGATCGGATAGGGGAAAATAGTCCATATGAAGGCAACGAAAAGACCAGCAGCGACAACAGCTAACCGGTACGGGGCCAAAAGATAGGTTGGGTAATACACCTGTCCGTTGGACGTGGCGACCACTTCGCCCAACTGACGTACTTCCAGTTCATAACCGGTGATCATAGTCGTGGTAACAATGCTGATGAAACCAACGATGATGAAGCGCGGTTTCTTGATCGGAATGTAGAAACCCAAAGTCGCAAAGACGAAAAGAAACACAATTATACCAGGTGTCTTCTCGCCCGGAATATACCAGATCAAGAAGCTAGCGACCATGGCAAGTGTTGTCCCAACAAGCCGAAGTACAAAACCGAACATGCTTTGTCCGGTTGTGGGAGACATGCTGATGGCAACCATGATCATGGCCCAGACTAGACGTTGCTTTACAAAGAAGACCTGAGTATCATGCAGAAAAGCAATGATAGCAATGGTCATTATGGCACAGGCAACGCGGAAACCAAAAGCAGACTGCGGAGACCGAAGAAAAGCCGGGATAAGTCGTATTTTGTCACCTATGGTCTGCCATGTCGTCTCCGGAGGTAGATGTTCTGGGTCTTTCCGCTTGTTGAATGCTTCACCGAGAGATAGCTTGCGATTGGCAGAGAATCCTTCACTAAGAGGATGATCATCATGACCATCCTCGCCTTTGAAAGCACCGATGAGCCATTTCTTCAGACGTTTAGAGCCTGGAATGATCAATCGCCTTTCCGACATTTTCCCCGAGGCGACTCTTCCATCTGCAAAATGCACAAAGTCGAGTACGGCTTGGTTAATTGAGTAGAGAAGATGAGCCATCTGTCAGAGGTTAGTTACAAGCGCAGTTTCAAAAGGCCAGACGGGCTTACATAGAGTAAAAGATAAAGCTGTCGTTGATTCCGCACGTGATTCGATGACAGCCTACCAATTAACTCGTCCTGAATCTCAACCGATTCAGGGTGTTCGAAGAAGTTGGATGGTAAATTGATACCTTTTTCTTCACACCACGCACGTACTGCCAGTAGTTTAGCACTGCGAAACTCTTGCTGTTTCTTTTCCAGGTACTGTGCAAATCCGGATTCACCTGGTGACGCCTTTGCAGGAGATGCTTCGACATCATCGGCGGCGTTAGGTCCGGTGTCTTTCGAGTTTTGACTTGCGGCCTGCTTGGGTGGCTTTGTTATCCTCAAGGCGTAAGAAACATGTTGCAGGCCTTCGTCTATAATCTCGAGCATGGAAGAAAAGGGGTCATGAACAGCGGTCATCATATCGTTCCATTCGTGCACGACGCGTTGTCGCACTGGGTCCGAGTGTATGTCCTCGGGTGCGTCGTCCAGAGGATCGTTCCATTTGTTATATTCGGACAGCCGCTCGAAGACATCGACTATCGAACTCAGGCCCACCACCGGTATCATTGTTCTCCGTAGATGTCTAAATATCTCCTGGAGATCGTCCGGGCCCAGGTGGCCCAAAGCGACTTCTCTCTTTGCGAACGTCAAATCACCATGGAGCTTCCCGTGGATCTCAAGAATTCCCCGTACAGCTGTCTTTATCGCATCGGCCTCTGGGCTGTAGGCTTTCTTTCCTTTCTTCAGACGCTTCTCCGATTTTTTGTCGAAAGTCTCCACCCTGCCAAACATGTCGGTGTGCTCCATCGATTCAAAGTAGGCCGCATGAGCCTTAAGCGCACCACGTAAGGAACCAATATAACCAGCCATCTGCTTGAAAACTACTTTTCTTGAAGTGTTTGGCAAGATGATGAAAGAAGTTGCTGCTGAGATTGCTAGACCCGTCAGGAATGCCTCCAACAGCCGTTTTGCGAAGGCAATCCCGGCTGTCATCGTCGAGAACTGGGGGGCGTAAATAGCAGAGATATTGGCAAATATCGAATATATGATGACAGACATATTGAATTGCGGAAACTTGGCCCGAACAGTGTTGACCAGATAGATCTGGAAAAACAGCCACACGCCGCATACAGCGGATGCAGATGAGTTGTACTCTACCGTTGGGGCCCCAGGAGCAGGAGACCCCACGGAGCTCGCACTCGTCTTGGGCTCTGAATGCTGGCGAGCCTTGACCGCTGAATAGATCATCAGCAGAGCCGCGGCGGTCCCTACGCAAACCGCCAGGACATTGAATATCATCATCTGGATAAATTTTGCTCTTGGTAAGATGCAAAAACCCATAATGGAGACAATGGCAATGAGATAGCCAAGCGTGGTGTAGGTATCTGCCACGCTGTTGGATTGGTAGCTTTTCTATAGTCAGTATAAATCAGGTGAACTAGAGATAAATCCATCCATACATTGCTACTGAGACTGTTGGCGGAATAGCTCCCCTAGATTGTCGGTCAGCAATTGTCATTGAAGGCGAGATGTTTCAGTTCTTACTTCATCATCATCATGAATGTACCGGCGTCCAAACCCAGCTTGGCCCAGATATTCTTGACCTTCTCCCAGAGACCTGGTTTCTTGTCTTCCTTCTCCTCCAGCTCGCCATTTTCGCCATTGGACTCATATTGAGATTCTGGCTTTTCGGGTGACTTTCTCCGCAACAACATTGCTCTTGGAGCTTGCTATCAGAACTGTCGCTCGGAAGTGCTTACATGTAGGCACCTGCAGAGAGACGTTCCCTCTCCAAATTCTGGCCCACAATCACTTTCCCAGATAGGACTTTGGGATAGATAAACACCGTCAATGTGTGATTTATACAGCGGTCTCTGGCTGTTCACACAGTCCGGGAAGTCAATAGCGCACACGTGCAGCAGCCTTCCATTTGGCTTTCAGGACGAGCAACGTCTTGAAAGATCTTTGAGCCGCTTACGTGGAACCAAGGCTGCTCTTCATCCGATCGCTAAGCAGGTTGAACTTTGATAGCCGGTGGGACAAACTGGAGAATTTACTGTTAAAGAGCCAGTCGCTCGCCGTGTTCAATGACTAAGCCGCATCCGGCAACGTCGATCATCGTCGCGCGTGGGGAACAAATCAATTACGCGGGGAGAATAATTAAATATCGCTTGAGGTTCTCCAACAAAGCATAATCAATTAAATGGATCACATTCTTTGTGACTTGCATGTTATTTCATCAGGTACGAACATTGATTCTGTGAGCATAATGCCCATGTTGCACAGAACCCTTGAACGAGTAAGTTCATCTTCGTCGCAAGCGAGTATGAACAAGCTTCCCTGGAGATCGTTGATGTCTTCAAGTAATGGACCAAGTCTAGTACGGAAACTCTTCGCCCACTAGCTTCTCGCTCAATCTCCATAGTCTCTCCGCCTCAAAACTGCTGGTCGCCCACGGCTTCACTGTGTCGACTAGCGGGTCTGCTACATGGGAGTCGACAAGATAGGCACCGTTGTTCGCTGGCAGATTAGTCAGTGGTCTCGTCTCGTTTTTATCGATGGGAAGTATAGAAAATCACCTTTAAGAGATGGATCAAATGCCGCATAGATGTGGGTTGCAACACCTCGTTCGATGGGCTTGCCGTCGTACTGTTTCCAGGATTCTCGGTTGCCAAACGTTCTATCAGCATTTCCTGGAATGCTATTAGCGACCGTATATCCGACAAGTCATGGCCAATGCCTACTTAGCTCATCCAGTTCCCTGTTCCAATCGACATTATCGCCCAGGTGGGTGGACCATATAACGCCCGGATGCAAGCTGAACGCTTGGAGGCCACTTTTCAGACCAAGCTTCTGTGCCAAAGAACGAGCAAACAGCAGATTAGCTGTTTTACTCTGGCCATAGGCGAACCATTTGTTATAGCCTTTTCCTTCCTGGTCGAGAGTTTAGCGACTGCACGCAATCAAGACAACTCGTCTTCCGCCACTTACTTCGAAGTTGTAATCGTCGAAACGGAATGGGTTCAGCCGATGACCATCACTGCTTACGACAACAACTCGCGGACTCTTCGACGCCAAAACCTTTTTCATTATCAAGTTCGTGAGTAGAAACGGACCTAGATGGTTCGTTGCTAGGTGCGATTCGAATCCTTCAGGGGAGAGTTGATAATCCACTGCCATGATGCCTGCGTTGTTGACCAGCACGTCGATGGATGGAATATCATCCCAAGAGTTGACTTCCTTAGCTGCACCCCGTACGCTCTTCAGTGATCCGAGATCTACTTTGAGGGTGCGTACTCTGACATTCGGATACGTGCTTGAGATCATGTCGGCCGTTTCTTGGAGTTTAGCAGGATTGCGGGTGGCTAATATGAGGACGCTTGGTTTGGCCTTGGCAATGGACTGGACGAAGAAACCACCTAGGGTGTTTGGAGAGACGCCAGTCGTCAGGATCGCTTTCCCTTCAATTATGTTTTCATAGTCCTTGATCAACTCATCGGCAGTGGTGTTTTCGTCGTATGGTGCCGGCATGATGGCAGTTGTAGGAACCGAAGAGCTGATGGCGGGGAGCTGTCTTAATGCTGAGAATGTGAAGAACAGCGTCCAAGAAGCTGATATATAAAGCATCATTGATGTGCCGCCTATCTCCACAGTCATGCTTCTTAGAAGACATGGGTTTATAGACCACTACGGGTTTAGTGGAGATATCTCCTATCACCGAACGCTGGTTAAAATGAACTCCTTTCTGGGTGGATGTTGCATATCATCTGAGCGGGATAGAACGGAAAATGTTGATCTCCAATGTATGTACATATATACATTTGCAATATCTTGTTTTGTTGTTGCGTGCTCTGTGTCGGGTTGTGCATTCTGTGCACATGGTGTTTATGTGTTGTATGCGACAGCGATGGGCGAAATATGCATGCTAGACTGGAGAGATCAAAGCATGCTTATAAGGTTGGCTGATGGCTGATTGCCCTCGTAGCGTTTCATGCCAGCTTAACTGCATCCCGGTGTGGTCAGATGTTCCCCCCTAAGACGAATCATTGACACCGTCCAATATTCTCCAATGACGAAGGTTTCTTTCAAGGCAACAATGTGTTTTCCAAGTCTGCTGCTGCCGAGATCTCTCTCGATCGATCCGCAAAGAGCTTCGGCTGCTGCCAGACCTGGTGGTTGCCGTCAAAGCCAAGCTTCATTCGGTGAAGGTGATACATTAAGTACCTAGCCGTTCACCCGGCCTTGTTTTACTTAAACCGTCCCGACATCTGTTTTTAAAGCTTCCTCCCACCAAAGCTGTTGTGAAATCAAGAGCCCTTCTTTCCATTTCACGTATCGAGAAATATCAAAGCACCATGGCGCAAACCGCTGAGGAATCGTCGACTACCGGTCAAGCGGGGTTATCTTGCAGCTGCTGTTCGGGTCCCTCCCAGCCTCAAGAGAATCAAACTGTTCTCGAAGACAACCAACAGGACGGGCGTAACAACGACAAAACAGCATCTGATGATGGAGAATCTGTCGACCGTTGCTGTAAGGACGATGCCCAAAAAGAATGTGCTGCATCAGTTCAGTTCACTGCGGATCAGGATTGCAGTCCTTATTCCGACCAGAAGGCGGAACCGTGCTGTGCTCCTGGCCCTGCAGACTGTTGTCTAGACACAGAGGATAACCTGTGTAAGTCATCTGTTGCAGCAGGAAAGGACAAGTGTCAGAATGGATGCTGCGATAAAGACGACTCGGATGGCTTCTCCCTTGCCGGCAATGAATGCGACGAGGATGCGGGATGCACTGACTGCTGCGACGCGAATGAACCAAGATGCAAGACAGCACAACCTACAGACATCTGCCAAACTAATTCTGGCCAGCCTAGTGAAAAACCAAGAACCTGCGAAGCGATCTCTTCTGGCTGCTGCGCCTTGACCAATAATCAGCAGTGGGATCAAGATAGCTCTTGCGCGAGAGAGCAGGTAGAGGATGGCAACTGCTGTTCCAAAATTCAAGAAAGCACACTACATGCAGCCTTAACCTTGGATATCTGCTGCACAAGCTCCGACAACTGTGAATGCTCTGGTATGGTCCTTTTTAATCGCTATTTGAGGTGTACTACTGGGTTCAAACGACTCGCTAACTTCGCATTAGACGAGTGCATCGCTGAATATGCAGCAAAGTTATGCGCAGATGAATTGATCATGGGCCCCGAAGGGAGCTGTTCAAATGAGAGAGCAGACAACAATACCCGACGCAGCACTTGCATTCAGCCGTGCAACAAGCATCTGGGAATGGCTGCAGCATTTACAACATCTATGCAGGACGAGCCCAGAGAAAGTACGGTCGAAGCTGCTGAAGCGCAATATGTCTCGAATATCAGCCGCCTGATTCGCAAATGCTTCTGCAGTGGTCCACGACCTTTTATCTTCCCTGGAGGACGGACCTGTTGTGCTGTCAGAGGATCGCGTATGAGGTCGGTACCAGCCTCCAAGTCCAGCCTGAAGCCTACACGAGCACAGCAGCCTGCAGTTAAGACCACCGAAAAGCCAGCACCTGTTTCCGTCACCCGCATGTCTGATTCAGATGTAGAAAGAGCTTCCGAGGGAAACAAGTACTCCGTTATTCTTGGTGTCGTTGGAATGACCTGCACCGGATGCGAGTCTAAACTGCACAACGTACTCGAATCATACTCAGGCGTCAGCGATGTTAAGACTAGTTTCATACTCAACCGTGCAGAGCTCGTCTATGACCCCTCTATGGTCGCAGATGTTTCCTGCTTGACGTCCTATGTGAAAAGACGTACCGGTTTTACTTGCACTATCTTGCGCACTAGCCTAGCAGGCACCGTTGACGGTGAAAACTTTACCTTAACCCACCTTGATCCCAAAGCTGCGGAAAGAATTCGAGCCCTGAATGGAGTTAATTCAGTAGTTCCCGTGGGGAAGGAAGATCACCAGGTCTTTTACGAACCACGAATGATTGGCATTCGAGATATCCTCGAGATAGTGACCTCCCATGGAAATCAGGCCAAGCTGCCAGCTAAATCATCCGAAGAGACTGCAAAGAGAATCGAAGATCGTCATTGGCATTCGCTGATAGCTCAAACTTTGTTCGCCGCAATACTCACTGTTCCAATTCTCGTCTTCGCTTGGTCATCGTTCGCAAGAGAAGCACCGCCGTCAGAGAAAATACAATACTCCGTCATCTCCGTGGCCCTGGCTACTGCCGTTCAGATGCTCGCGATCCCCATCTATAAACATGCCTTCCAGACATTATGGTACCAGAAGGAAATTGATATGGATGTCCTAGTAGTCCTTTCAATCACAAGTGCCTATGTCTATTCACTCGTCGCGCTTGGGTTTGAAGTGCGTCATGGCGGCTCTACTAATATACTAGGCCGTCCTGTATTCGAGACCAGTTCGCTACTCATCACGCTTATCAAATTCGGGAGGCTCTTGACGTTGTGGATTCGAAGGAAAGCACGGGATATACAAAGGACGGATTCATCCCAGTCGCAGATGGCACGAGTTATAAAGAAAGTCTCGCTATCTAGAATTTCAATGAGACCTTCTCTGAACAATGGCCAGGAGGAGCTGCTCGATACCGCCCTCCTTCACTACGGCGACATTATACAGAGTCGGGAAGGCGAACAAATCGTCACAGACGGAGTCGTTGTTAATGGAATTGCCGAGATCGACGAATCGCAGATAACTGGTGAAATTGAGCCTGTGACTCGTTCGAAAAAGTCCCAGGTGTTTGCGGGCTCGAAGATCGTCAACGGCACCATCGAGTACCGCGTCACACGCCTCGTCTCTGAAAACATTCTCAGTATTGTCAAAAATTTGGTCACGAGTGCTACATCCTCGAGAACAAAGACTCAGGAGCGAGCTGATCTATTAGCATCCTACTTGACCCCCACTATCCTTGCAGCAGCTGTTATCGACTTCTTGATCTGGGTCCTGGTTGACGTGTTTGTTGAGAAACGACCCGGCACTTCGGCCTCTATAAATGCACTCACCTTTGCAATCTCCGTCCTCGCCATCAGCTGTCCTTGTGCTTTAGCCTTGGCTGTCCCTACGATTCTCACAGTAGCCAGCTTTGTCGGAGTCAACAAGGGTGTCATTTTTAAGAGCGGGGCTGCATTGCATGCTGGAGACAAAATCAATCATGCTGTGTTCGACAAAACCGGCACACTGACAACAGAAAAACTAGCCGTACTGAAAGAGCTCTACCCGAGAACGGTTCCCAATCTTCCAGAAAGCGAAGTCCGTCTCATAACGGCCATGGTCACTCAAGGCAATAAACATCCAGTCTCCCAAGCTGTCTACGAACACGTTGAGAACAAAGTATCCATCAGTGACAAAGTTAAGTTGTCCAGTCCAGCTAAGGTCATTATTGGAAAAGGTGTCGAACTCGCTACAGAAGATGGACTTCTGAGAGGCGGAAGCCCGGCATGGCTTGGACTAAAGGAACACCCAGCAGTAAAAGAGATGATCAATTCCACTCTCACGGTCTTCTGCCTCACCAAAAATGACACTCTTCTAGCATTATACGGCCTCTCAGGCAACATTCGTCCCGAAGCTCTAGAAGTTCTCGGTCAACTGAGAAGCAAGAAAATAACCATTCATCTTCTCTCTGGAGACAACGGCCCCTCTGTTTCTCGCGTGGCATCAAGCTTGGGCTTCGATCCCCAAAACGTTCATAGTAATTGCCAACCCGAAGATAAAGCGACTTATATTCGCAAACTGCAAAGGTCAGACCCGAAGACCAAAGTCTGCTTCATCGGCGACGGGACGAATGACGCACCGGCCCTCTCCCAAGCAGACCTAGGAATATGCATGAGTAACGCCGCAGGCATCGCAGTCGACGCTGCGGATGTTGGAATTCTCAAGGATTCTCTCCATGGCCTTCTCCTGTTTCTGGATCTTTCCAGAAGAGCTACATGCAGAATTCGCTTGAACCTTGCTTGGGCCGTGATATATAACATCTTCGCCGTGCTTTTTGCCGCTGGCGTGTTCGAGGCGGTCGGCTTCAGGATCCAACCTAGTTATGCTGGTGTCGGGGAGATGGTTAGCTTGCTTCCTATTATCGGGATCAGTCTCTCTCTTCGTATTTGGCTGTGATGGTCTGATATGTAATGACACTATTGGTCTACTGACAGGTAGCTACGTCATCTTCTCCGTGTGATCCTTGACAAGTATACCTGGTAGCTGTCTTATCGAATGGATAGAAAAGATCCCACAACATCATTTAACCAATTTGGAAGTGCGTATTACAAGTAGTTGTTATATTTGTTATGAGGACACCACTCTTGTAAGGGATCTAGATAAGCAAGCAACGCGGCGTCCTTTGAAAGGTATGCTAGCATTGGACGTCTACTATATACAATAATAAGTTGCTCGTTCTCGTTGAGAACACGTAGTGCGCACAACTGATGTGAACTTTTCGTCGATGTATCCACTGAGGGTATTATCCATTCATGGCAAATAATCGAGGGAAATTTATGGAAATTTGACATCCAATCATATTCAAAGCATAATACCACCCCCGAGATTTATAAAAGACAATAACTCCCTACCAAGTGCCGCTTTTTCTTTTTTTTTTTCCCCGTGAAAATAAATCTAATCTATAATAGTGAAGGGGGTCTATATAGCCTCCTGGTGGCTGAGATCATGACGGTTCTTGAACAGCTCGGTGATCTCATCCAAGCAACCTGCAGCAGCGGCGAAGAAACCGAGGAAGGTCTTGCTTGGTGCCAGGACACGGCTCAGGTACTCAGGGTGAAATTGCACACCGACGTACCAGGGGTGATCCTTGATTTCGAGGATCTCCATACGTTCGCCTGTTTCGTCCTTGCCGATGAATGTCAGACCGGACTTTTCCAGCTCTTCCGCTACCTTGGGGTTAACCTCATAGCGGTGACGGTGTCTCTCCCAGATTTCCTGCTTCTCGCCGTACAAGGCTCGTAGACGGGACCATTCAGTGCCAGGCTGGAACTTCGTGACTCGCTTTCCAAGACGCATAGTGCCGCCCATCTTCGTCTTGTCGATTTCAGGCATGTAAACAACGACAGGCTGTTCACAGCCCTCGTCGAATTCGGAACTGCCGGCCTTAGTCATACCGCAGACGTTGCGAGCAAACTCGACAACGGCCAGCTGCATACCAAGGCAAATACCCAGGTAGGGAACATTGTTCGTACGGGCCCAATGAGCACTTCTGATCATTCCTTCTGTGCCACGCTCACCAAAGCCACCCTGAGAGAATTGTTAGAGTGGATATCTCGATATAAGAAAGGACTGAAACATACAGGAACCAGAATACCGTGAGCAGTGCACAGTTGATGCCAAGCGGAGTGGTATTCGCCAGGGTTGGTCGCCTTGTGCTCCTCTTCCAGGTGAGTAGATTCGATCCACACAAGTTGGAGCTTTCTGCGGCAGTGCATAGCAGCCTTTTTCAACTGTCAGCCAAGATATGCATTACAAATTGTCTGGATCATACTTACATGCTCCATGGCCTTGGTGACACTCATGTAAGAGTCGTGGAGACTGGTGTACTTGCCAACCAATGCAATGGACACCGTCTCAAAGACGTGATCCTGGCCCATAGCCAGACCCTGCCATTCCTGCCAGATGACCTTTCCTTGGGCCACGAGCTTGGGATCGCGCTGGATGGCATCGATCTGGAGAAGGTTGCCTAGCGTCTGAAGGAATCCCTGTCTATGCAGAAGGACAGGAACCTGATATGTCGATGGGACGTTATGGACGCCAACAACCTGATCTAGTTCAACCTGGCAGGCATTGGCGATCTTCTGGATAGTAGCATCCTCCAGGGGCGTCTCACAACGGCAGGCCACCAGATCTGGCCTGAGACCTGCGCTGCGGACATCGCTGATGGCTCTCTGGGTGGGTTTTGTCTTCTGTTCCTGGCCAATCAGGGGAACATAACTGACGTGAATCTGAAGGAAATTGTTCTTGCCCACTCGTCTCTGCAGCTGGGACATAGCCTCGACGAACGGCGCACTCTCAATGTCTCCGACTGTACCACCCAACTTCAAGGTTCACAAAATATTAGTTCCCGAAGAACTCATATCCGATGTTAGTAGTTAACTTACTTCAACTGCAACGACTGGTCAGCTAACAGAACAATCCAGTTCGATGGACAGCACTCACTGATACAAACATCCGGTTCCCTTCCAGACTCATCCACAGCAACCTTCGCAACCTTCTCAACCCACTAAGAAAAGGTAAGGTTATGCCAGTACTAAATTGCAGGGTTATAAGACAAACGCACGTTTTGGATCTCATTGGTCAGATGCGGGACAATTTGTACTGATAAAGTCAGCATAGGCCGCCTAGCATGTGGAGCGACAATACCAACCCGTCTTTCCAAGGTAATCACCTCGACGTTCCTTATTGATCACATGCGAGTAGATCTTGCCGGTCGTGATGTTGTTATCTTTCGACAGCGTAACTCCGAGATAACGTTCGTAGTTTCCAAGGTCAAGGTCGACTTCTCCACCATCATCCAGAACGTAACATTCTCCATGCCTTTGTCGTGTCAAAAACTTTCATCGTCCGAACAGGAACCAGGTATGGCAACGTACTCTAATGGCTTTGACAAAGTCAGTCAACGAAAGGGCAAGCTAATACACAATTCCATGAAAACCTACGTTCATCAATCCCGCATCAATGTTCAGATACGGGTCAATCTTGATCGAAGAAACAGCTAGACCGGCAGTCTTCAGCAATAGCCCACAGCTCGAGGCAATGATGCCCTTCCCCACACCGGAGATGACACCTGCAAAAAAATCGAAAAATGTCAGTCACGGACTAATCTGAGGAATTCGACGACGGGACGGCATACCTCCTGAGACCAGAACGTACTTCATCTTCGCCTCTGATCAAAAAGGAGCGGCAGGAGAAAATGTACTGGTGGCTTTGGCCAGCGCAAGGGCTGGAATGAGCAAAAAGTTGAGGGCCGACGAAAGATGCAATAAAATTGTGATTACCTAAGTGGTCATGTGGGCGGTGTGCAGATTCATTGGTGACGGATGCAACGAGAGGCTGTAGTGACGCTAGCCGGTATAAGTTATGATCGACTCTCCCCCGCGCCTTCTAATCTTATAGTTGATTCCACCGCCTTCCTTTTCAAGGATACCCCAAGGCCTCAGGCTGACAAGGCGTTGACTTAGATGATAAAAAGAACGAGCGTTGTACAGATTGATAATAATACCGGACGCTGATATTATTTATTTAATTCATCATTCACTGGCTCACTTTGACAGAGGATGTCACTGGATTTCTTTTATCTCATTCTGATTCGTTTGTATCTGTCTCCTAATTTGAAGTCCTATTCTGTCTTGTATACGGACCCTTCGTAAAAAGTTCTAGAACAACACTCGCAGCTTTATATTCTGTTCCAAAAGTTTTTTGCATGTCGATCAAGGCAGCTTGAAGCCCCCTGGTACAAGCCTCTGAAAGATGAGCTCCGGGTCGTACTGTCTCTGCACCTTCTTCAGCCGCTCCACACTTTCAGTTCCATAGTGCCCAATGACATTCTGATCCCAACTCGCATCATTCATAAATATATATGGCACATGAACGCCTCTAATCTGTGCCTGTGCCATAATCGCATCTGACAATGATCGTGTCGCATTGTGTACTGTAGCGTCGTCGGCGGGTTGGTACCAGCCTACATCCAACACGAACCAGGTTTGCGTCTCCTTTCGCAGGCCGAGTGCATTTCCACCGTGAGCTTGTCCTGCAGTTATGGCACTGGATGAAATGGGCTGAAAGCCCAATGCTAAAGTTCCAGACTCGACGGCTTGAATTGTCCTCACCTCCGGGGCTGACATCACCATCTCTGAGATATCTCGGTAGAGGGATGAGCTTGGTGTGAACCTTGTTGCGAACCAGTCCCATCTATGTGTTATTAGCCAACTAGCCACACGCCTTCTAACTTTGAGAGCACTGTTTTGAGCATACCGAGGAATAGGCGGAACCATTTGCCCGCTGATCATCTGCGTGAGTGTTTGGACCTTGGTGGTATCTTCCAGGGTCGAGATCGAGGCAAAGGGCGCAAAGGCAGCCGGCTCTTTCTCCGGTTTGAGATAGACCATGTTCAAGACGGCACCGACTGTTTTATTCGTGGTGAAGGCTTGTAACATGAAATTTGCATACGGGTCTGTGATGCCGCTATACTGGAACTCGTACGCTGCAGCGAGAAGTCGTGGGAGCTGGTCCAATGAGTACTGCTTGACGCCGCCCCATACCATGTGAATTGGGTATGTATATAGAGTGAATGCCGTCACAATTCCTGTCTCTGGTAAGTCAGAGTTATATACTCAACGGGGATGGCCACCAACCGAAATTATTTGCACCGCCTTTGAGGGCCCAAAAGAGGTCTGTGTGGGATGTTGAGTTGGCGTCGATGAGTGACCCGTTGGCTAGGATAATTTGATAACTGGCTACATTGTCGCAGACCAGGCCATAGAGATTTGAAAGGTAAGAGAGCCCTCCTGCTATGGCCGTTAGTTTCGTGTTGTTTGTATCGAAATATTGATACTCGCCCCCCAAAATGAGACCTCCCACGCCGACATCGAGGTCTCTGCCACCAACCACGGTAACATTATATCCATCGAGATACGCATAAACATGGCTCCATTTCAGCCCCGTTCCAACTTCAACTACACCTCGATCAGCATGGTAGACGATTTGGTTCAACGCGGACAGGTCGATCAAGACACCCGTATCAATGTTTGCCGCCAATGGGGAAGGCGAATGTCCTCCTGAGCGAATAGCATAATAGATACTCTGAGAAGACAGAGTACGAACAAGCTCCTGGAGGAGATTGGTGCCTCTAGGCTTTACTATGCAGGTAGGCTTGCCCCATGCAGTTTCAGACCAGTTTTCCGTGCATCCAGACTCGTACTGTGATTTCAACGGCAGGAAAGTGATGTTGGGATATTGCGTGTTAAATTGAGAGCAGATGTCTTGTGCGGCTTGCTTGGCTGTGAGGGACAAAACCTGTGACGGGAAGAAGGCAAGGATTATGCCACAGACAATCTGAACAAAACTAGCCAAAGCCATTTCGGTTCGCAAAATTGGCATAAGAACAAGAAGACCTTTTCTTTCCATCGTCTGTTTGCATTGGGTTGATATTGCTCAAAATCAAAAGAATAGTCCCCATTTCCTACTGATCAAGTTGGCATATATAGTTACTTACATTGGATTCTCGGCCTTATGCAGCTGTGCCATCTGCCTTGCATTTGGGCTAGATAGCTAGATGAAGATCATCCGCTCTCTTGGACTGTATTTGAATGCAGCTGGCGGCCTAAGTACAGGGGGTAACAAAGGTACATAATCTAGCCATTATTGAATATACTAGTACTTTGAGCAATAGACAGGGAACAACTCTTCTGGTAAATGGCTATTAGTCACGCCATCTTTATTGATCCTTCAAAGTCAACACTGTCAACTTAGCTACCCTTTCCCACTGTCTCATCTCCATTCTCTGCTTTCACGCTCCATAGGTAAACTTACCATGGCTGGCACAATCATCATCACCGGCGCCAATGGCTCTCTAGCCACTCCAGCCGTCCAGCTGCTTCTCTCCAAATACCCTGATTACAACCTTCTGCTAACAGTTCGCAACCAAGAGGCGATTAAGAACATTCTTGCTTTTATCCCGCAGTCGCAAGCCGACAAAGTCAGCGTCAGACAGCTGGATCTAGCAGATCTCTCCTCTGTTCATGACTTCGCTACTACCGTTGCTGAAGAAATCAAGACCGGAAAGCTTCCGCCTCTCGCTAGCATCGTTTGCAATGCCTACTACTGGAATCTACGTGCCAAGGGCGAACTGACTGGCGATGGTTACGAGAAGACCTTCCAGGTCAACCACATTGCTCACGCAGCACTTATCCTGCGTCTACTAGGCTGCTTCAGCCCGGAATCTAGCGGTCGCATTGTGCTCTTTAGCAGCGATGCCCACTGGCCCGGGAAGAACGGCCTAGAAAAGTACCCCCCTGCGATCCCGGACAAGCTGGAGACGCTGGTGAAGCCGGCAGCGCAGACACCGGCAGATCCGATGGGTCGGGGGTTCCAGCAGTATGCCAATTCGAAACTAGCCATTGTCATGTGGATGTATGCGTTGAACCGTTACCTGGAAAGGGCATGTACTCTATCCTAATTTTTCTGTCCTTTTCATCTCTGTCTCTGTTCTGCAGTTACCTAATTTGGCAATATCACAGGACCCCGCGCTGAAACATGTCACTGCGATAGCGGTGAACCCAGGCAACCTGGCCGATTCTCGCGCACTGCGAGTAAACACCCCGGCCTTCTTCACCTTCCTGTCATATTTCATCATTCGACCATTTCTCTTCTTGTTGCGTCGTTTTGCAGACCCCACAATGCGCACTGTCCGAGAAGCTGCTGTTGATATAGTCGAGTTTGCCACCAACGCATCCAGCCCGAATGAGCGCGGCTACTTTACCCTCTCCAAGAAGGACGTGAGCTCCCCCGATAGCTTGAATGAGGAGAAACAGCAGGCATTGTGGCGGAAGACTCTTGAGTGGTCTAGGATTACAAAGGAAAACACTGCTCTTCAAGCAGGGTTCGATGAATGAAACCCTGCCATCACTACATAATTTCTAGTCCTGACATGGTAGGTAGAATAATGAGAATAAAACGTTGTCGACTCATTTCTTATCATGGTATTGTAAACAACCACTGTTTACACAGTTGCAAATCGCCTGTGCCAGATCGAAGTCTTCATTTTCTCACACGCCAACCCCCAATCTGAAGTCCATTGCCGGTAGTAAGGCTGATATCCCAATAAACTCCCAAGCCACCGACCGACGACGATACCCAACACAACAGCACAGGTCCGAGAAAATGGAATCCACCACGGCAACGTCAAATACGTACCTCCAGCATCAAACATCTGTTACCAATATATTCATCAGCCAAACGTATCACACACTAGATTATATAGAGGAATTATCACAAACATACTGCCATAACCTGCACCGATTTTAGCCCCTCCCCATCAACAGCCGCCTCCTGATACCGATACCAATTCTCAAAAAACATACTATCCAACTGAAACATCCTCCCAGATTCCTCTCCACTAAGCAGAAACCTGATCGTATCTGAACCACCAAAGTCCTCAGGCGGATATAACCGATGGTTCGTCCATGGTAAGATGCATATCTCGCCAATAGAGGGGTCCAGCACGCGAGGTGAGCCTTCGATATCCACGCAGAGGGTGCCCTCTGTTACCTGGATGTATTCCTTCTGATAGGGGTGGAAGTGGAGAGGTGGTTTCTTGTTACTGAGCTCGGAGGGCCACACAGAGCGGATAAAGGTTACGTCGTAGGCGAAGGCGCTGTTGGAGTGTGGGTAGAGGTGGGTGGTTATGGCGTTGTTGAATCTATTTTGATTTGGTGGCTCTGTCAGTTCGTTTCTCAGTTGGAGTAAGGGAGGTTTTGTTGAGGAGTGCATACACCGAGAAGAGTTTAGATGGTTCAGAGTCACCCATGGTGTTTGTCGTGGATTGCAAGGAAAAAGGAAACGGAGATATGGATTGAGTCTGGCTTTGGGGGAAGTGGATGGATTATACTACATAAATAGAATTCCAACCCAAAACCAACGGTTTTCTATTTATTCGGGGCTATTTTCTGATAGGTCCATATTAAACGCCACCATAATCTATACTAGCTATCATGCATATCAAGTTCAACTAAAAGCGCCGTATAAGATATCATGTCATCGTAATCTATCTGCCTCAGTCCAAATACACATCTGTCCTTTCATGCTACGGTATTAGAACTGATGTCCAAGTTTTCAGTCCGTAGTGGAACCTTGGAGTGAACTCGACGTAAATCATAAGGATCCGAGTCTCCAATCCTCAATCGCCCTTTACTTTCCTCCTCTTTCTCTCTCATTCTTACTACAAACTGCCTCATTGCAGGTAGAGATGTCCCGATCAACGCGACGGATGGTTCCACCTGTGAGGGAATCCAAAACGTGTTGCCATACTTGTCGAACTGGGGTGGGATGAGCTGGCTCATCTCGTATTGACTCCCTTTTAACGGTTAGATAGTTGGATGAATGTGGATGTTGGAGTATTACTTACATCTAGGGTTGATGTCTGTGTAGCGCGTCATCTGCTGGACGAAGATGCCCAATTTATACGCTGCAGCTATTCCTGCGCTGGATAGGATACTCCATTAGCAGAAGATTCGAACAATATCACTGAAGGGATAAAGTACCATGCCCCAAGAACTAGAATTGATCCGATCCCGATTCGTTTCCGCAGAGCCATCTGCAGCTGGCTAATCGGGTACAGTGGCAGAACAAGGAGAATCACGTCAAAAGCCATACTGGTGCTATACAACGCCACTTGAAGGTAGTAATAGTACCAATCGTTGAAATATTGTTGCCGTTCCAGCGGATGCCAAGCTTTGTTAAGAGGGCGACAAATGAAGGCCGGAAGAATAGAGTAAACAATCAGGTAGATGACTTGCAGACTGAGTAAGAACCGAATGATAAAGCGCACCGTCGGCATCGACTTCGCGAATATTCTGTCATAGGTTAATAGGATAGAAGTCCGTATCGACATGCTCATCGCTGGATAAATCCAGGCTGATCCGATAATACCCTGAAGCATTTGATTAGACAGCGTTGCTTCGATCACACCAATTCCTTGTCTCGTTACCTTGAACCAGACCGAAAACTCCCCTACGGTGATCTCCCAGAGCGGCTTTCCGACACCAGCGTGTAGATTGACATAGGCCGCCATCGCGGTCCATCCGATATAGAGCATCTGATCATCACATCTTTCAGAACTTAGGAGCGTTTTAATGCCGATATCCAAACTTACCAGCCCAGGAATAATAGCGTAGTCATCAGGACCAAACGATCGTGTAGAAAGTCTCTGCATAAGTCGTAGAATAACACATCCGCTAGAGATAATCCCAAGGACAATACATGCTATCGCAACAGAGTAAACCTTGTGTGTGTTGTTGATTGTCTCTGGGGGCGGCAGCAATGTTGAGTCTCTGGAGAACATTTTTAGGATCGTTATGATGACCAAATTGCTCGCCTGTTCTGGTTACCACTGGGAACTGACTCTCTCCTCTTTCATATAGATAAAGACACCTGCAGTCTTTGGACTTGGAATTTTCGAAGAACCCTTTTCCCTTTAATCGTGAGGACTCGACCTCTTCCACCCGCCTGAGCATCCCTTGTCTGTATCCAGGCTGTGGTCTGCTGGACACCTAGCATCGATCCATAAATGGCAGATCCAACGGCCAACATCACTTGCATGTTTAAGAACGAGACATTCTGGATGTTGGAGCTGTAGTATAACAAGGGCCCAAATTGGTAGTTGTAGGTGGACTGAAAATCATTATCGCCTTTAGGCATGCTGTGCGAATAATAAGTAATAATGTAACACACCCGAACAACTAGTTACTTAGCATTTACCTTAGCTGGTCGACTACGCTAGTGCTTACCTCAACCCTTTGACAGTCAGGCTTAACCCTGTCTTCTACAGTAGTGCCACAGGGATATATACCCTCCAGTCCTAATAACTATGTATGTACATACACTGCCTTTGGTTACCACAACAGTTCCAGCGCCAAAACCCCTGCAATTGATCCTCCCGCAAGCCAGAACCCATTTCCGAACCACCACCAACAGCTCTGGCTGTCTTTCAAATCAACGTTCCAGATCATGGTCCCGAAATCGCCGATCCAAGTACTGCAACAGTGTAATACACGACGGACATCCCGCTGTGTGACCCGCATCCGATCAACAGCACTGTCATGGCCACCAAAAGCAGCGAAAGCAGAGGTTTCGTTCTCCCTTCGAACAGAACAGCCATGCTCTTAATCCCAAACTTCTTGTCGTCTGTCAAATCTTGGTGTGCGTAGATAGTGTCGTATATCACGGACCAGAGGGTACAGGCGCCAAACAGACAGAGACTGGAGGTCGCCACCGTGACCCGATGGCCGTCATCGATGGCCAAAGGCAGAAACCCACCTGCTAGGGACCCTATGACTATCCCCCAAGAGACGCAAAGCCCGAGTACCAGTTGTGGGAAATTGGTGTGTCGCTTGGCCCAGGGATAGTATGTCCACCCAACGATCGCAGGAGCCACATACAGGACGCTCTGTATAAACCCAACCGGGATACAGGGAAGAAACGCCGCAGCGCATATCGCCTGAGAAAAGGTGAATACTAATGCAGCAGCGGGGGACACTGCCCCTCGCGGAATCGGTCGATTGCATGTACGTTCCACCAAGGCGTCTAGCGGGGCATCAATCAGGTCGTCCCATATGTGAACGGCGTTGGACAGAAAAAAGCTGCCCCCAAACATGAGTACACTCGTGCGGAGCGCTTCAGAAGCTGGAGACTTTGTGAGAATGGCAGCATGAAGAGCCCCGAATAAGTGCGGAAAGTAGAGCAGAAAAACTCCTGCTGGTGGGCTGAGTCGGGCAAGTTGCACAAAAGGTAGCCAGGAGTCGGGAATATTCTTCAGCCAGCCTGATCGATTATTTCCTCCATATTGAGCATCCAGTGCCTGCCTGGATTTCACTGTGGATGAGGTGTTGGCTGTCATATTCGTACTCGGTACCGTGGTTATGTTTAGTGTTGGAGGCAATAATTGACAACAATGTTATAGTGCAGAATGGAACAAAGAGTATCTTGGAGAAGAGGCGCTATTTATCTACTTTAGAATAAACAACTAGATTTGGCCCCATTCACGTGGTCTAGGCCTCCCGTCCATCTTTCTTATTTCAGGCGGCTATGCGTCTGTCTTTCGGATTTGCTTGAACTCTTCATTCATCCTATCTGCAAGCATGTCGGACAAGATTACCACGTTCGTCGAGAGTCTAAGTCTCTCCTCTCTACAGGCCCAGAAGCTACAGGAATGGCTGCAAGGGGACTCTGATACTGCAGCCATATTTTCCAGTCAGAATATTACCAAGTCAGCTTCAATAAAAATCGCTTTTCTGTTGCTGTCCAGTTTCTTTCAACTTCTCATCGTGAATGACCCGGAAGGAGTGTCAGCATTGGACGCTCACTGGTAAGGCTCTTCTTTACTTCAGCCTTAAGCGAGTGACTGCTAAACAATTGTGCGAAAGGTCGGCCGCTTGTTCCGAGTTTCCATCTTTTATTGTCCTCCCGAAGTCTGGAGATGACGTCTCTATTGTTCTAAAAGTCGTGCAGTCTCTACGCATTACGTTTTCCATCCGCAGTGGTGGCCATTCGCCGAACCCTGGCTGGTCCAGTACGGGCCAGCCAGGCCTCGTGATAGATCTCAAGAACCTCAATCAGATCACTGTCAGCGAAGATAAACAGATTGTGAGCTTAGGTCCCGGTGCGCTGTGGGGCGACGTCTACACTGCTTTGGATTCAAGCGGAATCAGTGTTATTGGCGGCCGTATTCCGTCAGTGGGCGTTGGTGGCTTGATATTAGGGGGTGCGTCTGACTTCATGACTACTTATGATTCAGAGAACTAATCAGTGGTTAGGCGGCTTTTTCCATTTCTCAAGCCAGTATGGCCTTGCCGCAGACAACGTCAAGAATTTTGAAGTATAAAATCTCCCCACGCCGCTAAGTGCTCTTTGCTGACCTTAAAAGATCGTGCTTGCCGACGGCACAGTTACCAACGTAAATATGGAAGACAAGCCGGATCTCTTCTGGGCACTGAAGGGAGGAGGTGCCAATTTCGGTCAGAAAATAAAAACAAATCAATTGTAGGACTTGTAGTAGAACTAACTGCTGCAGGGGTTGTCACACGTTTTGACCTCTACAGCATCCCCGTGAATAACATCTGGTATCAAATCGACATATACCAGATCGAGCAGGTCCCTTCCATTTTCCAAGCCTTCGCGGAATGGCAAAATACTTTCTCTGATGTTAAGGCTACCGTAGCTTTGATCGTTAGTCTGGACGTTGTCACGCTGGGCTTGATATACTCTGAGCCTTGTTCCGAGCAACCGGCCTGCTTCGCGCCATTCAACGACATACCTGCTGTTACTCAGGCTATACCACCTACTAATGGCACAGTTCTAGCTCTGACACAGATTCTAGGAGCAGCTGCCTCTAGTTGTCCTCCTCAGTAAGATTTCATCAGATCACGTCCATTTTCTATGAATCCCATAAACTGACATTTGGGCCTGTCTAAAAGCTTGCAACGACACGACTACCGCGGCGCGAGCTCCAAAATCGACGCCCAGCTGTACGAAGACGTTTACAATTTCTGGAGAGAAAAAGCACTCGCAGTGAGAGACTCTACGGGAGCTAATCAGACTTTCGTCCTTCAACCAATTTCTGCCTCCATGGTTCAGTACGGGATCGAGAAAGGCGGAAATTGCCTCGGTTTGCGGCCGGAAAATGCTCAATGTGAGTCTCCCCTTTATTAAGGGCTGTACGGACTAGAAGCTAATATTTCTTACAATAGGGTGGACTACCCTCATAGACTGGGAACACGCTAGTGACGATGCAATTGTGAGAGAGGTATCAATCGCAACCACGAAGAAGTGGAAGGAGCTAGGGCAAGAGCGAGGATTGCACGATCCTTTCGTCTACATGAACGATGCATCGAGAGATGAGAACCCGTTAATGTCGTATGGAGAAGAAAACTTGGCGAAACTGAAGGCTGTGTCTCTTAAGTACGACCCGTCGCAGGTCTTCCAGAAGCTGCAGAATGACGGCTTTCTACTTTCCAAGGTTTGATGGAGGATCCAGCTTTGCTGGGATCCCGCGATATTGTTTGTGATATCATATATTCCGCTCGCTATACAGAAAATGATAAGAAGGATTAGACTGAGGCTATTTAGTGTCGATTAAGGGCCAATATTCACCGAATGTAAAGGCTATGCGCGAACAAGAACTATCTACCCAATTCAATAACTACCTACCTGAGTACATTGAATTGACCACAATCTTTTCCGCTGTTGAAACCAAAATATGGATGACTAATATCATTGTACGGGCCTGTGGCGCAACGGTAGCGCGTTCGACTCCAGATCGAAAGGTTGTTGGTTCAAATCCTGCCGGGCTCATATTTTTTGCTTTTTTTCTTTCCAGACATGCTGTTTAGGATTTTACACTTGGAGACCAGTCAATAAGTTTTGTCACTGTGGTATGTTAGAGTGAATAGTACAAACACATGGATACGCGGAATGAGATTTCCTGTCTCTATCATCATTGACACCAGGAAGAGATGTAGTGAAACTGAGAGGAAGTTCGATTTTTCCGGCAATTACCCACAACGACTGTTGTTCGGTTCTGGAGAAGAGATGGGGTTTATCAAATTGATTCATTCCCTTGGATCAAGTCAGGGTATGAACAGGACAAGTTCGTGTTAAGCTTCTTTCTACCAACGAGAGTGAGGTCAATAATATCATTTTACTCGCCGGAAGTCCTAGAGTAAGGTGATATGATCCCAGACCCAGGACCAGTTGTTCACAGTTAGGAAAGAGCCGGAAGAAATTACAACGGGGTGTGGACGAGCAAAAGAAAGGGTGCATGGTAAAAAGATTTGTCATAACTCTTTAATTCTTTTTAGGACTCCATTTCCGAAGTCTCATTGTAACACCGTAAATTTTACTAGAGACATGACTGCATCTCTTTTCTATACCATAAACGTGATGTGATGCGTGGCCTCAATGATGCAAAACCGAAACAAATGAACAGGCCCCTGAAGAATATAGATCCACGTCGTGCCTTAAATAGCTAGATAACATGCACATAATGACAGTATCCCGTTTTAAGGTTTTTAAGCCTTTGCGAGGCTGTTGCCCTCCTCGGCCTTCTGCTGTCCGTACTTCTTGAGACGGATAGCGTTGACGTTGATGAAACCGGCTGCAGTAGACAGTTAGTAAAGGCGTCCAGACAGACAGTAGGAAAGGCATCGACATACTGGTATCTTGAGGGCTGAAGTCAGTGAGAGTGTCCATGGAGGCCTGCTCGGAATCGTAGAGCTTCTCGGTCTTGGAGCTGCGTCCGAGGACGTAGACGTTGCCCTTGTAGCAGCGGAGACGGACATCGGCGTTCTGCGCGAAAGGTGTTAGTCCCTGTTCATAGAAAGACCCATACTCCCCTACAGGGCGACGGGAAAGATGTCAATATATACATACCACGCGGCGCTGGCAGAACACCAGGGAGTTCTCGATGAACTCCCGCTCAGGGGAGAAGTAGAGACCGTTGTAGAGGAGCTCAGACCAGTGGTGAGTAACGAATTGGTCACGGAGCGAGCGAACACGGCCATCCATGACGAGGGACTCGGCGTCCAAGTGAGCGAGTCTGAGGATGGTCATGGCGGGAGCATCGTAGCAGCCACGGCTCTTCAGACCGATGAAGCGGTTCTAGATACTAATCAGTACACGATACAGCCTTCCAAGCCCCTTTGTTTAGGAACATCCAAACGCACCTCGACAATGTCGATTCTGCCAATGCCGTTCTCGCGGCCAATCTCGTTGAGAGCAACGAAGATCTCGACACTGTCGGTGATCTCCTTGCCCTGGGCGACGAGCTTGACGGGAATACCCTTCTCGAAAGAAATGGTAATGTCAGTGGGCTCGTCAGGAGCCTGGCGAGGGTCGACGGTCTTGATCCACATGTCGTCGGGGGGAGGAATAGAGGGATCTTCGAGGGAGCCGGCCTCGTAACTGCAGTGGCTCTCGTTCTCGTCCATACTGTAGGGCTTGGCCTTGGTGGAGGTAACGGGGATCTTCTTCTCAGCGGCGTAGTCAAGGAGATCGCTACGGCCCTGGAAGCGGTCGCAGAACTCCTTGATTCTCCAGGGAGCGATGATCTTGATCTTAGGGTCAATGGCAAGGAAAGCCAGCTCGAAACGGATACCGTCGTTGCCCTTGCCAGTGCAGCCGTGAGAGACATAGTCACAGCCCTCCTCCTGAGCAACGCGCATCTGAGCACGGGCGATCACAGGGCGGGCCAGACTGGTTCCAAGCAGATATCGTCCCTCGTACTGGGCGTTGCACTGCACGGCACGGTAGCAGAGCTGCTCGATGAACTCGCGGCGGAGGTCGAGGATAACCATCTTGGAAGCACCAATCTGCTTGGCCTTGGCCCGGACGGACTCCCAGTCCTCCTTCTGACCAACATTGGCGAGGAAGCAGACAACCTCATAGCCCTCGTCCAGGAGCCATCGCAGAATGGTGCTGGTATCGAGACCGCCTGCGGGGTACGGTCAGTGCTTTAGAAGAAAAGATGTATGAGTATTGCGTACTGACCGGAGTAAGCGAGACAAACTCTGCCCTTCATGATTGCGGACGATTATAGATTAAAGCTGAAGCTTCCAGAGTCCAAGGATGCAATTGAGAAAGAAGACAACTTAAAGATCTGGGGAATAATGAGAGTCACACCGGCTCGGGGAAAAGTTTGAACTCCGGAGTCGGCGAATGCGGGCAAAATGAAGGTCACGTGGGGCAAGATAAGCCCGTGAATGAGTCAACCCTTTTGCCGCCATCAAATAACTATCGGCATTATTGGCAAGAAATTATAGACCATCTTCTGTCCTTTCAATTGCTGTACGGGTTCCCGTGCCTTTTCTCCTCTCTCGTCTGGAACATTGAAAATTGAGTCCAACATTTATGTTCTTCTGGTACTTCTTATCTTTAGCCAATCAGACATAGTTCAGGGTCAAGTCGTAGAATTAGAATCTTGGGTGGTATTACTCTGAGACAGGCTGTCATTGTCTGGATTAGTGGATTAGAAAGATAGTTAGCGGATGCCAAGGAATATTTATCCCCCATCCAATTCATGCAAAAAAGAAATAATTATAAGGCAAAAAAAAATAAAAAACAAAAAAGACACATGAGCCCGGCAGGATTTGAACCAACAACCTTTCGATCTGGAGTCGAACGCGCTACCGTTGCGCCACAGGCCCGTGTGAATGTGAGAAATTATCCGAATGCGTTTGATATGACACACAGACGGGGTGCCAGCTCGGCGTGGTTCTAAAATCTCTCAGCGTAGTTCTAAATATTGCTATTTTTTCCTGCCTTTGCAATGCCCTATTACTACTACGCTGAGATTTCTTTTAATATATACTTAGCGTAATTTTAAAAGCTAGTCTAACTTATTTTAAATACTTAAATTATACTAACCTATTAGATATAGTATAGTATATAAGAATTTTTTATAGTTAAAGTATTATAATATTAAGATATTATATAATTAAAGTAATTAAGTAAGTAATTTCCTTTATTAGAGGAATTAATTAGCTTAGCTAATTAGCCCGCTTACTTATATAATAGAGCTTAGCCTTATTAAAAGGGCTAATCTTATAATCTGATAAAATATATAGATAAAAAGTATACTTCCTTAAATATAAGAGGTATATAATCTCTTATAAGTAAATTTATATCTAGTAATATATTATATTAAAACTGCTTAAGTAGTAAATCTATAAAAGAATAATAGCTTAAAGCTATTATAGTAGGGAGAAATAGTAGTTAAGGAAGTTCTAAAGATATAATTAGATCAGTAAGTTATATGCTATTATTAGAAGAAGTAGCTTAAATACTTCTAATAGGGCAGAGAGAAGGCAAAAGAGATTAGTTAGTAAATATAGAATAAAATAAGTAGTTTCTCTTTTAATTATTATTTAGTATTAATTTAATAATAAAGCAGCTTTTACTTATTATATTACTTTATTAATAAAGCTTTTCTTTTAGCTTTACCTTAAGCCCTAAAGAATAAAGCTCTCCTTTTTTTCTTTTATTCTCTTATACTTTAAGACTTATTATTAAGTTTTAATACCTTATCTTATAATAAATTAGAGCTAAATATAGGGGGTATTAAAATATTAAGCAGAAATAAAAAAAAAAGAGAATTAAAAGCTAAGGTTAAGGCTAAAATTAAAAAAAGAGATAAAAAGTAATAAAAAGATAAATAAAATAACTAAGGGAAATTACTATTATAAATAAAAAGAGATAAATATATCTCTTAAATTAGTAGAGATAATAAATATAATATAAAATAAAAAAGTATACTAGTAATAAAAAAAAAGAAAGATTATTAAATATAAGAAAGAGCTTAATAGGTATAAAAAAGAAGTAAAAATTTAAAAGGAATAAGAAATTATTAAATAAAAATTATTTATTAAAAAATAGAAGAATTTCTTATTATTATCTTTATTACTATTTTTTTAGAAAAATATAAAAAAAAGTACTAATCTTTTTAGCATTAATTAAGAGGGAAAGATTTTTAGCTTTTTAATATTACTAGGTCTAGAGGTATAAATAGCTTAAGTATTTAAAAATATAGGACTATTAATAATATAATTAATCTAGATTATATTAGCTCTATAAATATTAATACCTAGAAATCTTAAGATACTATATTTTAAAGAAGATAATATTATTTATTATTTAAGGCTTTTTAAAAAGTTATATAAGATAAATTAACTCTTAGAAAAGAAGAAAACTAAATAGTTTATAAATTATTATAGCCTATTAATATTATTATAGATAAATACTTAATTTAAATATAAAGAAAAGAATTACTTAAAACTAGTAAAAGCAATTAAATAAAAATATACTTATTATAATAAGTATTAAAAAAAATATAATATTTAATAGCTAAAAAGGTTTAAAAATATAAAATATAATAGCTCTAAGGATTTAAAAGAATATAACTAAGAGTATTAAGCTATATTAGAAATATTAATAACTTTAAATAAATTAAGCTAATATTTATAAAGAGTTTAATATCTTTAAAGATTTTTAAAGAAGTTTAAATAATAGATAATTTAAGAATTAAATATAGACTACTATACCCTATTTATTATTAAATATACTAATTTCTATAAAAAAATAATAGATAGAATAAGAACTATTAAAACCCTTTACTACCTTAATAATAATAAACTAAAGAAAGATTAAGATATAGCAGCTTTAATAATAGAAAAAATAATTAAAGAAAATAATATATAACTTCTTATTAAACCTAATAAAACTTATTTAAATAAGAATAAAAATAGAACTAAATAATAGAGTATTAAAGTAAAGTTAATAAAGTAATTATAAATTAATTAATT